GTCTCAAGGGAAAGCGCAAGATCTGAGGAAATTGATATCTCTGTGCATGATCTCTACGCACCTAAGCGCGTTTGTCGTTTCCCGTTACCGTTCTCGGCCAAGTCGTGGTCCAAGAAATAAATGAAACTCGGTGCTTGCAGGCCGAACAGTCGCAATTTACTCCTTGACAAAGTAAGTGGAGTGCGCACAAGGAAATGCTGGATGCAACGCTGCCAGGTAGGTCCCGAGGAGATGTTTCTGACAGTGGCAACGACGACATACATGCTGGCAGGACGTGCCGGGGCCGTGTCCATCCGCAACTCTCCCGCTCGCAAGGAAAGCCCTTGCAGCTAATCACCTCACGTTCTGGGGAGCATTGATTGTTGACACCGAAGCCACGATCTTCAAATTGCCCGTCGATGCGTTTTCTCCAATGTGATGACGGGGGGTTTTCGACGCTGCCGGGATAGCTCAATAGACCTACGAGACCTACACAGATGGCGGCACTGATCGCCTAATAACCTAAACCACAACAAGAATGTGTTAGAGGCGCGTATATTTTGAAACTCATTTGTGCTAGTGCTTCTAGAATAGTGATGGGGATGATGAGCTAGAATCAGATAGATGGAGGGTGGTATAGTTCCTCTTTTTCGAGAAGCGGGTAACTGTACGTACTTTCGTGATCAATTGGGAACGACCTGGGGCCCCTGGTTTTCAGGGATTCTGGTGGACGAGATGTGCCACAGGGATTCACCGCGAATCTGCGACACCCCGCAGCGCAGTGAGGGCAAGGTGCGCTAGCTGGCTTGGTACCTACTGAGTTGGCCAGGTACAGTTCGCTGGGATATCGAAATCGAAAATTTGAAAATTCGAAAGGCTTGGAATGGCATATAGATGATTGGGATCGATAAAGTTTCTGCACTCGTCCGCATCCAGAGGTCTCCAATGGAGCGGGCAAGACAGTACGGGACCCAACGAGCATTTCTGCACGATCATGTGCGACTCCGTGAGCACTAGATGATCTAGATATTATATCCCAAACGCAGCGTTGAACAATATGCATGTGTGACGAGAATGGTGAGTGACGTTCCGAGATACCTGCTCGGCCTGGCGGTTGGGATGCTGGCCTCCTCGAAATTTGCTATTTTCGGCGGACGCCGACCAGACGAATGCATCTCGCTGTTGCACAGGCCAAATGTAGACCGCGAAGAGGCAGAGCAGAAGCCTGATAATCCATTGTGCTGGGAGATTTTGCATTTGCGTCATTCCAAGGCCTCTTTTCCATCTCCTATTGTGCGCCATGTACGGCCGTAGACAGGCTTCGGCTGTACAACTTGGACAAGGAGCATTGCAGCATCTACGACTCGAGGTCGTGCGAGGGCAGACGGGTCAGTCACTGTCACAACACCAAGTGGGGTCCACGGCCCATGAAAGGATTTAATTGAGTGACACCTGTGCCAATGCACACCTTTAGACAGAAGCGAGTAGTGATAGTGATCAATGGGGAAATTTGCAATACTTTGGCGCAAGTCGAAAGAAGTTCTCATGAGGTTCCTGTTCGTTCTACCCATGCAGCGCAGATATCGAGTAGAGTTTGGTTTGGAAGCCGCGAGTGTTAAAAAAAGAAAAAAAAGTACAAAGTGGTGGGGCTCTGGGATAATGGCAGGTACAGCAGGGGTTGACAGCGCTTTACAGGGCTACTCCCCACTAAGTACCCTGGGTCGCTGGGATGCTTTCTTCACTGCAGCTGACAAACCCAGTCGCATCGTCATTTGAGCTTTTGCAACTGCACTTGACCGATGCTGTCTTTGACGACATTGCATCGACAACTTCTTTCGGGGCCGGATCGTGACCGGCAGTTTCAATAATCAATCGAGTCCCAGTGATTTGACCCTGGATTGCCGTCCCACGCAGGAAGACGAGACACGAACCAGAAGATGCCACGGCAAGATGCCGCCCTCTCTGCGCATCGCTACTGCTGTCCGTTAATCCGCAGTCAACTATGGCCCCAGCCAAGTGGCTTGCTTCATGCCCAATATCTTCGATGCGATATTGCGCATCCAAGTACAACGGGCAGGTCTGGGGCCTGACTGAGTCCTCAGCTTCCGTGATCGCGTGTCTAAATATTAACATGGCCCCACGACTCCAACGTATGTATATATACCGTTCGGGGCGGCTTTTAAACCCGTCTCAAGCATCTTTGGGAGGTAATTCTGCTTCAGTTATCTATTGACAATCCAGACGACGCGCTCGGATTCTGTCACCAGCACGAAGACTCTTCATTGAATCTCATTTCTCCCAGCATAGACAAAGGTTCCCACCAAAATTACACGCATTATCAAAACGGCGCATGTCCTACTTCGGTCGCCGCCAGCAGCCACTGCAAAATAAAAAGAATCGGTACTAGGTGATCATTTCAAGAGCTCTGGTGAATGGGTCATCTGTCAGTTGGAATTCTGTTTCCGTCTAGTTACCCTCTTTCTCCCATCCTCCGCCCCCCACCATCGTTGAACGTCTTGACGTGCGCCATGTTTACCCCTTGGCTCCCAGCTCCATCAGCTCTCCTCTCGAGGTAAATGCCTTTGCATTCCAAGTCAGGATGCGGCGACATAGAGGCGTCAAGTGACGAGCTTCTTTGGCGTTGCGAGTTACCGCAGCTTGTCGCGAGGTAACCATCAGGCAGCATGCGCCGTGTACAGAGTACTCATGCACTATACGCGGCCGTGAGCCAGATGAATGGTAGTCACCAGCAACCAGGATACAATCATGTCTGCTGCCAGTTCACGTCAGATTACTTTCCCCTGACGGATGAAGCCGCTGTCGTTTCTCTTCACGGCGCCCGCTCTGGGATCAAGTAAGATGGCTGGTGACACCTGGGACCTTGAGTGCATGTATCGTGCCAGATGATCGGACGTATGCGGGTGCGACGGTACATGTGGTACTTTGGTCGTGCCACCCCTTCCCAGGCCGCATCCAGTGGGCTTCGCAGATCGCGCAATAGCTGTACCAGCTAGTTTGAGCTGACCAATAAGACATCCAGTTCCTCCCATTTTGAAAAGCCCACACCATCGACTTTAACGCCAATCCAGCTTGGGAGGCCAACCTGCCAGAACATCCCGTATATCATCAGTTTGATTTGTATTGCCCGCTACCCAGGTGATATCCACCGTCTGGGAACTTCCAACCATCGCAATCCTGCTGATTCGATCCGCTGAGCTCTCCCGACATCCGCCTTCTTTTCCGTAGGCCGCGCATGGCGACGAGTCGTGAGAAACAAACAGAGCAGTTTCCGACTTACACGGATATAGACAAGCACCTGGTTCGCCAAGACAAAAGTACCAGTTTCAACCCGTGACCACCAAGTACTTCCTTCCTCTGGCTACCTCACAATCCAAACGTCTGTGCACTATACTCACACCACCGACCGGTGCCCACCCACTAGTCGGCCGTTAACCAGCACGATCTGGCACTTTCCCCAAGATCCAGGCTCTGTAAGTCCAACCAATCATCATTGCCCTGTCATTCCTGCGCGTTCTTCGGGCCTGGCGTCATTCTTCTTTACTTTTCCTGCCCTTGAGCACCTCCTAGTTACCACCGACCTCCCAATGCCCTGCCCCGGCATCTCCCTTTGAGCCCACTGCGTCCCGTCAAATGTGGGGATCCTTGCTAGCTGTGTCGATCTGCTTTCCCTGTCCGAAGACTATTATTCCCAATTCCCTTTAGCCTCCAGATCAGGACTTCCAGCCTTCCCAGTACATTTCAACGGTTAGCAAGTCAACCCTGCCGTTTCTCTCCCCCCTGCTACCATTCTCAACGCGATATTGAAAGCACCTTTCCAAATCTTGCGCACGGTTTCCCGACAAAAGTACCAGAAGTAGCCGAGGCTTGATAGCTTGTGTTCACTTATGGACTTTTTTGGTCCCCGGGGTGAACAAGGCGAGAAAGGTACATCGATAGTAGGGCTTGCTTGTGTAGCATACAAGGTGTCGACCATCCACAGGATTCTTGACAACACTCTACTTCACTGTGCTCACCACCACCACCTACACCACCATCATTTCGAGAAATGTGTTTCGTCCCTCTTTCACCCTCTTTATTACCTTTCCTTTCCCGCCTGTCCCAGCCTGAAGAACAACGTCTCACTTTCCTGCTCCGAATTTTCGTTTGCTGACCACTGTCCCAAGAATTGTAGTTTACTGGTTCGTCATCCCGATTGTTGGTTTTGCCCTGCCCTCTCTGCGTCTCTGGTCCCGTCATTTACGACACGAACCACGCGGGCCACGCGAACCACTCGGCTACCCGCTGTTTTTCTGATTGCGGCTCTCCTAAATTCATCTTCATGCGAACAGGTTCAGGATAGCTGCATTGCGAACGAACTACAACCCCACCGTTCGTCGAAATCAATTGCCCGATTTGGCCAGTGCTCAGCATCAAGCTTGGGGCGTTTCTTTGTTGGCCCGAACCGCAGGTGAGATATCACATTTCGGCCTCGCCATGAGAGGATGCTTCAGTGTTATGACGCCAATGCCCTCTAGCCCACAGCTCCTGACACAGGAACGTCAAAGCGAGAGCGTGCCTGACTGACCACTTTTTGTATAGGTGTCCCACGCCCTACGATCAGGTCTTGCGAGAGTGGCGAACAGCACCCGAGACTCGGGTTACCAGGGTCAATAAGAGACGTACCTCTACGAACCGCACTGTCCAAAGTTCCAAACTTGGTGGGAGAAAGAGAAGCTCTCCTATTAATTTCGCCTGGGAGTCTCTGATCTTCTGCTGGAATCAAGCATTTTCATCTCTCGGCTCAATTTTTGTTTCTGCTTCACCACCCTTAGGGACGCCATCGGTCCATCTGAGTCGATTGTTTCACCCCCAGAAGCAAATCTTGGATCACCACCCATTTATTCGGCCAAAAAGCAACCCCTCCGAGTGAGACTGCCTTGAGCTTTGGGCGAAGTTTTTCCCCGTCTGCCAAAAGTCGTCTTTCTGCACTTTCACTCGCAGCGTTCCTTCGTTGCCTGTAGTACTGCTCCCGAAACTGGTGTTTCCTGTTGGCCGTTGGTTCAGAAACCCTTCCAACATCTCATATTCTCTCGACAGAGAGAGGTAGCTTGAATGTCTGCTGTCAAGTTCGCCTATCAACCTTACAAGCTGTTCGAGGTGGGTAAATGTCCGCTGCCATGAGTAGCACACGACTGCCACACCTACGGGGTCGGTTTCGGAAAGACGTGCTTACTGACATGCATCACAGCCTCCGTTCCACCCCGAGAGGCCAATCATCGTCGACGCTGACTCGATTGACTCGCCGGAGACAGTGACCCTCCGGTACGAGGAGGAGGCCGCAGCAAGAGCGAACGGTGGATGCCTTCGGGGGGACTCCCCGCCTGGTTTCCTGCCCAAGTCATATTTGAAGCCGCAACCGCCCCAAATGCATGGTAAGTAGTAAAAGTGCCCATTTTCTCGCAGTGCAGAAGAAATTTGCTGCAACTTACTCGGCCGACGACGAGTTCTGACAAACCACTCATTTCCTAGCCTTCGAATCTTCGAGATCATACCAGGATCCTCAGTACCAGTATTCCGCACCGTCATTTCCCGCACACCAGCCTGAAAATGGTGCTGCCCAGCTCAACCAGATGGCCTTTGCGGCCAACAGTTCGGCCAGCCAGTACATGGCGCCAGCAAGTGTCGAGCCAACTTTGATCTCGTATCAGCCATCTGCAACAAGAGTCACCATAAAGATTACAGCTCCATATGACTTGATTGGGGTTACCAGCCACTTCTTCCTCGCCTTCGGACAACAGAGATGCCCAGCGCACGCCATTAGGGACACACATGATACGACTGGCTATGGCTATGTAGTCAGCGGAGACGTGCCATCATTCGAGGACACCAGGAGCCCCAGTACCAACGTGCCTTTATCATTGCTCGTCGAAACCCATGATGCACAGCCTTTCGCGACGATTGCAGTGGGCACGTTTACATATCATGACACTCAAGTTGGGTCAGTAGGGACCCCAAGCGAAGATGTCACGCGCAAAATATCGCAGTCACCTGAGCAGAGACAGAGCCCTCCCAAACAGGAAGAGCACCAACATCCACCGGACCACTTGTCAGAGACAGCTACAAATACTTATGGCTACCATCCCGAGGGCCAGCAAGAAACATCCTCTACGTATGATGCTGCTTACCCGAACAACAACAACAACAACAATAACATGATTGGAACTTACCATCGCACCTATTCGTCCGATTACCGACACATCCCGCCACCACCGAAAGCTACTCATTCGTCCACATGGAGTCAAAGCCCATACGGCCCGTCCACCAGCTCATTGCGCAGCCCAGCCCTGAGCCACTCTCATGCCTCGATCACCCGCCCAACCATCACATCGCTGCCGGCACCCATGCATAATTCAACATTACTGGTGCGGACCAGCACACTCCAGTCACAATCGCCAAACTCAGGCCAGTACAACCCATACCAGCTGTTTCCCCAAAAGGCGCAGTTGAAGATCAATGGAGATCTGGAATCGATGGCAAACGGGTGGAGTAAAGAAGAGTGGGAGAACCGGCGGCGCATCGTGCTGTTCACAAAGAAATTGCAGGGGAGTGTGGTGACTACCAGCTTCCGGCCGGTTAGCGTCAACGAGCGACCATCCCACAGTATTTGCATCAGCTGCATCTGGTGGGCCGAGAAGGGGGAATGCTACGTGACGAGCGTCGACACAATCCACCTACTGGAGCAGTTGGTCGCAGCGCCCTCCCGGTTCACGGTCGAGGAGAAGAACCGCATACGACGAAACCTCGAAGGATTCCGACCCCTTACAGTAAGCAAAGCCAAGGCCGACAGTGAAGAATTCTTCAAGATCATCATGGCTTTTCCCAACCCGAAGCCGAGGAACATTGAGAAAGATGTGAAGGTGTTCCCATGGAAGATTCTGGCACAGGCTCTGAAAAAGATTATCTCTAAATACGTGAGTGGTTTGGCTTTTGCTTTTCTCTTTTTTTCCTCCTTTTGTTTCCCTCTTGTCTCTTATTATTTTACGTGTTCACTCTTGATATACATGGTTTCCTAAGCTAACTTGATGATTAGTCGGCGTCACCATCAACACATCCCGTCGGGCCCGCATTACTCACCCCAATCAGCAGCACAAGCCCCGGGCTTTACCCGCCACCACACACGCCAAATGTGCCTGACAACTACTCTCACCATGATGCTCACAGCATCGCTTCACCACGCTCTCTGTCAGGGGCTTCGTCCACCTGGGCCACAGGCGGGTACTCAGGTCGATCCTTGTGCCCAGACCTGAAATCAACGTCACCCACCGTAGGGACAATTCGCATGCCAAGTCTGTCGTCGTATGGAGCTTTGGACACAAGAAACTCTGCACATTACGGGTTACCGCCGCAGCCGCAAGGACGATGGGACACGGCAGCAGTCACAAGTGGATATATCGACGCGGCTGGCGTGCCCGCATACACAAATCACCAGCACCAGAGTCAGGTGTACGGCACGGGCGCATATGGCGATGCTGGACAGCGAGCATGATGATGTTGGAGGGGGGGAAAAAGCAAGGCAGGAAGTCGAGGTTGGAGCTGTTGTGGGTCTGGACTCTGGCGTACAATAGCGTGTGTGTCAAGATTCAACGGCGCGCATGGCTTGGAAGGTCGAACTCAACTCAACGGCTCCTTAGGGCATGGTGGCGTCTTCCTACGAGCGCGCTATGCCTGAGGTTCCATGGTTTGACTCGGCGTTCAACGCAGCCCTACTAGACGACACGACCGTTTTCGGTGAAAGTGTGTATTCGTGATGGAGTTATCTCGACGAGATCCACTCACAAGGTTCCATGTGAAGATAGGATCGGATGGTAGTGGCTCGTGATAGGTCAGGTGTTGGGCTGCAGACCAATCAAGGATCGAGGCCCAACTCCATCAGTCCATCCCACCATGCGACTAGTCCTCAGTACTATCTCGCACCCCTGCGAGACCCTCACCCCCATCGAAGTTCAACCTATATCATTCCTCGACGACCCAGCCGCCAGAAAACCTCCTGACCTCGAATCATCATGCAACTACCCGGGCAACATCTTTTTTTTTTCTTTATCTGTTTTGCGCGGGCGCGGGCCGGGGCTTGTTTGGTTCTGGCGCAGCATTCGTTCACCCACCTGCACCTGCAACCATGGTCTCACACATATGTTGTGGGGTGTACCAAGATGCAATACTACCCTGTTTCTTAGCCGCCTTCTCTTATGCCGGATCCTCGATGCTGATCGCGCCACGGGGGCTTCACCATTGGTGGCGTCAGCTTCTAGTATGCACAACTGGCTCGGTCGGACGCGCGCCGCAGTTTGCATGACGCATGTCATCTGCGTCACCCGTCCCAACCCTTGTCCGGTCATTCTCAGCTTGGTTTTTTATTTCTACCTCCGAGGAGGTAGTGCGGGCTGCAGCAGCACACTGGACTTGAATATGACTGCCGCTTCCCGACCTGTCGACCGCAATGTCCACTCCTAGTACAACGTTTCGACATGTTTGTTTATTCCTCGCGGCTCCACACACCTATCCCACCTGGTCGGCTCATGAGGATTAGGAGTCATCTGCTGATACGAAAAAGGCATGTCACGTCAGCCGACCTCTAACTCCAACCCCCTCGGAATTTCACTCTATGTCTGGGGGGTGCCGTGTGCACGGCACAGGAATGTCCAAGTGGTTGCCTCGTATCTTTATCGATACGACGAGGTCATCTGCTCGTACATCACCCGCACCGCATCGTGTCCGCGGCAAATCTGGAGTCCATTTCTCTGAGTCTCGTGCTACATTACGCGTCGGGTCTTTCATGTTTGCATCATCTCTCTTTGGGTTTCTTTGCTTTTCTTTTCTGATATGATTTGGTTGCATCTGGGCACTGCAACTGCTTCTACATGGTTGTTGCATATGTTTGTCTACTTCGATGGACTGGAAGTTGTACTCTGTGTGGGCGTAAGAGTATGTGGGTGTGTGGGCCCTGGTGATTGGCGGTTTGTGACGGCGAATGGTGTTGCGAGGACCCCGAATCTTGTACTGGAGGAAGAAGAACGTTACATGGGTGTGGCGAATCGGAGGACTTCGGGGAGCCGCTGTTTGTTTGTTTGTCTATTTGAAGGTGAAACGGACATGGATGAACGATTGGTTGGTTGGTTTGGTACTGGTAAACAGGAAAGGTTAGCATTATACCCCCCTCTTGCCTTTGCGCCCTCTTGCGAACAAGTTGTCGTCTTGGCTTGGCTGTTGCGATGCATACGGAATGGAATTATACACTACATTACACTACACGGCTGGGCTTTAGGTTGGGATAGAGAGGGGATAACTGGACTGGACCGGTTGAGTCTTGGGGGTTTGATCGCATGGGATGGAAGACTAGAAACAGATACAGATAGAGCTGTCGGTTTGGGGCGTTGGGATCAGACACATGTACCTTAGATAATTATAATACCCTTTTCATGGTCGGGCGATTTTGTGAACGCAAGTGAACTTCATTTGACAATCCTGATTTGCGTTGTGGGGGGAAAAGAGGAAAAGGGATATATTGGTCTGTATTGTACGAATGTTTACTCCCTTCTCTTCCCTTCATTTTACGTACCAAACTAGCCACGATAACCCTGTCAGGACAGATTGTCGTCGAAATAAGCTCAACACTTTCAAGGGTGAACCGAGCTGTGACATGACTGCGTAAATAGCAAAGTTTACGTGAGCGCCACTTAACTCCGCATTCGCCTTTCCGCGCTCCACACATATCGCAAACTCTGGACAGATACTCCCGTCTGCTCTCATCGACCTGCTCACCGCAACTCGTCATTGTCTTGAACCAACTTTGAAAAGCAACCCAAGTTCGACCCAATACGCCCGCGTAACTACTCCACCGACCTATCAACTAACTCTCCTTTAACGAATCATACTCTATCAGGAACTTCATCATTCCTCTACCATGAAAATGGCAGGACAAACCAATCCTACCAAGCCTAAAGCTATCGACATCGGCTGCTTCGATCGAGACCAATGGCGGTGGTACGCTGTCTTTTTCGTGTTGGGAGCCTCTATGATGTGGATGGCGTTTGTGATTCAGGAGAATTTGAGATGGAGGCGGAAGTTGAAGGAGGGTGATGAGTCTCGGGGTAGCATTTCAGCATGATTGGAGATGATATGCGATGGAATGATGATGAGTCTATTGGGAGTTGGTGCAAGGGGCAGTACAATGTCCACAGCTTTCAAGCCTACATATGTTCCATCTATCTACTCAAGCCAGCAGAAATCCTGATAGAACTGACTTTGAAAATTTGATAAGATCGGGTTAAACTTGCCATTAATATGCCGCGAGTTGGATATTCTAGGTATAATAGAGGAGTTGTGTTGCAGATTCCATGCAAGACTCGGTCAATTTATGAGATGTGGCTCCTCAGTTGTGCCGTTTGAATGGGTATAAAATCAAGACTTAGTAAAGAATCGGCTACGAACCAGGATAGAGATGATAACGTTGGAAACAAACAGCCCATATGCCAGATAAACACCTAATAAACAAGGGTCTCGTATCTTTTCCTTTCTTCGTGCCTTCCGACTTTCCATTTTCCCTTGTTATTGATTCCGATACGTCTCACTCCCCACCCAACAACACGACTCCCTCAAAGTATGTCACATTCCCAGTAACCGTCTTGGTCCGGTAAAACGCGAACTCATGCGCCGCAGGGTCTGCTGGGCTGTACGCTGGCGCAGCCAAGCCGCCGCTAAACAGGGAGATAAGCCATAGGATTAACCAGATGATCGTGGCCGCGATGCCTCCAAGCAGGAGGAAGAAAGGCGCACTGGGAGGGATCTTCCCTTGGCATATATTGTGCAGGTGCTCTTTCCAGGTGAGCTTCTTCATTTCGTCTTCGTCTCCGTCTGGATCCTCTGTTAGGTCCTCGACTTTATCCTCAGTTGAACCTCGAGAGGATGGAGAAGATTGACGTCTCTGCCTTGGGAGAAGATCCTCGACTTTGATTTTGGTATCAGCTAGTGGCGCTAGCTCTTGGTGTTCTAGGTCCCGAGTCGAATCGTCAGTTGAATTGTGTGCGAAGGGGAAAGACAACTCCGGGCGACGTTCCTCTTCAACGCTAGTATAGGAATCGGCAATTGAATTTAGGTCAGTGTGTGCTGAGTTCCGAGTTGAGTCTGTCGCCTCTGAGCCAGCGCCGTCCAAGTAGAGACCTTCTGAGGCAGCTTCTGAGGCAATGTTTGCCGAGGAAATATGTTCCGAGACAAGGTTTTCTCCCGAGAAAAGATCTACCCTGAGCTTTGCATCACGCTCCATGTCCGATGGTGATAAAGGTCGGCTGTTTTTGTTTTCCGTTTCGACATGGGCCGTTTCCGGTTCTTCCAGTTCCGAGCTTTCATTGTCTTTGTTATCTTCACTGAAAATATCTGTCTTTGTGATCTCTTCGTCAGCTTCCGAATCCGTACTCTCATTATCTAGCATTTCGTCATCGTCCATTTCCGACTCTTCGCTCTCTTCGTTCAGTATTTCGTCGTCATCATCGACTTCTGACTCCTCAATTTCTTCATTTTGTGATTCGTCATCGGCCAAATCCGGCTGCTCAATCTCTTGTTCGTCCTGTGCCCCTATTGTGGCCATTTCCGGTTGAGTTTCGTCTTCATTGTTAACTTCGACCTTGGCCATTTCTGTCACTGAGTTCTCCTCAGTCGGAATTTCGAGATTGTTAGTTGTGAGGTCAGGACTCGCTTCAGCGGGGGGTTCGAAATTGATCGGTTTTGATTTAGGACTAAGTTTCCTTGCTATCTTCGTAAAGAAAGTCGATTTAGGGGTCTCTTTGGCCGAAATTCCGTCATATTCCGTCGGTTTGTAATCCTCTTTAGTTGTACCTTCGATAGTTGCCGTAGGCTGGGGGCTTTCGTTAGTCGGACCTTCATTATTATCCATGATTTTGGTTTCATCTCCAGCTGTAACCTCGATGTTGGTCACCGATTTGGGGCTCTCGTGGGACTTAGTTTTCAAACCAGACGTGCTGCGTTGAATCTCCTGAGTGGCACTTTCTTCAGTCGGTGTTGCGATATAGGACATCATCTTGAAGCTCTCCTCAGGGATGATTTTGATATTGGCCGTTTGTTTCGGACTCTCTTCGTCATAACTGGTTTTCACCTGCGACTCCGGTTTGTGGCTCCCATTGGCTAGAGTGCCGACGTTGGCCTTTCCACGTTGAGGTTCATGTTTGGGGCTCGTATCAATTAAACCTTCCATTTTGGCCTTCTCAAGTCGAGATTCTGGTTTGGGCCTCTCCTTAGTCTGAACTTGAATATCGTCTGTTTTTGATGCAAAATGAAGTTTTAAACTCGAAATCTCAATACTGTCCATGGAAGGTCGAGGTCCGAAGTGAAAGCTCTCTCTGGTCGAAGCCTTGCCATCATCTACTCTTGGTTTGTGACACTCTTTGGCTTTCATCTTGAGCTTGCCCCTTGTTGTATACCCTGTCTCGTCATTCGCATTAACTGGCTCTCGTCTCTGGGTCTCAGGAATCGCCTTGCCCTGTTCCTGTCTTTTACCGTCTCTGGCCTTACTATGCTGAGGAGTTGGAGGTAGCTCTAGAGGTTTTCTACTCCGTTGAATGGGATCCTGCACGTTACTTTTCTTGGGTTCTGATTCTTGGTGCCCACCGAGGTTGTCTGCCGGTCTTCTGTTGTCCACGATCGACCTTTGTCCAGATGTCTCACTTGGTAAAGGAGGCTGATGCGTTCTGTTGCTTGCGATTGAGCCTGTACTCTCCCCGTCCTGAATCTGGGTACTTGTCTTCTTCGTCGGCGCTGAAAATTGAGGTAGCGAATTCCTTCTTAATGGAGATTCCCTGGCTGATGTGGTCAATGGTGTCTGGGGTTGGCTATCGGGGTGAATCCTTCTTTGTGCTAAGAGTAAAGGTGGCACTTGATGTCTGAGTGGCGATTCCGTTATCTCTCCGTCCTGGTTAACGGTATGCCCGCCTCTCATCGCGTCTGCTCCACTTTGCACTTGAAGTGACGGTAGATAATGTTTTGCCGGTTCTCGCACCCCCGGGCCATGAACTGTTGGGGCATCAGGCCTTCTTGATGGTCGAGGTGGAGGCGCCAACATTGTTGATTCCGCCCTTACTAGTACTGGGCCCTCAGTTTTATCGTTACCTAAATCCGATTTGATATTCATACCGTAGCCGGCACGATAGTATTCTCCAACCAAAGTTTGGAGCCCGATCCTTCCAGGTAGTTTTGAGCTGTCAGTCTGACTATCCTTCATATCCGCTTGCATCCCCGGATTAAAGCCAGGTCGAAGGCTGCCTCTGAGCGGATCATGGCCTTCAACCCTCCTTCGTTCTCCGCTATTAGACAGACTTTGTGGGTTTGGCAAATCGAAATAATCACGAATATCGACGTCGGTCCTATTCGAGTCCGGGCTATGAAGCTCATGATCGCGAGTCGCAGACTCGGCGTTCAAGTTAGAGTTGCCTTCAGTAACATTTCGGGCCAGATTTCTGGGATCCATCTCTATATGCTCAGGAATCTTGGGGCTATGGCAGCGTTCGTCCGAATCCCTGTTCGTTCGAAGATCGGCATCAGTAGTATATCTTGCCGCACGATGGCGATGATCGATCCTCTCTTCTCCTAGGGTCTGAGGCTCATCACGGCGAGTCTCCTGACCCATACACGAACTAGGACTGGCTTGATCAGTGTCCCTGGTCGACAGATTTCCCACTCGTCTAAGGCACCTTGGGGATCGTCCGTGGCACGTTGGTGAGTGGATGCCTTGGGTGGCTTGGCTAGTGGTTATGCTCGGAAGATTGGGATCCACCCTTCCTGGTCTTCGAGTCGGAGGCTCAATCTCGCCTACTACCGCTTCAGCTGTCAAATTTGATACCCTTATTTCCTGCTTGCGCGTGCTTGATTTGCGTCGTGACCCAGATCTTCCCGCAAACCACGCATGTTGCGCGACTTTGTGTGAAGGAATTCTTGCTGCCTCTTTGTATCTGAGCATATTTGTGAAGAAGTCGACAAGTAAGTTGACCTCCTCTTTTGCATCCTTACCAACACCCTCCAATTTAAGTGTCTGGTCCACCTGCATATACATCACACTGAAGCCCGGGCCGAAAGAGCATTCTCTCGCAATTTGTTCAACTTTCCGATCGATCTCGTTTTGTTCCAGCTTCAGGGGATAGTGAGAGATATCATGTGTTGTGACGAGGGCGGCGTGGAGGAACTCCCGACCCTCAGCGGTTTTGGTCGTCCGCTTTCCATCTTTGAATACGAATTTGGTTTTGCTATACATTTTCGGCAGGGGTTCTTGCAGGAGTTCCTGGAGGCGAGAGATAAACCCAAAGTGGGTTCTATCGAGTAGCGGATGCGTGAGCATAAGGCTGCCGACCATACAGGCAAACGACCAAAAGTCTGCCCGCGAACCCGCACGGCACAGGAAGTAACACTCGGGCGATGCGTATCCAACGGGGGGCATTCGTTCCTGGTAGGCCTTTCCTGTGTCTTTATCGAGGAAACAAACGTTGCTGAAGTCGGTGATGGCAACTTTATCCTTGATTGCGAACCGTGAGAGATCGATACCTTGAAGCAGATAACGGGGCTTTCGGCCTTGTCGGTCTGGCTCGCCAACATCACGATTCTTTTCCGGCGTTCCGATCCTTTCTCTCATTCGCTCTTCGCTCAAGGTGTCAATATCTTCGTCCAATTGCATCAGTATGCTAGCCTCTCTAATATCATTGTGGCAGATATGGCAACTGCGAAGAAACGCAATTCCCTTGGCCACCTGAAAAAGTAATTCCTTGGCAAGGGGCAAATTATTCGTCTTTTCAATAGCATAGCGTATCGAAGGTCCCAAAAGGGGCATTGTCAAGCACAAATGCCTACCGTTGGGGCCTTCGATCCAGAAGTGGTTGGTTGGAGTGACGACGTGGGTTTTTCGGGTGTCCATGTCTTTGAGCTCTATGAGGGCGCGTAGCTCCGGTGGATATTGCTTTTTCGCTATGCCCCTCAACTTCCTCAACCTGGAGTCGCGCGCGCTTACGACTTTCACGGCGCACCACACATTATCTAGGGCGTTGCGGCATAACCACACAGTGCTCGTGGTTCCATGCCCGATTTTGTCAAAGACGAGGAGTTCTGGGTCCGTGGGTTGCTCTCCGCGAAGCGTGTCTCCGATGTGCAGTGGGTGGAAGCCCCTATCTCTGTACATGTCTATACTTTCGGTGTCTCCGAATCTGAAATATTCAGGGGCCCTGGAACCAGCGCGTCCTGGCTTCTGGACACTGTAACGTGACATATTGGTGACCTGTAACCGGAGGTTTGCCTTGACTACCCGTGCAACTCGTCCGGGTCTTGGTCGAGCGGTAAGGGCTTGGTTGAGAGATAAGTTCAATATTCTGCTCGCAAAGGCGGTTCAATCTTTTCATGCTGAGTAGATAAAAACGGTCTGGTGCCAGCAAGAGGCCTTTGTCTCATAATGACGAAACTTGCCTATTTTAATCGACCCTACTGCAGCACAATGGAAACGGCAACTAATACGACTGAAAACGGTATTTTGTGTAGGATTCCGATTTGCTGGCATTTTCAGTACATCATTGTTTGGGTTGTACAAGTATAAAAACGGCCTACGGGGACCCCAGTAAATACATACGTGTCGGACTTCCGGCTCTTCAACCTTAATACTGGCATAGCCGCTAGCATGCTGAAACGTCATTAGGGTTGGACCTTCATTAACATCTCTTGAGTCAGTATCTCTCGAATAGGGACCGCTTATCGCTACTATTTTAATTAGATGCCTCTCTTTTGGTATAGCTGGGGTCCAACAACACACGTGCCTGCCCCAACACCTGAGGCCACTAAGTTTCCGCGGTTTGCCATTATTTTTTGTTATTTTAATGTCGGCATGGTTGTTTTGAGTCGCTAAAATTGTCTAACGTGTCCAGTACGGGGACGATTGTTAGTGTACTGCAAAATCAAATGACCACTGTTGCTCAACATGAACATATACTTATCACAACAATGCCACGTAGTATGAGAACTCATGTCCATGCTAAGCGGATTGGGAGTTGTAATCTGCTGAGTAATGGAAATAGTATCATGCGTTATTAGGTTACCGGCCAGTGATGATTTACCTCATGTCAAATTAGTTCCAATAGTCCATGGCGAGACTAAGCAAATACTGTTGTGGCGTGCCCTAGTCACACCGACTGTTGTGCATGGTACAACAGCCATTGGACCAACTGCCCATAGGTATGCATAGCTGCAGATTTCTACTGTTAGTCCCATAATCATCACCAATACAGCTCTCATGCCAAGATTATAAGTTGTCATGTGCGTGCAAAACTTCAACACCAGAAAACACTCACCTAGCTACATAGTATAGATTATGGACGACGCCTCACGCGGTAGTTCCGTACTCAAAACAGATTATGTACAGAGTCATCTTCATCAAGATTGGACACCTTATCATGTGGCGCGTGTGTAGCCACAGCTAAGCTAGAGGTGGTGCTAGACTTAGCACTAGATTAGATTAGTTTTACTCAACACAACTCTACATCTCACTGTGCGCCCCAACATATCTTATGTTGCCCTCGTGCTCAGGGGTAACAACTCGCTCAAACTCGAACAAGAGAAATGGTATCAGGTTCAAAAAAAGTCGTAATCCCGGGTTCCAGCAATGATAATTACTGAACTTGATTTATACCAGTAGGAAATGGCATCTATTTGAAGCTGTCTCTATACACCTCTGTATCACACGTAGAATGAAGGTGGCCATCAGGGCTTTAAGTACAGAACCATTGGCGGTCCAACCCTATTAAGGTTTTTCAAACCCGCCACGGAAGTCCGACAAAAATCAAGCGCCCTCATGTGACGTTCAAATATTGTCGTGGTGTATGAAGTGCGGTACAATCTTGGTCAGGCGCACGGGAAGTGCCAATGAAGCCATGTCGCAGTACCAGAATCAGTAGACAAAAAATGAGTTTCATGCACCATCGCCCCGACAGATGTTCTAACTGCTCTCGCCATCACTTGCCAAACATGGCTGGGAAGGGCCAGTGCCCTCCAACGCATCTAAAATACTGGCTGCTGCTGAAGAGTTTGGTCTGGTCTATATGATTTCTTCATCGTTCTCTCCATGGTGCGCCAAGCTCAAATCTCAACGCCGTGCCAGATTTTCCTCACGAGTCCCAGGCCGTCGCCTTGATCACAGGAATCAGTCTGATCAAGATCCTAGTCCATTTGGTGCTGGGAAAGCAGTATAAACGTTCTTTCAAGTTCATCATATGTGCTAGATAACCCCAAGTGTAACCTATTTATTCCTAGTTTGCTTCTGAATCTCGAAATGCCGGCTTCATCGTCGTCTTCACCATTATCAGGGGAGGACCCCTGATCTTGGAATGCGATTAATTTCCTAGATTTAGGTGTGGAGAAAACATACAAACCCAATTATATTTCGCGAAATGTTTCCAAAACTACAGGGGTACTAAATGGGTGTAAGTTTTCCAAATACTTACATGGGATCGGCTTCTGACGATTAGCAGCCATCAACATTCTTACCGATCTCATTTTCGTTTTACTGCTAATTACCCTTGGACTTGTACTCAAGCATGAAATGCATACTTGTCTGTATTCTTAGTCTTGGTGAACTGTAAGCATTTAGGGAACCTCTGCGACCAAGTCGTTCTCATCCAACAGTGCTGCCGCCACTGGAATCGTCCGAGAGATTAAGGGGCACAAGTACCTGGCGGGAGAATTCACGTGGTGAATGTCTATCCATCACGTTTCATTATGGGGATCTGCTGATACTTAACTAGCCTGTCGGAACAGGGGATACGAATTCTACCTCTGGAACACCTGGATTCCTTCATCTTCCTCAGACCCTAGAGAAGACGCCTAACTAACGGCGAACACATAGAGCCTAGCGCCATTCCAAAATGTTCGCCGCATCACTCCTATCCTTACGGCCGTTGTTTCGCAAAATTCGCAACAGCTCCGGTCCACCATTCGACATTGCCGCAAGGCGAGGCCCGCGGCTCTCAATACGGAGTCAAGAACGAAGGCACACACAGTACAGGACGCAGAGTGGCTATCGCAGATAGCAGGAAATCGAATTGGAAGACCGGTAGACCACTGGAACGAAGACGTAATCTGCTGTAGACGAGGAGCGGCAGGAGGAAATGGTTCGTTGAACGAACATCCCGGGGCTTCGAAAACAAGTGATACACCCTGCTTCACAGGAGAGATTAGTTCGATTGAGGAAGTTTGACCAGGAGAATTATAACGTAAATCTAAAGTTAGGATATTGGTTAGTAAAGCAGAAATAAAACATCATATTTTGGGATAAGAAACTCAATGCAATGACTGAACATAACGATATTTACAGAGACGGGCTGCCTCCATTATCCCAGCAGTAGAGTTAAACCTTTTACTTGATGATACACCATCAGTGGATAAGTTCATAATTCGAAACCTGTTCTACCGAGACCAAAATTCGAGTGACTTCAGCTTGATCATCAATTAATCTGATCCCTGGCCCCAACACCTCAAGCTCAAAGACATCCTCCCATCTAAACACTTACCCTCTCGATATTTACTCACCTGAAATTTAACTAACCAATACGACAGCAACGGCAGGCCTTTCCTCGAGGTAGTCTCGCTCGAGGTGCTCGGCACAAATCCCAGTGAGCCCCAGAAGTAGTCCCATAGCGCCCACACCGACGACAGAGATCGCGAGCTGCTGGCCACGACTCTCGTTGACGTCGTTGACTCTTTGAAGAGTAGCTACTTGCGTAAGATGGGGAGTTTGACACTAGTCCATATTCACGACTGTCAAGCATGCCATCTTCCTTGCTCCTTCATATGGCATTGCGGTTTTACTTCATCCCAGTGTTGATCCTGTGTGATTACATCACCAACACGTCTGGTCTGAACATCCTGGAAGTGGGACATTCTTACAGGATGTTGGTGATTAGGAGCGCGCGTGCTTGGACCCAAGGAAGCTCGTGCTTGTGGCTGCATCTTCTAAGCATGAGATCGGACTGGAATTGAACTAGGGATACCAATGATCTGGTACGGCATGGGATTGATTTTCTAGGGCAGTTGCCCCATATGCGAGGATATGCGGAAGACATGGATGCATAGCACGAGCTGGGAAATTATATAGTCATTGGAACAATAAACCAACAACTATTATAGTGGAGCAAGTATTTCCAACTAAGTAGCCTTAGTCGCTAAATTCTACTTAGAATTCAAGTTCCACCTGGATATCGTCGCACGAGTTGAACCTCCAGGTCATTCTCGGAGTGGTGAACACAGAGAAAATACGCCCTGATTGACAACCGGACTACTGAAAACAGTTTTGAGAATCGCTAGAAAACGCAGACAGATAAACATCACCTCCAAACTATCAAGACCAAACGCCAGCAGCTGTGTAATCCAAAAATGCACTCAACACCCGACACAGAACCCAAAAGCCCCATCAAACACGTCAATAGCCTCCGAATCCACGCCCCCACGCATAGCTTTCAGCGTGCCAATCGTGGGCACCTTATTGTCGGCATAAAACGTGAGCAAGTTGATCATGTCCTCCTCGCTCAGCCCACACATATCATCCCAGCTATAGCTGTCACTAACCCTACTCATCCACTTCATCCTCTTGGGCCCCTGTTCAATCTCAGGCGCTTGCTCCCTCAACTTGGCCCTCAGAATCCCAATCCGCTCAATTGCGTTGCCCACGCCCTTGGGCAACTGCCCTGCAATGAATTTGCGTATCGCTGCCGCGAGACGGGGCCCCTTCCCGTTGGTCGACACCATGATCTGCAGGGGTCCATCGCGGTGCACGCTGCCGAAGTAGAAATCGCACTCCGGGGGCACGTCGGCGATGTTGGCGGGGATGCGCAGCTTCTTGCATAGCTTCCAGATCTGACTTGACGCGGCCGGGTCGTCGATGGCGACCAGCACCATGTCCGGGGCGCCGGTGGTGAGGGGGACCGTGGGGAGATTGATGAGTTCGAGATCCGTGGGCTCGAAGACACGGTCGACGTGGGCTACTTGCTTTTGTGTGACACGGTGCCGGACTTCGGGGTTGAGGCCGGAGGAAGGGCAGATTACGGTTACGAGGGCATCGGCGTTGAGGAGGTTGAGGATGCGGCCGGCTGCTACCTGAATAGGGCTATGTTAGACTATTTCTCATTGCCATACAAAGTGATCGGTCCTGTGGAACGAAAGACTTACCTCGCCGCCTCCAACCACAAGCACATGCCTTCCCTTGACCTGCCAGGCGAGGATCAAGCTGCCGCCACCCTGGACTTCGGGGAACTTTCCGGCCATTTCGCCCAATTCGGATCTCTTTCTCGAAGATATATCAACCAGCCCCAAGAGACACTGAAGACGTTAAGAATGGAAGCTCACTAAGAAGAATGGCGCGAATGTCCATGGTGTGTGTTTCTTCTAAAGAGCCACATGGCCGGCATGTCAGAGATCCAATGACAGCATCAATCCTTTTTTTTAATTGGAAATACCCTTCTCTCAACGGCGAATCCTGGTCCTCGATAGGGCGTTTCCGTAGTGGGGAGCGAGCCGATAGGGCGGGCACCCTGACACTGCGGGGCCCGTCAACCCACTAAGACTGGATGATAGTGCAGAACTTTGGGGGCGGTCGCCAGGCTAGCAAAGATGACAACCACACCGCATCCATTGGAAGTCGAGCGCTAACGACCAACTATTGAACCCGACGTCCGGGCTCGACCTGAATCAACTGCATGTACAGTGCAGCCTGTCAGCCTCATAGCCCACCCAGCTCGCCACACAACGCACCCCTCGTTGCCTCATCACCCGCAGCATCCAAATCAAGCTGTGCTGCATGAACATTCAACGTGTTCTCCTCCTTCTTGCCTCTATGTATCTGGCCAATCCTGTCTTGACTCTTCTGGTAGATTGACCGCTAGACTATGGCTCTCCTCGCCTTCCTTACTCCCACCGGCTCGAACTTCTAGGAGAGAACGCTAGCCATGTCTGGCCGCAAGCTCGGCGGCGGCCGGGTCCTAGGCAGCGGAAAGGGCCTCGTTCCACCGCAGACCGCGGCATCTGCGCACGCTGTGCAGAGAGCGATGAGTTCGTATGCGCCCTCGGATAGCACCCTCTCCCTCGGCGGAGTGTCCGGGACGTCAGCATCGCCGCAGCCGTCGAGTCCGGTGTTGATGGGAGGGCTGGTGCAGGATCAGGATCTCGCTTCGAATGTTAGTTTGGGTAGAGGAGGGCCGAGTAAGGGAGGTGCGGGGGATGCGAAGCTGGTTTGTCCGATTTGCGAGGAGGAGATGGTACGTCTAGTTCTCTCCTCTTACTTCGGCGACCATATATATACATGGGCAAGATGAGGAGGAAACTGACAATCGTTTGAATAGTTGACATTGCTCCAACTCAATCGTCACATCGACGACAACCATCAAGAGTTGCCTGATTTCCAACAAGACGAAGTCAAGACCTGGTTCGACAAGCAAGTCCTCAAAGCGAAACGCTTCCAGCCCCTTTCGCTTATCAACCAGAAACTAAAAGGCCTCGAGGTGTTCGAATCCAACGAGACACCGCTCCCGCCTGTACCCGTTAATACAGCCTCGAAAGCTACCGCTTTCCCCGATTTACCAGTCGATCCCGATGACTTGATCACACATTCACATTGGCAGCGCCAGGGGCCAAACGACCGGTGTACAGAGCCTGCATGCGGCCGCGGGCTTGGGGTCGTCAATGGGAGCATAAACTGCAGGAAATGCGGGAGGTTATTCTGCGAGGAACACACAATGTACCAGATGAAGCTATCTCGGTCAGCAGCCCACGAACCGGTGAGGGGGTACTGGGTTCGGGTGTGCGAGACGTGCTATAAAAGCAGGGAAGGATACAATGACCACAATGGACACGAACGGGACCACACAGCCGCATTCACGGCGATGAGAAGGAAGAGGGTCGAAAGGCAGACATTAGAAATTTCGAGGCTGGAGAAGAGATTAACAAAGCTTACGCAACTATTGGCAGATCCGCCGCCTGATGTGGTCGTCAATGGCAGCGGCGGAGGAGCAGGGAGCCTGTTGTCACTGGCAGGACAGAACTTCAAGAATCAGCGCAAGGCTATCGAGCAAAGCGTAGTGACATGGGAGGATGATGCCGCCGTGGCTAAATGCCCATTCTGTCACCAAGACTTCGGCTCGTGGACGTTCAGGAGACACCATTGCCGGATATGCGGACGGGTGGTTTGTGCCGATCCACAGACTGGATGCTCATCTGAAGTTGGGCTCAATATTGCGAATCCCACGGCGGCAACAGCAATACCCTCATCAGAGAAGCCGGGCGATGTAAGCAGGGATTCCATCAGCGTCGACATTCGAATGTGTCGAGATTGCAAATTCACCATTTTCGCCAAACGTGACTTTATGGAGAGCATAGTGCACAAACCGCCGGATCAGAGGGCCTACGAAACATTGCGTCAATTCCAGCGCGGCATCACACAACTATTACCCAGTTTCCAACGGGCTTTACTGCCATTGCAGGACGAGGACGCACCGCCCAGCCATGCGCAAATTCAAGAGGCATCCAAGCTGCGGAAGAGACTGACGGACAGTTTCACGAAATACGACATTGCTGCCAAACGCATACGCGACATGAAAACCACAAACCCAGCACAGCAGAAACTGCAAAAGGCTATCTACCAAGCCGCCAGCTCTTTCCTGCACATGCACATGCTTCCGCTGAAGAACCTACCGCATATGCTCAAAAAGCACCCCTCAAGCTCCTCCGCATCCGGCTCCCGGCGGTTGTTCCTCCCTAACGGCCACCCTGGTGCCAGCCCCTTGCGGCAAAATAGCGACTTGGAAACAATGAGCACAGCCAGCGAGACAAGCACGGTTGTGTCGGCGCTCGAGACGGAGGAGAAGGATTTGAGAGAAAGGTTAGTTGTGCTCGAGGAGCAGAAACACATGGTCCAGGCTATGATTGCCTCCTCACAGGGGCAGAAGAGGTTTGAGGAGGTGGGCGCGTTGACGAGGAATGTGGAGGAGTTGAATGGGGAGATTGAAAGGATTAGGAGGGAGGTTGTGGGAGTTGAGGAGAGGTGGGAAGGGCTGTATGCTAATGGAGGGGCGGGGGTTTTGTGAGTTGTGAGTTGGAAGGAGAAAATAAATAAAGAACATTGAAATGAAGGACGGGAAACAGATTCCAAGAGATTGAAGATTGGTGAAGCAGTTGCATTGCCAGGCGTTAGGGATAGGGGGCGTTCAATGTTAGTGTCTACCGGCGTCATGCTATGTTAAGACGGAAGGCCTGCGTACAGGTGACGACTATGGAGTACCGCAATTACATGTAGAGCTCGACAGAGATGAGAATTATAGCTCGATTATTTGATTCGAAGCATGAAAGCCTGCTTAATTGAGTCTCTTTTCTCAACATAAGTTCGTGGCGTGGCTGCTCGATCATTCTCTCCTTCCTTGGTTTGCTACCCCGGAGCCCCAGGCAATGTCGAATGCTATGTATAATCTTACATATGACCTCACCTTCTCCCATTGTATGATGTGGTCAAATGCACCTTGGCCGTTTGAGCCCCCCGACTCACAGCCCAAAACGGTAAGATTCGATCGAACCCCCTCTTTCAGTAGTTTACAGGGGCCTCTTAGGCGACTTCAACAGCGCCGACTCTAAATAGCGTCTCCGCATATCCGTCTTCTCGGGCCTTAGCTTGACGAGCTGATTCGTAAAGGTGAAAAGACCCGAGTGCGCCGGCATGTAGAGATCGCCCCATCGGTCCTCCCAGCAAATTGGCTGCCCCTTGTCCTTCTCCGCAATTTTCTCTACGCTTTCTCCTTTTGCGTCTGCGTATGCGTTACCGTCGCAAAGCCCAGTATCGCTCTGATCCTGGTTCTGGGTTTTGGTTTTGTTCGTCGTAGCAACAACACCATGAGGGGCCGATCGGGTACCAGACCCAGAACCAGAAGTAGAAGAAGAAACTCCGTCCATCATCGGCGCCCTAGAATCAACCATCGTATCCCGCTCACACATAAAGAGGACCACAGTCTTATCGACCGGGACCTGACACCGCACCGTCGCCTCGTTGATCAACATCAACCGCACGCCGTCCACCGAAAGGATTTCATGGGTAGCCCTCGCCACGCAAAGACAGAACCGGTCCTCACGGATGCCAAACTGCACGGCCGGCTCATGGAATTCCGGGTCGTAAGACCACCCCTGGTTGACCTCGGCTTCGTCGTCGTCACCCCTGCCGCCGCCCGAGGATTCCTCAAAAGGTAGATTGAAGCTGCAATTCTCGAGCGCGAAGACAATCATGTCGTCGGTGGAGAGCAGATTGATTGAACGGGTGATGCGGTGGGTGTAGACTCCTGGTTTGACGTCACGGTTCGAGAACGGGGTTAACGAGCGCAGTTGGCCGTCGCCTGCGCGGATGCAGAGGTTCAAGTCCTGGTTAGGATCAGGGAGGACCAAGGGCAGAGTGAGGACCTTGTCTGGGGGGATTACGCAGATTTGCCGAGCCTCACGACACGTTTGCCGCAACGCGAGCCGGGTTTGCCAGGCGGAAGGGTCGTAGGTTGAGACTTCGGCGTCCGAGTCGGAGGGGTCTAGACGGCGCGAGTCGAGGTAGAGGTGGGGCGGGGAGACGCTGCGGTTGCAGCCTACGTGGGAGTTGGGGAAGGCATGGACGTTGAAGAAGTTGATGTTGGGTGAATAAAAGGCTAGGAGGAAGACTTGGTGTCGCAGTTCGGGGGCAGAGCGGAGAATTGGGGGAACGGGGGAGAGGGGGGGTCGGGGGTTGCTGAGTGAGAGGAAGAAGGGGTTGAGATTAGTGGCATGGTGTTGGTAGGAAAGGTGCAGGAGTTGTTATTGCATAGAATCGACGATCAGTTCGTCAAAGTTGCTATTCTCGAAGGAGTTGGGCGATGGTCACCATGTGAAGTATATGATATAATGACAACCTCTGAGAAAAGATCGTGAATGCGATCGGGACAAGGAGATATCAAAATTGATCCTGGGAAGTTTGCAGAAAGGCGAGCTACTCGATTGAGAATCATGGAAAAAATTCGATCTCATCAAGTGGCCTCGATAGCCATGAGATCTTGAGACCCGTATCACTGGCTTCTTGGTTGGCCCGTTGTTGTGGAGGTTGAAGTACCCTGCATTCCCGTGAATGGCGGGGATGGAGCTTATTGATTGCGGGAGCTGCACACCTTGCAGTCGCGGGGCAGCTGCAGCAACAAGTCTTGGCAATATCAAGGTACATTGCTCTGGAAGACCATAATAAAAGAACCATCACAAGAAGCCCGGCAGTAAAGCTATGAATCTGAGCGCCGCGCAACACCTGGCATCTAGTTACGTGCCGCAACCCATTGCCGATCCGGGAATCTGAGCATTCCAGCGATTGGACCGTACGATTGCCCAAAACGACGCGTCGCATCGATCGCCTCCATTATCTCATCCGCCAAAGCTCTCATCTCACTTCAAATCTCAACAAGCACCGTCGCGCACAATGTCCAAACGCAAACGCACCCAACCCACCCCTGAAGCAGAGCCTGTGGACCTCTCTGAATCGCCCCAGTCACCAGGTCCCTCAATCTTCAACACAACATTCTCCATCTACCGCGTCTCACCCCTCTACATCGGCGCCAGTCCCCTGGACGCCTCTCGCCTGAAGATCCTCAGCAAGCGTCTGCGCGAAACACTCGTCGGCGACGTGGTTCGCGGTGTTCACATCGGACTCTCGGAGGAAAATCTGAATTCCCATGTAGGCGCGCTGAAGGACGTCGTGTGGCGATGGGTTGGCGCGAGAGGCTTGATGAAGAGGCGGGGTGGACATGCTGGGAGGGAGGGGAGCGCGGAGTTGGGTGCTTCTGACGGCGATTCGGATCGAGATTCAGATGAAGAGGGCGAGGACGATGGTGTCAAGAAGGAAGCGCTTGTCATTGAATTGCGGTACGAAACAACGACGTGCACGGCTATTCTACTTCCGAGGCTGGCGCCGACTGAGACGACGGGGCAGGGTCAGAATCAGAATCAGCAGTGGACTTCATTTCCCACAACAGGAATACGGCAAACTACAGCAAATTTCCAGGCGAATCCGGACTCATTCACGCATCTACCGCTCCTTCTACTCCGCATGCCCGCGCCCCTCAAGTCCATCATCGCCGACTTCATAAGCCGCACCTTCGACTGCCGCATCAGCAGCCTGCGGCTGGGCACCCGGACGTTAGTTGCGTGTCTGGAGGACTACCTCAAACGGCTTTCACAAGCCTCGCAGTCTAAGAGCGGGAAAGATGTCAACCTCACACTAGGGTTCGATATTGAGAAGACCAGCCGTTCCTCGCAAGCGGACGGAAAGAGGAATGAAGAGGGCGGAGGAGCAGCAGCGACGGAGCCAGCGCTACAACCTGGGCTACGGACGATGGACGTCTACATCCCCGCCCCCGAAATCCTCCGCTTCATCCGGGCTCACTCTTCCAACTCCCGTTCCAAACCAGCGCGTCCTCCCCAAACCCAAACCTCCCACCCTCCACGCTCAATTCCAGCAACCGAAGAAGGCTGGCACTGGCGCAACTCACCAGAAACCAGCACCAAGGACGCCCCGTTCACCGAGGCAGTAGCGCAGTACCTAGACCACCACCTGGCGCTGGACTTGTTCCACCCTTCGGTGCGCATACTCCGCGTGGCGTGTGATGGGTTTGTGGCCGGTGGGGGTAGGGTGAAGGTCTTTGAGCAGATGGGAAATGAAGTGGATGCGGTTCGTGGGTTGCTTGGCAGGTTGGTGGATAGGGCGAGTGGCGGGGGATTTGCTTGAGGAGAAGCAGGAGTGTGAGGAACGAGGTGAGAGGGAGACGATGTTTGCATGGAGTTGCAGGGGAATGGACTTGGTTGGCTTTTTGTGCCGTTCATAGGGATGAATTTCGTCGAGCTGGTTAGGATACAATTCCGTCTCTCTCAACGTTTTGGCTTGGGCTTATCCGGAGTTGGAGGGGTTGTGAATATTCGAGGTGGACATGGGTGAGATAAATATCTAGGCGTATGTGAGGCGACATGCGCATGATGGAATATAACTACGGGCGAAGAGTTACTCCCAACTGGAATAGTACTCATTTCGAAAGCTATCACATTCAAAATCAAGGGCGAGCAATGAATAGAGCAATGATATATACCGCAAGGCCCTCCCGGCAAAATTCGGCCCCAATATAAACAGTCGACGACACAATCTTATCGTGTCCTCTTTCGGGCTAATCCATATACCATGCCATGCCAAAAAAGCACATCAATATGGGCGTTGGCAGCCATGCCCTCCGTCTAAACTAAACACCGGGACTGCCGAGGTTGATCCCAAAACGGCAAGGTCAAGCCAAACACGATCCAAGTCGTCCATCCGACTTCATCGCTTGCAAGCACTCAAACACCAGTGACGCCAATGCTACAGCAGTATCGCAGTATCGTCATCGCGATCAGACCTCTACGCCACCTAGAAACCTGCGTACTCTGCCGAGTTCCAGGTCGTTGCCTTCGCTTTCTACTGCCCTTAACAAGCCTTCGAGTAGGCCATCTACCTCTTTCTCGGGAACGCCTGTGCATAATGCTACGACGCGGCGGTACTTGAGTTCGTCCTCTTTGCTCCTACCCTGCAATGCGCCGACGGCCCTTCGGGCCATCACGGTCTGGGACCTGAGGGCCTGTTTCCGTGATCGCAAAAGAATTTTCGTTTCTGACGAAACAGGGGTATTGGGGTTGTTGAGAAGCTCTGATTCCCATGAGGTATTGGTGTTAGGATCGAATTTGTGTGCGTTGGATTGTTGAGCCACTCGCAGACGATTTTGCTCCTCGTCACGCCCGCGGCTCAGATTCCATATCTTCTGGCGTGCCAGCAGCTGCGTCTTGACGACAGTCTGTAGGGAATCCAGTGTCCTCTTGGCATCACCCAGTTGGGTCGATGTCGTGCGTAAAGATGCGTGCAGCGAGTCGAGGTCGGTTTGCTTCTTCTTGAGCTCACCCTGGAAATTCGAGCTGGTTTCGGAAAGAAGGTGAGTTATTGCTGCGGAGTATTAGTGCCTTGCCCGCCCGAATCTGCTGCGCGTGACTTACACGTAATGATATCGTCGCTGCTCTGACGGCTCTGTTGGCTGTTGCCAGCGAGGCCATTCCTGTCGGCCATGGCCAAATCTCCACTGGTCCCATCTTCACCAACATCGCCGCCGACACCAAAGTCCACAGGTCGTAACCCAGCTTTGTTGGCAATACTGGGGTCCGCGCCGACTTCCAGCAGCTGAGATATGATGCTTCTGTTTCCTATCCTTGCAGCAATGTTCAGCGCCGTGTCACCCGACTTATCCTGAGCATTGACAATCTCGCTCATGAACCTGCCAAGATTAATCTTGAGCCCTGCTGCGCCGGTGTGATGACCATTCGCCGTGTTCTCGCTAGTTGGTGCACTTCCCTGTCTCACCACCCATTCAAGCAAACTCTCGAGGTAATATCTACTCGAGTGGCTACGGCCTTTTACTGCGCTTGTGACGGCAATGTGATGCAGAACTGTGCGACCTCGGTTGTCTCTGACCTCAATTGTGTTGCCAAGCACATCTAGTAGCTCGGGGAATGAAACCTGATCCGAATTGTTCGTGACAGCAGATGCGCGCATGAGCGCCGTCTCGCCGGACGCATTGACGCGGTATGGGTTTGCACCAGCTGAGATCAGTGATCGCAGGAGAGGCATGCGCGCCAGCGTCGCCGCCCAGTGAAGAGCTGTGTGACTTGATGAGTCGATCGGGCTATCCAGATCCAAGGCGGTGAGCGTTTGTAAAGCTTCTTGTTTCGAGGCATCATTGACGTTAGCATCCAAGAATAGACTCATAAGCAAGTTTCGTTTTTGCTCCGCTTCAGGAGAAGCCTCGAATGGCAATGGTTGCAGAGGCATACCATCATCGGTCGGGTGCATGTTGATACCTGCTTGAGAGTAGATGAAGGATTCATTGGGTTCTGTGGGTGAGCCAGGAAAGTTGGCAGCGTAGACATCCATAGACTGGGATGCATACCCCCCAAAACTATCAGCTGGAGTGACTACTCTTTGACGCTTCCGGGAGGGTTCGTCACCATTGAAAATGTGGGTGTTCTGTGTTGAATATGCGGAATCGGCATTCTGGCCATAGTCCGAAGTGAAGCTCTGCTGAGAGTTGCCGGGGAAGTCATCTGCGTTCTGCATTGATGACTGACGACTAAAGCTGGGCGGTCTTGTAGGACCATGGCGACCTCTCGGACCTGGCGAATCGAAACGAGCCTTGCTAATAGCAGCGACCGCGTTGGATGCGGTGCTCGAGATGTTCTTGAAGAACGTGCCAGACATACCATTGGTGCGATTGTCGTTATTGTTGTTGTTGTTGTTAACATTGTTGTACATGCGCTTCCTTTGCGCCGCCATTGCTTGTTCCTTGGTCGGTGTGTTGAAGTCTCCTTGGCCGGCGATCCCACCGTCTTGGCCCATGTCGTACGTCAAGAGAGGTCGCAGGATCTCTTCAACCCCATACTGCCGGCACACCTCGACTCCGCGCTCGAACTTGATCCATGTGCCCTGGTATTTGCCATATCCGCCCTGGACCTTCTCGTGCTCCCCGGTTTGGATTTCCTTCTCGAGAATCTTGGTGCGCTTTCCTTTGTCGACCCCGGCCACCTTTAGGATCTGTGTCGCATTCAGACAGCTGTCATTGCGACGGCGCATGACGGCGACGCCATTGACCTCCATTTCGTATACGTCTACGCCGGAATACACAGCCTGGAGAGGGGGGACGTTAATGCGACTGCTTGCTTAGTTATTTCTTTGGGGCCATTGGATAGACTAACTGAGTAGATTTGTGGGGCATTCTGGCTTCCTTGACCGTGAGGATGCGCGATCCTGGACTGCGAATCGGAGAATTGGCGATAGGTTTGTGAGGAGGGCTGGCTCATGGAAAAGGATTGCTGCGATGACGGCTGTGGCTGTGACATTTTGATGTCACCGCCAGCATCCAGGCTGCTGCTGGAAGCTGTCGCAAGTGACTGAGGTACCGATGAAGACAGTGAAGCACGATGCGAATGCGAATGTGTGGTTTGGTTGCGAGGGTGGTCGCGAGGTTGTGCTGATGTCAAGGTGGGAAGAGTCGCTGTCGAGGCCATGAGCCTTCAGTTAAATTGTTAGACACTTAGGGAGCCAATTCTGAGGTGATACAAGTAGATTTCCTGGCAATCAAGGCGACAAGAACAACGGCGCAGTAGCTCTACCCAGCAATGCCGTCAATGTGCTGCTATCGTGGCTCGAATCCGTGGGTTTGGAGACGATGGTTCAGCGTTGCGCGGCTAGAGAGGAAATTGGCCGGGTTGAAGTTCGGTCGGTTGCGGTCTTAGAAGACTCGGCGGCCCATAGTAAAATCAAAAGGGATTGTGTTGGCGGCGGTAGATGGTCGAGTTCCAACTTCAACCACTCTTTCTCATTGGAAACGTCGTATAGAGCTTGTGCGATATAGCAATTGAGAATAGCCACACAAGAGAGTGATGCGATTACCTGCTAGCTCCCTCCTGTATCCGAATGGAGGAAATCAATTAAAGGCGTGGGAGCTTGACGTGTCAGTTTCGTGTAGACCTGGAAATGAAGGGCGCAACCTACGCGAAAACTGGCGAGGGACCGGCGGGATTGCGAATTCGACGCGAAGCAGGTGCACACGCGCACGGCCCTCTTCTTAACAGATGAAGCGGGGTTATTGATGGGGTACTTCCGGTCAGGTGGAGCACTAGATGAACTTCACCGAACTTCGGGCCGTTCCAGAACTTCGACTTTGGGGACCTCCAATCCTTTGGACCTCCCAATGCTGATAGTCAACAACCGAAGCTTTAACCCAGCAAGACAAAACTGACTCGTTTGGCGTCTTTGGTTGTCCAATGACCATTCCAAAATGCCGAATTGATGAAATCATAGTTGTCTAATCGTTTGCTTCCCAACATGTTCCTAGCCTTCCTGCTCCTATGCTCTGAAAAAGATGCCTCTTCGAATTCCCCATCCCGATGCGCCTCTGCACCTCTACCGACACCTTCTCCGTGAAGCAACATATGTATCTCCCATCTGCCGGCCTTGGACTACTGATCGCATCAAGGCCCGTTTCCGCAATCCCAGGAGTCGCTTCGTCAAGGAGCCAAAGGGCGACATCAAGAAAGCACACAAGGCCCTCCGCTTCCTACGCGCGGCCAATGCTGGCCATGTCGAGCGCATGGTAATGCTGTGTTATCTCGCAACGGGGCGACATGGCAAACGCAGACGTGAACTATCGGCTTCTTACCTGGCAAAGGAACCCCCTGTGGATTCAAGCTCATTAGAGGAACTCACAACTAGCCGCAATGTCACCTCAGACAAGCAATCCCGGAGGTTGAAAGGAACAGAGAAGCGGTTTTCGCGTAACGACAATATCACCGTCGACATAGCAGAATCTCCCGACCGTTCAGACCCGGACTGGCTCGACAACTGGTCTACCGACAAAATGAAAGCGCTAGCCGAATCGCAATACGCGAACCAGCAGAACGACTGGCCGCACCAGATGCGCCGCCTCTTTGACCCTCGGAAACACCTACCGACCGAAAACTGCTGGGGCCAGCCGTTTAACCCCAAGTTGGCAAGACGAAAGTTGGCCAAACACTATGTTCAATTGCTTAAGAGTTTGATCCCACCCCTACCACAAGGCGAGTGGGATCAACTGAAGCAGCTGACACTTGGCGAGGCCGAGGCGTCCATGTTCGATATCCCCTCGAGACGACCCGTTGCAACGCCGATGTCGAGCCCGAACGGATCATCAAAACCTGACGATGGTAAGAACACGCTGTTAGACAGGCACTGGGACTGGGCGAGATACGCCACTAGGTCAATCAGGCACATAGAAGTTGGCAACTCGCGCAATAAGAGGGTCCTTTCTGGCGGAGTTGATGAGAACCCTCGCGGTCAGGGCCACCCTATCGGCGTTCGCGCCTTCAAGCCGCGGTCACTGCGCCGCAACATCTACGGCAAGGTGTGGCTAGCAAGTCCAACCATGAAGAAGCGACCAAATGGAACATGGAATATCACTTGGGGCAATGTTTCTCCAAAATTCACACAGCCGAGCAAGAATGACTTGAGTTTTTTCAAAGGGGTGACCGGTGTTGGTGCTGTGGGCAGCCAGTGTCGATGACTGGGTGATTTATACGTACGTTTCCAAACCCACCGTGATTCATCCCTAGCGGTCAATGATGCTGGGAAATACCAAGCTGTGAGCTAGCCGAGGGCCGGCATCATCCAATACTCGAGTCATTTGGAACCTTTCTCCTTTGGAATTCATCGAACCGCCTATTCGATGCTTACCAATGTTCTTGAGCTTGACCCACCAAGTACATGGAAAGTTGCTCAGAATGGCATAACCACAAACCCAAGGTTATTGGAGCACTTCCAACTTGATTGTGGGTGCAGAGCTACCCCGAAAGCGGCAGGTTGAGGGGCAGGTTGAGGGGCGGGTTGGGGAGCGGGTTGGAGAGCGAGCGGGCCTGCATGACACTATCACGATAGTGCATTTCTGCCAGGAGTAACCCCGCCAACCCACACCAAGTCATGAGAATTGCGTTTGACTTGCTTACGCATAAAATGGTTCCGATCTGGCACAAGACTTCGGCGGCATTCTTCCGACAACCCCAGAAAGGCTTGAGGTCAATGAGAGGACACAAACCCGCTGCTCCAGTATACCGCTTCTTTATACCGACGACGCAATGGCACCGGCTGCGTGCACTGTTCGACACGCACGTCAAGAAGGTGCATCTCCGTCCAGCATATACCCCCCTGACTTACACCATCTAATGCCTACCATCAGATGTACCAACCATGCTCGCTCTTATTCGCGAGCTAGCAGACTACGAGCATGAGATCGACTCAGTTGAGACGACAGAAGTCCATCTTCTCGCCACGGTGGCTTTCGCTCCCGCAGGCGTCGAGTCTACCTCCACAAGCCCCAACACGGAACCTACATCGCCCACTAAGCCTGCCCGATGCCTCTTACTCTTTAACGAAAGCAAAGAACCAGCGGGTATGGCGTTGTACTTCTACAACTATAGCACGTGGCGGGCAAAGGCAGGCATCTACTTGGAAGATTTGTACGTCAAGTTGAGCCAGCGGAAGAAGGGTTACGGCAAGAGACTGCTCGTTGAGCTCGCAAAGGAGGTCGTGGCTATGGATGGTGGTCGATTAGAGTGGAGTGTGCTCAAGTGGAACAAGCCCTCGATTGATTTTTACGAGTCGATAGGTGCCCAGACCATGAGTGAGTGGGTGGGCATGCGAGTAGATCGTGATGGGCTAACCAAATTGGCTGGTTTGTTGGACTGAGTATGGTAATCCGGGGATCTGAGTAACTGTGAGAAAAGCCAAGATTTCAAACCATATATGCTCCCAGACCACATTGTGAATCACCTGAGAGTTTGCACTGTCTACCTCGTGTAGTCTCAATATACCCGTGGCTCATGACTTCATGCGCTTTCTAATAATATCTGCGCGGGACTGGGCGATCGTGAAGTGGGACCAAATTCCAACGCACGTTACCACGACTCCTCTCGTACATGATGTCAATCCCGACCTCACGGAATCGCTCCAAGAATCCCACTGTCCTCTCCATGCAACATCCTAAACAGCGGCTCCCAAACTTGCACACTCCGTTCACTCGCCCTCCCATTGCGCAACTTCGGCTCCTCCAACTGCAATACCTTGTCCACCGTCGCCTCGACCGCCACCCCGCTTCTCTCATCTTTCTCGTCCAGAAACTCATCGTAAGCCCTCACCACCGTGGAAACAGGAGTAACAAACTCCGGAGAAACGGCCGCGATCATCTCTGGCGGGACGATAGCCGTGGCCACCACACCCGGGCACACGGCATTTATTAGTATCCCTTCTTTCAGCTTCAACACCGGCGCCACGCCCCGTACGAAGTTGAGTACTCCCGCTTTGGCGCCGTTGTACTCGGGGTACGTGAAGTGGGGGCTCACAGCCACCACGCTGCAGGTGACGACGACTTTGCCCCGAATCCATGCGTGTCCCTCATCCCCTTCTATCTTGTCTGTCGCAGAGCTGGGGTTATGCCGCATAAAATGCACAGCCAACTGGACCCCGTACAAAACACCCTTGTAGTCGATGTCGGTACAGCTCGTATCGGGCGCGGGCGGGATATCATCGACTGCATTGGAGCGAAATGGCAAAATGTACACGGATGAGCGGTCGCCGACGCCGGCATTGGCGAGGAGGGCATCGATGCGGTGCCATTTGCGGAAGACGGTCAGGAATGATGTAGATTGGGACGTGTACGAGGAGACGTCGGTTTGGAGGAAGATAGTGTTGGGGCCGAGGGTGCGAACTGGTTGGTGTGAGCTGGGTTTGGATTTGTTCGAGGGAACAGTAGTGGGTGGGGGATGAAGGAGTGGGGTAGGTACCTAGTTCCTGGCCTGCTTCGGCGTTAACATCTAGGAGGGCTACGAGCCAGTTCTTGGAGACGAGATTTTTGGCGAGGGCGGTGCCGATGCCAGACTGGTGTTGTTAGTTATAGTTGCGTGGTGGAGAGCAGCGAACCTACGGCGGCGCCGGTTACGATGGCCACTTTCTGAGCTGTGGGCGAGTCCATCTTAAACGTATAAGTTCATGAAGGGAGATATTATTTGATTAACGAGGATCTCTGGTTGATATGGACTATTGAGGAAAGGAATACTCAGTGTGTTCAGTATGTCACACTCATGTGCTTTGGGGTAAAGCAGCCTTTTGTAACTGAGACCTCACCCGTATTTGAGGGAATATTTGTGCATTGTCTGCACTGGAACAATACTCGGGAAATATATCCGAAGTATTGAATCTAGGAGTCAGACCTGAGGCTTGGGTATGCAGGGATGCATTCAGGACGTCACCATACATAGCTGCGAAGGGCCACAAAGTTGCTGGGCGGTGCAAACATGTCGTATCAAGATATTGTTATTTCGTCCTTCTAAATCACATAAGATAAGGTATAAATAAGTGCCTTCAACCTGGAAGTTTACAAGGGACGCTGCTATAAGTTGGGAGGGGGGATTTGTATAAGCCCAGACTTTGTCTAACGCCTTTCTGAGGTAAAGGTTTGATTTTTACCGAGGTTGGCCAGAGTCTAAGTCTCTTATACTAGCTGCGGCATTATTGGCCTATGCTGCATTCGAACGAGCCTAGCCTCTCTTGTCATACAGAGCCTCTCTTGTCACACAGAGCCCCTCTTGTCACGCAGAGCCCCTCTTGTGTAGCTGAACATCGAACGATTGCAAGTCAGATGTCAGGCAGGGTTTGTGATCAACATTGACAAAGAAATCTCCAAAGTTAGTGGGAGATTTATTCAGAAAAGAAAATCCCCCTGTCCCTTCACGTCATTCAACACTAAAGTGGGTAAGGGGGATTTCCGTAAGCAGCACAAAAGCTCGGGGTTCGCAAACATGGGTTTACTATCGGAGATTGCCACGAAAGTATTGGTCCGTGAGATGGCCGAGCTTCATGCGCACATTCCCAAGCTCGGCGGTTTGGCCGGTGGCGGCAGGCTGTTTTTTGGTTTCTGGCTTCTGGTTTCTGGCTTCGGACTGTAGTAATTGAGATCGCGGAGAAACTTCCCCCCCTGGCAAGTATTGGCTGGGTGCTTGGGCCAAAGCTATTGATAAATTCCTACGGGCGGAAAAATAAGCCACACATTATAGGGAATGACGAGGCAGCGGCAGCGCATCGAGAATGAGAATATATGACTACAACTCAAAGAATTTTCGCAAGAATTCAACCTTATCCAACTCTGACGAGGGATACCTTCATGGCCCCCTACGGCCGGTCCTTCAGACATGCAGTTGAACAGAGCTTTTGCTTTCAAGGGGTCACGCTCTGTTTTTGTTCCTTGTTTTAGGACTCATCATGCATCCTTGAGCCGCAGTTGTATCTCAAGCAGGTGTTTATACTTTATTTGCCACGACATCATCCTGCTTACAGGGCTCCTGATCTCTCGGAAGAAGGAGATGATGAATGGGATTGGTTGTCTGGTGGATAACTTGTGCTGGAAGTCTTAAGTGCAGTGCAGTATGACCGTCATCACCATCATATCAAGGCAAATCTTGCTTTATTCACCCTCATCTATATTTCTGTGTAGGAGACTTGGTGGTAGTGGACTGGTTAGAATTCCAACTAGCTGTGTTCGAATTTGGGCCGACTTCGAAGGTGTTTTCTCTGGGCTGGCTCTTTAATACCGTTATGTGTCGACATCAGCCTCAATTAACTTCAACTGAGCTGGACCCGCAAAATTGGGCTACCTTTAACATTTTCAATCCGCCTTGCCTGTATATGGGCAACTTGCTTCTTATCTTATTGTACTGGTCTAGAATTGCTGTTTTTCCCAGTGGGCAACGCAGCCACATGATTTGATGCTCAATGAAGGTGAGCTGTAGAGCACAGCGGAGAAGACAACGATACACTCAATCAATGAGCTCTTATATTTTTGTCTTGAAATAAGACGAGATTTATGTGGCAAATGACTCGCTAGGGTCGCGGGTATGTCCAGGACACCGGTCAATGAGAAGCCAAGTAAGTGGTACAAACCTGAGTTCACTGCATCCCATTTCATCACTGGCCCGAGCGAGGACAAGGGCGAAGAAACAGTCCATGAAGACAACAACAAAAACAACTAAACCGAAGACCTTGTATCAGGTGCAGTGATGAGGTCAAGTTGGTGACTCTGGGAATGACGCTGTCCAATAAAAGCCAACCGCGCCGCATGATCCAGAATAGGACGTCCGCCACCAAGGCTGTGGTAGGCCATTGTTGCGTTCGTGTCGTGTATTTGAAAAAAGGGATAAAGGGCTTTTAATAAAATCGTGATTATGCAGCGAAATGAGTAATGCGGTGCGCAGTGTAAGATGGCCTTCGGGTAATGACGTTTGAAAAATACAGTATAGCAGCGATTCTCCGAGAGACTTAGGTTCATCGCAATAGACTTGGTTGGGTGTGGTTAAATACACTTTGGTGCTTACTTGGAGATATATCTCCTGCAAATTGTTCGTTGTGAAACTGCTTGATGTGAGTCATATTCATTGAACTGGTTGTTATTCTCGATCCATCTTCTTGGCATTGGCCTTATTACAGCTACACTTATGACGATTTATTCCCACGTCCCCAAACAGCATCCATTCCAGCCATGAACCCGCAGCCCTTATAAATCGACAAAGTGCACTGCATTGCAACAAATCGGTCAAACCACAATGTAATATGAGACGATACATCGCCTACCTACCCCAACCACGTCTTGCTTCCCATCTTCATTCCCATCATCCTTCTCACCAGTCACGGCGGCCACCGAGCGCGAGTCAACATGTATTCCTAGCCGTAAACAGAAAATGGCGGAATAACAAGCACGTAGAGAAGAAGAGGCACGAGGGCGAGACTATGGTACAGACACGACTGGACCAAACCAGCTTCTTGGTGACCTTACCACACCCCCTCTCTGATGCAGCTCAATACCCTAAGTCCATAGAACAGAGTTGGTTCAGTGCCGACAAAGCATATCAAAAACAAGTTTATGGACACTCTGGTGTACCGTTTAAAGTCCTACGTATATAATTCTAATTCGATTACAGCATATTGTTCTACTTCAAAGCATGGCAATGGTTTCTGCAAAAGCTTTTGACAGCTGGATACCACCGCCCCAGATGCTGTTATGAGCACCCTGCAACGTAATAACCTTTGACTTCCTCTGAAGTTCAGATATGGCACTTATAGTTGCGTTCATCTTCTCCACTTGATCCCAGGGCACAAGTCCATCATCGTGACTATGCGCCAAAGCCACTGCAAAGCCACTGCTTTCAGATCCAACTTCTCATACAATTCCCCGGGATATACAGCTGGGCTAGCTGAGCCCAAGTTCGTCTCGTTTATCGCATTCAAGGTGAGATTAGTATATTCCGGGTTAGTGCGAAGAATCTGCGGGAAGTCGTATATCCCGCTCACTCCCAGTACTGCAACCGGCTTTGGAATAGTCGTGTCGTTGAGAGTCCTTAGTGCAGCCAGAAACGCCATCTGCGCACCGACTGAATGTCCAGAAATCACATATTGACCATCGATGGGGTAGTGACTGTTTAGATCTCGGAGCGCAGCCAAAACATCGTTGAGGTGGTCGGGCCATCTTGCGGTCTGGAGTTTGTTCTCTGGAGTCGTGGAGGGATCTTGCACCCCTGGCAAAGCCGAGAGCCGGTAGTTCAGGGATGCCACACCGGCCACCTTCTCAATTGTGTTGTTGAAGTCTGTGATATTGCGGCTCTCAAGAACTTCGATGCTGGGCTGGACTGAGGTGGAGTTTACGGAAAAGTCGCGGTAGTAGCCTCCATGTATATATACGAGCCAATACGTCTCGCACGAAGGGTTTTCGTCTTGTTTTCCTTGAGGAATGTACACATCGTATGTTTGGAGTACATTAGGCCCATAAGAGAAGCTAGACATCCTATTCGTTATGTCTGCCATGGTCCAAGGGACGAGAGATGTGAGCAGAAATAGTCGGGAGATGCGGATGCGCATGTGTTTGGTTTTAACTGAGCTTGCGTAAGTGACGAATTGTTGCGGCACGTGAAGTAGGTTCTCTGACCGTTGCTCCGCTTTTAAGTAGACGTCGTAGTCGCCCTCAGACGGTGCAGGTTATATGCGCTCATTCTCTTGGTGGAAAATAGCTGCCTGAAATCTACAGGCCTGATAATCTGGTCCTCATCAATCTATTGGATAGACAAGGTTCGGATCCGAGTAAATGTGTCTGAGTGAGGGATTGACTTCAAGTTCATGCATTGCAACATCGGCTTCGGGGTGGCCATTAATATCGGACTTATTATAAGCCATAACAAAGCATAGACTTGCTGTGGCTCTGTACTCACCTAATAGAAAGAGTGAAGTGGCCATAAATGCATTAAATACAGAAAATGGGCCTCTTGCATATTTTGAGAGTGTTAATCACGTCTGCGCATGACAGTGGCTGATACACCAGGGAATTTGGGGCATAGGGCCCAAGGTCCTGTGAACCGGCTGTTCTAGCCAGAAGCGGAAAGAACAGCCCTTTCGGGTCAAAGGCTGGTACAGCCTGACAATTCATTCCTCCAAAATTGCGCAATCGGAGCATATACCAAAACCACAAGGCAAGTCCGTTCCTATATTTACCAATTGATGTCACCTTCTTTGCAGTCTAGAGTAAACCAAGGCTAGCCAATCTAGCTCTATATACGAATCAATCCGTAGCTATATCGATATGACCTCTTAGCTCACTATGATAAAAGCGGGAAAGGAGGCACCATGTCCCCCCAAAACAGTGTCATTCGATCAAACATGTCACGGTGAATTCCGTTGTCTTTACAATGCCCTTCAACCTCCCTTGTGCAGTGTATTCGCTTTCACTGCGCTTACTCTTGCCCACATGCTTTTAAAATGACGAGGTGGAAAATTTGGTCTTCAATCCCTTGTTGCTGTTGGTTTGTCTTAGGGCAAGTCTATTGTGAGGCTCAAACTCGTTCCTAGCAACAGCATCATTAATAATCATTGCCCTCGTGTCCGTCAGCTTCGGTAGTTTTCGGTGTTCATCACTATACTTATTCGTTGTGGAAAGGTGGGTACCCGAACGACGAATGACTTCATGGCTGGAGCGCAGGCAGCGATCATACCCACTTGGACTTGAAGACTACAGGTAGACAAGCATGATTACCTGTGTTTTCATTTGAATTTTGACTTGGATTGCTTGCAATCCTCCGAACGGTACATTCTGCCTACCATTGGTGTCGAAGTGAGCATTCATTCTTCACCATGGAGCACAGAAGTTTGAGGGCTTACAATGTCTTGTCCTTTTCTAAAGACAAGCTGGGATATTGCCTTAACTATGCCAAAACAGACAGCCCCTCAAGAAAAGACATACTCTTCAGTCATGTAGCGAATGCAAGTAGGATGTACATTGCATTCCCAAGCTCAGAATACCTATAACAGACAGCCGTGTGCGGCGACTCATCTGGAGTCGCCAGGTTACCGGCACAGGATGGATTTCCAGCAGAACTTCTGCGAAGATGGCGAGCGCTAGAATTTCTTTCAGCCAACACACGCGAGACAACTGTGGATTCGAACGTACCGGTCCTGACTAGCCCACTGACTACCAAACTGGCCATAGAAGCACACTTGGCATCTGACCTTTTGTCCCAATGGGATTCCAAAGAATGATGAAAGTGAAATTGCCAGATATACAACTTCCAATATTTATGACTGGGTACATAAGTGCAAGCCGTGAGAGGGCAGTCTGAGACTTGTTACGTATGAATTATCGCCCACCATGGCCACTTGTACCACTGGTAAGAGGCCAATTTCAATAAGATGAGACGGATATACAGCTTCAGAAACAACAGTGCCCAAGCGGCCGTCACAATGGAATACCAGAAGCCAGCCCGGGAGAACATGCGGTAGTCAGCGTCACTGATGGTGGCGGTCAAGTCCATGATGGGACTGGATGATGAAGACTTCATATCCAGCTATTTTAGTTTGTTCCTTGGTTTTGTCTGACAACTCGGGTTTTATGCTTCACCATGAAGACATCATTTCAACCTACAGGCGACCCGGAACTTAATATATGCAAATTCCGCGAAGCAAACATTGGTGACTTTCCTGTTGGCCTAATACTACAGCATCATTGAACTTGCATCTTGGGACGGTAAGAAAATCTTCTCATGGTCACATCATACTTTTTAAGACGTGCAAGCTATAATTGGTTCTGTTGCAAATTAATTCACTGTACTTGCGCCTCATAATCAAGCTCCGCGTCTTGGACTGCCTGGGTTTGTTGGATCATGTCAGGTGTTGAACCAAATCACCGTCAAAAGACGAGGGACCGACTCGTATTAGAGTGAGGTATTTTTGGTAGTTATAAGATGTGATATCAGGCCCTTTTGATAACATCCCCATCACCGGGCCTTTCCTGCAAGGAACTTTTGATCGGCAAATCGGGTCCTTGGCCATATTGATTTCCACACTCTGCTGACTACTTTTACTCTCAAAGAAACAACATAGGCCTTGGAATTTTCACTCGCTAGCTTTGGAGCCTCTTAGATCCACAAAACCTCATGTCAAGGTCATAATAGAATGCTACAGCCCCTCTGAGGAAGAACCACTTAAAACACGCCTCGATCTCATGGATAAATTTAATGCTAGAACTCGCATATTGGCCTAACTTTACCTTGCATTACAGCTGACCCCGGCGCTATGAACCGTTCTGTATTGACCACTCTAAATGTTAGCGCTATCATATACAGGATGCAGACTTCCTGTGCTCTTGGTTCTTACGAATCTCTGGGGTTGCTTGCCAGCAAACCCATGTATATATTCGTATAACCTCTGCCAGAACAGGAAACGGCTTTGTGACAATAGCTGAAAACCTTTGCAGATGTTTTGGTGGGTGTATTATTATACAACACATGACCTCCAGCAGGGACCTGGGATTGGTTCCTTCACGTATTCTCACCCATCGAGACACCGTCGCTGGGGGGGGGGGGGGGGGGGAGGGTAATCACAGGTACTTAAGTTGTGTCCATCTTGCACCCCAAAGTAAAGTCCCGTCCTGCAAATCACAGCTGAAGACGTCATCTCCACGGCTCCTGTGTCAAAATTAGCATGGTACATCCGCTAGATCACCAACCGCGTCACACAAGAAAACCTCCACATAGCACTCTCCGCCATTGCCCCTGTCCGGGACAAGGCCTCGCTTTTTCTACGACCGGAAATTTTCGGGCCTATGTCCAACTTCGAGGCGGAGTGGCCGTATTACGCGGCCCTGCGACGCGAACTTTGGATTTGCGAGGCCGCATGCATTTCGGTAACCGTTTTATATTGTGACCGTAGGTTTGACGATCGCGTATCCTGTTAGCGCGAATGGCGCTCCTGCGGGGGAGGACGAGTATCGGGTTTTAGAAGGAGCTTGCACGGGGGTGGATTGAGGATCCGGAGTGGGATCGGTACTTTGAGTTCAGGGGGATGGATGCGGAGGAGAAGGGGAATTTTATGGGGCATGGCTGAGTTGTGTTATATACGCATGCTGGTATACTGCCACATAAGTTTCTCTGTTTATTTAAGTATCAAAGGGGCCATATTCTTTAAACAAAGAATTCAACACAATTGCCCTGATTACAGATCTGGTTTTTTTATTACATGGTGAAACTAGACTTCACAAAGCAATCTGGAAACGGAACATAAAGAAGACACCTCCCTTGACAAGCTCCTGGCTTTAAGTCAGGCTTATGAGTATTTTCTTAACTAAAACCACATCGAATACAGAACCTGGTCACCAGAAGTACGTCTCATAATCAAAATGTCTAGTCCCCTTCTCTCCCACCTAACCCACGACCCCCTAGGCAATCTCCTTATCACGCATCCCTCAACAGGCTGCACCATGAAGATCCTCAATCCCAATAGCAACCCACTACCGAAGTCCTTGCCTCGATTTATCCATAGAGATCCTCACTACTGCCGCTGCCCGTCCGCATTCAAGTCCGGAGGCAGAAAAGTCGACAAGCTTAGACTTCTGTACGATATCCCGAGCACGGAAGTTGCTGTTCGCGGGCATGAGGGCTGGAGGAAGAATTATCTTGTTGTTTCAGATATATTGCTGAGGGATTTGAAAACGGTCGAGGTCAGGGCGATGGATTCCGTCCTGAGGGCTGTGTATTATGTTTTAGGATTTCAGGTAGCGGTAGGGATGTGGAATCCTGATGGGTATTGATGGTGGCATTGGTGGGGATATATCAAAGGAGCATTAGACCTTATAAATACACTGCATTGACGCTCCAACGCATAAGGAGTTGCAAATGAACATAGGCATGCTGCTTTGTGACACTGGGGACTAGGAAAAGATGGGATAGGGGTAAAATATAGAAAATCTGAGGTTAGCATCTACATCAAACCCGGTGCTTCCGAGCCATGAGACAATCCAACCACTTCAACCTGGTTGCCGAGGGTTGACGTAAACCAGCCAACCTTACCCACCAATTCTCCAGATTTTGGTTGCCAAGTGCATTTCTAAGCTAAAGGCTCACTATATTTTACTAATTTGCACGTGCTAGAGTCCCCTATCAGCCCTATAGAAACGTTCGCTGCATCTCGGCGGTTCTCTAGCGTTTAGAAATACGATGAATCGGCTGAAGGTGGTCATCGGACTGCTGAAAGTCTAGAAGAGGCATACCAGCCATGAAATCAGCGCTCAGGTGCTGTCAGAGCCACAAGTGTCATCCGAGGCGGGCCGGCTTCCACCAGGAAGGAAGTCGTTTGTGGCGAATGAGGAGCCGGGAGGCCGTTTGTGGCGGCTAGAGAGCCGCTTGTGGCGAATGAGAGCTGTTGAAGCCGTTTGCAGCGGATAGGGAATCGCTTGGTTGCAGATAAGGAGCCGCTATCCAAGATATTGGCCGAAGTCGGAGGAACACAGACATGCGGAAGCAAACATCCAGAATCCAACAGAGAACCTCGGCTGGCTATAAGTAAGGAGTCGAGACGGAGGAAGATAGAGAGGGCAGAGATCAATGAACTACTGTGGACACCCCTACCTGCCATCATCAAGTGACCACCAGGGGAACACGCCTATTTCTCCCCTTCACTCTGTACTATCGCCTTCGGTCCAGGCCGTAACCTGACAGGTGCTTGAAGTCATCGAATTCTACGGAATCCAGGGCAAAATTAGCTACTTCACGCTCGACAATGCGGAAAATAACGATACAGCGGTCGAATAGCTCGGCCGACAGCTCGGTTTCGACGGACAGCGCCGGCACGGTAGCTGCTTCGGCTGCACTGTTAACTTATCGGCTAAGGCACTATTATTCGGTAATCGCTCCCGTTATTCGTGTAGGTTTCACTAAGGGCTGATCGACTTCCTGCCCTACTGCAGGCCCCTACTATAGAGTCGACGGCGATGAATACGCTATTTAGTGTACTAGTGACCATAAGCAAGGCCTAGACCACCTTAACCCTATTAGCTACTAGCATCTGTCGAATATCACGTGTGTCCAATCGATTAGGTAGTCAGAAGTGCGTAAGATTGTATATGAATGAGGTGTATTGTTCTCTGTGCTCTGGAACCCCCGTTGCTCTGTCTTTTATAGATTCTTTAGAACATGTCGTAGGTACATTGTTCAGGTGTCTGAACCCTAAGTGGACAGTAACTTTGGTGTTACTTTTGGGAAAGGGGTTCCTTTCGCCTTATGAACTTTAAGTGACACTAGTCTTCTCTAGTGCCATATTATTTCTGAACCTAGGAACCAGGTGCCCTATCTGACAGCATCGCCGCCGTTTCAACTACCCACGGCTCTCGTTAATAGCATTTGACTTCCTTAAAATACAGGCTATATTTGCCGAATGCGAGCGATTATTTCAATTTACCTATGGGATAATTACTTCAAAGCGGTCTAGCATTAACGCCAACCTCGTAGGTATATGCTAGACACTGCGAAGTTAGCATAGGGCCGGCTTAGCAAGCCTAGGGGACCCTCTGTTAGGGGCTATAGCGGCTAAAACGGCCATACAAACATACTGGCTAAGTGACCCAGATGAGCCTACAGAGGAGGCCGCTACGGAAGCCGCTGGCATACTAGTAGAGTACAGCGCCGGCGAGGTTAACGATAACCTCATTTCCGGCTAGTTATCGCAACCACCTTAGCAACAGTCAACCTAGCCGATAGCCGGTTACTTAACCTAATGTTCATTGGCTTACGAATTTGATCGTCAACCTAACGGAAGGTGATGGTGAGGTTGGTTGGGTTCACTCGAGGGTTAGGTGCTTGAGATGGGGCTTTATCGTGTTATAGACACGTGCAGTACGGCTTAGGTTAAACAAGTAATATTAGCAAATCATTGCTCCGGTTTGATGAGTCCGTATCATACAGGCCGGTCTCGGTGCTCCTTGAAATTGTGCATGCCCTAGGCACACTGGCTGTATGCTGGGTGCAGCGCTTGGACCAACTGCCCATAGATAGCCCTTCCGTATCTGCAGCCTCTGGAAGTTAGTCCCACCATTATCACCAACACAACCCTTTTGCCTATATTGCCAGCAGGAACGTACTTGATACCTTGTATAAGATAGCTTATCGTAACTGAGAAGTCAAGGCACCTATACTCATTTAGGGAATTTAATGAGCCCTTGTGTCCTACAATCAACCCCATCAACAGGATCCTTCCTCTATACCAGCATGTTACTCCATCTAAAACCAGATAGATGGCCTGTCATAATGCCGCCTTCATTTCAAAGTCGACCATAGCATTATAGGCAAACCCTGACGATTGAATTCTCATCCACAACCTCCATAGTGTATGTCACCCAAAGGTTCTCAGCAGTCCACGGGCCCAGATCGTTACAACCACCCAGATAAGGGCTGCTGCATTTTGTCGCCCAGTTGTATTAAACTGAGCGAGGCGGCTTTGCTCACCTAGAAGACGTATCCGGTTCATCTCCGGTCTGTAAGTGCTATACTGAGGACCGTGCGCAGCGCTAGAACTTTTATGTGGTCCGTGCGAACTGCTCAACGGCTTTCAACTGACCAAAGAGCAACTTGAATTGGTTGAGTTGAGCGATACCAAGAACGTAACGCCAAGAACGTAACCTTCTTTCATCGCCTTCAACTTACCTTCCCAACTTGCGAGATCTGACAGAAGATGGAACCAGTGACCTGCAAGTATTGCAGGAAGCGGTTCAAAGATGGGTCTGTCGGTCACAGGGAGCGCATCGTCCATGAGCGAGCATGTGACATCGGCGTCGTATGTTTGATTGGCGTAAATGGTCGCTGTGAGCGCAACTATGTGGTCCCCGACCGTGCACAGTTGCCGATTCGCACGCGTAATAAGACCATGCATGGCCACTGGAAGAAATATCATTTTGATGATGAAAATCTGTGCTGCCCCTGGCCTGGTTGTGACGGTCATGAAAAGTTCTCGTCGGTACAGACTCTGATCCGTCACCTCAGCACCCAACATCATCAGCCAGAGAAGCAGAAACGCTTTGGCGAGCAACCAGAAGCTCCCCACCAGACGCAGTTGGACTTGCAACCAGCAACCCTGAACCAACAAACACCTAGCCAGCACACACAGCCGCAGCTTCCCACCCCACTCGGACCTTTCCAGCACGCAATGCAGCGCTCGGAGACAGATTATTTTCCCCGTTATGCCAGCATCCTAAATCAACAATCGGCAAGTCATACAGGATATGAAGAGCACCCAGCTATGAATCAGGCACAAGTAAGAGGACAGCTGGCTACCCCATGCAGCGAACAAACGCCATTCCAGCAGTCAGAGGGGCAAGGTCTCTCGCCTCCAAAGCCAGCAATTCAGTTCTCGACGATGCGTGATCTTCTCCATCGTATCGACAGAAAAAATCAAGAAGCAGCTAGGCACGCGGAATTGGAGCAACAATTCTCAATCCAGCAGCCACGAGTGGCCGGACGACTAGCCAAGAAACCACAGCAGCAAGATATGGCCACTCCCGAGATATCAATACAAAATCATATCTCAGATGCTTTGACTCGCACTCTCGACGCCTACAACAGCATCTCCCTATGCATGCAGCAGGTGGCACGCTATCAACCGCAACTGACCCAAGAAGAAAGCTTCATGGTCCAAGATGTCCAGGCCGCTTTGAACTATGCCGCTAATGGTATCAGGCACCTTCCTGTTCTGCCGGGACTTTCGAAGATGCACGATCACGGCGACAACGACTATGGCAACCATTTCGATGGTATTCCTCGCCTTCCTGTGCCTTCGGGAATTCCCAACATGCACAGTAACAATAATAACGACTACGAAAACGCCCCCAGTGACACCGAGGTAAGCGATTCACTGTTCACTATTGGAGACTCAGTCGGATAGCTAACTTGTATAACAGATGACGGAAGACTATGCCGATTACTAAAGGAATGACATGGAGAAAGACGTATAATAGAGTGACTAATTCAGAGGTACTTGCGTTAGAGCAAATTGACGCTATTTGTTATGTGCAGTGGTCAAGTTACGAAAGGCACGGGCCTAGAGTAAGAAAGTGGATTGGGTGGAGCGGATATTGGTGTATGGAATAACCTGTTGAGTAAACTATCACGCTAGTCTAGTTCATCGTAATAAACATCTGTGACAACTTCATGACAGCTTTATCACATATATCGCATTCGTTTGGAATAACCTGTACTTGAGAAATCGTGTTTCCTCTGTCATTACGCCATCCTACCTTAGCTGCACTGGAAGAATGTCTCGGTCTAGCATACCTCTGCTGCGAACGGGACATCCTTTCTATTACGGTTACTCGCTTAAAGTCATATGTTCTGCGCACCCATCATGCTCAATCAATGAAAATACCGCCACGCCTCTGTGGGCCTACGTCATCTCACCCTCACACCTCCAAGCTCTCAATTCCACAAAATCAAACCAGTACTACATCATCTCCAAGATGAATTCTTCGCTCATGGTCTCCATTGTCGCGCCCCCATTTACTACCATTGTTGCTCTTATGGAACTGGTTACTTGGACCTGCATGGTTGCATCTCCTGGTACCAGCAAGGCCATGAGACGAGTCAAGCTAGATGGCTTTGGAGCGGCTGGGGCCGTGGCCTGTTGAATTAAGACGTGCGAGAAGTATCATTACACGAAAGACTTCAGGACGGAAATGGAGCCCTAGATGATGGAGATGTTGAGCTCAAGGATGGACCACGCGAGGCTGGTTGCTTTGTTGACTGATTGGTTTTAGCTGCGAGTTCCGAGATGGGGGAGGAGAATGGAAATACCAGTAAGATCCAAATCCGATAGTAATGTGTACAGCGACTGTAGCCAAATAATGCTAACACACACGCGAAACCCCCTATAGTCAACACAACTCTGACCCTAATCTTCTATCTCTATTTAATATGCTACAACGGAAACATCGGCAATGGGAAAACTAGTTCACTTTACCTACTTGAGTTTGGTCAGCATCGGCTGGCAACCCATTACTTCCGTATGACTCCCAAATCTGAGTTATCCAGCCCGATGCTCTTGGAATTGATACGGAGTCCAAGTGTACTTATCTGCCCTGGGCTGAGGTGGTCGAGTGGATCAGAAGCGAGTACGACGATGCAATTATGGCTTGGGTGCAGAACACTACTGCAGCCATCAACGGGCTACCCCGGCTGCGGGTATTTGCGATGAGTTCAACCACATGGGCGATGCCGATGGATTCCAGGAGATCTACTTTGAGTACGGGGCTGAGAATAGGACGAATTTACTTAGCATCTCGCGGAAGTACGATCCGGAGAGAGTTTTTCAGACGCTGCTCCCGAATGGATTCAATATTGGATTATCATATCTCACAAGGATCGTGATGGTATAACGATGCTTAATGATAAACAACAAGTAATTTCTCATGATTGAATTGTCACAGCCCCTGGATTTCAGTTGTATGACCATGGTAAACACGACCAAATATCTGAACGCTCTATCTCTTCACTGTCCGCATCATTATCTCCTTCGTCCCATCAACCCCATTCACCGCCCCAAAATGAAAATTCTCATACGGTCCCTCTACGCCGTCAGGCATCCGCACATCGTACTCGAGCAGCATCCGCGCAAGGATCAGCTTGATCTCGTTGGCTGCGAAGAACCTACCCGGACACGCGTGTCGTCCAAAGCCGAAACTCATGTTTTCTTTCGTCACGCTGACGAATTGATACTGCTCCCTGTTCTTGTATCCGATGGGGTCGGGCGTCGTGGGATTGGTGCGGAGACTGAGGAAGCGGGTGGGGAGGAATTTCTGAGAGGGCGGTGTTAACAAGATGAAACGCGAGTATGAATTGGGCAAGGGAGGGGATGTGTGGAGTTTTCAGGGGTATTTCGCGTACGTCTGGATCTGGATAAAAGGCCGCGTCGCGCAGCACAGGTCCGTTGGCAGCTTCTATGAAGCAATTGGCTGGTATGCACGTCCCGTCTTTCAGCATGATGCGCTTAAATGTGTACCGGCGGAATCCATCTTCATATCTGTTAGAATGAAGTGTGTCCATCCAATTTTTTCATTTAAACATGAGTACACAGATTTGGCGAACCTGAGAATGCTGGATTCAGTCGCTGCGACTCACGCATAACGCTGTCCATGAGCTTCAGATCAAACAGCGCCTTTGTCGTCATGACGCCGTCGTTCTGATCTAGCACGGTTCGGATCTCGTGTCGTAGGTCCTTGACTGTCTCGGGATGTGCAGCTAGATCGTATAGACTAGACATGGGGAATTAGTTGGTCGAGGACTCAGCAGACGTAAAATTCCATGTCCAACACACAAGTCCAACTTACATCCGCGCGGCAGTAAACGTCGTCGTATGAATAGCTGCCATAGTCAGTAACAACTGCATATTAGTCAAATGCGTTAAATCCCTCATTCCCTTGGCCTCGGTTTTGACCAACATCCACGAAAGCATGTCATCAGATAACTGTTCCCCGTTCCGGATCTTTGTCCTTCTTTCCTCAATAAGCGGCTTGAGGAAAAGCTTCATATCCCGCCGCAGCTGGCGCAGCCTCCTGAATTCAGGTCGAATGAGGAAAATGATGCCTCTCATCCAGCTTGGCCACGATTTTAGTAGGTTGGCCGCTGTGGCGATGTACACGGTATAGTCGACGGCGGAGCGGAGATAGTCAGGACTGCGGCATAGTTCCGGGCCGAGAAATATGTGACCTGATACAATGGCGACGATTTGCATTAGGGCGTTGCTCACGTTGACGCCGGTCCAATCGTCGCACGGCGGGAGTTCTTCTCGGACGGTTCTCTCGACTTCTGTTGAGAGGCGGGGGTTGATTCGGGCTGAGGTCATTGTTAGAAGGGTTTAAATCATAGCTAAGTACTTGGTAGTTGGAATGGTACCCAAAGAACGAGTGAGTTCCGCCTTGACGACCTGGTTGACAAGCTCGGTGTTAGACCTAGTGGGGAACACGCCGGTGTACTGGTTTTCGAAGATCTGCAAATTGTCAGAATTGAGCTATTGATTCAAGAGTATTTGATCATATTCTACTCTATTAAAGGGGTGTTGGGAGTCGATTTCAGAATCAGGACGTTGCCGTAACTCGTCCAGGTATTTATTCGGTACGATGACATGGTCTCCTATACGTAACCGTAAGTATATCCCCTATCCCAATGAAACCGAAGTCGAGCATCATACCGTCGATTGTGGTCATGCGATGGAACTTGTCCTCGTATTCTCGACGACCCTCCTCGTAAGCAGAGTATGCTGACAAAATGTATGTCTTGACTCTTTCCGCGCGGCTGCGTTCCTTTCCGACGAGGGGATACCTCCGCAGTTTGATTTCGTCGACGAGATGCGGCCATGTGAGCATACCGGCGAATAGTAGGGAGACGAAGATGCATGAAGAGAGATTTTCGTAGACTATCATGCGTAGTACCTCCATGGTGAACGAGAAAACATTCCTAAACTAACCTAATTATGTGCTACGTGACGAAAGATAACAGAAGATTCTGCTTAATTCGCAATGCTCAGGGAATGTTATTGTCTCGCACGAAATTTAATGTCCGACACCCCGCATCCATAGAATTAGGAGAATTAGCCACCGGTCTGAGGATGGAGATTCAATTGGACTCTCTCTCGCTACAGAATCTAGCATTTGCCGGCCAGTGTGGTTGATCTGCATTGATTGCAGAACATGTGGTACTACCTGTTGATTGGTCATATAAGTAGCATTTGTAATTAGCCAAAGTATTATGCGTTGTACATACGGCATATGCAGGAACTCCCAAAAGTGTCAGCCATCCAGACTGGTCGATTTTACAAGCTTCAAGTGGTGTATGTGGGGTTTTTATGTGGGTATAGGTTTTGGCAGCGAGCTTCATGCCACTGAACGGCAGGTGGTGCTAGTAGGGATTGACTTGGATAGGGTACAAATAGGACCTGCGGGGACAGATGAGTTAAATTAAGGCTACTGAATTGTCTTGAATTCCAGGAAAACAATACTAGATCTCCAGACCTTAGCTACATTTTACTTTGAAACCTTGTACAAGTATCTGTTGTTTTCAAAGTCATCCAATTAAAATATTTATTTATAACTTAGAACACCATTAAGCATTGAAAAAGGATAAGTGACCTCGATATTATCAATTAGATATACGAGTCCAATTTGAAACTAGGGATACCCGCCGACAGTACATATTCTATTAATAGTATAAACAAGCAGCTTGTCTGAAGCCTAAGAAAATTCGATATTGTTGCCCATATATGTATTATATCTCATTCTTCCGTAAGAAAAATGAAAAATACTAGTTGCCTCCAAACCTTCAAGCCCGACACAGCCTCCCATCCTCAGAAAACGGAAACCCATCTTTCGTCTTCAAAACCCACCTATCACTGCCCACCGTGGTTGGTGCCCAAAACACCCCCCACGGATCCCTACTCAACTTAATGTCCAAAAGCCTCGGATAATTGTACCCAAAAAAGCTCCCCTGCCAGTCTGGCTCCGCCGGATCTGCTTCATTCATATACGCCCCCGAGCCAGGCGTCAACTCTCTGAGCAATTCTATATGCGCATTCATATCGACCTGGCTGGCAGCTGCTTCAGCGGCCGTCTGCACCCCGATAAAATCCTTGTAGAACAGCATGGCGTGCATGCTTGCGTTGCGCCAGGCCGGGTTGACCGCGCTTTCTTCACCCGGGTAACCTGCCGCGGAGTAGGTAGGCGCGTGTATGGTGCCGTGGAAGATATACCCGTCAGTAACGGAAGTGCGGATCGCAGACATGACTTGGGAAAATAATTTAGCGTCATCCCAGTGTGTAGATGGGATTAGCCGGGAGCTATATCGCCGGTTGTTGGGGCTGCTGCCGCCGCCGTTGCTGGTGGTCCCGTAGGGGGAGGAGAAAAGGGGTTTGGTATTTGGGACATTGACCCCAGCGGCGTGGAGGTCGTCGTAGAGTGGTTGCATGAAAGTGAAAAATTCGTCCGGGCTCTTGTTCACCAAGGTGTTGGTTGCGATTAGGGAGAGGCTGTTATTGGGTAGTGGGTAGATGTAAGTAAACCCCAGTCCTCCGGCTTTGGTGATGTTCCGTGCGAAAGTGTAGTATGCGTTTGCAGCTGCCCAGAAGGTCTCGACGTCTTTTACGTAGTAGTTGGACTGAAACGTGCTGTTGGAGGTGGCGTTCGTGGGCGGGATAAGCGGGTCGTAAGACAGGTTTAGTGATGTTCCTGTGGTGTTCACTCGAGGGTGAGCTTTGGCTATCACAGACACAACTACGCCATATGTGGCGCCGCCGCCTCCGCGTAGAGCAAAGAAGAGATCCTCGTTTCTTGTTTGGTCGACCGTCACGAGACGTCCATTAGCTGTGACAACTTGCAATGAGAGCACTTGGTCGGATCCGAGTCCAAAGGTAGACGTTACAGTCGTGTGGCCGCCTGCGGCTAGCCATCCGCCTCCTGCTCCGACTGTGTTGACGGCTGGAGCGAGAAGAGTGACGTTATATTGTACCATGGCGTTATTAAGCTCCCACGATTGTATCCCAGCGCCGTAGTGAATCGCCGGTCCAGTGTAATTTGCGATGCTGTATTTGGGGATGAATTCGAGACCCTTTAGGTAATGGGTCCATATGCTAAGTGATGACGCACCGGTCGATCGGCCGCCGAAATCATGGCCTGTGTTTCTGATTGACCAGAGTCAGGCTTCCTGATTCATGACGACATCAATACGATTATGCACTTACTTGATGACGAGTCTGATATTCTGATTCCTCGCAAAGTTAACTGCCGCCTGAACATGTTTGACACTGGTGGCATTGACCACATACGTCGGCAATCCCCCCTGAGTGCAATTCCCCTGGGGATTCAACGTCGGAAGACAAGTGCTGCCCGTCGGCCACCGGGTCAACACATCTACTGGATCATCCAGCCAGAAACTCGTGAATGTGGCGTTGAATTGAAGAAAAGCGCATAAGTCTGCGCTATAATACGGACCCTCGTAGCAGAATGCCCCTGCCGGAGGCGGCTTCAGCAGGACGCCACCGAGCGTCTCGTTGAAGGCATCCCAGACCTGTTCGCTTGGCCACTTATCGCTGCCGGGAACCTCTCTACATCCTGGTCTGTCATCGACCCCAGCGACATAGGGTTCTGCAAATACAATAGGAGGAAATCCCGCGACATCTATGTTGGTGAGTTCGGTCGTATCAATTGGTCCGCAGGCCACCTCGAGGGCTCGGGAGAGGATGAATCCAACCGATATGAGCAGGATTCTAACCATCATGTAAATATATCGACAGAATTTTCAGTACATAAATTTACATGATTCTCAATAAGTAGACTGTAAGTGCTGTTTTATATGAGTTACTAGATTCGTACAGCTCGTGGCAGGTTTGCGCAAATGCCGACTCACCTACATGCGATATAGACAATAGCTGAGTAGCTATATTAAGTTCGCATCATGCATATACACTTCTGCAGGTTCAAATATTTTCTTTGTTGGATGTGCAGCAGTTCCTTTCGTGAAAAGAGTCGTTAGATTACCTATCGCGTCGATGTATCTGCAAGATGACGGTATGGCTCTTGACGTTCCGATTCTAATCAGGTTACTACCTACTTCTAGATGAATTGATTTATTATTTCCATCCGAAGTGTGCAGATAGAAAATAGGCTCACTCACATGGAGGGTAATAGATCCCCGTCTGCCTAACCCTCCCGTCCGTCACTAGCTTGGCTAAATGAGTTTCAACATGCAAGTGAGGGACTCTAGACCTACGCCGACTCCGCTAGTTCCTGCTCGTGCATAATGATCCATGCGCTGCTTTTATCTCTTGTGCCTTTCGGAAATACGGAAATACGGAAACACCCAGGGCTGTACAACTCTCAGGCTGGCTCCATCTGGCAATAATCAGCACGTGAGGCAGGAACCAAATCCCAGCATCTTAAATAAATTACCTTGTCGCGGAATGTTTACAGCTTACTGGATAACCCCCCTATTCCGGCTATCCGGCAACCATGGCAAGCTTCTTTGTAATTATACCATGCTATAAGATTTCAAGTACACCAAGGATGAACACTATATTTTGCCAATCGAAGGCATAATATTGGCCTTAACACGGGTAACGTGTCCGTTTTTTACAATCTCTAATTAGGAGTCGAGAATGGTAGTATAGCTTCCAGTTTGAATCACGCGTTAGATATTCTAAAAGCACGCTATTCATTACAATTTAGGGAATTCGCAGCAAATGGTTAATATATTAGGCTATTATACACGTAATATTGGCGTAACTATGTTACAGATGGAAATCGTCTTTACTTAAACAGCGGACCATCTTGACTAAAAAGTCAAGTTAAAACCACAGTGATAAAAGTACTTCGGCTACTTCTTCTCGTTATACTTCTTATATCTGTAACTTGACGAAGTTTTCCGCTTAGCCTCTCTAATAATGTTAGTATATGAATCAAAATTGCAAAGTCTGTCTTTTTTCAGTCGAAAGGTTTGCAGTAAGAACCCGCGTTTTTGGCCACATGAGGAGTGAAACGGTGCCTTTCCCATTCCTCTGAAGTTGCGACAACGCGTTCAACCCCATTTCGAGATAATATCAGAGCAAAGAGTCCATGACGCTCTTTCCTCGTGTGCCTTTATCGAGATCTTCGGTTGCTCGGCCTTTTACGAGATATCGAATGTCGCGTGGTCATCTCTTCTCTGGGTTCGTTGCAGAATTGGTGGATTGATTCTTTGCTTCCTTCTGTTGAGTTTGGTAGCGTTCCAACACGAATTCTGCCACATAAAACTATTCAGGACTGATGCCGGCTGCTACGAACACATTCCCCGGGGGATGGCGACAGTACCCATACCAAATACCGCTTCAATCTCTCTCGTAGTCATGGGCTTTCTGTGCATTTCGGATTGCTGAAAATTATTTCAAATAAGCCTCGGTAAGTTTGCGTTGGATATGATCAGTTCTCATCATTTGCGGTGGAGGATTGGTTTTTATGTGATGCGGATTCCATCAGTTCTGCGTTACTACGACCATGACTGACTTATGCTTTATCTGTTTTCCTTTTCGCAATGATATTTCTCTGGTTAACGCAGTCCACAAGCGAACGGGTCACCCAACCGAACGGGTCACGCCCATAGCAAAAAATAGAACTAAACTTCCTAACTTTACCACGCAACTAATTCTCGATGGATTCTGCTCAAAAAGAATCTCAATTACTCCTTGCAACTAAGGCTATCAGAAATGACTCAACACTTAGTATCCGACGTGCTGCAACAATCTACAAAGTCTCGAATACTACTCTCCAGGCGCGTCTTCAAAAACGTCAATCACGTCGCAATATCGAAGCCAACGGTCGGAATTTAACAAAACTAGAAGAAAATACGATTATTCAAAGGATAATTGAGCTAGATTTGCAAGCATTTCCTCCCCGGCTAAGTGCTGTTGAAGATATGGCAAACCGACTGCTACGCGACTCGCATATCACAAAGGAGGACTTTCTTCCGGCATTTTGCGACGCGTTCAAGAAGAGCATGACCCAAAGCAATATTCTTGCAGGCTTTCAAGGGGCTGGGCTTGTGCCTTTAAGCCCAGATATTGTTATTGAGAAGCTGGATGTGAAATTACAGACTCCAACGTCCTCCCGGCCCCCTACGCGGGAAACCCTTCCTTAGGCTTCTCGGACGCCAAACAACCCAACCGAGGCTACTTCGCAATCCGAATTTATTAAATCTCGAATTGCTAGGCATCAGAATAGCTCCCCGACGTCAATTTACGATGCTATCGATCAGTTTTCGAAAGGAGCGCGGAGTATTATGCATAAGATGGCTTTACTCCAAGCTGAGGTCGCCGAACTTCGAGAGGCAAATGCTCTAATTAGCAAGCGGCGCAGGGCCAAAAAAACACGAGTACGGCTTGGAGGATCACTTAATTCACAAGACGTACAAGATCTTCAAGATCAAAAGGACGTTGCGCAGCAAGTACAGCAGGAAATGCGTGGAAATAGCGCTGGATCAAATCGTTGTGGTTGCGAAATCGTGTTGAATTCCATGTTTTGCTAGTTGGCGTGACCCGTTCGGTTGGGTGACCCGTTCGCTTGTGGACTACGTTAACTGTTTTTGGCTCAATTCTTTTGGCTTCAATTCGTGTATCATCATCGTCTGTCTGTCATAGAGCAGGCAAGTGTGTCTGTTAATCGGACATTTTTGTACAAAACAAACTCAAATCTCTGAGTACCTGTTCAATTATCTCTCCTTCGTGCTTTCATCTGCAGCAATACCGGATAAAACCTTCTCGTCGCGTTGCTGTAGCAGTCGTACCATGGCACCTCCTGGCCCACCAATAGCACTCCACCGCAGTATATTTCCACCTAGACGTGCATAATCCTTCCATTTCGTAAGTGATGTCCTGTGTGCCGAGATGTAAAGCGTTGAGCTCCAGATGATAGCAGCCACCGAGCCACAATATTGATCATATAATAAGAAGCTGTGCATTTCAGCTGCCATTGATATCATGGGCTGCATGGAGAAAAAGGGGCCAGGCTTGAAGACATTGCGGAAACTGAGATTCCGAAATATATGAGGAAGCACGCTCGGGGAGATTTTCGCGAGACCAATTACAGCAAGAGTGAATAGTTGAGTAGCAGCCCCGACATTGAAGGCAAAGTTGTAAGCCTGCGACAGTGCCTCGATACAATGACGCTCATGTCGATTTTTTGGTTTGCGGATTCTGGGAGACGATGTCAACGCTGCCAGGAGATATTGGGTGCCAACAACATAAGTTGGGAATCCCTGCCAGATTGCGCAGAACCACTGGCGCGTATTGCCAGATTCGAACGGATATGCGAACAGAAACGTGAGCAATCCATAGCCCAAGCCAAACGCTGGAATGATGGCTTTCGAGTACAACGGTGCCAAGTAGAGCGGCCTGACAGCTTGCGGGTTGTTTAAAGCAACTGGCGATGATAACAGATGGAGCCCGCAGTACAGGGGCATCACAGTGGCGTAGCCGAATATTTGCATCGCATACCCCCAGAGAATGGTACTGGTGTCACCTGTCAGCCCAGAAAATAGATTAAGTAGGATTTGCCTCGGCGAACGTACTAATAAAAGCAGTTATGCCTATTCCCAACCCGTAGTCCTTCGATCATCATCACGGCGAAGACAGGAACAAGCTGGCCACCAAACTGATAGGCGTACAGAGAGAGCTGTGGTCTGAATCCGTCGACAACATTGGCGAAAATGATAGCCGCAAGACCCATAAGTTTGTCCAGGGGAGTCCATCCAGTATAATTCAATACAATGGGAGTATTCGAATGAGGGAGAACTGCGACCTCCGGATCCGAAGAAGTAAGAATTTCGACGGCAGCATCGACCCAGCCACTGCGATAGACTTGACCAAACATGCTGTTAAGCCCAAATATTGAAGTGACAACCAATAGTGCAATCGCTTCACGGCGGGTTGAATTTTCGAACGCTTGGGTTTCCATATCTGTTCACACGCTCTTTTGTCTTCGGCGTAGTGACTGGGATGTGATTCTAACCTATATATCGACAGCGGTCAAATCCGGTGACACAATCTGACTCCCGCATGAAATAGCGATCATTGCTGTCGGTCGAAGTTCATAGTTGGACGAATAGTAAGGTATGCCGAAGGCAGGAAAGCCAGAAAACAATTGAGGTCATTATCTCTATTTGTTGTCCTTTGGCGAATGCTCCAATTTATGTACGGATCAATGTTCACCGGACGAAGTCTCTCCCTTGGGAAACGGAGAAGAAAATTACTTCAATCTGGCACCGAGCGCCACATACATGTTTATCACGGCAAAATTACCCGTTCAATCATGCATCAAACTACATTAAACAGCGTATGGAGGTATCGCCCGGGTGTATTGCCATGTTTGGCTAGCCAATCAGTCTTGACTCAGCCGAAGCATGAATGCAGCACAAGCTATCCAACATCCACCCCTTTTACCTGCTGCAGCACCCGCGGGATTGTAACTTCCCACGAACTAAGTGAAATCTATCTAGGTGGGTTTGCACAAACAACGGGCACCGTTGGGGACGATCCGCAATTCATGGAACATGGTACATGAGGTACTGCGATGAGGCATATCTAAGCGCAGCCTTCCTCTTTACTCCTTCTTATAAATGGCTTGTGATACCTTTTAGCGTTCTACTAGCAGGGGACTCTGTGGTATCATGACATACTCTCCTCACAATATGCCATAAATAAGGTTAAACTAGTAGCTGCGTGTCAGTGGTAAGCGCATACATATCTCGCGATCGCGCAATGTGGGGTCTTGACTTCGTAAGGATCCCGCTCTGCTCTATTAACAATGCTGGTTGCAGGATCCCAGCATTTCCTCTTAACTTTTACTCAAATCGACTAATTTGCATCGATCGGTATTGCATGCACGAGCCAGTGATTTGGTAGGACTGTGCGGTTTGTACTACCAAAGCCCAGTCCTCTGACAATTGACGGGATCTTTGGGGTTCGGAAATATTGGCCAGGCTGGTGTGAAATGTAAGAATTTGAAACATCAGATGGCGGCGCATCAGTGTCACGGTAGCAGGATTGTAACTAAACCACGTTGTATGCTAACCACAAAGTTCAATATTCGTGTAACTTGTTGTGCATGTGCGTGGGATAATCCTATTACACGATGTCACAATTGAACCACGGCCTTATGTTGTGGAGTTTTGGTGTTTTCTTGGCGGATGTACCGGCAATGGTTTCGCTAGCTGTATCATAACACTGAGCTCGCCCTTTTAGATACTTGATGGCATTGTGTGGTGTTCTGGGGCCCAGGACAGTTGCAACTGAGTTTTACTGGTTACCATGGCCGAGTCATGAGCTATCTAAACGATTGACACGATCGCTAACAACAGACCAACACTGCAGAAGATAACCAAACGACCGTGTTTAGAAGAGAAGTTGCCACACCCAACCACTTCCTTCTAATCCTTCTTCCAATCTTTCACACCTCTCCTTCTCCTACCATCGCCAGTAGCCACCGCCCATCTTCAAGAAGTCTTAAACCCACCCCTTTAGCCGCCGTGGGACATGTTCTCTGCACAGAGACGGATATCAGTTCAGTGTTCTCCAAGCCCTAAGTCTGGTGCCAAGGCATCGCCTTAGGTGGCTTCATGTATGTGGTGGATTCACTTGGCAATCGTGAATATTGACTTCTTTGGTCCGTCCAGATGCTTCGCGATCTCTGCTGATGATATATCGTTGGAACCTCGGCGTATCACAAGTTGGTGCGGAGCGAACCGCACCTCGCCACCGGAAACCTATGCGTCATGCCTTCGGTCGACCAGCCATAATCGCAATTGTGTTCCTTACCTCCGTAGTCCTGAACTTCTTCCTAATGGGTCGAGTCTTGCTCTCCAGTACTGCACGAGACCGAATCCTAACTTACTGTGAGTATGGAAGCATCTCAACACACGTCTCCTGCTTCGGGCGGAGCTAATGATAGCTCAAATTCTGAGCACAAAACAATAGCCCCAGCACTACCTGCTGTTCGCTATGAGCGGGTTGTATTTTCAAGCGGGTTTGGTATTGAACGATTTCCGCTTCAAGGGCATCCTACAGAGGAAAATAACAAGCTCTGGGCCGATCTTTATGACTGTAAGTCACACCAGAACAATTCTTCATACAAGATTCTGGTCTGACTAGGGTCTCAGTCGGAATCACTAGGATTAGCACAGATGAAGCGCGTCCAATGGATAACAAAACTCTCCCTGTCCCAGGACCGGAGGGTGGGTATGTTGTACAGCTGACAGTCTTCCATCAACCTCACTGCTTGATATGATTGCTTCGCCGGATCCTTGTACGACGTATTTAGGACTGACCAAAAGGAAAACTGTTAGAAATTAATCCGGAAAGGCATATATGGTGCTGTCGACATGACCAACAAGGTCGATTTGCTGTCTATAGAACACCTGGACCACTGTCTCGATATGCTCAGACAAAGTGTAATGGTATGCCACGATTCGTTCTCTTTTATACTACACCATATTATTTCACGATCTATACTAACGATTATCCTCAATACCTGCAGTGCAACAGTGACATAACACCTACAACATTTGCGCGTACTTCTCCTCACGCTTCCATAAAGGGAGGTCGCGCACACTTGTCGGAATTTTGCGGATATCCAGCAATGGGCTTGGAATAGACGACTGACTTCGGAGTTAGAAAAGGACACGTTGGTTACAGATGATCCACTAGATTGGGGAACTTACACATACGTTCCTTGAGTTGGGGTGGCTGTGGGCTTATACTGTGGTAGCATGGTAATAGCTCTATCCTAGGTCTTTCAATTTGCTCAGAAGTTCATTCGTAGTAGTCTGTAGAGTTTTTTGACCCTTTCATCCAGCTTCTGGAGTCAGATATTCATTACTGAATAATAGTGCTACATACGTGAGACATGGAAAATTGCCGAGTGTCTGCTGTTTTGGTTGCTCGCTCCCAACTAGGCTCCTGCCCCTGGGGAGATGTCTACCTTCCACTAATATATATAACGAATTTGCATTTCCCCCACAACACCGTGGCTAACCGCCCCTTGCTTCAACATTATCAGTCATCCCTGTTATTTCAAGAGACTTCTTTCGTCTGGCCTAATGCCCTACCACGGTCCAAAAAAGCCACAAAGCGATGATGGTGTTTCTGCATATACACCAAGCTCCGAATCATGCTTCCACACCCACCCTGATATTTGTGAAAACTTCTTACACATGTGGCTTGTCGAGACGCGAGATTCAGGTTGTTGACTGCCAATATCAGTGTAAATTAACAAGCCAGTAGCACTATTACACATAAGCACCTGTCGTAGTAGGTCTACACAGTAATCTGTTGTACTGTTTGTCTCAATAATGGTTCTACCAGTTGCGGTGATCAATTCAACTTATGAACGTGCTTCCACACGACTTCGGGAGGATCTTGGAAAGTGTCGACGTGTTGGTAGCGGTCTCGCCAGATAAATTTCCGAGTTATATCTAGGCAGTGAAGATGCTGGAAAACTTCAACTGTTGCGTAATAATGATGGTCGATTCCTTTGGTAGGTTTTGTCGTAGCATCAAATGCCTGCAGCGTCTGATAATCAGCTAAGATCATTGGATCTATACTCTGTGTCAGTAATTCAATAAGCACCGACAGGCATTCAAGCTGCGTGGGACATACGATCGACTAGTTTCTCCCAAGCTTCAAGTTCTTTGCGTGACTGTCCTTTGTACACAGACGTGGAAAAAAGCTCGGCATTGAACTTACCCAGACTCTTTGTCGTTAGCCATTCCAGGGGATCTATATCCACGCTATTAGCATATTGGACACGAGCTATGGAAACTTAAGAAACGGATATCTGATAGCTATTGAGGGCATTTTTCTGATGCCCACTATCCCAGGTTATTGATGCATCGGGTGAGCTCATGCGCATTCGATAGAGCCCCAACAAATTCAAGAAAATAGCGGAACAAAACAGAACGGTATGAACACACACGATACCCCTCTTTGTTCGACTAAACGAGCGTGCCCCCGTGCTGAGTTCTTCTGTAGTGTGCGCGTCCATTCCGATCAATTGCTAAATTTGGGTCTTTATTTCTGGATGCAAGTGACTGATTTCACTAGGTGCGTTCTTTCTGGGTGAAGTAGAGCTGTGCTTCTTGTTTCACATCCACGAGAAACTCCGCTCGCAATGTATGGTACTTGGTAGTACCAGGTACCAAGTACCGATGGTGCCATTTGCACAGTGCGTAGGAGAAGCCCGGGCGATATAGCTCTCTGCCGCCCGAGGTGCCTGAGCTACCCGAGCTCTACACTTGTTGCCTAACGAACCAGTCAGCTGGCTGCAGGGCAAACATACACAAATTTATTACAGCTAGGGCAATAACAGACAGATGAAGTCCCAAGGAAGCCTATAGGCATTTCATCGCTAGACCTTTATTTCACACTTCCACGCTACTGAACTCCTTGAGTCAAGGTTCAGGACAAGTACTCAATGACCAGCATGGCGGCCGTTTCCCATAACCACACCAACTTCCAGTCGCGTATCGACTACATCCAGTTACTACTTCTAAAACATCTGGGTCTCTCTATCAACGTAGGTAAATGGCAAGCAAGTTGCAATCACGACCTAGGGAGGAGCTAAGGTTGAAATAAATAATAATATTAAATACGCCGTAGGTGTTAACCCTCGGTACCTCTACAAGTACTCCCTTAAGGGGCTATAGATGATATAGCGGGCCCTTAAGCCGCGTCGGGCGGTTATACAGGTAAACTTGTAGCCAAATGACTACTAAACCTCCTGTCCCTCCCTAAGTCTGTGCTACAACCCCTGCCTGAACTACCGATAAGTGTGGTAATGTGGCACTTAAATTCGTCCTCAGGGGTGGGATGCTGCTGATGTGCAGAAGATGCTCGACTATTTTTTTGTCGCGACAAGTCGTAGTATCTGCTAATTGGGGTTCTCGTCGAGCGTATACATCTCAACCATACGCTCAAGTGGATAGACCGTAACGTGGTCAGACGCTCGCAAGAATCGCGGCGAGAGGGCGTGCTGCGCGCCTTCTATCGTGAGGGGACGGGTTCGCCGACGAGCGTTATCGGAAAGGCGAGGTCCGATAAGGGGTCGGATTAACGATTCGAATTCTGGACCGGCTGTCGAGTTATATTCCGCCGACGTAGTGCTTGACGGTCGACTGGCTAGGATGCTCGTAATCCTAAACTGCACCAATCTCCCTATTATCGCTAGGTAGGCGAAGTCAACAAGGTGGGCAGCGCGCCGTAAGGGTTGACTAAACCCCCTTGTGTGTCAGCTGCGGGATTCGAACCCGCGACTCGTCACCGACCCAAGTGGGCGAGGCTCAAATCGGGACTTATCTACCAGCGAAGTGACCAACTACACCAGCCGACGGTTGAAATATACACCGCGCTAGATTCGCTACGCATCATATCCCTTCCCGCCCTGAGCTTCTCCACTTTACTTTCTATCATCTGTACGCAAGTAACGATCGAACGCAGGACGTAGCGCAGACTGAGATCACGCCGATCCAATACGAACCAGATTTCCCTTTCAAATACAACAACTTCGTCTATCGCCTCTCGCTTCCCACCGACGTCTCAGGTGTTCTTGGAGATGCCGGCCACGACCACAAGCTCAAGCAGCCAGGCTGCGTCCCCATTCCAGCAGGGACCAAGGAGCTCATTCTACGTTTGAGCAACCCGGACGCTGAGGGTATGCACCAAAAATCGAGAGTACAGAACGAGGTTGGCATCCTCACCCTCGCCTCGGCTGCCTTCCACCATATCAAGCCCACCGTGGTCCCTCGCGTTTTCGGCTGGGGTGGCACTAGCGCTGCCCCTGAGCATATGGGTTGGATCCTAGAGGAATCGATGCCCGGCGTACCACTTGTCGAGGCGTTTCGTTCTATGTCTCTTGAACAGAAGAAGGGGATCCTAGCGCAGATGGTCGCATTACTCAAGGGGCTGCAGAGTTACGAGCTTCCTGAAAGTATCCGAGGCTGGGGAGGCGTAACATTTGATGACAATGGCGCCATCGTCAGCGCAGCTATGACTACTGTCGGTGCTGGACCGTGGTCTTCTTTCGAAGACTCCTTCAGAGCTCGCTTGAAAATAGCACTTGCCAAAGCCGACAAGAGTCCGCATCTACAGGGATGGCGTCCCAACGGCGTCCGAAAACGCGTTGATGCTTTCATCGAGCAAGGCCTAGCGGCGCAATTCGACGGCTTCACGTCAAAGCATGACAGGGCTATTATACATGCCGATTTCAGTAGGTGTCTGCCTTTTCTATTTTAAAACACGTGGTATTCCTCATCGTTCCCAATCAAAGCTGCCAGGTGGTTTAGTCGTAAGGACTCCTAGCCCCTACTGTATTCCCGATAGCTAGCTTCCGCTTGATTACTGGGAGAGGCGAAAATTATTAGTCATTGAGCCCTACTTGTACCTTTCACCCACGCTATACCAAGCTACTTGCGATGTTTCTATCACTCTATACAGACTTATCATGACAATATCACTAACATTGAGCCAAAGCTACCGATAACCTGCTCTATGACCCCGTAACGGGCCATATTACGGCACTTCTCGACTATGACTTCGCCAGTATCATGCATCCTGCTTACGAATTCTTCCGCTCTTTTTCTGGCAACGGCGGCCAGCTTACTGGCTGGTTAGGTGACACGACTATACAAGAAAAAGAGTCGGCAGCTATTCGAAATGCCAAACTTTCCGGCCAGTTTCCTTCGCCTCTCCCAGCTCCGGTGCCGTCTGAAAATGGCCCAGGTCTTGATTGGGAACTTGCTCAAGCTTGGGAAGACGAGCTGCAAAAGCTAGACGCAAAACGACCCAGCACAATGCAAGGGGTTGACAGAGTTGCGAACGTCGACGAGATCTTGGGTGCTCTAGTACCTTGGAGATTGGCCAATGAGGACTTTTTGAGGATGAATGCAGATGAAGATACGATAATGGCGCTGAGACGCATAGGTGAGAGGCAGCTTGTGAGCTTGCTAGATCATGTGGGGTTCTGAACTAGAGTATTTCTAAGAAGAAATGAAGGCGCAAAGATAGAATTTCGACGGGAATAGAACGTGGATGAACGATGGTAATGGTATGAGGTGACACTCTCAGTTGAGGATGGATATTCCATCAATTGATAGGTCTATACTTCCAGAGTATTGAGATATCTCGTCTTATAAATGTTTGTCGCCTATCATACAGAATCATCTGGATGGAATACCAACGCTCTAATCTCGATACTTTCCCTTTCTGGCTTATCCTCGTGCTCTTCATTCACAAACGCTGTGTGCGGAACCCTCCGTGCTCTGCCGTCTGTCTTCGAATCAAAACACTTGATTAGCAGCACCTCCTCAGGCGTCTGCTTATATAAATAATACCATCTATGATTCAGACTCGCTCTCACAGAAAAGGTCTCTCCCTCCTCATCTGGGTTATGCTGCGGGGTCTTCCCCAAAGAGCTCGTCTCGCCCTCCTTATCCTGATAAATCAATTTGATCGAAACAAGGCCCGAATCCTCAACTGATCCGGCTTCCGCAACACCGAGAGGGTCTTTCAGGATGGTCTTGATTGGTCGCCAGACATTGATTATCTGATAACGCCCTTTAAAGAGAGCAGGAGCTTCATCGGGGAGATGATGAGAGACGCGCTTGGGACCTGCGGTGTAGGATTGGTCGATATGAACTCGGTAAATGGGACCGCGGAACGCGAGGGGCTTGCATCCAATATGAGAGTCGACAGTTCCGCGACGGACAGTATGGTTAAAGATGAAGACTCTAGATCCTCCATTATTATATATGTCAATATATGATAAGGTTGGTGGGGTTTTCCATGCTTACACGGTCCCCAACAGCTCTTCGATTTCGGGGTAGCAAATGCGTTTGATCTGCTCATCGTTGATGAAATCCCTTTCCTTGCTCGCATGCTTAACAATCTGGAACCCGTTCGTGTCTAAGGCGTATAGAAACTCGTTGCCACGGATATCATGGCTATAGTCTTTCGTGAATCGGATGGTCTGGCATCTGCCTTGCCGACATAACCCGGAACATGGGGATGATCATCTTCATTCACCTTGAAATAATTCAAGTCAGTAGTGACATCGCAGGGCCTAGACTCTACATCTTGATTAATAGAACCTGGCTGTTTAGTAAGACAATCAGAATGATCGTCTTGAGTCTTAGAAGGTTCTTGAACACGAGATCGGTTTGTTGCGGCTGATGCCATTTGAAGTGGATGCTCCCGTACGAAAAGCAACTTGAAGAGAGAGAGAGACGCACGAAATGTACCAAGTCAAGTAAGGAACAAGGGGTATGACGGGGATTTATCCGAAGTAGATATGCACATTTCGCAACCGCGGGGCTGAGAGGGCTATCGCCGAAGTTGGGCACGATTTAGGTGCCGGGACCAAGCAATCTGGGAATCGCACTGTGGCAACCCCGCTGCTGCAACGGGCGGCACACTCTCCAATTGTCCTGTGCTGAGAACTGAGGCTTCAGTACGGTACTCCGTACTCCTATTAAAAGATCTCAGTGCCTCCCAACTGAACAGACACTGTAACCATAATATATCTGACAAAATGGACCTGCCAGAGGGCATAGCCCGGAGGTCTAGCCACAGCCTCGAAGCCTTTCGCATCCGGCCCGGCGACATGCTCCACACTGCCTATACTGCCTCAGTTTTCAATAAAGTTCGATTTACTGCAACGTCTTTTTTAGTACTTACCCAAGGATCTTTAACGTCCGCCTCTCCTAGCTTATCAACTATCTGCTGAAACAGCACTGAAGGCGGGGTAAACTCTACTCATGTATATAGTCATTATGTAGAGAATTAACCTCTCTTTGCCACCTGAAATTCTGCACTACTTAGTCGTATAGCGTATTACTAATTGTGTTATTAAGACCTTTGGTAAATTATAAACTTGCATACATAATCCTCGGAGTGGTTAGACTTTCCTTTTTAGTGTAGCAGTGAGAATGTAACTTAACTATAGCTTATGGAACGTAAGGTTCTCTAACCCTGGCGGGAGACTTTCGGATATAATGCCGGGTCGCCCCATGGTGTAGATGGTGTGCTCTCCCCACTTCAACACTCTGTGATGACAATCCCCGTTTCCACTCTGATGCACTTTGGATGATTTTTTATCTCAAACCCACTGGAACCTCACACATCTGTTCTAAATACCATTAGATCGGACATCCATGTCTCCTTCAGCAACCATTGAAACACCGGCGTCGAAGCCATCACAAGTGCAGTCCATGGGTCAAACCAAAGACGGGCGGAACTTGAAGATCAGAAGCTATCCCAAGTTCAAAACTTTGGAAGAAGAGCGTATTTACCGCAAACAGCACCTAGCAGCCGCCTTCCGCGTCTTCGCCGACCGCGGCTTCGATGAAGGTATCGCCGGGCACATTTCGGTGCGCGATCCCATTCTGACGGACCACTTCTGTAAGCATCGTTACCCCGACTAGGAATATTGCTGATTCTCTGATCCAGGGCTCAACCCACTATCAATGCACTTCTCCCTCATCAAAGTACCCGACCTCATCCTGGTCGACGAAGAGGGCCTAGTAGTCGAAGGCGACGAACCCATCAACACCGCCGCCTTCACCATCCACTCAGCCATCCACCGGTCTCGACCCGACGCCAACGCCGCCTGTCACGCGCACAGCGTGCACGGTAAGGCGTTCTCAGTCTTTGGGCGGGAACTTGAGATGATCACGCAGGATTCCTTGCGATTCTACAAAGCGCACTCCGTGTACAGAAATTTCGGGGGCGTGGTCGTGGATCGCGAGGAAGGTGAACGGATTGCTCAGGCGCTGGGTAGTAGCAAGGCGGTTATTTTGCAGAATCATGGGTTATTGACTGTGGGAGAGTCAGTTGATGAGGCGGCGTTTTGGTTCATTAGTTTGGATAAGACTTGTCATGCGCAGTTGCTTGCGGATGCGGCTTCTGCGGCGGGATATAAGAAGCAGTTGATTTCGGATGAAGAGGCGGAGTGCGGTGTTCAAGAGGTGGGAGGCCCCGCGAAGGGGTGGTTGGCATTTCAGCCGTATTATGATGAGCAGGTGGCCAAGACGGGAGGGGCATTCTTGAAGTGATATGTACTTGTTTGCGGGCTTGTAGCTGCCAAATACTATTGGGCCCTGACTAATTTGTTATCAAGCAAGCTTAGCGTAGTATTTGGGAATATAATTCTTCACTATCTGGAATCCAATTATTTACTAGTTCTCTGTAGTAAGTGTCCTCGAAGTTATATAATATGGCAAGTATTTCGGCCTGAATCGTCTGGAGGCGTCTACCCTGTGCCAGATCAGGACCGGAAAAATAGGATTGGCGGCCTTCTTGTTCAAGAAAAGGGCGTTCAGCGTGTGCTCGCCGCTATGCCGCTGTGGTGACGCCCCTGAAATGGCAGACATCACAGATAGGCCACGATGGGGGGTTTATCCTATTGTGCAGAGCGGATTGTATTCGTTGACCAGATTCAGTTTTGGGGTCAATGAGAACCCAAGCAAGTTTGACTTCTCCGGTACTCTATCACTCAAATTTCTTTGAGAAATATGAAGGCATCGACGAGCTACGGCTTATGAATGGTATATAGAAGTCACCTACAGTTATTATCTTCCAGGCACATGATGACCGACACGATGGCACACAGATAGGGGCTTATTTCATGGCACGCAACGCGATGCACTGTGCCCATTGCCATCAAAGGACGTCGGGACTTTTGGAGTGTCGCGATCGTTTTCCACACAAGCTCGCGAAGCATTGCAAAGCAAAACCTGCCGCCAACGAGGTACAGCCAGCTTATCATTTCTGGTCACAAATCTCGTGCATTGCCATTTAACAATTAATTGTAACTTGGACCCATCCAAACAACCCACCAAGCCCAACGTTGCTTTTCGTTGGCAAAATGCACCAGCCACCACGACGTTCGGTTCGCCGCAGAAGACCGGAAGCCAACTTCGATGGCGACACTGACTTTGCGAAGATTGTCCACGTTTCGAGGCAACACTCCAGGAGCAGAATCAACACGATCAAGTCTCACCAGAAGTTATGGACATGATCCCCGTTTGGCCCATCTGCAGAACGTGTCACTTCCTAGGAATTTACCCGTCATCTCACCGTGATGAAGGGTGAAGATCTACAATTTTATTATCAGGATACCCCTACCTTCTAGCCTCGACAACAATAGCCAAAAGTGCCACAACCCCAGCCAGAACAGCCACTAAACCTGCAAGAACCTGATTCAAAGTGAGTCCTTCCAACCAAACCTCCACGCCAATAGGAATCACCCCTCCTGGAAACGCCTCTCTTCTATCTTCCACTCTTCTTCTCAAATGCTTTCCCACATCCCGAATCTCAACCACAAGACTATGCCTCGCAACCTCCGTACCGTGCACACGGTGTCTCACATACAATGTCTGCCTCTCCCAGTCCACCTCCCACTCCCCATCACTAACCTCGACCTTCAACTCATGTCCCTCGTAATGGTACTTAGGCAGGAACAGCTCCGTCAACCTCGCCTTATCCCCTTTTCCAATATCTACCTTCTCCGATTTGCTTTCCCAGTCAAACTCAAACCTCAGCGTTCTCGGATCCCAGTCCGACCTCAGCGGCTCGCCAGCGATCTTAATCGCATATGGCCTAATAACCACGTCCAGGACTCTTCCGCCACGGTACAATTCGTCCCCCTCATGCGATTTGTTGCGGTAATCGGGCCTCACATCCCCGTGCTCCACAATCTCATCCCCATTCGTAACGGAGAAATCCTCCTTGTTCCACCCATCGCCCCACTCAACACAATTATGCGGGTTATAATTCCATAGCGTGAATCCGAGCAGATTATCCTCCATAGCTGCGATCAGGGCATTCATGAGCTGGCGCTGTATATCGTAGTCCCCTGTTGCAAAAGCGGTCTTGTCGTTGATGTCGAATGGGATGCCGACCTCGCCGATGATGACGGGCACGTGGCTGAGGGAGGCGCGGCCGTAGTGGAGTATGTTGCGCAGTTGAGCGCGATAGTTCTTGCGTAGGCCTTGGACGCCGAAGTACAAACCGCGCAGGATGAACATCCCTCGTGATAGACCTTGCACGTTGACGCTCATCCAGTTGTGGGCTTTGCTGAAGAGGACGTTGAGGTCGTAGAAGTGGGGTGTGTAGACGAAGTTACGAGGGCGCTCGGTGGTGATTAGTGTCCTGGTCGCGTAGGTCTGCTGGCGGTGCGCAGTGGTGAGCTCGCTTTCGTTGGGCTGCCATGGTGGCATGAATTCGTTGGGGATGGGCTCAACAAAGCAAAGGTGTGAAGAACGCTGGCGTGACGTACGCTCCGTGAATCGTCGGATGAAAGGGGCGTAACAGTCGCGATACCATTCGATCCGTTCACCTTCGTGGCCCGACCTGTGGTCGTACTCGAAGTAGTCTTTCTGCAGTACGACGGGGGCTTGCTTCTTCTCGTCCCATTTCCATACGCCATGTGCACGCCATACACATCTCCCCATTCCTTGGGGTCGGTCTGCCACAGCCACTTTGTGGCTCTCCAGTGGCAGCCAGGCGGAGCGGCCTCTGGGATCAACCCGCGTTCGGTGAGAGATCCGGGTTGGAAAGGGCCAGGACTTGACATAGTATGGCACCTGTTGAGCATAGCCGCTACCAAGTGCCAGTGCCTCAGCAAACGACGGGTAATACCCGATATGTAGTTCGGTATCGTAGTTCCAACTATGGAAGTCGTGCAAATGGATGAGGCCGCGATGCGGCTCATTCATCGGCTCGAAGCCCAGACATGCCTCGAGCGGCCCCACTTCATCAGCCAGCCGTCCAAACGCTTCAATCAAAGAATCCTGGAGGAATGACTGTACCGAGACATCCTCCGGGGTTCCATTACCATGGAGCGGGGAGCGGCGACATTTGAGCTCAGGAGCGAGGGAATCACCCGCCCAGAATAAGGTTGCCATTGTGGAAGCTGCGAGCTTCTGGTATCCAGATGGCCACACAAAAGGCCCGCTGGGCTCTCGCTCATTGACGGGCGCAACCGCACGCCTCGCATCATCCTGCCCATGCACGTATGCAGCACCCGTGTCGGTAAAGGCCTCGATATCAAGGCCGGCAGCTTCGAAGGTCCAGCCGGGCGCCCCGCTTCCTCCACTAAAGCGACTCCAGACATCCTGATGGGCGCAGACGAAGCACTTTATGTCGTACTTAGGCATCAGCTCAATGATCTGTCGCAGGTAGGCGATATACTCCAGGTCGAGATCAGTGTTTGGGTTTGGACCAGCGTGGCCGATGGACTCCCAAGTCACCAGCAGCCGGATGAGCGGCAACCCCCATGCCTGCAATCGGCGGAAATGAAGATGCGCTTCCTCAATAGGGAACGGCCTCCCCACGAAAGTGACGGTGCGATGCTCAAAGAAACCCTCAGTGAGGTGGGACAGGCCATTGGGTTCAGTGGGCAGCTTGCTTGAACCGGACACGTTGAGGCCACGCAGTGAAAGGGTGCGGCCGTACCCATCTGTGAAGTGGCCATCTTGTATGCGTATCGAGCCTCCTAGCGCTGCGTCAGAAAGATCATGCGCTGCATGCTCTGCGTGAGATGCACGTACATCGCCAGCCGGCTGGCGGTCGTTGCACGAGAGAGGTGCCGACATGAAGTTCATTTGGTGGTGGTTACGAAGATGATTTCCGCCAAGATGTTTGATAATTGGCTAAGCTTCAACGTCCCCACCCCATTCCCAGAAATGAATGCGTGAAATTTCCCAACTTTTCATAACTTTACAGTGCACAACTCATCAAGCTCTAACGGCCCTCACATTGCATCTTGACGAACGAAGGAGTTTCGTCGGAATACCAGTGATATTTTGCACAATCTTGGCCATATATCCATCTGCATCGCTCGCCAATGGTCCCCAATTGCACCCACTGGCTGCCAAACGAGACTACGTCGTAAGGGGCAATCCGCTCTTGCATAATTGTGGCGTCCTTGGTTCAACAAAGGCCAAATCTAGGGGGCTTTGCAGATAGATGCAATTTACTACCACCAGAAGTTGGTCACATTATGCCTTACCGCTTGGGGGCAACTCGTTGTACAAGCCTTTCCATTTTTTCCGTCAATCGCGACATTCGGCGTAAGGAATGGATTGATTCGCCAATCCAGAGCCGCTGGCCAACCAGAGACATCATCCAAGTCGTCGGTAAGACCCCAGTTTAGAGGCGCGCCGGGACAAAGGTTTTAGAATATAAATCCGGCAAACTGCTACATTCGAAATATTACAGTACAATGATCAATCACTGTTATCACTATTGACAAACTGCCACAATTCTCCAAATATGTCTTCCTTGATCGAATCACTCCCTCGCGTGATGGAGGACCCTAGCAAATTCCATGGATCCAACCAATATTTCTTAACGGCGTCTGTAGCGGTTGCGACGTGGTTCTTTCTCCTTGTTCAGTTCTGTGGATCGGTTGCCAAAAGCCATTATCCCCTCGTGGGTAGTGAGCTGCGCATATATATCTACGGCTCTTCAAAAGCTTCGGAGAAGTATAATAAGTACATTGCGACTCCTCGTCTCAGTGGTCACTTCTTGAATTCACAACCATGGCAGCAGAAGGGCTGAGAAAGGCTCTGCCGCCGACACAACGAGGTGACCGTGGTTGTGCTTTCGAAATGAGGGGGGCAGGCAGTGACAAAAGATATTCCGTGGAGGCATATACCAGACTACTTGAGAAAGACAACGAACAACTTAGACTGCGAGATAAACAACGGCAGCAACAAATAAGAGCCCTGGAAGGGAGAATGCAAATAGAGAAGCAGAACCAGAGATTATCCACAGATAAGTTGCGGAGCCAAAGAGCCAAAAAGCCAATCTCAACAAGCGAGATGCGCTCGTGTCTCATATCGCGACTACGATTGTACAGGAATTCAAGCGTTATCAGGAAGCACTTGTAACGACCAAAGACGAAGGCACGATAGCAACCAGCTATTTCGACCACGGATCCCCCGTTTGGACGTGAGAACAACGCGCCTACATGTATATATAGCAACTGAGACTGCCGCGCGCCTATGCTGTGTATTGAGATAGAATTTCATAACGAGATTTGCAGATTATAAGGTATTTAAGATATCATGAAACTGATCTGTCCGTTCAAAAACTACTTATTCAACATCTACTATCCTCGAAACACCGTCATCCAAATACCCTTTCTATATTCATCACGACTATCATCTGTGAGATAACTCAGACAATCGATGGACGCAGCGAGCCTGTATCTGAAATATCCGTCTTACTCAAATGCGATGATTTCTTGCAGCAATTCGAGGGTTTCTCAGATGCACGCGGGGAGGTAACAGCGTGGTTCTCGACCGGGAGCAATGCGTGCATAAAGGTGGGTGGATTGGTACAATACAGGTCGAACTCAGGGGGGCTTGCGGCCGGCAATGGGAGCCACTAAACCAGTCAAAACGGTTTTGGAACTGGACAGGACGGCAATGCACGTTTCTGATCGTATGGGCCGTTTTTTGAGGGCGCTTACTGAGTGCTGAACAGCCAGCGTATTCCATCAGAGCCAATTATTAGCACACGTGTAGGTGATGGCCCCCTGTCCATGTAGACGCTAAGGCATCGGTACCAGACGGAACAGCTGGACTTTTGTGAGTTGGATGGATTTATAATTAGTTATATAAAATATTATCGATCTAGAAACCTAGTTATGTCACCATAAGGTGTTACAAATGGAAGTAAAAGAGTGACTTGTTGTCATCATTTTTCTTTAGGAGGAAAAGACTGGGCTTATGTAGATTTTAAAAATGATGTTGAAAGCTGACTGTTGGCGCTTCTGATATATCGGTTAACTTACTTGTTGGTCTTCAGGAATGAAGTCACAAGTGCGTCATATCCCAGAAGAATCAGACACGATCAAGATTCAATCCAGCTTCAAGCTTGGGACCAATTTCTAATTTTGCTGTTGATCATATTGTTTGCCGTCGTTTCTTTTACGGCGCTTAGAGTCTTTTAGTGATTGGATCGAGACGACCACATCTTGGAGGCCTGGTACTAGTGGAACAAGGCTGGTATTTCCCCTAGGCGTCAAACATGGCTGAACAAATCATCTTCTCGTTCTGAAGGCCTATCGCATCCGATATTTGCTCAATTCCACATTCTGGACCAAAATCCAATACCAAAATCCAATACCAAAACCGGGCAAGGCATTCATCTGCTCTCCAGAGTCGCCCTGGTTGTGATAGCACCTGATAAATGTAAGCGAAAAGCAATCAACGATATTTTAAAATAAGAACGGTCTATAGCTCATCTTTACTATTGTTGAATTATTTTAAATGAACAAAGTTTGGATTGAACTTCTTCGCAAAAGAGTAAAACTTCCACCCTCATATTCACAAGGTGCAAGACACCCAAATCACAAACCACTCATTCAACTGCTTCTCGGAAAGGAGTTTGTGCCACATGGTCGGCTCTCGAGGAAGATTGATACCCCCCATAGCCTCGATGAAGGCATCTACTTCTTCTTGAGTGGCTGTCGTCCCAGCGCTGTCAGGCATCCATTAGTTACTTCTACAACCGTATGTTGTGGTGACGAGGCCTTTACAAATAACATTAGCCAAGTTATAAAGATCCTGTTCGCCTTCTGCGTATGCTATTCTTTTGAAAGGCTTGATAAGGCTGGGAGAGAGTAGACAAAACCCTAGAGTTCCGCCAGCAGCTTACGCTTTCCGGTGAAATTCCTTGGCCCATATCATTTCGTTTAGGAGTTATTGCTCAGCTAAGAGTGGTTGGTATATTGCATCTATGGTGAGAGTGAGATGACGGATACACAAAAGACATCAGGGGGCGGCCTCAACATTATTAATATACACTAACACGGCACGTTGAGAAGCATTTTCCAAGCCCAACCACTGCCACCTGTGTACGCGGCGCATTAATTCAGAATGGAGCAAGGGGGTCGGACTCGCACAGGCCGCACACGATACGCGGGCTGATAGAGCATCTCTATATCGAACCTAAGGGTTGGCCGCATCATTTTTATAAGTGTCGGCCACGTCTCACAGGATAAAATGCAGTGCATTTACGAATTAGTGGCTGCCTTATTTATCTAATCCATTCCTTCGTCTTTTTAAAGTGCAAAACTCGCGGGTGTATACCCAGTGAACGATTCCGTTGGTCTCAATTATGACCTCCTCTTCCACATCCGCCTCAGCCTTGCATTTATCTTTTCCTTCCACAGTTTCAGGTGTGAGAACTTGAGATAATTTGTAGGAAAACGGAAACCTCCTCTGGTTTGGTGGCCTGGCAAACCTTTTGGAGGATACTCAACACGTGTGGAACTACTGGTCATTTGATCCTCCAAGGAATGTGTGTGTGGTGCTCTTGTCGGTGAATGGTAAGAACTGTCTGAGCCTGGCGACGGCAACTCAGAAGAATTATCGTCTGTTCGTTGTTGGAGCCGCAGGCCGGAAGCCATCGAGCTTGTCGACACAGAATAGGTACACTTTCTGCCCACCATCTTTTCAGCACCATGCCACACTGGTCTGCCGATAAATCTAAAATACTGCCCGAGAGAGGTCTCTTCAAAGCGGCTGAGCCTGTCAATTCCATACAGGAGGGGGACGCATTTGATCGGCAATTGCATGGCGCGTCTGAGGAACAATTGTTCCCAAGCAAGGATAACACTTGTAACGCATGACTTCGATCTTCCAAATGGCTTACCTCTGTCCTCTCCATACTCATAATGTACTCACACTCCTTTATCCATGTCACTTTCCTCTTGCAACACTTCTCATCGTATTACTCGCTTCACCTGAGCACTTGGCCATGGACATGAAGACCATCGAACGGCAACTGCATTCCAATTGCGCCGAGAAACCGAAGGATCTCTCCAAAAATCTCTACGCTTTTTGCAAAGCAAGGAGATTCGAGATTGAAAGCTTGCAACTGCGAAACGATATATACATAATACGCTTGAGACGGCTTGTGACATAGCGAAAGGCAATAGTTTAAGGTATGGGAGCAAAGCCAATTGATTGTTCTCAAACTGACAAGGAGGTTTGCAGGATGGTCATCAAGCTCACTCACTCATCTGGTGATATCCCAATGGCCCATTGTCTAAACTCATCCTAGGGACATGACATTCTTAGATGGATAGTTCTACTTCATGATGTAAGGGGTGGAAGTGCGCGAACGAGAAAGGCAATGGTCATCAGGCAGGATATATTTACTACAGTGCATAGATCGGTAAAATCGGTAAAACAACCAAGGATTTGTGGACGGGGCTAGAGCCTTCTCGTGCATGACATTATCTTGTATTGAAAGCATTGTGAGAATAGTCTGACACATCTGTCAGACCTTATAACTACCAAAAATACCTCATTCTACAACGAGTTGGTCCCTCGTCTTTTGACGGTCAATTTGGTCCAACAACATCCGATCAATAAAACCTTGCGAATATAACTTCGAGTGCGTCACTCCATGCTGAGTTTCCGGTTTTCAAGAAGTCTGGGGCTGTGTAAAATGGCTCGGTGAACTAGATGCAGCCCAACCTACACATCTATCTAATATTATGAGATGGGATTGGTCTGCTGGCGCTGCAAATGAGGTTACACCAGTCACAGCCTCTTACCAGTGTGAAAGATCAGCGCCTATTTGATCTACCTACATAATTCCATTCGAAAGCGCGGCCTGGCCATTGGTGGAGATAACTGTCGAAGCCCGGCAGCCTTGTCTGAATCCATTGAGTCACTCCACTACTCGTCAGATCTCAACACGACCTCTGACTTGTAAGACGGTGCCCCGTTGAGACCTGACGAGTCCAATATTATTTAAGCCGCTCACTTGCCCCGTTCAATACATCTTGGCATTTTTGCAACTGTAATGCCTGTCATCACTTTCTGGCCCATATACTGTACCTTATAACCTATGCTCCTATCATCAACTAGAATTTGGATAATCCTGAATCATTAGGGATTCCGATTTCACCCATTAAGTTAACCAGCCATGCAGAACCAGCCCAGACAGACTCTTGACTGTGTCTTGTCCCATCGCCTGATTGACAAGAGTTGCAAACCAAACATTGAAGTTCCCCCCTATAACAACCCTCAATTTTTGACGTCAACCAAAGTTCGCGAATTTCTTCAGGAAGATATCATTAGAGCAACACTTCAAGACTGCCTGAGGAACTTCCTGCAGGGATATTGACAGGTATGTCAGGTATGTGCAGAATGGGGCAGAGTAGATTTTCCTTACGCTTGTCTTCACGGGGCTAGTCAAGAAAATACCAGCACTATGCGAACATCATTTTGCAGATAATAGTCTACCCATTGGTCGCAACGAGGAATGGAAAATGTTTTCGCTATTACCCCCGAATGAAGACGGTACGCTGCCTTTGGACGAACAAAGACCACGGCAGTTTTTGAACGAATGGGAAACGTTTGATGCCTGTCGACTGATCCAACATCAATGGATATTCCTTGCCCCATCATTCTTACATCATCAATTTGAGTACACTTTCTACGATAAACAACCACTCCCATTTGTGGCCTGCCAAGGTGCAAGTCAGAACTCGGGCTACTTTGGCATGGTTCAAAAGGTTAAGATTCCCATTGGCCATCAAACCTTTGCCTAAGAGGTAACTGGTCTCACAATGAATTTGCTTGAAATCTACTGAAACATTTTTGCAGACCAACACCAACGAACACATAGTCGCAGTGAAATACTTGACCGGTCAGAGTAATGATGACGAGGCAAAGAAATTCTTCGCCAAGGAGAAAACCACGCTGTGAATAATGAGGAGATTGAATCATCTTCATCTCATACAAGCCTATGCAGCATATCAAAGGGGAAAGAACAGACGCTTCGTGTTTCCATGGGCTGATGGTGGTAACCTGCTAGATTTATGGAAGAAGGATAGACTCAGCTTGACCGAAGACCTACTTTCTTGGGCTTTGTCGCAAGTACAGGGTCTTTTAGACGGACTCAAAAGACTTCATAACGAAGGTACCCGCCATGGAGATCTCAAGCCAGGAAATATTCTCGTCTTCCAAAACTCCGCAGGTGGAAAGGAGACTTTGGTCATCGCAGACGTCGGACTTGCAAAATTCCACGCTCTCTATACCCGTCAACGGTTTGATCCTACAAAAAAACATGGAAGCAGAAGATACGAGCCACCAGAGGTAGACGAAGCCAACCCTACTTCTCGGAAATATGATATGTGGTCGTTCGGTTGCATACTAATGGAATTTCTTATCTGGCTTCTATATGGCTACGAAAGTCTAGAACAGTTCTTCAAAGATTCCAGAGAGAGGAATGGAGAAGCTCGTTTCTGGGAAACAGACTCAAATCCACGATTACGCCCAGTCATTAAGACATGGTTGACAAAACTATCGACTTCCCTCGACGACAACCTACCACAGAACCTCGCATTGAAGGACCTCTTAGACCTAATTCGAGCGCAGTTGCTTCGAATAAACCTTGTATATCGTGCAAGTTCCAAGAAAGCATTGGAGACGATGAAAGAGATCCAGAATAAAGTTTCATCAAATCCTTCATATGCATTCAATCCTGCACTCCAGGAACTGACTACGGCGAAGTCTGTTTCCTCCATAATAGAGGGCGAAAGAACCCTGGCACTTTCTAAATCAGTAAGTACCACCGAATTTAAGCAAGGCGTTGAGACAAGTTATAACAAAATCTGCAGTACGTAAGTCATTGACGCATCATGATCTTTTCAAAACGCTGACAGCGACCTTTTGGGAACTGGAGAATGTGAGTAAAAGCGCCTCCCTTTGGTTGGTGGATGAATGCTAAAGAGAATCAGCCGGTAGATTCAGTGACACATGCTTAGGAGGAGAGTTGCTGACTTGAGCAGAGATCAAGTAAGGTTCACGATGCATGGACGGTTATAATGAACAACAAGCTGGCACATGAAATTTACTCGCGGCTTCGCTGGTCTCTTCCTCCTATAGAGACGACTCCTTCAACGATGTGCCAAGCTTGTAAGGATCTGGACCTAAGACAGCCTGAAATAGACTTTGGTCGCAATTTTGAGGAGATCCGTGATCAGCCTGTCGAATGTCATTTATGCCGGCTATTGGACCAGTGTCTCCGAAAGACGAGCATCGCGTCCAACAAACCTCTTCAGCTCTTTCGACGCAACCATGCCCTCAGCCTTTCCAGAGATGGACCACCTATTCTTTCCATATACTTTGACCCAGGTTCATCGTGCCGCTGATCGCGCTTTGGTTGCTGTAGATGGTTATTTACATGATCCATTAGCAAGTTCCCATCTCGGCGATTTACAATTTGCTCAGGTAGGACGGCCGTGGTTACCCAAGGCTGGCAGTTAGCAACAATTCGAGTTGTTGCGAGATTGGATACGTCTCTGTGATGGTAATCATGAATGTTACCGCATTCAAGAAAGCCCAACTTCTGCCCTGAAGATATCCACGAGGGTGATAGATGTTGGCACCAAAGACGACCCACGTTTACGCCTGATTGAGCCTGCTGACAACTTGAGGGATAAGTTTATTGCACTAAGTCATTGTTGGGGGAAGGTCACGAAGGATCTCCGCATCTGCACAGAAGAGGGCAATATCAAACAATTTAGGAACAACATCAACTTAAGCAGACTCCCCAGAACATTCCAAGATGCTGTCATTGTTACCCGAGCCTCAGAATCCGGTATCTCTGGATCGATTCCCTTTGCATCATACAGAACGATGAAAGCGACTGAGAATCTGAAGCTCAGAAAATGGAAGACTACTTATAGTTCCGCATACGTCACCATCGCAGCAACCTCTGCAAAATCATCAGGGGAGGGCTTCCTAATCGGTAGACCCAGCAGATATTATGCTACGGTTTCAACTCCATCTGGCCCTCTCCATCTGGCAGAGGCTATAGACAACTTCCAAGCTGACGTCGAAAGGGGCATACTGAACACAAGGGCCTGGGTTTTACAGGAGAGAGCATTGTCCCGCCGTACGATTCACTTCACTGCGACTCAGGTCTACTGGGAACGCCGCAGGGGCGTCCATTGCGAAACTCTGGCACAACTATGCAAGTAAGTACAACCATTCTCGGAGTACAGTCTGCGGTAAAGATTGTTCAATAGCTAAACCTTCGTATCTATAGCCCGCAATCCCAGTTCCTCGGAGACCACGAATTTCCACGGATATGGCTGATTTATTTCAAAAATGAGCGAATCAAACTCATACAGCATCTACACACAGTCTATAGTGCACTGAAACTGACGAAAGAGGTCGACCGCTCGGTCGCCATCGCGGGATTGCAAAAGCGAATCGCCACCGCATTCCAAACTAGGTTCGACCACGGTATTTTCTGGAAATACTTTGAAAGATCGATATTGTGGTGCGCCCTTGAGAGGGAAAGCCTGTCCCGGATCAAATACGCGAGGGACCATTCAGTGCCATCTTGGTCTTGGATGGCATATTCGGGGACGATTAAGTACCTTGAAATTCCCTTTGGCGAAATTGTTTGGACAGGGGATCTTGAGAATCCGTTTGCTGATGGGTCAAGGGAAAAAATCTCCGAGCAAGGTCTTGTCGCTCGTGCGAGCGCATTCACCGTTCAAGGGCCCAACCAGCTGATCATACTGGACATGGATACTCAATCCGACCCGAATAGAAATCTCCGGAGGTGTATCACTGTCGGAAAACAGGAAAAAGAAAATCAACTGGGTGAACTGTTACATTACGTCCTGCTGATACGACCAATACTTCTTGATGATTTTGACTCGGTTTTTCATTATGAAAGAGTTGGGTTGGGATCCTTGGTGCTTCTCACATTTTTGTTGACACTGAGAAAAATTTACTTAAGTAATGCAGTATCATTTTTCTCTACATCAACAAGTTCAAACTGCAATAACTTCTTATCAACACAGAGTTCATTCATAGTATTAGAATATGACAATCGAAGTTGGTAGTTGCTTTCAGGTGAATAAACTGTTAACTAAACTCGCAGGTGTTTGTGGAACTCATGGCCATCTCATAAGAATATTTTACATAATTTCAAAATCCATAGTTAATAATATGATAATAAATAATATGATTTAATCATTCAATCGATTGATTTTGCCGTTTTCTAGTTCACACGAGGCCAGGTTTCTTGCGAAGTCCAACCTCTCCGAAACCAATGGTAATCGGTAATGATCCCCAAATACTGGAACATGCCAATGCATTCTTCTCATATTTGTAAAAACGTAAGTATCCGTGATATGGATCGAAGAGTAGCATGCGACGGCCAAATCTCTTTGGCGTGATCATACAGGCCGTCCAACAGGCCATTTAACGAACCCCAATAAATGCTAAAGGTTTCAGGCCAATTGCGCAGGTTTAGCCCTATAACCATATACTTGACAGTTCGTGGTTTGACTTTTGGTCTATCGTGAGATGGACCACATATACACTCGACTATGACGCATTCGTTTCTTGAAGATCGCGAAGTAAACTATGAGCTCATTGTGGGCTTGACTACAGGCCGGCGTAATTACGATTCAATACCAATGCTTCGCAGCGGATTCTCGAACTTCGAACCTCTTAAAGACAGTTTGGCCGCAGAGGAGCACGTGCATACCCAGCGGGGCCAACCAGGTAGCAACTACGAGTAGTTAACTACTCGGCCATATATAACCCCACGGATACATGTGTCTTCGACTAGAACGCATATCGCAGGGCTTTAGGACTGTTTTTGTAGGCAAAATATTCCCTAATTGCTAACCGGACAATCGACATTTCAAATTCACATCCAACTATTGTGTTTCCCACCCCTGAATCTCATCTAAAGTCAAGACATACTCGTGGTTGTAAATCTAGCAGTAATTAGCAAACCTGCGGAATGCCGAGATAAACGAACAGACACTTACCTCTTTCAAGACATCCACCGTATTCCACTCGGCATTGTTAATGAACGAATCGCCCCAGACGGCAAAGTACAGCCAGTCCGCTTCATACACCTCCAATAAGTCCGGCAACGGTGCCGAACCGACCTCGGCCGCAGCGATCATCTTCTTGTCGGCACCAAGGTCGATGAGCTGATTATACTGCGTAGACATGGGCTGTATTTCAGTGTGTCAGCCGTCACCTGCCTCCGACTCGTCTCGATTGAAGAATTGGTTGTCAAACTTACCCCATGCCCCTGCGCATACACATCCGCACTCAACACGTCTACCACGTCGCTCCCAGGATACCATTCCTGTGCAATGGAATTCCACATCCAAATCAGATTGCCAATCCCATGATACTCCGTCAACCGGTCATATAACAACGCATATAACTTCTTCGCTGGCTCCGCCCCCTGAGCCCCCCACCAGAACCACCCTCCTTCCGCCTCATGCAACGGCCGGAACAGCACCGGCACACCCGCGTCCTCAAGTCTTTTCAGTTGCACCGCAATCGCGTCAATATCTCGAAGAATCAGCGTGTAATTTGCATTCGTAGTATCTGCCAGCGCAGCCGCGACATCGAAATCAGTCGCCTCGGTGTAGAAGCCGCTCCACCACGGCTCGGCATCCGTATTGTACAATCCGGCAGGTGCGTTCCAGTGCCAGAGGACAGACACAATACCCCCGCGTTCGTGGTGCGTGATGGCGTCCTCGACGGCCGTGGAGACGTTGCCCTGGAACTCGACGCGCGAGGGACTGTAGTCGATGAAGTCAACTGACACTAGGGCGGGGGTCTTGCCGACCTGGGCTGTGATCCAGTCGGCCCAGGAGAGGTCCTGTTGGCCTGAGAGGATTTTTTTGCCGTAGATGGATTGGAGGTAAGTGTAGAGCGCGTAGGCGTTGTCGTTGGCGTTGGGGTTGACTAGGGTTGAGGTTATGTCGTGGGGTGCGCGGGGGGCGGAGGGGGTGATGGTGATGTAGTCGATTAGGTACCTGGATCCTTCTCTCAGGAAATGGGTTCATGAGATAGGATATCACATGAAAGGAACTCACCATCCCCAGTTGGTTACGAAATCAATTGTGTTGTCGCCTTCTTCGAGTAACACTTGTCCGCCAGACACCGTGGCGAAGACATCAGTGGCCGGAAAGAGAACCTCGCTCGTGCTGCCGTTGTTGAGGACCACGGATGTCCGCTTCTCGCCATAAATGCCAGCATAGCGAATGCTGAGGTCGTACAAAGCTTGACCAGAACTCTCCACGTGAAATGTGAGCTTGTCTGTTGCTTCATCGAAGCCAGTCACGTATCCGGTGCCTAATTTGTGATTAGCCAATGTCACTGCTCAGACACAATATTTCAGTTAATTTTTCAACATACCAGAGAAGCCTGGTGTCGCAGTATCGACCTCTGTCCCAGAGAGAACCGCATCTTCAGCTTCGAACTTTTGCGTCGTGTTCTGACATGAGACAATCGAAATGCTTGCTGCAGAGGCCAGCGCGGCCACCAGATAGGAACCCAACATCGTGTGCAAGATCTGGAATTAGCAGTTTCGCCTTAGCTACCGGCCTGGGTTAGCAATATACCCGGTGGTTTTATAAACTCATTTCTCTTTCTGCAATTTCCGTCCGGGACCTCTTGGCTTCGGAAGGTTCACTTCACTTTCCGGATTCCGAGCAAAACGGAGCCTCACCCTCCGGCACGGCGCTTGGCGATGACTAAAACAATATTATCTCGGCTGGCCATGGCCCGTTTTTGCTAACTTGGTGCTCGGAATAAATCCGGACTGGTGGGATTCTCACTCGAATCCAAACACACCATAAGATATACTCCGAACCCATTTCTAATTTTCCCCGACCACAAACTGACGTGGCACGCCCATGTTGAGCGTGTTGAAACAAAAATGGCAACTCAAAAGCTAGCCCTGACAAAGCTAGTTAATATGTCGTGGGGCTGCGATCTTATACGGGCGAGGCTGTTATATACGGTGGTTATCCGTAGCGCGATCGCCTTCGGGGCGACTGCGTGGCATACTATAAGTGAGGAACCGGCAGGGCCAGCTAAGAGCCTGATGGGGATACAGAACGAGTGCCTCCGGGTAGTCTGTGGCGCCCACAAAGCGACGCCGGTCCGCCACTAGACCTCTATCTTAGTGCCCGGGCTGCTAAGTTTGAAGAACAGCTACGGCTTAGCGGGAAGAGAAATCTGCTTCGCAGCGCGAGCGCTAAAGCGTCACATATACTCCGGCAGGATAGGCCGGCGAAGAGGAAGCAGGCGTCGCAGCTACTCCGACCGGCAGGGTACACTATGGATAAGGAGGCCCGGGGCTCCGAGTGGATGAGTGAGGAAAAGGAGGTCCCGGCTGCCCTCCTCGGCCACTGGAGGAAGAGATGGCTCACTGGAGCAGAGCATCACGATCGCCAGCGACGCGCTATCACTGAGGAACCGGAGGGCCCTTCGATGCAGATACCGAAAGGGGGCAAGTATTTCGGCCTGAACCGACTGGAGGCGTCTACGCTGTGCCAGATCAGGACGGAAAAAATAGGACTAGCAGCCTTCTTATTCAAGACAGGGGATTTTGGCGTGTACTCGCCGCTATGCCGCTGTGGCGACGCCCCTGAGACGGCAGAGCACGTAATTCTCTTTTGCGGGCTGTTGGAAGGACCGAGGGAACGATTACGGGCCGCTATCGCACCACGGCCACTACTCTCGCAGAGACCTCGCAACGGCAACAGGAGAACCAGTAGTTAGTGGGACTATTGTAAGGTGGCTGCTAGGGACGGGTCGGACAGCTTCAAGGCCCAGATAGCATCGATCTTCTCAGGGGGGACTTTGTTGGTAGGTTGAGAACCAACGTAGTATGGTGGTGAACGCAACGCAGTCACCAATAGGGCGAACCGACGACGCAGCGTATGTATTTAGTCCAGCCATTAGGGCACGGTTGACATACGGGAGTACTAGTAGAGGTACCGGGGGCTTCGAGCCTACGGCGTATTTAATAATAAAATAATAATTTTCCCCAAGACCGCTGTCTACGCAGTGGCAAGGGTATCACTTATATCTCTGAGGAGTGCGACGTGCGTTAATTTGATCAGTTTATCCCATCTTGATTATGCTCGTATGTCGTAGCTTCATTCGGTAAGCTATTCCCAGAAATGAATTCTTGCCTACTCTGCTCGTAAACGGAGAGCTATTAGCCGTAATCCAACCCGTCGATGTGCTGTCCGCTTGCCCTCAAATTCAAATCAATGTCGCATCGCAAAGAGGATGACGAAGCACAATGCAATTCCTCCACAATGTCCCATTTACAAACTCAATGAACGATCCCTTCGTGCTGTGCGCTGTATGCACTTCGTCGTATCCGAGGACCAAGTCTCAGCAGTTTGATGTCTCCAAGCTGAGCTTGCCACTTGCATCGCGCGACGATTGTAAGGAAGGGAATTTCTGATAGACCTCCGAAATTGCCTCCTAGATTTGCGATTCATCAGTTCCATTGGATGGGACAATACAATAGCAAAAGAGGCTGCTCACTGGTCCTGCGATGCGTACTAAACAGCTCCCTTGAGAGACTAGTGACTCTATGATCGATTCTCTTGTACATGGGAGCGGCGGTATAAAAGGTAAGCACACGTCTAATGGTAATACGAAAGGCTCGGTTCCCTGGGCCATGAGGGGTTCGAAGGTATCGGAGGGCCGTGATATGAAAGAGCATGTCGAATAGGTGCATATGCATCTGGAAGTTGAAGTGACCAACGATTTCAAAATGCAGCTCGAGACTTCGACGGTAGTATTTCCGCATTTCGCGATACGTCAGGTGCAGAACCTCGTCCCAGGGTGTGGTGATGGCAAGGTCATGGAACATAGCAATACGAATAGCGGCGCGCAACCTGAGCTTCTCAGGTAGGCTCCCCTTACAGCTCTTATTCATGTACTCCTTGACGAAGTTTTCTATGATCTGCAGATACTCGGCTTCATCTCGAGCGGTTGATTTGAAAAGCAACCACGGCGCTATCTCGAGCGCATGATGCGCAATGGCGCCCTTTAGAAGTCGTTCCTCGCAATGATTGATGACAAGTGCATGAGTGATGGTAGTTTCATATCGAGTGATGATTGAATTGAAACGCTTGCTAGTGAGAGCTAGGCTTAGAGCATCGCTCGGGGTTAGGTACAAGATGATAGCGAGTGAAAGCTCAGTTGGGAGCTTTGTGATCTTGCTGGTGCCTTCCGCCTTGGAGTGGCTCTTTTCACTGGTACTCAGGCCGGTCTTGATGCTGTCGTGACTGGTGGTTGAAGTCGACGTGAGTGACATTGATGCCGAGAAGTTCTTGATAGGATTGGTTGTGCTGGAGAGAGCATCAGGCTCGTTCGCCTCGGCTCTGTCCCCGAAGACGGGCGCCATCTTTGGGAAGATCTGAAGGCGATCTTGATCTTGATCTAGAATTGAGAGGGGTTCAAGGAATGAAGACCGAGGGTTGGCCCAGGAAATAATAACTGGCAGGTAATACAGCCAGGAAGTGGTGCTGGATTTTTAATCTGGGCTTTTGTCGGACCGCACCAGCCCTTTGCTGGGCCTGCTGATGGCCAACGGCTATATTAGAGTTTTCTTGGCTATAGCAGCTAATTGGCTGTACCTTCCGGTATCTCCAGCCCAGTCGATTACCCCGTATTATCTGCTCCGATAAAGCACTTACTCTGGGATCGTTGTATGTCTTTGTGTGCATGTAGGCCCTGCCCCAAACGTAACTAGCTGATTGTCCTTTTTCTTCTCTGTATCACTTTTCAACTACTTGTATTCAGCATCGCAATGCGATGTTGTTAGTAACAATTCACACAGCCCTGGCCTCGCTATCAAGACTTCCAATCTGTGGGAAATTCATGGGGATTCCCTGGTTATACCTCACGCATCCCTGCATTATTGTTGTGAATAATCCGGGTTTAATTGACCTGGTGGAACCACATCTACGGCTACTAGTACAGCACTACAACCAACATCCGCTACCGTCGGTTCACGATGACAGTAAGGGGCGAGAAGACGCCAAGTTGATTATGTATTGTGATGCTTTAGCATGTACGAATCTTAGGTCGGGCTGGTATGACAGGACATATTGCGTTGGACCTTATACTAAACAGCTAATATGCCGCCATTCTGCTAGAGTGGGTCTACTCGCCTTTTAGCGGGGTTCGATATATTGCCATCTCTAAATCACTTATTCCGAGGTTTCAGGTCGTTTATCTCTTCCTCATCATTTCCTTCAATGCCAGAAGAGAAATTATCACCTTCGTCCAGAAGTCCTACTCTTCCATCTGATCCCCGTTCTTGGAGACAAATTTGACACTAAACGGCGCCGTAACAGTAATAGAACTCGGCTCCAGCGCCGGGCCATTCGAGACCATTCCCTGTGCCATCTGCTGTTGCATTTGCATCTGCCCATATTGACCCCGCCTCTCCTGTTAGATATTCACGTATCTTGCAGTATGACCGTGATATGACGGTTATATGAAAAGAATAATTTGGTGGTTATGGTTAGGTCCCCTTTTTTCCATCCTCGATTCCCTCTATCTGTTCTGTTGGCTGTGTGCATTGCCTTTAAGTAATCTGAAGGGTCCAGCCTTACTAGGCTACCTCTATCCCGCCTTTATCCTGAAGCACAAAGCGCTTTTATTCTAAGCATAAAGCGCCTTTCAACCTTAGGAATCACTATGGTGCTCAATCCCACATTTAATATCAAACAACAGTCTAGACAAAGCTAGAACTAACGATATGGTGCTTCTATGCTCCAATACCATGTGACCCGTCGTTTTTGACATCTCCCCATGGCCATGTATGAACAAGGCCTGTCCTTAGTTAATATCGCAAGCCAAAATCTCCCGTCTCACAACCCTAGCATGGTCCTCTTCCTTCTCCACCGCATCTTGCATACATAGCCTTAAACCTAGGCTCCGCACGCGTCAGATCAGTAAGTCCCCACTCCATCCGATGAATCAACACGTGTGGCATGTTCGACAGGTCATTCGCCGTCTGCACCAGAACATGTCGTGGTTGTCGTCTTTTTCCTTCTCGTGCCCAGCGAATGACAAGGTGCGCAAGGCTATGGTAACGAAGGTGATTGTTCCTACGCATGATCGGGACGGCTGCCTTCGGTCTTGATGGCATGGGTTATGAATATGCCTGTTAAAGTCGACATGGCTTGCTGGATGTCAGTGGAGGCTTGGGTTTGGACCCTAGTGCAGGAGGCGACGCGGATGTGTAGGACGCCACGCTCGGCGGTACAGAAGACGGAGTCTTTGCCGTCGGCATGGATTTTGCGTTGGGGTGTCATATTGGGTATATGTTGGCTTGAGAATATGACTTGTAATAGTAGAAAAGGGGAATTATTAGTGTCAGGTTCGTAAACTGACTTTGGCAGGGAGGGGAGAAGTCAAGGTTTCGCGGGGATCGGTGTCAAATGGTGCTATATATTTGATGAGTTGCATGAACCAATATCGAGAAAATGAGCGAGTCTTGATTTATACAGTCACTGTGGAACCACACTGGTACTGGCATTCCGGCTACATACGAGGATGAAGAAGCGAAGTACAGGTCGGGGGTTCCAAGCCGCAAAAAGGCCCTGAAGTATCTTAGGTGTGCCTCAACATGACCTCAGGCCACCAAATTCCACAGTCACGATGTGAAAAAGGGCCGTTTACGAAGTTGCCTAAAACAAGGCGAAGGAACGGTCCTGAAATGTGCATTTTTGTCACATTGGACCTTGGACCGCAAGCGACCCAACAACATGCAAAATGCGGTTCCATATGCAGTAAATCTGCTAAACGCCTCACTTCACCCGCGTCAACTCGAGCTGAACTGAAAAAGTACTCCCCTATCTTTTGCGCTCATTCTGAAAACACGATCATGAACCAGCATGTCCACACGAAAATTGTCCCAGGACTCCTACATCCTGCAACTTTGACCAGCCAGTTGAAATACCAAACCATCTCTCTCAGCTCGACCTACCGTAAAATAAACTTCTATGCACTCCGATATCCTCTGCCCTCGAATCTCGCACGCCCGCGTGCAAGGTACCGGTAGGGCGGGCCGAAAAAGTGACAGCGCGATCGCCGAGAGGGTTGACTTGGGTAATGTGACAAGGATTCAGACTTCGGCCAAAACATGCGGTTTCTTACAGTCTGACCAAAGGAACTCTGCCGTCAGGGATTGGTCGCGATCTTCTCAGATCCTAGCGCTGTCTTTGTTATGACCGACCGGAGCACGACGTACTATAGGAATATATTTGACAATGCTACTGGAGAACGACAGGCTCTTCTTCTGGACCACTACTTCAGTTGGGAGGCGAGTTCGTATTGCTTGGCCAATAGTCGATTTCTAAATTCCCTAACTGAACAACTTAGTTGATTTTACCACAAGTAGTATGGGAAGAGCGCATAGAATCAATTCGGCAGTACTTGACGAGAGTACGTGGCAGGCGTTCGGTCCGACGCAGCGATTAGTCGCGTTTCTTGAGTAATCTATCCAAGTTGATCATCCTCCACAAACTGATTTGAGTAGAAACTCCTCGCGGAAACTACTTTATTTCGCCGATGTTTTGTTGATATTAGACATTAACCTATAACAAACACACCTGGTGGAGTACGGTTTAGTCCCTTCTTAGTGGTTAGTAGTCGGAATTTCTGTTCTAAATTTGGGCCGGCTTCTTTGTTTTGTGGTAAAGGTACACTATTCACATAGTCATTGACTCATGCTAAGATCAAATATGTCATAATGACGTACTATGCCAGTCATGCATGTCATCATGATCAGTCAGTTTCTAATGATACTTATGGATTGTGTTATGGTTATAAACCCGACTCTATATCCTGATGAATGGTAGAATTTTGATTGCTTACGAACACATTTCCGAATCCAGACCCTAAAATCACTCATAATTCATCACCGTCAGAAGTCAAACACATAATCAGACACGATGCCAACAGGTTCCGAGGCAGCGCAACAAAAGTTCTCCGAAGGTGTTACTCAGACACGACAGTCTGCAGATGGTAAGTATCTCATTATAACGTCAAAAATATATAACTGATCCAATAAGCAGACGCAAGTTCGAAGGCTTCTAGCGCGCCGGGTGTAAGCCAGGTCACAGGCGGCGACAACCCAAAGGCGGGTGGGTCCAGCATGTCAAATATTGCCGAAGGGGGTACAGAGTCGTCGAGTTACGACCCCAAAAAGGGGCCATCCAACTGAAGCATTGTAGTTGTTATCGATCAAGGAAGAACAATCTCGTGGTCAAGACACAGATGAAGTGGTTATGATAGCAATTTGTCTTTGGATTTTCACACCATCTTTCATTTTTAACCGAAATGTGCTCCATGTTCGGTACTGAAGATTTTAAATCCAAAACTCTACAAGTTTTCCACCACAACATTGGAAACGGCGGAGACTAGTTCTTCAAACTCTCTGACACCTGACAAAAGTTTGTTCCAACCTTTCGCGGAAGTACGATTTATGACCAAACTTACAATATACAAATCTGGCTCAAGTATTTCTCTCGAATTCATGTCTCATCAAGGGAAGCCATCCTGCGCGAACGTATTAGATAACTAAGGTAAAGTTTAATAAACATAAAGATGGATATGATGAGATTTGATTTTTCCAGGATCTTAAGCAGGTATAGTTTCGGTTGTTATAACTGAACTTTAGTAGGGAGGAAATACGAATTTCACTTGGTGCTCTATTTCTTGCGAACTTGATTTCTCTCACCTAACAAGTTGAGATTATCCATCTTACATAACAAGCATGTACCTATCAACGCATCATTGGATAAGAAAAGCAGAAGTCATTTTTCAATATCATCAGGCATATCTTAATATCCACAAGAAGCTTCGGAATGTACGTGCGTATCCTCATATATACAACCCATGCCAAAAGACGGAACCGGGGAACTTACTCAATTTTCAGTTCCCCTTTCCCCACCCCTTCTGCCCACCCTCAAAGATATTCTTATCTTCTCCCCTTCAGTATTCCTCCAAGCCAACAAACCCCCTACAATCCAAAGAACTTCATATCATCCGCCCCCCGAATCGGCACCGTATGCCCGACGCCCTGGGCATAAATCCCTACCAAATGATCTCCATACGTATACGTGGTATACCCATTCTGTGGGCTATTCGCCTGAGTCGTAACGGGTGCGTTCTCATCATACCCAAAGACGCCGACCCACTGCTTGATAGTTTCGTTGTAGTTGCGCGGGGCGAGCGTCGTGTCGGCGCTGCCGTGGTAGATCTGCATCTTGGGTCGGGTTCCGTTGTAGCCAGGGTACATGTCGGTGACGACCGAGGCCCATTTGGCTGCTGTCGCGGTGGATTGCCCGGTAGCGCACGAGTTGTTCCACCCGTCCACGGCGTTGGAGGCCGACATGAAGCACCCGGCTGCCACGCCCGAGTAGGCAATGCCGGCGGCGAACATTTCGGGATAGGTGGCCGCCATGACGTTCTATTTCATCAGTCAGCGTCAAATTATTCTGCTCCTTGGAAACTCCGTATTCTCGGAGTGAAATTTTCTCCAAGGGTGACGGATAAATGAGAGAAGTGCACATACGGTCATCATAGCCCCCGACGAACTCCCCGTAACAAACACCTTAGTCGCATCACCCTGATACTTATCCAACGCATACGTAACCATGTTCGCAATAGAGTTGCTATCTCCACCGCCATCATGGCTCAGCGCGCTCTTGCTCGACACGTCCCAGCACGTCCCACTGTAGGGCGACTCGGGGTAAATCACAATAAACCCCTTCTGGTCTGCGAGCTGCGCGTAGGGACTGCCACTGTAGTACCCGTTGGCCGTGCCCGTGCAGTAGTGAATCGCCACGATAATGGGTGGCGATGCGGCGAGTGTGGCTGGCACGTAGATGTACATCTTGGTGTTGGATGGGTTGGTCCCAAACCCGGTGACTTGCTGTAGGGCTTGCGTGGCGCGCTTGAGGGGCGGTTCGGGGTCCAGGGGAGAGGCGGCTGCGAGACCGAGGAGGGCCGAGATGGTGGTTAGGAACTTCATCTTTGGCTATCTGTGTCCTTGCGAAAAGCTCCACGTGCTGCGATGACGAAACTTCTGGGATCTTGGCACGGTGGGACGTTTGCATATTGTGTGCGATCGCTCTACTTATACCAAGAAAGCCTTCCAGGTTGGAACGTACCGAGTCAACGGACCGGTACACCCCGCTAGTACATTGATCGCCACATCTTCTTTTGCCCTGTCCCATCAATCGTGCCTTAATATCAGACATGGATATCCGGGCACCCCCCACTGAATATACACGACAGGGGTTCTAGCCCCCTTGGGGCAATTTACCCGGGGCATCATGCCAGTGCATTGATGCTCGCGCCCACATTGGGCTCAAGGGTGAAGCTGAGTACACAGTTCCCTTCGGCACTTGAAAAGTTGCTGAAGGTCAGAAATAGTTCAGCATCATTTTTGACGATGCCGATCTACATCCCAAGGACGCGTAACTTGGTAGCCAATCTGGTCATGGCTAAATGACGACACTGCCTATGCCGGTAAGCGGCAGCCGGCATACTTTATGTGGCAGATCAATGTGGGGTATAGATAGATACCTGAACCGAACGGGAAATGAAGGGTCTTCCACTCGTACAAAGTAAAAGCATCACTAGTTTCCTCTTTTGGGCATTCGGAGCATTTTGGAGCTTTACCCTCTCAGTCCCGGGTGATATGGGTAAAGTGACGAGTGACTAGGTAATTGGAGACGACCTTCAGCTATAGAGCTGATGAACTCTCTGCATCTATTTTGCACATCCTTACGAGCGAGTTTCTATTTTCGAATCTTCACGCACCTTCATCAACGTAGGATTTGGGTATTCAAAGGCTTCATCCGAGGGAGGAAGTCAGTCGGTAGCCCAGGCGAGCTGGTAGGCATCCATCGGGGCAAGGCCCGTCTAATGGTATCATTGAGACCAAACCAGGCAGCTTCTCTTCCACTCAGGACCAGCCTTTAGGCACATTACCTTTGAGGCCTTGTTCCATCAAGCGTGCCACGCTTATCACTAAAACCCCCCTTCAAAACAGATCGAGGGATACCGTTATGTCATTCAACAATCACTCAATCTCGTTATGAACTATACACGGACTAAGTAGTGGTAATCACAACCCCTCCGCCCACCTGACCGACTTCTTCCTCCTATGCCCGACCAACCCACCCAGTATCCCTCTGCCTCCCTTCACATTCCTCAACGCACTTTTGATACCAGGCGTCCTCATTCCCAAGCCCAAAGTCATCGTACTCGATCCTCCACCGACCGACACCCCAGATAATCTGGACCTGCTGTTGCGCATTTCCCTCAAGTCCTCCAACCTCCACTCCCACCTATGTTTCTCCACGGTATTTCTCGCTCTTCTTAAGCGCTGTCGCCAGCCTTCGACGAAAAAATAAGCTTCGCGGAAGTCGCCTTGGGGTTCTTGTGATTTCTTGCAATTGTCTTTGTGTTTGCGTTCTCTGTTTTCATTACAATCATCGCTATCGTAATCATCGTGATGCCCGTCTTCGAACCCCGCGTCCGTACCCTTACCCCCAGCCCCAGCCCCAGCCCGTAGACTCTGCTGTCCCAATACCCCATTATTAACATATCTGCCTGCTCCAGACCTAGACCCAGCCGTATTATCCCTCTGCCGGACAGAACTAGAAGTGTTCACGCCGGCTCTTCCCGAGCGTGGTCAATTGCCGTCCACGCCACTAAGCAACGCGCTCTTCTCATCAATCTCATCCTCATGTTCATTCAAGAAACCGCTCCGTCTCGGAGAGTTCGCCTCCTCCCCATCTACAGCATCAGGAGTGATTGATTTCCGCAGCGAAGAGCTCCGATCCCGCCCCACAGGCTGGAAGATACTCGACAAGGGTCGCGAGCGCGTAGGATTCGGTTCGGCATTCCCGGTATTGCCGGGGACTTCGAACATATTCCGCAGTTTCTGGAAAATCGGGGAGCCGGAGAGGGGTGACCTGCTTTCTTGATTTTGACTTTGAGTCTGGTTCTGGAAGGACATTGGCCCAGAGGCTAGATCCCGCCGGCTTGGTGAACTAACACCCATACCCGATGTGATGAAAGGCGATTTACCTAATTCATGCTTGAACGGGTCGAAGTCATCGCCTCCGCCGCTGCTGCTTCCGCCCGTGAGCTGCGAGTCGTTCCGCGGCCTCGTCATCATCCTACCACCGCCATCCAGAGAAACGGGCCACGAGTCCCGGATGACCGGTTCATGCCTGTCGATTGTCAGAGATGAGTGGATGGGCGATGAGTGGCTTGACGAGAGGGTGCTCTGGCTGTATAGGGATTGCGGGATGGAGTCGTTACGAGCATGCCAAGGGATGTTGGTCACGTCACGGGGCATGTAGGTTTCCGGTTCGACTTCTAACTCTTCTTCTGGCTCTGAGACTGAGTTGGCAAGGCGTCGATCTGGTGGGGTTTGTAGACGCGTAGGTGAATAGCGGGTGGGAGTTTGGGGGCTATCTAGTACTCTGGGGGCGTGGATGCTGTCGCGCAGGCCTCCTCGAGTGGGGGTGTTGGGGCTGTCGAGAAAGACGCTGGCTCGCGGGGTTCGGCTATCCATATTAGGCTCGAGTGTGTGCGGCTGGATACCTTCTTCACTTTCTGGGTCGCCGTACGCGAAATACAGTGCAGCTGGTCTTTCGTGTTGTGGTTCAAAGCTATGCTGTTGCGGTGCTTGGTTGGAATCTTGCCACATATTTTGCATGCAGGGTTCATCCTGATGATGATTAGTGTCATTTATGCCTGAATGGTCATATGAATCACTCTCATCCTTCTCTTCATAGTGGTGGGTGTTCAGTACGTTGGGGTCTTGGGATGGCGTAACAGCTGCTCTTGGTATGTCGACATCATTCTCGGGTCTGTGTTCGAGTGTTTGTTTGTCGAATTGCGTATCGGCTTCTTTATCCAGAGTAAAGTCTCCGTACTGGTGGTATTCGCCATCCGAGTCGTCGCCACCGTAGTCGGACACGTCGGTAGTGTCGGTTGCGAACAGATCATCTTGACCACTAACAGTGTCATTCTCTACCGGCAAAGGTGAGTGATAACCTTTCCTGGCGGAGGCTGGTATAGAGAGATAATCGTCGGCGGGTTGTTGTGGATCAACAGCCTGTGGCAGGCTCGCTACGTCTGGGGGCAAAGAGGAGTCTTGTGACGTCGTGTGTATGGTGAGATTTGTAGGAGAGTGGAGTTGTGCATCATTGTTGCCATGATGAGATAAAACGAATTGACCCGGTACTGTGTCGTGTTCTTCATTACCGGGCGAGAATGTGTGGGCATTGTGAGGAACGGAGACATCCTCGTCTCGATCTAGCGACCCTTGCCGTCCATGTTCAGGTGCATCTGGGTTCTCGGAGAAGTCAAATCCATCGTAGTGCTTGACTTTCGACCATGATTGTTGCTGTTCAGGTGAAGGCGAACGGGCCGCCTGGGGCTCGACGTTTCTCTCCTGTCGTCTGTCGTGATCTTCTGGATCTCGGTTAGGGTCGCCCTCCTTATTTAGCACGCTATAATTCTCAATGAAACTACCAACTTGATCGTCTGGATGGCTTTGGAGGGCATATTCTCCTCCCTGTACATCACCATCGTCACTGAATGACCTCTGCGACTGGCTGTCACTCGCTGCCTGATCGGGTTTGTGCTCGCCCGTGGCATCGGGAGAGTGCGAAGGCAGATATCTCAGATATCCGTCGCTTGCCTTTAGGTCGTTAATCATTCCTCCTGCAAGTGAGTCCTGCTCCTCCACTGAGTGAGAATACGCTTGTTGCGCCTCATCATGCATCTCCATGCGGTTGTCATCATGGCTCGGCAGCGCCGCATTGTCTCTCAGAAGCTCTGGCAAATGATGGTCCTCGGTCTCCAAGTCACGACTCCTCGTGATAGGCAACAACGGCTGCTCACCCTCGCCAGGCTTCTCCATGTCATTGCCTTCACTTCGATGGTCATTGTGGATGTTTTCTATTTCGTCAACACCACGGATTCCCGTGGCCCCAACTTGTGGACTGGCGGCATTCACATCCTCTGAAGAATGAACATTCGACGTGACACTCTCCTCATCCGATAATTCGTCCCAATGGCGTTTGGACACGTCCAAGCGCGGTGTGCTGAGCTCCAGCTCATCATCGCCAAATTCGTTAAGAGGTTCATTGCGATCCTCATCATCATAACCCTCAGAGTCGCTGCCCGTCTCGTTTTTTTCGTGTATATCAACAGAAACGGGCTTCCCGTCGTGATCCTCGAGTGGCGGGCTGTTCATTCCACTTTCATGGACAGGTGAGAGCTTATCGTTAACATTGTCAGCTTGCTGAAGTCTCGCCTTATCGTCCTCAAGTGTCGACATATCGGGGGCTTCGTGATCTGCATCCAATTTTTCGGACGTCTCTATTCCGCCCTCGTGGCCGCTGGTGACGTGGCTGAGGCCTTCGTCTTGAATTTGATCACGAAAAGATGGCGCCCCATCAATACTAACAGGTTTTGTAAGACTGTGTCGAACCTGGCCGTCACCACGAGCTTCGCCCGGCTCGCCTAAACTCTGCAGGTCATCGTCGGTCGGCTGTTGCTTCTGATCGCGATTTCGATCAGCAGGCTCTTGGGCATGTACATCCTCATAGTCTAGCCCAGGTGATCTAGGTCGGCTACCAGGCGCAGAACCTGGTGATACTGCGGTAACCTGATTATCGTCCTGAACATGCTGTAACGCTGGGGTATCCCTGGGGTATCCATCAAGATCTTGTGAACCAAGTTCTGTAATTTCATCGTGGTGCTCTTGCAGTCCAGAACTTCGCATATCACCAGTAATTTTCTTTTCGTCAAGCTGATGGTTGTCATCCCAAGACTGAAGTGACGGCTCCTGGTCGTGACCCTTCAAGTCTGAAGGATCATCATCCTCATGCTCCGAGCCGGCGCTTTCGGTTTCACCGACGATGTCATACGCAGTTTCATCTGATATCTTCAGGTTGTCAGCTTCGGGTTCCGGCACGTCATCAGAATCAGTGTGTTCGACTGCTACAGTCTCGCGCACAGCAGAAACCTGATCGCGATCCTGTAAATTCTCAGCTGAGAGAATCTCTTGCGTCGCAGTATTCACGTGCCCAGACACGTCCTCATCGCCAAGCTGTCTAATCAACCCGGGAGCAGCCTGATGTTCTGCCGAGTCATCGTCATTTCGAGTCAAATCTCCAAAAACCTCTTGGCTATTTGGCAACCCTTTTATTGTTTGACTCTCCTCAATTTCATCCGGAGACGACGGACGTGAAACGGCTTGAGCTGACCGAGTTGGGCTGTCTGGAACTCTGGCTTGACTGTCGTGAGCGCCCTCAACTACACCACTTTTCGACGCAACGTCGTCGACATCGTTCTGCGTCTCTGTTGCGTCATTTTTCCACTCGGATCCCAGTCTCTGCGAGATGCCTGAACTGGGTCGCCCAGTCTCATCGACGTCGTCAATCGAGACATGATCTTCGGAGCTGCCATCGTTATGGCGACTCTCAATTGAATGTTCACGATCATGAGCAGATGAGTCCAATACAGGAGACTTGGACGTTATCTGTCCCACTTCATCAGCCTCACCCCGCTCGCTAGCATCATCACGACTCAAAACATTATCGTGATCCCGAGACTCGTTCCCAGAACGCGAGACGGGCCTTGAAACCTTCTCTGCTCCCTCGACTGGCGGGTCGAGGTCGGCTTCCAAGTTTCCCGTCTGAGACTCGAGGTGTGTTGCCACATCTGGGTTTCCCTTACCCTGAGTGTCCACTTCATCTTTCCTCATTGACAGTTGGTCTACATCCCGCTCCTCTGACTGTTCCAACGCGACATCAGAGGAGTAGGCTTTTAAAGACGGGTTGTCGTGGTGTTCGATTTGGGTATCACCTGTTGGGTTGTGAGAACCTTCTGCTTTCGGGAAGTCTATGGATTCGTGTATTGATTTGGGTGTATCCTTAGTTTGATCTGCGGGAGGATTTTGGTCCAAGCCTTGTTGAGCGGGATGCTTCGATTGGTCGTCCAAAAAGTCATAGTTCAAGTGCTCCAGGCCACGCCCAGCTCCAATACTGGGAGCCAGAGCACGGTCGTCTCCTCGGTCGTAGTCGTTCAGTGAATACTCAGGATCGGCCTCAATGGAGTCATCAATGTACAGCTGCTCCGGTTCATCTTCCACGGAATGGTCGTTTGGCAGCTTCTGCGACCCATCTTCCAATGAGTTATCATCCCGAGGAGCCTCACCCGGGAGATTTTGGTTAAGAAGTCGCATGGCCTTGTGCACGTCTCCGTTATGTAGCTCGTTGCTTAGCTCAGCTTCCCCAGATCCGTCCTTCTCCGACTCGTCTTCCACTAGATCATCATTCCGAGGAGCTTCAATTCTTGGAGAAGGGGCATCACCTTGACCGTGCAGACGTTCATCAAGGAGTCGCGTTGCCCTGTGCATATCTTCATCATCGAGGTCTTGACTTGCCTCCTCCTGTTTTGGGGCCGAATTCTCATGAGTGTCCTCATGCGAGGGTTGCTCATTACCCTTGAGACTTTGATCGAGGGGTCGCATGGCCCTATGAATATAATCGTTATCCATCTCGTCACTCGTATCCTCTTGCCGCAGAGTCGTTTCGTCGGAGTCCTGGTGCGAAGGTTGGTCTTCACCCTCAAGATTTTGATTGAGTCGCATGTCCTTGTGCACATCGTTATCATCTAGCTCGTGACCGGTGCCCTCTTGATCTGGAACAGAAGTCTCATCAGCGTCCTCGTGCGAGGGTTGACCGTAGTTCTGGCCTTGGTCGAGGTCCTGAGGAGTAAAGCCCTCGGGGTATACACTGCGATCACCCGAGGTTGGAGCCTGCGCATCTTGGGTCTCTAGGCCTGTTCTGCTGTGCGAATTGTCGGATGCAGTGACGTTTGTGTCCCGTAGCAACTCGATACTCTCGTCGTGGGCCGGTGGACTTTCGTCGTCGCTGGCAGATTCATGGGATTCCGGTAGGTCTTGGCCCAGCGGCCGGTCCTTTTGTACGTCCCCTACAGCAGGCAGGTCGTTATGTAGTGTATCTTCCGCTTGCTCATCATTCTTGCCGTGGTTGGAATAGGTGTCCAAGTCTCGAGCCTGGGGCAGGTCTTCTGTGTTCTCAGGAACAATATTTTTACCATTACCCATCAATTCTCCCCTGTCCGAAGTTGCAGCGATCTCTTGCGCCGGCAACTTCTCGTTCTGCGGAAGCGACGTCACATCGGCCTCGTGAGAGGGGCTCGCATCCACCCCATGAGACGACGCCTCGTTCCCCTCAGTTGGCGCAGTGTCAACCTCACGCTGCTCCTGATCTATATCTTGCTCTGTATGTTCCTCAGGCGCCTTCTCATTATTACCCAAAGAACGTTCTTGATCCGGCGCAGATAGTGGGGCGAGTGTTCTGTGACTGTTCGCTTCGGGAGGCGCAACATTGGCCAATGCACCACCACTAGTGCCCCTAGAGGCCGTATTCCGTCTCCTCTTGCGCGCCGGTGGAGTCGGCAGCGGCATCTTGAGCTGTTCATCGATTAGGCAGTTGATTTCCTGCGCAGCGCGTATAACCCGTCAGCAATCTCTCCGCAGTGCCAACTCACGCAAGTAATTCGCGGTTAGGTAACTTACCAGCCTCCTCTCTTGCAACTCCCTCAACCTCCTCTCTCCTTCCCCAATGACCTTCCTAGCCTCTTCCTCCACCTCATCCATAAGCGGCTCTATCTCCTCGTCTACTTCCTCCCTCTCGCCCTCAAACTTGCTCTTCCTCTGCTCATCCTCGTCTCTGGCTCTCTTCCTCAAATCCTCATCCTCTCTCCTCCGCCTCGCGTCGCGCTCCGCGTCTTCTTTGCGCCTCTGCTCGGAAATAGCCTCCGTCTCGGCCCGTCGCTTGGATTCGAGTTCTTCGTGTTCACGTTCATAATTGGTCTGCAGCTGGGCGAGAATGGAGTCCCGCTTCTGTTCTAGTTCGTCGAGCCGCGCGTTATGAGAGTCGGTATTCAGGCCAGCAACAGTCTGGTGAATTTGCGACAGGTTGTCGTGCATTTGCTGCACGAGAGTGGCGACGTCCATCATGGCGGATGGGGGAGGGGAAGCTTCGGCCCCGTAGTATGGCAATATCTGTTCGTTGGTCCAATTAGGAGAGATGTGTAATAAGGAATATATAGGTGGCTATAGATAAATATAGTTTGGAAATGATAATCAAGAAGCTATGAGCTCAACGTCATGTGTTGGAAGCTATCACGACCACGCTTGTGGTATCCGGCAAGCTCCAACAGCAATGTAAGTTCTGTCCGTAGATCAGACAGAATGGCCCAGAGTGTGAAACAGCAAAGATGGGTTCTCTCGCTCGCATTAAAAATAGCAGAATGAAACCTAGACAAGGGGGGCGGGGTTGTCAGGAAAGAACCCGGAATACTATTGGGGCGAATATGTCATGAGTTGGCTCGTTGTTATTCATGCATTATCTGCGCGAAAAGAACACCAAGCTTCCGTCATCAACAGAAAAACAGTAGCCAAATAATATATATCAGATTCCAATTGGATCTCTCGGGAGGGCGAAGCGCGGTTACTGAAACTTCGGATGGGCATTGGTCTGCTCGACAGTCTGCCTGCAGCAGCCACCTCGTCGACGACGCCACCAGGCATCGTCGCAGGATGATGAAGGCAGGCCTGCCCAACGTCATGACCGTCAGCCTTCACCCATGACTAGCAAACTAAATAGATTGAAATACATTGAAATACATTCTACCGACAGATTAGGAACTCCTACAATTCTCGTGCCTTCCGGTCAGTTGCCCGCCTTGCGAGCAGCAACGATCATATCGATCCTCGACATGATTCCAGAAATTATTTTGGCCTGGCGCGCTTTGTGGCCGAGACGATCGAACCGATGAAAAGTGGCGTAGGGCATCCCCCATCATCATGCATCGCATCGCAGATGTCGTGGAGTAAACTCGTTTCTGGTTGGACTACTATTTTGAACTTCGGAATGTTGAGATGAGTTTGAAAGTGGAGGGACATGGAGGGACGTCATCGTCATTCCCTCATGCAGTAGAATGGCCCGTGCCGAGCCTGATAGCGGACAGTTAGTGTTTCGCTGTGGGTTGAACTCTAGCTGCTATCGCGGCACAAACAGTTGCCGTTAGTATCGCATGAAAGTCGATAGGGATTCTGATACATAGTTTCAGGAATGCTCGCACCAATGAAGAACCGGAATATGGGACGCATGACGTTGCCAAGTCTCAAACAATGCCGCGCAGTCCGTGGATGCCTATATTTGACCGAGGGACATGAGTAAGTACTGACGTACAATTGGGTTTTAGGTTCAACGAAGTAACTACCGCTACCCACAAGCAGGCATAAAACAGCACTGTGGGTTGTTTTGAAGATATCTTGATGAGGGTGGTCTATATGGTGTATGGATTAAACAAAACGGACGAAATCGTCCTCAGTATATTCATAGGCGCTGGCTAGAAGGAAAGACGTGTGGAACCAGCTAGACAAAACCAGCCCTCCCAAAACAACGGTCCGAAACGAATCCGTGGCATCCCCACCGTGACGCGCAGACGGTATCTCAGGAAGCCAATGCTAGCCATTAAAAGTAGTTAAATTCTCGCCGACGCGGCGGGCTTAGTAATCCTCATCTGCCTCCGACGGTAGGACTCGCGGTAGCCTATTCGCTGGAAGGTGCCGTATCCGTAAGCAGCGACGCCAATGAACGTCCATGTAGCCGTCATCACCAAACCAACGGGGAAAATGAGGATGTTTACTCCCGGCAGAATAAATGCGACAGTTCCGTTTGCCAATGCTGTCGTGATGTCGTTGACAGCCACCTGGGCGAGGGCGAGATCCGACAAAACGACGTCCTGGGAGAAGACACCATTTACAAAGGCAGCTTCATTGGAGGAGACATTCGTGCTGACTGCGGTTCCGGCGCCATTGACGGCGTTAAGGGTCACAACGGGCATAACTAGCGCTTCAACAACACCCCTGCAATTGAATTAGCAACAGCACATTTCAACATCCCTCTTCCACTAGCTGGCACTTACATAGTCATGGGCTGGCTGAGCTGTGCCTGGTCGATCTGACCAACGAACATGTACACCTGGAGCTGCGTAGGGGTGGTGGCGCGCGTCTCGAGGTCGCGGGAGGAGACTGAGCTTTGGCTGACAGGCGAAACGGATGCTCCATGATACTGCAGTCCAACCTGAATGTTTTGCGGCGGGATGCCCGTAAAGTCCCCATACGGAGTTGACACCTGGAATAATCTCAGATCCGCCATGAACGCACCCGTGCTGGTATCGAGGCTTTGCAGGTTGTAGCAGACGGCCGTGCCCGAAGGATTCGAAGCCGTGGTGAGTGGTGCGAGCGCAGCCATGCACGCCGCCGCCGTCTCCGTATTCCATGCCGTCGAGTTCAGCGACGAGCTATCATCTGTCAAGTTGACTGAGCTCTGGCGTTTTGGAAGTATTGAAACCTCGCCGTCCATCCTCACTTCCATCGGCTTGGTATCCCTGGGCGCTTCCATTGCGTACATTGCTCCGACCCCCGCATGTGCCCCCGTGGCCAGCAGCGACGCTGCGATCGCAGAACCAAAAAGCATATTGGCGATATGCTTCAGAACAAGTATAAATTAGAGAAGCGAAAGGCCAGTCGACGAAAGTAGTAGTAAATTCGAACAAAGATGAACCGCCCGGCGGTTAATAAGAAGCGGAACGGAAGAAAGAGAAAAAAGGAGTGTGTCGGTTCGAATTGTTGTCCTTGACAATGCAGTGTAATTGACTTGTTTCTCGATCGAAAGGCGACAAACAGAAGAGGGAAAAACTAGATAGTGTGGCTGGCTGGCAGGCGGGTGGTGTCTGTCTATGTTTGGTTTCGAATCTACCCGTGAGGCGCAGGTGGATGATTGCCAATGTTTGGAGTGCTTGATGATCGACGTGATGCTGGACAATCTTCGCACACAATGGAGCCAAGGAAGGTGGAAATATGCTCGACGACAAGTTACCCTAGCATGTAGGAGGAATAGACGACGCGACGTTCAGTGAACGGTGGCGTGAGAGTGGGTCGGTTGTTGACGGTTAGACGAATAGCAGAAGCTCAGAAGTCTGAGAAGTGGGGATTCGATGGAGGGTTAAGACATGCATCCCTATAGAGGGGGTGTCAGAAGCCGTCTTGTACGTACTTGCTTGTCACAAGAGGGTAACAGACGATGAGGCTCAAGGCATGACACGTTGATGGAACGAGAAACAGGCGAATGGCTTCATCACGATGGAGGCGGCGAGGGCCAAGCTTCGTATCCGTGGTGGACCAGTCTGGGAGTCAACGCTTGCCAGGTTCAAGACCTAAAACCTTAACAGCCCTTGCGCGCAAAGAATGAGGCTGGAGCAGGAACAGAGGCGTCTCGATTGGTCTCGGTAACGGTGAGGCAACAGGAAAATTGGGTATCATAAGGGCGAAGACTGCCACGCAGGACAATTGGCGTTGTCGGATCGACTGGCGATGGAACAGATTGGGTCGGAGAAGTTCGAATGAAGTTAGAAGAATCTCCTCGGCTGAGACTGCTTTGGGTTTGAAGCACAGAGCGTGGCACTATTGGCCAATCGGGCATCCACTGGGGGACTTTCTGACCCGCTCTGCAACCCCTGATTTGAATAAAACCTGGCCTAAAAATAAGGTACTTGATTGCTTCGACAGCTGCCCAACCATGTCCCCTGATGCGAATTTTACCCCTGGAAAGCCAAGATTTGACTTTATCGAGTCGTTCCTCCCGCATTCGCTTCAAGTTCATTTACACGACACCACTCGATGCTGTAGATCTCTGGACACAAAAACAGGCTGCATAGCATAAAAAGGCAGCTACTACCTGCCGTTTGTACATTTAGCTGCAATACTTGTGATTTGGCGCTGGACATTTCTACCCGCTTACTTGACCTGAGGAGGGTCGAAACTGTGACTACTGCGGCGGGACCACGGAGTTCGTCGTTGACGCTTGCGCCCTACCCAAACCGAGGCGAAACCCTTGCCCACCGTTTCATCTGCCAAAATAGCGTCGTTTACGAGATGAAATCAGCAAAGCCACAGATGCGCCGCTGCAGGTGTCACGGCAGATGCCGAACTTTCGGGTGAGCTCCAACAATTGGAGCTCATGACAAACTCCCAGACTAGGGCACTTTGGCAGGAGGCACTTTGGCAGGTCGCACTTTACTCGACTTGGTACTGCGCCAACTGATTCCACGTCGTGCTGCTCACAGGTGAGTAATTGTTCCCACTAGGAATTCCGAGTGGATGACTATGGACAAATGAGGCAAGTTCGTACCCTACAAAAAACCATGCTTCGTGAAGCGTCGGGTTTTGACGTACTATTTGTTTTCATTGAATTCGCCTGGGTATCAACGACCAGTATTGAAGATGAGGTCCAGTTGGTGACGCGACGCAAGGCGGCTCTCTTTCACCCAACTCACTGGGGACCACTCCGTAGCATGCCGAAAGTCGAGCAGAACATCGCGCTGTTACTTGTAAAAGCCAGGCAACGCAGTGAAGACCTGAAGGATGACGCAAGCGCTAACGAGAAATCATATACAACCTGCCACATCCCACTCAGCGCCACGATTCGGGTAGACGGGGGTCCGCAACCCGCCGTCTCATCACAAGATTCCGCCGCACTGCGGGATGCGGAAATCGTCTAGGTCAAGAACTTTATCTTGGGACTCGTCGTAACGGGTTAGAGGCATCTTCCCGATCTAACAACGTTAGGTAACTGAGTATCTGTGGTCTCACTACGGATTACTACGTAGGCACGACGACACAGTTGGCCAACCACTTGAAGATTGTCGACGTTGTGGAGGGAGCCGAGAAGGGTGAAATCGTACCGGTGAGGGATGCGCATCCGCCCCCCCTCGCCCCCCCCCGAGTCTGATAAGGGGTTTGATAAGGTTTGCTGAGGTTAGGAAGATGGAGAGGGTGGCTAGTGGCGTGTTTAGGAGCTGAAGGGCCTTGATGCTGTTCATCATGCTTCACTGATACGTCCTACTTAGTACACCCACCCCTCCATACACAGAATCCCAGCCGTGCCTCATTGTCTCGAATTTAAAGATATTGGATTGGTCACCTGTGTCGTAACGTGATCAGTAGAAAGCAGAGCCGTCGGGTTTCTATTCACGTCACATCTGCGGCCGAATGGCGGCCCCCACGCGCCCTAAATCCCTTAAATTTTACGAACCTGCAGTAGAGTGCGGGAGGAAGCGCTACGTCCCCAGATTCAATAACCGCCGCTCGACGAAGACCAATTAAAGCTCGTGTATGAGAGGATTGATGAAATCTATGTGGAACACATTGTGGCACGTGGTGCTATGTCAGTCCACCCCATGCTCACGAGATCGTGCGATGCGGGATATTGGCCTTACGACCGTGGATGCCGTAAAGAGCATTCGCAATGTGCTGTAATATCTTCTTGTTTATATCAAACATATATCATTGATAATGATGCCTCATACTGTGAGGATATCAGCTCCTTCATACCGCTTCCTGGCGCCTCTATTTACTCGTCATTGCCGTAATCACTGATAATGGCCACGGAGCCGCCCAAATCTGAACGAGATATGCCTACTTGATGAAGACCAGATACACACTAACACCAGCCCAGAAGCTCAAAATGATGAATTCCTAGATGAGCTTGATGTTCACGATCCAATGTACCATGAAGAACCGTAACACAGAAGTTGTGTGATGTGGGTTATAAAATAATCCTCCAGTGCTTATACTCACAGAAGTCGCGAGTTGCCGATTCGCCTACTCGAGTTTGCGCTGCTCGATCGTGTCGATCATCTTCCAGGAAACTTTATTATCGATCTTCTCCCATGTCGCCTCGCAAGCCTGCTCTCGTGCCGCTTGATCAAACTCCTGCCGAAGAATTTCATCTGTGCCCAAACCGAGGACCATCTTGACGAACCCAGCTAGGTCATCCGGGGGAACAGGGTATCCCAATGTGTTAAAGAGATACCCCTGCACCTTCGTGGACGTCCAGCTAGCGATGGAACCCAGTCGACGGGGAAACAGGATTTCGCAGTAGCCGGCTAGATCGGTCTGGAAATTGCAGATTATCGCAGACTACTGAAACCTGAGCCTCATAAAGCTGCTGTCTAAAATCCAAGATGCCCTCTTGGTATGCTGCATGCGACTTTGTGCGCTCCAATAACCTGCTACGGCTGCACATTGCATTAGCGCGCTAATCGATAAGCTCGATGTTCACCGGGTCTCCCCGCTAGTGCAGATCTATCTAAAGGAGATCAAGGGGGAGGGGCAAGTCCCACCTTTGCGAATAAGCATCACTGTCTAGACCCTGTGTGCGTCGCTCGCCAGTCAACATTGGCTTGGGAGAATCTGTCACTCTCTTGACCAAGATAGGCTGGACTAAAATTCTGCGAAAATATCGAGGGCAGAACATGATTATAACGCTAAGTGTTCACAGTCAAGCGACGAGAGCAATGGCTTGAGGTCCTTCATCAGCAACAGTGACTTACATGACTTCACAACGAGATTCTCGAGGCCATATATGGTGGGAATATTAATACTGAGAACTTCACAATAGGAATTCTGGTATCGTGACTCGCTGCTGCAGGTTGCCGATATCGTCTGTACACCTTGTTTCAGGGTCTATGCAGCTAAACTTTGGGAAAACCTTTGAAGGAAGGTCCGCACAGCATGCGTGCTGCTAGGGAAGTTGAGATATACAACCGTCCATTACCATCACCAACAGGCACATGCTGGTGATGATTATTCTGGGTTTCAACGCCCGCCATTGCACAAATTCTTCCTCGCCAGTCCCTGCTTCAACTTTCTTTCTTGCCGACGACCCGCTACGGCGATACAACCCAGCACAATGTGCCGATGACTACCCCGACTGTCATCTCATGGCCAAGGACAGTTATTCGAATTCTGTTAACTCAGATGAGTACGAGACGAAGGAGAGGCTGGATTGAAACAAGATCACGTACCGTATGAGCAAGCCGAAATAGGTGTTTGACGGAAAGGGCGTATTGATGCGAGAGAGATGCAGAAGCTGGTTGTGAGGGTGGACAGTTTAGGTCGTCAGGGGCTGGGTTTGTGTGATTGAGTTGACTCCTGTGGTTATGGATTGGGTATCTGCATTTGATGGTGTTACTTGGCAGTGGCAGTAGCTAGGTCGATTGCAGTTGTGTGAGTTGGATGGCATGATAGATATACCGGCTCGGGGAACAAGGTTATTTCGAGAACACTTTTGGGGTTTCCGCAACAAATAGCTAAGTTGTTTCTTTCTTACTGCTATCTTCTAGGGAATCATCTCTTACTAGCTACTTTAGTCCATCGTATGTCGCGCTTGGATTACTCATAATAAGCTTCTAAATGGGGAAGAAACCTGGAAGTTGTATTGAAACTGAAGTTATTAGCAGAGATATGATATTGGCAGTGGTCAGACAAAACCAGACAGACCATAGACTTTTATTATTCGCTGTGGGGATCCTGAACGTGAGGGTTGGTTCGTTTATTGGAGAGGAGGGTGAAAAGGTCGCGACGTGCGAATAAATCTACTTCCGAACTGGTTCTCCATCTAGTGCACGTCATCCCGTTGCTCACCACACATTTCTAGCGCTAACTAAGACCCGATCTTCCGTTTCTCCCCCACTAACCCCTGGTCGGCCCTGGTCGGCCATTGTAGAAGCCCCGACCTCGGTCGCAATTCGGGACCGTCATGTCGTTCAACCATGGCCCTCATAAGTTTCCAATGGCTGCATCTAAACATCAATCTACATCTGACGCCAGTACGGACAATAGCACCTATACTACGGACATGTCGAAACTTTCTACAACCGTCAAGGCGCTCATCAACGCCGGCCACGCCAGGCCGGGCTACACGCGCGCATCGGCGCAGGTCCAGCCCGCGTTGGCCGAGTTTGCTCGGGATGCGAAAGAGAAGAAGGTCGGGTTGCCAGCTTGGGTGACGATGTCGGTCAGTCTCTCTCATATACGCAGCCAATCAATCGATAATTAAGACAGTCACAATATAATGAACAACTCATGCTAACGAATTGCCTCCAGACGGCAGTTAGCGCAACCCTCAACTGCCCCGAAGCCATGACGTCCATCTTTCAGCTCGCAAACCTCACCGCGCCCTCAACCCGCAACCCCGTCCAAAACGCCGAACTCGTCCGCGAAGTCGGCCTAAAATGCATTTCCTTCAACGGCATCCCGCGTTCCATCAACTGCCTCAACGCCTTCTATTCCAGTCTTCCCCCGGACGTCGCATCCTCCCTCTCTACTCAACCCACGCGCGAATACACCCTCCAAAACCTCGAGGCGAGGAAGAAAACCGGCTTGGCGCTTTGGGATTCTGTGTACTTGGGCTTTGAAAGGAAATTATTGGATAAACTGGCGCAGAGCCACCCAGATTTACCTGTGCATATCCTGAATGGACACTACGGGAGCTTGCTTTCTGATCCTGAGGATAAGAAGACAGGGGCTAAGGTGGGGCGAGTATTGACTAGTTTGGTAGCGATTGCGTGTTTGAGGGCGCAGACGGGGGTTGGACCGCAGGTGGTGAGTCATATTTTTGGATTAAGGAAGGCGTATGAGAATGGGGATGCGAGGGCGGCTGGGGAAGAAGAGGTTGAGGGTGGAGAGTGGTTGGCGGGCGAAGAGGGGAATGTGTGGATGTTGGAGCGTGTGGATGAATTGGTTAGGATCATTGGAGGCGGGGAGGGGACGAGTTTTGCGCCAGGGGTGAGGGCGAAGTTGTAGGTAATGGAGGTATGCGTTATAGTTCTAATTAATGTAGTATGGATCGACTTCATGTAATCTAAGCTGAGATTTCCAGAAGCATTGGATTTGAGACTATCCACTGACCATCCACTGACCAGTGGATAGTCTAGGAACGGACTCTATCATGAAATAATTCAGTTGACAGAACAAGGTAGCCGAACAGACAACTCGGGCAGATAAGGCCGTTATCGTTCAAACAACAGAAGGAACAAAAACATAATCGAGAAACCCTCCCTATCTGGGGGTTTCGGTTATTAAACCACACTTAAGTCTCACATGGATGATAAGAACCAGCATATTAAAGAATGGAAAGAAACTTCCCCCCCGATTCTATGCACCTATTCATAGTGAGCTCTACTGTTGCTAGTGTCCTGGTGTACAAATTAACCGTCCCTAGAATTGATTTCAATGAAAGCTTCTGCATATCTTAAATCTATGTTACAACAGCATAAAAGAGGTAAAATGAAGGTAAAAGGAAACGAATTATCCGGTCCAGGATCCGAACCTGAGACTCGCACACAACCCTGTATCACTTAGCGTGTTGGGCGTATGGCCGACTACCGATTACTCTACCAATGAATGAACCATACTATCTTATTTCTCAAAAATGGACGTCTTTAGAATACCTTACGTCTGACGTCGCCCTGTACAGACACCTTCTCCAAGGTTTGCTACAACCAGGATCAACAGTAGGTGTAGCTTCTTGGTGCTTCCCATATATACAATGACCAAACCAGCCCCGCCCTAAAACGTCCCCAAATCCTCCGCCACGTCAAAGTTCGCGTCTGTCTTCTCCCTCACCGTCTCAACATCCACTCCCTCCGCCACCTCCGTCAACGTCAATCGGCTATTGACTCGATCCACCTGGAATACAGCCAAGTCCGTAATAATCGTACTCACGACCCCCTTCCCCGTAAGCGGCAGCTTGCAGTCCTGCACAATCTTGCTCCGGCCTTGCTTATCCACATGTTCCGTCGCAACAACGATCTTGGTCTGTTCCGGGTTCGACACTAAATCCATGGCGCCGCCCATCCCCTTAAATACTTTGCCAGGGATCATGTAATTGGCCAGGTCGCCAGAGGCGGAAACTTGGAATGCGCCTAGGATTGATACATCGACGTGCCCGCCGCGGATCATGCCGAAGGATTCGGCGCTGTCGAAGGTCGACGCGCCTGGGAGGAGAGTTACGGTTTCTTTGCCCGCGTTGATGAGGTCTGCGTCAATGTCTTTTTCTGAAGCGGGGTAGGGGCCCATGCCGAGGATTCCGTTCTCGGATTGGAGCCAGACTTTGGTGTTAGGGGGGAGGTAAGAGGCGGAGAGGGTGGGGATGCCGACTCCCAAATTTACATAAAACCCATCCTTCAACTCGAGGGCGGCACGTTTGGCGATGCGGTTCCGGGCATTGGGTTGGCTTGTGCTGGTGATGTTGGAGGGATCTTCTTTGGGAGGGGCGAGTTTGAGGTTTTCAATGTGCTTGGGTGCTGTGGCGGGGACAATACGGTCGATGAAGATTCCGGGGAGGTCGACTTCGTCAGGGTGGATAGCGCCGAGGGGCACGATGTTCTCGGCTTCGACGATGGAGAGTTTGGCGGCTTTGGCCATAAGGCCGGCGTAGGTTTTTGTCGTGTATCTGTTGGGTTTGGGGTTTGGTTAATAACATAGATATACGAGAAAAGAGAGAACCTGTGCGAATGAGATAAAGCAACCTACTTGAAAACACAGTTCCCCGCCTCGTCGACCTTCCACGCCCTTAGAATAGCCACATCGCCCTGGAGCGCAGTCTCCATGAGATAGGACTTTCCATTGAATATCCTCGTCTCCTTGGGCTTTCCTTTTTCTAAGATGCCCTCGGGTGTGAACCGCGCGGGGATCTCCCCCGTTTCGATAAATGTGTCTGGTTCAATTATTAGTTCAAATTCATACACCATTCGTGTTACCGCATGCTCCATTCTGATAATACTCACTGCCACCAGTCGATGTATAAAAAGCTGGGATCCCAGCCCCAGCGGCCCGCAATTTCTCGGCCAGTGTGCCTTGAGGACATAACTCGACGGCGATCTGGCCTGTGAGGTACTGTTTCTCCAGCTCTTTATTGCTGCCCAGATACGACAGGATGATGCGACTCAGTCGCCCGCTCTTGGTAAGCAAAGCTAATCCGCCATCTCCAGCGCCAGCGTTATTCGACACCGCGGTCAGGTCCTGGAGTCCTTTCTTGTGGATGGCTTGGATGAGCGTGTCTGTTCAACATTCCACATTAGCTCATGCCTTTTCCTCCTCTCATCTTATCGCATCTCATCTCATACGCAAGACAAGCAAGCAAGACAAGCAAACATATTCGAGACGATTTGAAGAAGGACCGCAACTAACCAGCCACACCACAAAGCCCAAATCCAGCGCTCAAAAGTGTCATCCCATCCTGCAAATCCGCAATCGCCTCATCAGCCGATTTGAATACCTTACTCCCACTACGCTGCCTTGCCGGTGCTGCAGCAGCAGCAGGCCGATCGGTTGAGTAATAGTACTTCCGCGTTAGAGGCGACGACAAGATCCTGGCATACTGGCACTTCGCGCCGGGCGTGGCCCATCGGTACGAGAACTGGAGCGACGCGCGCAGGAAGACGCTTCTTGGACGTGCCATTCTCTTTCTTGTTAGGGCGGAATTAGGGATTAAGCGTAATTTGTCACACAGTCACGGTAATAGAGATGAGAGATGGGGGGGACATCATTGATTTTATCATGACGTTATTGCCGATCCGTATGTATGCGTCTCAGCCGTTAGAGGTCGCTGCGGGGGTTTATTAAGGCCCGATTGATGGTGCGGGCATTGCGAGAGCTCAGACCGAAGAGCAACCCCCCTGTACCCGTGCCACACCCCACTTATTTCGGATTCGCTTGAGCTCACCAACTTGGCCAGTTTTTCGACAGATTTCAACCTTCAATTAGAATCTACGTAATAACCGCCAACCAAGGCCTGTCTCGAAGACATCTGTAGGCTGTAATTGGCCTGTCAATCGACGTCTTCTAGCTTCTTTTGCGGCATCAGAAAAGCTCTTTTTGGCTACTCTACGTAGTCCTTCATGATACTTGGCGAGAACTCTCTGTGCTTTAGCTACCTCATCTTCAACCTTCCTCTTCACCATCTCTCTACCTTCTGCAACGGATAAAACTCCACCAGATTGAAGATGATAGTTCTTCGTAGCGCGCCGTTGTTTTTATATACGTTCGGCGTACTTTGTACGGTTAAGATCGCGCTTAGTCTGTATAAGCTCGGTCGCATTAACGAGGGACCCTTTAACAAAGCGACTAAGTCGATAGGCTAGATCTGGACTAATACCCAGCTCTGGATCAGTAAGACAGTTCGTAATCTTGCTAGCTACTTTATTAATTTGTCGAAAAGTAGTAGGTGTGCCTTCATATGACGAAGATGAAGGGGCTGGTGGTGGTGATGGCGTCTTTGGTATACGTTCTTCAATCTCTTGTAGTATTGGATGAGGGTAAAATGGATATATACCGGTTTTCTTGAAGGCTGACTGGATAGTACTCGCTTTGAAGGTCTTTTTGCGTACATTTTCGATAATTGAGAGGAACTCTAGCTTGGTTATATTGGTACATCCATCCCAAATGAAGGTCTTGCGCGTACCACTGAGCCGAGTGGATAGTCCCCGTGAGTATGAGGAAAGCTGGTATTACGTCGCCAGCAGCAGAGATAGCTTCAATAGCTGTCGCTGTCTCTCTATTTTCTGGTAGGCCGAAGTAATGGGCCCTCTTGCGCTTAGTGATGATAAGTTGATCCTTACCAACACCAATCCGGAAGCCAATCTCGTCCATATTTCAGAGATCAGAGGGATCGATTCCTTCTTCCCAGAGGACTCTCTCAAGCCGTATAAAATACTCTCGTATAGTGTCGAGGTTTTCAGCAGTCTGGCGGTTTGAATGGAGCTTCCGCTGGGAAGCGTGGAAGTAGCTATGGCGCTTGAGGAAACGTGTAGTCCAGTTTGATCCGACTATTGGTGGTGGCTGATTTGGTAGAACCTTGACTCTCTCACGTAATATCGTATTTGCAGCGTCGGTAACGAATTCTACGCGAACCGCAAGATTGTTGAGTCCTCCGTGGTTCTTAGTCTTTCCAGCTTGCTTGACGTGGTATCGGAGGGTCTCGCGTTTTACGCCGCTTTCTCGCGCAATCTTGGCAATTTTGGCTTGAGGATGCTCTTGCATGTAGAGGACGGCTTCCTGTAGCTGTGAGTCCATTGCGATTGGAAAAAGCTAATGAATTGATGAAGATAGGATAGGTTGAAGTTGAAAGTATCGAAAAACTGGCCAAGTTGGTGGTGAGCACCAACTTAGGTTGGTGCGCTCAAGCGAATCCGAAATAAGTGGGGTGTGGCACGGGTAGGTTGGGTTTCGCCTGTCTGAAATGGCCGACCGGTTTCAACTCTTTTCTATTTTAACCTTCTTTTTTCCTCCCTCAGTCTGCTGCCGTTGACGAGTATAAAATGACCTCAAACAGTACAGCCACTAACTACTTCACCTCGAGACATAGCATGACATAGTGGGCATGAACGACGTAAATGGGGTCTGCGGTTGTTGGAAAACAGCAGATATCTATCAATTTGATACCAGATTCAGGTATCAGGGTATCGTGTTATCCTCATCAACCCGCAGCTGTCTTCAAGCTTGAACGGCGTGATCATGGCTTGCAAGACCCCTCTGCCAATACCAGTGGCCAAATTCTAATCAAAGTGTTGATAATGTCAGCGATCTTGCGCCACCAGATTCTATGACCTGGTTAAACTGGAAGCCCACCTCACTTCACCTCAAAACAAATCCGATGGGGCAATCTACCTGCACTCTAGAAGCTATCCGTTATTCCTTGCCTGGGAGTGAACCTTGGAGTGAACCCAAGGAAGTGCAAAAGGTCATAGAATCCGAGTCAAACCGCAGCACCCGCTCACAGAACCATCTTGAAAGACGGATCGCGGTCATCGCCCGAGCCAATCCACTTGTCGTACTTGCCATTAGCCTTGTCGCGGTTAATCTTCCAGCAGTAGAGAACATTGGCCAGAGTCCTATTCGACCACCAGTTAGTAAATGCCCACAGCAACCGAGACCCTGCTCTCCTGGACAGAACAAGTAGAAGGGGAAAAGAAGACTCACAAAAACCACGCAGCAACTAACAAACTCAAAATAATCGTATGGCCCTCATGAAACTGCGGCTTCTGCCTATTTGGATAAACAAAAACCGTCACGAACCCGCCACAATTCGCAATAGCCAGCTGCAGCGCACTAGTGGTAGCCCTTTTATAATGCGCCGCAGAATTGTTGCTCAACCATCCCAGCACAGGCGGCACGGAACTATACAGCCCCGTAGCCATGAGGAAGGTCATGCCATACTTGACGCGGGGGGACGTCACGTTGGCGATGCCCGCGTACCCGATGATGGCGATGGGGAGCGTGCACAGCATGACGATGCCCCGGGAGCGGGTGCGGTCGGATATCAAGGCGATGAAGACGGTTATTACTGCCGCGGCGGCATAGGGGATTACGGACCAGAGTTGGGACTCGTTGGCCGTGTAGCCTAGGGCGGCTATGATGGTGGGGAGCTGGAGGTATGTCAGCCGGGGAATGATTCGCTGTATGCTGTGACTGGAAGGAGACTTACAAAGAGACCGAAGGAATATAGGCCAGAGAGAATAGCGAAGTAGGCACTGGCTGTCAGCCAGACTTGCAGGTTGGCCACACCGCGGATGACTTCGGACCAAGTGAATTTCTCGGCTTGCTCCCTGTAACTGCATCAGTTTCTGGTTCAAAATATCTTCTCGTGCCTAGAGTAAACGTACTTGCTATGCGTGCCATCTCCGTGTGCAACACCGTGGATCCGCGAAATGGCGAATGAACGCTCCTCTGGTGTAAGGAACCGAGCCGAGGCAAGTCCGTTGGGGAGGATGAAGTAGGTTATGAGGCCGACAATGGCAGTCTAGGGGACCGTGTTAGTGAGTGTTCACTTTCATATCAGGGGTGGCTGAGATTGAGCCAGCAACGTACCAGCAAGCCTTCAATCACGAAAATCCACCGCCAGCTAGATAACCCGCCCCGAGTCCCAATCTCAGCAATTCCGCGGGCGAGGAGACCTTGTCGATGTCAGCAGTTACTTAGTCAATTGTAAGACTGGTTTTGGCAAACCTCCAAAAGCACCAGAGAGCGATGCAGCAGTGTAGAACAGTCCGATTCTCAGTGCGAGTTCGCCTCGCTTGTAGATGCCGGATAAGTAGAGGATCTGGCAAGTCCCGTATGGTCAGCTGTCGCCTTGCTCTTGAGTGGCTTAAAGGTGTTGGTAAGGAGTTATATACCATTCCAGGTAACAGCCCACCCTCCGTCATACCCAAGATAGCCCTCACCCCGACAAAGCCGCCGAAGTTCTGGACGAAGCCCAGGCTCATTGCCACGATGCCCCAGCAGAAGGTCAAGAAAGGGAGCCAGATCTGTGGGCTGATCTTTTTGAGGACGAGATTGCTGGGGATTTCGCTGTATGATGAATATCATTGTCAGTTCCATGATGCGACCAGAAGTGAGGTTCCTGGGTATTCGAATGGATGGGTCTGACCTGCAAATATAAGTCGCGTAAAACACGGCCAGACCAATATCATATTGATGATCCGTCATGCCTAGGTCGTCTTCGAGTCCGTATCTGTGATTCATTTGGTATCAGCATACTGAACTTTTTTCTTGGGTAAGGATAGGATAGAACAAGGAGAGTACTAACAATCTTGCATTTCCCACATTCGTCCGATCGAGAAATGAGCAGAGAAACAGCACTGCCAGCACGGGGAGGATTCTGTGATACACCTCAGACAGTCAGCCATAATCATCATTCATTTCACCGCTTTTCCTCAAGCTTTCGACTTTTAAAGTGATCATGACTCTCAGAAATGCTAGTACCTAGTATCCAACTTCCACAAAATCCTCCTCGTCAAATGCGCATCATCCGCCGCAAACTGCCCGGCCTCCAAATCATTTTTCTCGAGCTCCTCGGCGACGGCTTTGCCATCGCCACTGTTCTGACGGCGGCTGTGTTGGGTAGCCATGGTCGCGACGTTCACGTTTCGGCAATTCTGAACAATCAAATCAAATCAACTCGAATTGAATTGAGTGTCCAAGGATAATCCAAGATATGTGGTTTCCAGAGAATTGGTTCGATGGACGTAACGGTCTGACGGACGCAACAGAAAAGCTCGGCGCAGGTCTTGGTGATGCTTGTTTTGTGGGCTTTTGGGGCTTGTGGAACTGTGTTAGATTGGATAGAGCAAGATAAATGGGCAAGATAGATGAAACTTCGAATAAATCGGGGGAGCTAGAGGTGGGTAATGAGGGAAGGGGGGAGGATGCGGGGGGAAATGAGACCTCGAAAGCTTGGGCTGCGTTTGATCAGGGAGTAGCACCCTTGATATGTCTTTGACTGGTAACGCGGGGAAATAGCTGACAAGTATGAACCATTGGCTGGGTTGGAGTATGGCTGGCTTGGCCGGTGGTGTTTTTCAAGGATCGGGACAAGAAAAATGACCAAGTTGATTGGGGGCTCTTAAAAGTCTGGTTGAGAGAAGTGATAGGCGGCAGGATTGACTGGATAAAGAAGGACATAACCAAGTGGCATTTCTAACTGGATAGAGAAGGAAGTAATCGGTTGTTGGGCGGGGGAAGATAGACGCCCGTTGTTGCAGGTTGCATGGTGCATGTTGAATGTTGAAGAAACGTCCCGTACCAAGGCTGTTGAATGGTGAATAGTGGATAGTGTCAATGTTGGGTGACATTTTCGCTATCTTGCCTTAGAAAAAGGGGAGACAAAGTATTTGCATTGCCTCCCATTTGAAATCAGCACGCATAATCTGGCGCGTCGGTTTTGTCATTGAACAGGTAGACGCGAAGATTCTCAGATCATAATTGTATCACAATGCAGAACAAGGTTACTCCAACAAAAAAAGCATACCTAGATAAGGGTGACGATGCGTTCTTTCCCACCCAGAACGCCGATATACTCTATGCAAATGTGGACCAGTCCATCCAATCCAAATCCGTTCCATTCTGGAATTGAAAATCCTCCCATAGGGCCTCGAGACCCACGTCTGTGTTATTGATGGCCTCATCGAGCTGGTCGTTCGACATGGTCGAGAACAGCAGGTAATCTGGCGGCACGCTTGATTGTGGCATATCTACCGCCACCGGGTTCTGTGCAACATGACTATGCGCATGCATGTGCGCCGGGTATCCCGCCACTCTCCCATGAACCTGCCCCTGGGCCTGATTATGGTCATGAACATGCGGATGAGGATAAGCATGCGGGTCCCTACTTGCCGGCTGCTCCATTTGTCCACGAGTAGCGAGCTTGAGTATCTCCCTCAGCTGCCGGGCGAACAAGCACGATAAGCCTTTCCTCTGGACCGGGGTCTCGCCAATACGGTCGAGCACGTCAGTCGTCTCGAGAATGAGGGTGCGGATACTCGGGGCAAGACTGGATCCCCGGCCATCAGCGACAGTGCTGACCCTCAGCGCGAAGCAGGCTGCGAATGAGATCATGATGGCCGTATTGTTGGGCATGGTCTTCAGCTGGCCCTCGCCTTGAACGGCGACGCGGAGCACGTTGAGGGCTGAAGAGAGGCCTGCTGCGCGGAAGAAGTGACGCGCTGACATGGGCGCCGTGGTGTGGTTTACGACGCTACTGTACATGGACAGGCGGGTATGGGAGGCGAGGATCTCGACGTAAGGAGGTAAGGAGAGTTCTGGGTTAGTGTTAGTGGATAGTCGGAGCTGCAACAGTTGGGGCGAGGACGCTTACGCTCTCGATCTCCTATTTGGAGTGGCCAGGTCTGGTACCATCTGTCAAAGAAATGTGTGATCTCCCCCTTTAACCTATGCAAACAATTAGTTCAGTGCTTTCAACATAGATAATTGAAGCTCACCTGTCCACGATAATCGAGTCGCCGTCCTTGGTGTCTACGTATGCGTCACATATTGCTCGTACTCTGGCAATGAGGTTGGCCTGTCATGCCCTTGTTAGTCGCACGTTGGCTTCACGACGATGGGGCACTCACCAGATCTCTCCGTAAAACAACGACCGACACAATGGATCCATCCCACCGGTCTGCTAAATCCGACAAGTGCCACTGATCACAGGTCGTAATAAGTGGCGACATTGGGAGAACATTGTCTCTTCCACGCGCTAAGCAGATGCTGCACCAGGATTAGAGAATAAGCATTGGAGTATTGCATATAATCACTCACCCCCTTTCGAGAACAAATAGTGACAACCATGTCCGTTCCCTCCTCCTCACAAACCTTTTGCCCGCCAAGGAGTTGGGATCAACATGCCCCAAACCATCAATGCCGAGGGCCTTGGTAGCGGATATGCAGTCGGAACTCGCCACGCTATCCCTCGGTGTCCGGGCATCTGGATATAACGGCAGAATGATCTTGTTTAGGGATAGGTCCAATGCGATGGTCAAAGCCATGGAGATGTATGTCGACGTCTCATCGTCGGCCCAATGCTCTCCCGCTGAGATCCAAGGGATATTTACCATGAAAGCGAGGATAATCTCAACCGACTTATACCGGTTCGCCATGACCAGGCTGGCCAGTTTCTGCCGATGAATGGAGAGCCGCTTGTGAAGAGACTCCATAGAGGGCGAGAATAATGCCGACGCGGCTGCTATGGATGTAAGCAGGAACGCGGACCGACCCCGTACGAATCCAACGGTGTGTATCACGGGGTCTATCCCCCAGCGCGTGTGCGCAAGTTTATCGTAAAAACTAAAGTCGGTCAGCCAGATCAGTGAGTGGAATGTAGAATTCCACGAATCAGAAAGGACGTCGTACTATGAGAACAACGACTCGGCCTCGGCAAGAGACATAAGACCAAGTTCAATGGGATCCAACTCCGCTCCAATATCCAATCGTGGTTGGAATCGGCCAAAGAAGCTCTGGATGTCGTGATCATGCTCACCCGAAAGACCAAAGCCCCTGACAGCCGCGGTGGGCTTCGAGGCAAACCTGCTAGCCCCAGGTCCAGAGGCTTGCCGTGATATTGACGACAGCAGCTCAGACGTGCGCGCCAGTAACTGTAGTGGATTCTCCGCATCATCTAGATTCAGCTGGTCGCTTTCGATCTTGTGCGCCGGGGAGTCCTCAATATGGGGGCCGCCAGACTGTGATCGAGGAGTGTGCAGCGACGTCTCGGTCCGATGTGGTGAGGACCTCTGGTCCTTTTCGCCATTGCTCGACGCCGAGTACTCGCCCGAAATGCCCTGGTTCGCACCAGAAGAGCTTCCTAGCAGCTCTCGACTCCTTTCCAGTAAAAACCGCAGCTCCGAGGCTTGCTCCAGATTCTGGACCTGATCGGGACCCGGCCCCCGCTTCAGCGCCTGTTCGATCTGGTACACAGCCTTTTCGAGTCCAGAGTGTTTACTATGCACTTTTATAAGTTACTTGGAGGAGGAAACACTGGAGCTGCATACTCACTTTTTCACCCCTTTGTGCCGCCCCACGTGATATGCAGGAGCAGCACAGTCGATCCGCCTCTGCCGACAACGATTGCAAGTGGCCGACCCATTCGTCCTCACGCACTTCAACTTCGACCTTTTGCACGAAAAGCAAGCGGCTAAACGTTCATCGTCGCGTTCCCTTTCTCGGTCCCTATCCCGCTTGATGTCGGAGCCGGAGCCGGAACCGGGGTTTGTCACAAGTTCTGCCATAGATGGAGCACTTGCAGCCGCGCGAGTCCTTGGCCATGGGGCAATCAAATGACCATCAAATTTGCGTCACATGGATGCGGACAATTGGTTCATTAGACGCAGGACATGGTGAGGCGATTCCAACCCAGATTGCTTCTTCACCGACACATTACACGCGTCCGTCATCTAGCATCTACGTAAGGCCTCTGGCTCTTCCCCGCTCGCAAAGTTTCTGAAACTACAGGCTCAAATATGCCCCGGCTACTTCCGGCCCACCTGCCTCCGAGACTGAGTGTCACGATATTGTCACGTGATCTTGTGACAGAACGTCGCGACCAGGCGCCCAGTGTGGTCTGAGTGTTTACCTCTTCTACAATAAATAATCAATCAATAAAATGAGCTGTCAATGTTGCAGTTCTATCGCGCAAACGAACTTCTGTGGAGGTTTGTATACAGCTCTTTATCTTCACCTAGTCCTTGAGCTGTAAGCTGCGACATGCGAAACTAGAATTCGATAAAAGCAGACCTCCAAACATTATGAGCCAAACAGAGAGGCACCGGACAACATTTCACGAAGACTTCACGATCTGGGTTCGCGCCAATCCCCTCAGATTTCCCAGTTCACCTCATGCGATGTGACGGTGGGTCCATCCCAAGTCTGGACTCATTGCTTGGTCGCAAGCGGCCTATTTCGCACTATCGAGCTCTGGAGTCTGCAAGAGTCTGGGGCACCAAAGTTGGGGTGGAAATTGGGGTGGTCATCAGTCGCTCTACAGTTTGTTGGGGTATAGGGGAAGAAGTTTCTCTTAACGTCACCATCCGAAATACCTGGAGCCCGCCAATCGCTATGCCTTCAACGGCTCGACCAGTTGCAACGTCAACCGATCATCTGTTCTCGGAGTTATTGTAGGCGCTACTCCGTACCAAGGCCGAGTTGGCATTGCGCTAATGAATCATGCACACAAATTATATAGTAGGTTGATCTTGCTTGACCAGGACCTGGGGTTGACACGACGTCGTGCTCGATAGTGAACACAATCTTATCTTAATGTCATTATTTTTACTACCAACTTGATCAGAATCATTGCGGGACACGTCAGTACTGGAGACTCTGCTCTTGAAACGTCGATTCGCAACTAGATTCAGCATGACAACTATCAACTATCAACTTGAACCACGATCGTAAGACGAGATACGAAAGGTTGAACCATCATGTTTCGCGTTCGTCGGAGCTGTCCCCGTTCGGCGATTTGAGCCGCAAGTGCACATGCGTTGCACAGCTTGTGTAATGCCTCAAAAGCATGGAGCAAGTTTTGCTAGCTCTCTTCTAGCGCCTCTTTCAGTCCTATCTCACACACCCTGCCACGAAACCTCGCGTCTCATTGGACACCTCCACATCAATATATTCGTACTCCTCAATCTGGGGACCCCGCGGGTGAGGCGCTAGCCGATATCAAATCGCCCTCAAGGAACTCCGCGAACTGGCCGCTCCCTGGGCCGTTTCTGCCCCTGGACGGACTTGGCTAGGTAACGGTGAATGGCTCAGCGCCAGCATCCTAATGTCTTCTACCTGCAGATCTACCCTTCGCATCGGAGTCTTCTCGACCACCTTGCCCTGTCCATCTTCAAGACTGACATCCAATGCGATGTCAACTTAAATCCCGGAACGCTACTAAACCCAGCAACGGTACTCCGTCATTGGTCTGATGTGGGGACAAGGGAATCTGCGCCAGCAGCCAAATGCCATGGTTCATACCGTCAAGGCGGTATCAGGCCAAAGTTTTCACCCCCTTGACAAGTAACAGTGGACCACTGTCAAGGTAACGCTATACTGATTCTTGCCTAGCCTACTCATGGTAACGAAAAGGTACTTCCACCTCTGATTCCAACTTGCTGTTAACGCGTCCTAATTATCGCGTATTCAGCAACTACAATGGGGACTAAACACCTTACAGAAGCGGATCGCCAACGAATTCGAACCCTATATTTCGACGGTGGTAAATCGAAAGCCGAAATTCACACTACTACAACGTTTTCTCTTAACCATATTCAGACAGCTATGAAGGTCCCTTCAAGCCAGGTAGCGAAGAGTTGGCGCGTGCCTAAGTGGGGCACGGTACAAACACGCAATAGAAAACTTACCCATGATACCATAGTACTTGAGATCACAATGGTGGACAACGCCCTTCATTGGCAGGGTGCACCGTGGAGAAGGGAATTAGTTCGTTGACAAGGTGCAATACCAACGTGGAGATTCCCAGGTCAGCTGGATGCGACGCCCCATACTCTGCAATGACCAAGAAGAGGGGTATAAGGTGCACTCGCTCCCCGTGGATTGAAGCCTCTTTTTGATATTCACATAATTCAAGCCGTCAATTCAAGCTGTGATTCACTTGCCAACGGATCCATCCTTGGATCACCTTACCTTGTCCTTCCCCCTCATCCTACTTCCCCTTTTGGCAATGGCTGGAGGCGTCCCCATTGCAGCCGGCCCCGTAGCAGGTGGCTTTCTGACCGGCCGAGCCCTCATATTCCCCCTGTCCTTGGTCATCTCCCTGTTCTTCCTCTGGGGCTTCAGTTACGGTCTCCTCGATGTCCTCAACAAGCACTTTCAAACAGTGCTCGGCATCAGCAAGCTCGAATCCACCGGCCTACAAGTCGTCTACTTCGGCGGCGGTTACCTCCTCTTCTCGCCCATCGCAGCCGAGGTCATGAAACGCAAGGGCTACAAATTCACCATCCTCATGGGCTTGACGCTCTACTCCCTCGGGGCCATCATGTTCTGGCCCACCGCCCACTTCACCACCTTCGAGAACCGCCGCGCGGCCTTCGGCGGCTTCTGCGCCTGCACCCTCGTCATCGCCTGCGGACTCGCCACCCTTGAGACAGCCGCAAACTCGTACGCCGTCGTCATCGGCGACCCGGCCACGGCGTCCGCCCGTCTGCAGTTCTGCCAGAGTTGGAACGGTGTCGCATCCTTCATCGGTCCTCTTATCGCCGCCGAGTTCTTCTTCAAGGGCGAGAACGCAAACAGTCTCAATAGCGTACAGTTCGTCTACTTGGCCGTGGCGTGCGCGGGTGCCGCCGTCGCGGTGCTCTTCTTCTTTGCCAAGCTGCCCGAGGTCTCAGAGGAGGTCCTCAGTGGCCAAACCATGGCCGATAACCCGGCTCTGGACCAGTTCGGCGAGGAGATCGGCGCGGGGCCACTGTACAAGCAGTATAACATGATCTTTGCGTTCATCGCGCAATTCAACTATGTCGGGGCGCAAGTCACCATCGCCGCGTTCTTCATTAACTACGCCACAGAGAACGGCGGGTTTACGTCTACCCAAGGATCCAACATGCTCTCGTACGCCCTGATTTGTTTCACCGTCGGCCGCTTCGTCGGCACTGCCCTCGCGACTGTCTTCCAGGCCGATTTCATCATGATTATCTACACCGCCATCTGCATCGCCCTCAATGCGTACGTGTGCACCGGCAGAGGAACCCCCGCCGTCGCTGTTTTAATCACCATCTTCTTCTTCGAGGCGCCTATGTACTCGACTCTCTTCACGATGGGTACGGCCAATCTAGGGAAACACACCCGTCGCGGCGCTGGTATTTTGGTTATGGGCGTTTCAGGAGGGGCGGTGTTCACGCCTATCCAAGGTGCAGTGGCGGACCATGCGGGGACGAGAATTTCGTACATGGTGCCGCTCATTGGATTCACCCATGTGATGGGTTATGTAGTGTTTCACTGGATCAGGCACGGACGCCATATTATGAGGGTGAAGGAGGTGACGGCTGTTACAGCGGCGGGGCTGGGATCTGATGGGGATGAGGAGAAGAAGGAGGAGGTTGTTATGTCGGAGCGGGTATGATTGCATAGGGGATAAATAAAAGATAATAAAGCTAGCTTTGGGCTACCCTTCTGGTCTATTATGAATATGCTTCTCTCAATCACTGTTCTAGCGGAACGCAACTGTCCTCGCAGTAAGGAAGAGACTTCACAATCGGATGGCCCAGAACACACCATGCGGCCATTGTGGAGAGAATAGGAGCTCTTTGTTGGTTTCATAACATGAAAATACAAAATTCTCATGGTTTAAGGTCTATATTCATCTGCCCGTTCTCCCAATTCTTTTTTCTTATTTAATTTCTTTTCCTTTTTGGTTCGTAGGAAGTGTGGGCGAGGCATGTATCTCCTTTTCCTTTCCCTCTTTGAGAAGATATATTCTCGGCCTTTCTACCTGAGCAACTTTGGAAGAACACAACATCGAATACTCAATTACTCCCTTCTAGACTAACGTTCAGAAGCCCCTGCCGAATCCGAAGCTCGTGTATAGGGTTACACCCGAGTTGCGGGGAAGCTGGGTCAAAATACCCATTGAACCGGATCTGTCACACTAGCAAATACAGCCAAGGCGTGCTCGGGTGATTATACCACGAGAACTTTGCTATTCTCAGTATCTGCACATCATTTCGCAGTGTACCTGATTTGAAACGGAGGGTCTAAGTATACTGCTCTTCGCTACCTATAAAAGCATGGGATATGGCTAGACAGAGCGAAGTGAGATCTATTGACACATTCCAGATCTTGACACTTTCCACCTCGGACTTTTCAAACACCTGATACACGATTTTCTCCAAGTCATTATGTATCTCTATCATCTTCTCACTTTAACCCTCTCTACCCTGAGTGCCGTCACAGCCATACCAACTGCCCAAAGCGCAGCAGCAGCAGCCAAACCTCCAGCCTTCTTCCTCGCGGGCGACTCCACCACTGCCATCAATGGCGGCTGGGGCAATGGATTCCTAACAACCTTGAAGAGCCCAGCCTGGGGCGTCAATATCGGCAAGAGTGGCGCGACTACCAATTCTTTCGTCGCCGGTGGGTACTGGAAGAACGTCATGACGCATGTCAAGGATAATGTGGATGAGTTTGACTGTTATGTGACTATTAGTGTGAGTCTTCTATTTATATTGATAAGTACAACTATTAGCTGGGTGGTTCATGTGGTGTCTGACAACTGCGGACAATTTGGGGTATATAAGATCTAACTTGTAAGCACACTCAAAATTTGGAATGTCGGCTGATAATGTTCCATTATTCATGATTAGTTCGGCCACAATGACCAAAAAGAAGCCAGCGGAATCTCCCTCGCCCAATTCCAACAGAACCTCGTCAACTTTGCCAACGAGGTCAAAGGGCTGGGTGCGAAACCTGTACGTTCACCCTCGATCTCAGATAACATTGCATCATTTCCATACTCACCCTGAACCCCAGCTCCTGGTCTCTTCCCTCACCCGGCGCGTCTTCCCTAGCGGCCAAGACCACAACGCCACAGACTCTCTACATGACCAGCGGCTCGCGGCCATCGCCGCGGCCGAACAGACCGGCTCCACTATCGTCGACCTCAATGCCGCCAGTCTCAAATACGTCAATGCCATTGGCAATACAGCGGCACAGGTATATAATTATGGCGATGATAGGAAGGACCAGACGCATCTAAACCCGTGGGGGGAGGTTGTGTTTGGAAGGATGGTGGCGGACTTGGTGGTCGAGGCTGTGCCGGCAGTAGGGGATTCGATCGTAAGGAATGAGACGATGACTGCGTTGATCAATGATGGGAAGCCGGTTTGATGCGAATGAATACTAGCTAGATTATTGATAGCGAGTTTTAGGTAAATACTAGGTATATTCCTCGATGTCATAAAGTGGAGCTTGGACAGGTGATAGTCTATCTACTACCCGTTCCGCACACGAATCGCCAGTTAATTAGGTAGGATCCCCTCATAATTAAGTTACGCAAAGAAGCGTCTCTTCCTCGCCGTGACGCACCAATTCAGTAACAACTGCTTAGTACTCAAACCGCCACCTGACATCCGAATCCCCCTTCCAGTCCACAACTTGCCCTACATCCTTAATCTCCTCAGAAACCTCATCCCTTCTCCTATTCTCCGCCCGCAACCTCAAACCCAACACTGTAACCACAACAACATTCGCCAACAAATATGCCAATGCCATCGCATGGCCGACAACAAACCTCGGCCCGTCCGTAGCGCGATAGAGCTGTGTCCCCAACACCGCCCCCAAATTGCCTGTACTGATCTGCATTGCATTTGCAATAGCCCTCTTCGTCTGTCCGGAGACATTGATAGCGGGCCACGAGAGCACGAGCGCGGTCGCGGGGTATATCCCGCCGGCGGCGAAGAAGGTCCCGAGATAAGAAACGCCGGGGCGCGCGACGGGGTTGGTGTTGCCGAGGAGGATGGCGTAGCCGATGGATGCGAAGAGCGCGGAGATTCCGATGAAGAGGCCGCGTTGGCCGGTACGTTCTGAGAGAATGGCGATGCTGAGGGTGGTGACGAAGGCGAAGGCGTAGGGGGGGATGGTGAGGAGTTGGGCTTTGGCAGCCGTGTAGCCTAGGTTGGTTATGATGGTTGGCTGGGTGGATATTAGCAATGGCTTTCGGGGCTTTCGGGGGATGGGGTTGAGGGGATCTTTCACGTACCAGGAATAGCGACAGAGTATACAGTGGCAAACTCATGGTGTGGAAGCCCAGCCCGTACAGCCAGCAAGCGGGATCTTGGAGAGCCTCTCTGACGGCGCCCCAGTTGAAGTGCTCTTCGTTGGTGGCATCGCTGTCTGCTGCGAGTCTCTCTTGGATGAACTGCCGCTCTTCATCGCTGAGGAACTTGGCTGTTTTGGGGTAGTTATGGATGAACCAGTATGCCGCGATGGCCACAAGTACTGTCAGAATACCCTCCTATAGATACGAGGATCAGTCTTTAATCACAAGTTCATGTCAATCGGACTGGCTGACCAGAATGAAGATCCATCGCCATCCATTCTCCCACACCACGCCCTTCATATTTCCAATCCCCTAAGTCGCAAAGTCAGCTTGTCGTCTTGAAGTTTCCCAAGTTGTTCAGGGACGCCTACATAAGCCAGGATTCCACCAAAGACACCAGCCAAGGAAGCAGCGCTAAAGAAGAGCGAAACCCGATACTGGCGCTCTTTTCTCTTGTACCACATGCTAAAGTAGTACACTACTCCCGGAAACAAGCCAGACTCCGTCACGCCCAGGCAGAATCTGGCGACGAAGAAACCCGTCATGTTCTGCACCACGCCCAGAAGAGTCGCCACAATTCCCCAGGCGATGGTCAAGGTGGGGAGCCAGATGCGTGGGCTGGTTCTTTTCAGAATAATGTTGCATGGTATCTGCGCGGGTGTCAGGTGTGGTCATTAGGGACCAGGTTGAGAGACGACTCACTTCGAACAGCACATAACCGATGAAATATAGCTTCAAGCCGGTCAGATACTGGTTTCCAGCTAGAAGCTGGGTGATTGGCGAAATGAAAAAATAGTTGTCCTGGTTTAAGAGTTCACTTACTCATGTGCAAATCGTTCAGCATTCCCTCGATACGAGCATTCCCAACTGATGAAACTCAATGTCAGTCCATATCTTACACAATTCAACCTAAGCGGTAACCATACCATTGCTTCGATCCAAAAATGACAGAAGATACAGAACTCCGACCGCAGGTAACAGTCGCGCATCGAGTTTCCTCAGCAGGGCTTTCTCGTTAAACTTCCCACCGGCACCACTACCAGCCGCCGCCTCGTTGTCAGACAAGACGGGGCTGTCAGTCGGATCGTCATTGATGATCTCTATCTTCCCCGAGTCCGCCATCGTCGAAAAGAGTCCCTATCTCAATCGCGCAACGAATCGTACACTGAGAAATGCAGTGGAACACTACGCAAACACATTACAGCTAAGCACGAGATAGAGTAGGACTTAGACTTTACGCAAACTGGCACTACCGACAACTTTAATCGATCCCCCAGATCGAGTATTAACCCACTTGCATGATGACATTGATCGACTATGGACCAGGATGCGGCTTCAATCCACGCACTGTGATTGGACCGAAGCCAAGCACGTCTTGGGAGGCGGCCATCACGACATGTACCCCACGGCGCGGGAGACGGAAAGTTGGTGACCAAATAAATAAACGGCGCAACGGAGTGTGACAGTGGTACAATAACATGGGATAGCGCGGCGTGGCCTGGTTTTTCCGTCTAGGGGGCTCAATGTGCCGTTTATTTCATTGACTGTTTTTCGGGGTTATCCAGCCGATGTTTCAGCCCCGGTGTCTCTGTTTCCTATTTGGGATGCGAACAAGAGGGATTATGTGCGTTGGCTTCTCCGTGATCTGGGGGTTTGATGGAGATAGGTTATCAGTCCTTGGCAGGTCTATTTCTTCTGGTGTAGGTGGTGTAGGTTCCATTCCAGTAAATAAAAGCATTAAAGAGAACTTCAAAATATAGGTGGCCGGGTTAGAAGCCTTAAATAGAGTTACCAAGAGTGCTATAAAGGTCACGTGTCCCAAGCAGATACTTCGTCTTTAATAACTTCACAATATGTCGGTCCATGTAAGAGTTTGTTTGGTAATGAAAATCTTGAAATGTCTATTCCAAATCAAAGTCGCTATGCCCTATCCCGTTTCCAACCCTCCATAAACTCAAGGAAATCATCCATCCCGCCATGCCAGCCATGACCAATGGAGCGCCCATCGTGTATACATGTCTATACCATTGTCATCGAGGTTGTCGTCACTGTGGTATCATCGACTCAAAGAGAAAAAACAGTAATGCTCGAGCACACGTTTATACGCCAGAGTCCTCCTGCTCAATTTCGGCGGACTCAGCAAACGTTTCCCAGGCATCACAGTTGTCGGTCAATCGAGTCTCATCAACCGTAGAGACAATCTCGTCGTATCGCTCGACAAACTGCAGAGCAAAGCCCTCAGATGTGTGCCAGCCGATGTGGCAGTGCATAAGCCAGACCTAAGCGCGAGAATTAGCATAAATGTCACAAAAGGAAAGTCTGAATGAGTGTCAACTTACACCTGGGTTGTCGGTCTCAAAGGCCATGACGAGATATCCGCTGGAAGGGAGCATGGCAGTGTCACGACGAGGCGGGTTGTCCTTGTTAAGAGTGACGGAGCTGCTGTAGGTTCCAGTGCCCTGGGCCAGGATCCAGAAGTCGTGACCGTGGAGATGGATCGGGTGGGGCACACCGAGGGTGGTCTCGATAACGAGGTACATCCACACGTTGGCTTCGGGGAGCGTGAGCACGGCGTCCGAGGTGTCGTACGTGGTGTTGCCGGCGACGACCTGTTCCAGAGTCGGGTCCTCCCAGGAGACCAGCATGGTGGTGCTGTTGAGGGTCCACCTGAAGAGACCCTCTTCATTGCTGGAGACGGCGGCGGTCTCAGAGGTGCTGTTGAAGAAGTCACCGACCGTCTTGGCGATGTAGGGCGAGATGTTGGCGGTTTCGTCATCGCACGAGTCGGTGTAGTCGTAGGCGCTGGTCTCAGGCGTGCCGATGGTGTCGTAGTAGATGATGCCGCGGATGTCGTCCGAGTTGTCATTCTCAGAGCAGGATGACTGGGGGATGGCGCGCATCCAGAAGTTGGAGGCTACGTCGGCTTGGTCGGCCGTAATGATGATGTCGTAACGTTGGCCTGGCACGGTGTTAGTTGGTGTGATCATGACAAGTGGGCCGCAGCGTAAACTGGACCACGGGATACTCGAGGGGGGGCTTACCCATTCCAATGTCCAGAACGGTGGTGTTGTAGGGAGTAATGGGAACCAAGTCCGAGGCGATGACTTGCATGGTGTGGTTGTCAATGGAGAACTTGAAGTGCGTGTCGACGGCGGCGTTGACGAGTCTCATGCGGTACGAGGTGCCGGAAACGAATGAGGTGTTGAAGCGGTAGCCGCCGGTGTCCCCGATATTGGTGCCGTTGATAAGACCAGTGTCGAGGGTCGGGGGGCCGCTCGCCTCGGCCTCGGCATAGAGCTCGTCGACGGTAGAGTAATCCCAGTCGTTGAGGAACAGCATGCCCTTGTCCTCGTCGTAGTTGGCCGTAGCGGGACCGTTGATGATGATTCCACCGAAGATGCCCTGCCACGCCTGCAGAGCAAAGTGGGAGTGGTACCAGGTGGAACCGTACTGCATGGCCTTCCAGGTGTAAGTCAGGGTGGAGCCGGGAGCGGTCGGGCACTGAGTGATGGAGACAACACCATCTTGGTCGGAAGTATAGTTCTGGCGAATGCCGTGGAAGTGGATGCTGGTACCATTCTGGGAAGTCGTCAAGGAGTTGATGACATGGACGACGACGGTGTCACCCCAGTCAGCGAACAGAGTGGGGCCGGGAATGGACCCGTTGACGGCCATGGCAGACCGGGAGACGCCATCGGGAGCCACCGTGACATCAGTGAGTTCGAGCCAGTATTCCCTTGTTACGCCAGTGTCGGGCACTACGGTCATGTAGTCGGTATCAATGGAGTAATCGCACCATTCTGATCTAGTAGAGGCTGTGTTGCCGTCGCAGGCAGCGCGGGGGTATAAGTCCGCAAAGAAGGGAGAGGCTAATACAGAAGGGAGTAAGGTTGCGGAAAGCAAAGCGAGTGATTTGGGGTTAAAGGACAACATCTTGAAGAAAGATGGTTGCTGGTAAAAAAGGAATGTGTGATGGGCGAAGCTAAAACGAGTGTAGCTGATACGACCAAGTCAAACCCCAAGTTAAATCACCTGGTCAGGAAAGAGTGAATTGATGACTGTGTTTGGGATGTGATGAGGAAAAAAAAAGTTGCGATAACACGGCAAGTGACGATGTTTTTATAAAACTTCGTCAACACCAGGACGATGCCGGTAGCCGTAGAGGGCTCGTCGAATCCATGTCCCAACACGACTCAGCCTTTCGGCGTCCGAACTAGAATCGGACGAAACAAATGCTTAGCCCTTTCTCCTCCACAGGCAACCCTGTTCCTGTTTGCGTGGTCCGCGGGCTATAGAAAGCTTCGGTATTGGTGACAAAACCACCTGATACACGTAGTCTAGACCTGTGGTCGGCCGGGGTGGATATGATCTATGGCCACGAGTCATGATGCGGCTCTTCCTGAGCCCCAGAGCCTGCCACAGACCATATTTAGAAACGGTCTTTTCGATGGAAACACGCATGCTTAGTTGGCTTAGCCTCGTTTGTAGGCCAAAGATGGCAAGGTAGTCAACCCCCAGGTTGCACATTCAAGTGGGGCAATTAGGTAGTATCAGTTTCAATGCCTATAACTCAATCGGTTGAGATTATCTGCTACCGTTTTATACATGTGTGTCAAACTAAAGTAGAATGGGTATTCTGTTGTCTTGCTCGATTATCTACATTGGAACGTCGCGGCAGCCCGTATTATTCACACGATGTATCGTGCATCTTGTCATCGGCTATGCCTTTCATCTATTGGCATTCGCCCGAGCTATCAGATCATCCAATCTTGCGTGAACTTGCGTGCACAGATTACGCATCAATAAAGGATGCAGGAGTCTATACGTAGATGCTCTCTACAAGGATAATCCGTCCGAAACGCGTGGATGCTTCCGTGGCCACCACTGCGCCCCCTATAATAGGGAGAGTATACCCATCCACATTGGTAATATCAAGGGGTTGTTGTGGGGCACGAACGGCTTTAAGTACCCACTTTATATGGGTTCCCCACTGTATCTATGTGGCTGAGGCCAAGCAAAACCCGTTGCTTGTCAACCTGTGAAGCTCAGACGACATCCAGCAGTCTGGGAGGGAGCAACCAATAATAGCCCGGAGTAGTATTCTGTCTTATTGGAAACACCGGCGAAATGCACACGTCTCCCACAATCGTCAGCCTGACTCAAGTCGCGGATATGTGGAACCCGGCACTGCCTGCAAGTGTTGAGGCTATGGAAAAGAATATTCTTCTTGGGATCCGGGTTCCGACTGCCAGGAGGGACTCCTGCTGGGAGGGGCTCCAGCAAGTAGTATTAAGCCTTGATGTCGCCCGCTTCTAGAAACAGGTACCACCCTCTTGGACATCCAGCATCACTGTCGATCTTTCTCTCAACAGCCCACTCTCGTTTTCGTACACACGTTATACACACCACATTCTTTACCAATTTACTGAGACCACCAGCTCTATCCTTTCAAGATGCTCGCCCTATTCTACATTGTTCTGCCTTTGGTCGCTGCGGCCTCGCCCAGACTGACTACTCGTGCCATCCCGGACGAAGCCTTCACTCTCTACGGCTACGGCGAGGGCCTTGGAGGACTTCCCGTCTACTACGACAACGGTACGTTTCATTTCTTCCTCCCGCCCCCTTGACATTGAAAATCCGAGTCTAACACGTGGTACAGGAATCGCCTACATCGGTGAAGTCTCATTCGTGAACAGCTCCCAGGCCGCACAGGTCGCATGTAAGTCACCATCCCCAACTTCGTCGCCTCTCATCTACTAACCCTCTCCTAGTCACCGAAGGAACCACCTCCACCACCCTGGTAGCAAACCCCAACAACACCGCCGCAGGCACCAACGCCACCTGGTCCAACTTGACCTACTTCCTGCCCGGAACCACCAACACCGACCATCAAACCGGCTTCGCCAGCAACGTGTCTGCCTCAGATGTTACCACGGGCTTCACCTTCTACGGCAAGACGCTTCTGAACAAGGATACTAGTGGCTCGCTCCAGTCGCTCTGGTACGCTGTCCAGAACACCGATGATATCAACTACCAGCTCAAGTGGAACTCGACGGGCGCTGATGAGGATGGAGCCATTTCCATCGTCTTGCGCTCTGTTGAGCCTACGAAGCCCACCAGTAGCGCACCTGATCGCACTTAGAGTCGAACTGTACACGGTGATGGCATTGGGCAAGGGTATCGGGGTTGGGCCTTGAATGAATGAATATTACGGAATTCCTTGTTGTTTGGGAGAGGACGGGAGAGTCACGGCTTTGGCATGGGTATCATTTAGGTTACTGGTGTTTTCAGGATAGACAGGGTGATACATTCGTTATTCTCCAATCATGCATCCAGCAGTATGCTGTCCAAGTGAATATCGCTGTCTTGTGGATTATTAATTCTGTAAATGGCGCCAGTTTCCGAGTCGACAACTTCCTTATAACTCCCCAGGAAGGATTTTAGGGTGCTAAGGGCTCTGCTTCGTAGCTTGAAGGCCTATCAGGTCACTTTCATAACCCGTAGGGTTGCAGGGAACAGTATCATCACCAGCAATTTAAAAAAAATTTATTTAAAAAAAGAAGACGAGAAAAAAAAACCATACTTGGCGCGACCGTTCAGCATACTTTGACGCCGATCAATGGCGGGTCGCAAGATGCCTGGGTCCGAGATCGAAAATCTCTAGCGTCGATCGCTTGTACGTTGGGCATATGCGTCGGGCCGTCGTGTGCGTATCTTGGCTGTGCCAATTTCCAGTTACAGGAACGAGCTGTGTTCAGCTGGACAGGCTCTGTTATCATCAGTACTATGGGTTAGTAAAACGAGTGGATCAAATCTCTTATCATGGGCCAAGGCGCGATATACTATTAGGGAATAGCCTATCCTCAGGTACAACCTACTATGTACCAAAATAATCTGCCAATTGTTCAGTGGGTGCAAAACGAGGGGACAGTCAGGGAACCCTTACCATGTTATACCCAATTTAGTATGGTGTATCCACTGGGGCTGCCAATGAAGTGCGGCTCTATAATACCATGTCACATGGCGGGGTTAGGTGTTTACGTCAACCAGCTAATGCACGTTGTTAGGATCTTGTTTATGGCTTGCGTAATTGCACGGCACTGCCACACACTATTCCCTGCAACCACAGCACAGCAACAACACCGACCAGAGCATTGCATCACGAGAGTGCTGCCACGCGGACATCTATAGCTGAGCCAACCAGATCATATTTGCGAAATGCATAAAATTAGTATGCACGACAACCTGTTTTGGTCGATTGCGATTGCATACCATCATGTACGTGGCTGAGGCCGCCAGACTGCTACGGGCGAATATACCTTTGTCAACTTTCCAGGTCTGAAGCTCAAGCGCGTAAATGTTGCAGGTCTACGTTTAATTGTCGCTGTGTGCTCATAGTTGTAAGAATCTAGGTTAGATGCAAAAGAAGTAGAAGGAGAATGGAAAGACCAGAAAACGCGACGAGAGAAAGATTTTCCACTTAAACCGTATTGCTTGGATCTTTGTCTTTGTGCCTTCTTGCCTCCTTGTACGGTCAGATTCACAACTCGTACTGCACCTTCACAGCACCCAATCTCACCTTATGGCCTCCTTATGTAACAATCACTCGCCATTACCCCATAGCTCCCACGGGTTATGAATAATAGTTGTTATTTGTACGAGTTTGCCTTGTAGTACGAAACATTGCTCCTGCTTCACGCACTGACTCAGATTTGCTGTGGCCTATAAAGAACAATATTTCGTATTACCCAGATAACAGAATAAGCATTTGAAAGGTTTGCTTTGTCAGACAATAGAAATTTTCTTCCGAGAACAGAAGAAAGCACATTATCATAGAGAGAGGAATAGAGGAATAAACAATCTGACAAAAACTCAAAGAATTTCGAAGATGAAGAAAGAATAATGAATTCAGCCTTAATGTCATGGTTTACTAACAAAGTAGGCTCTCAGTGCTAGTAACGAATGTATTGGAATTGCTACGATAGAGAAGAGAAGGAAAGTCTATCTAGATCGTGGAAAGGGGTGCCGCACTATAAGTTGCGGCACCCGCAGTTAAGAACCGCTGGATTGAATGTGGCCCGAGCGCCACATTAGCCCAAAGTGGGCTAGCCCCGTGACACTTAATAAAGAAAGGGTAAAAGATTTAAATACCCTGCACAACCCCTGTAAAGGTCTATTTACCCTGCAATTTTTCTGCCGCTTTTCTCTCCACATTTCCGCCATGCTTTCTGACTTCATGCCTCTGGAATTAGCATACGACTACTATTCCTCAGCTCAACATGACGTCGCTACCCCTATTATCTATTCCTATTGATGGACAAGAGTTCCTTGACCTTGATACTCTATCGCTTGCCCTCGACAACTGGGCTGTAAAGGAGAAATTCTCTTATCGGGTTGAGCGGCGAGATAAGACCCGTGGCTCCTGGGTGTGTGCCTCTGCGTTAAGCGGCTGTTTATGGCGCTGCCGAGCAACCTATTCCCCTAGTGAGGATATCTGGCAGATTCATATTCTAGCTACAGGGGCGTGGTGCTGTCATCATATTAAGGAGAATTTCACGGGAAAGTTCGGGAGAGGGCTTGCCTCTTTATTTTGGACTATCGCCCGAGCACCAACTCTAGCCCAATACGAGGCAGCTTTAGAGAAGCTTCGACAACAAAAGCCCGAAGCTGCGGCATATCTAGAGGCAGCAAACCCTTCGCTTTGGGCCGAGGCGCTATTCTCTGGGCGTCGATATGGCCACGATATAAGTAATATCGTCGAGTCGCAAAACGGAGTATTAAAGCTTGATCGGGAACTTCCAATTATTGCTCTCCTCGACTCTCAATATGGCACCGGGTTATAGAGAAGAGGGCAGCTCGGCTTCAATCTGCTTTACGGTTGATAAAGGCAGGGAAGACAGCTACCCCATTCGTTGAAGGGAAATTACGAGAAGGGAGGCAATGGGCGTCTAGTAATCGTGCTCAGTTTTCGTCACCAACGGAAGCAAGAGTAGTACAGCCTGACGGCCTTATTTGCATTGTAAATTTGACAGCAGGGACATGTTCATGCCGTCGGTATCAAAGGAATGGAATCCCTTGCGGGCATGCCATTACCGTAATACTAGCAGGAGGGGACGGTATAACCCCTTGTCTACCAGAATCTCTCTCTCCGACAGTTTGGGCTGCCACGTATAGTAGCCCGATGCCAGCTGTGAAGGTCAACCCTCGCAGACTCACTACAACCAGGTGACTTACAGCTGGAACACCTGCCATGGCAGTGTCAGATGGGAAGCCAATTATAACCCTTGTAGGAGCCCCGCCAAGCGTGGATGACTTAGTCGCGCTCCCTCAAACCTAAGTTGTGATCTTCTTTCCTTCGCTCCTTAGAGTAGAATCTTCGTCGATAGCACCTAATCGAAGTCTCTACCAATGCGATGCAACCCAGGTCGTGACACCAGCTATCAACGTCTCTGAGCTCAAGCTCAAGCCAGAGAACCCTTGTAACCCTCCAATTACTAGAGTACCTCGAGGACGCACTGTCAAAGAGAGGGTTCGAAAGGGTGATTCTCGCCGCCCTCCACAGAGCTCACAATCGCGATGCTCTAGTTGTGGTGAGACTGGACATAATATGAGAAGATGCCGACGCCCCCATGGATAGCTTGATAGGCCCGATCGGTGGGTCTGATGGATTGGGAAGGCGGTGGGAGGTCTGGGAAATTGCAGGTCAAATAGATCTTTACAGGGGTTGTGCAGGGTATTAAATCTTTTGCCCATAAAGAAATCTAGCCAACAAATAAATTATACCTACAAGCAGAAGCCTATTTTGTCCCTAAACAGACTTGGATAATATATCTTTACGAAGACTGGAAAACACCTACGCATACAATTTTACAACACATCATAGTAATAACTTGTTATACTCTATTACTCGTTTACTTCACGGAGCTCCAGGGTAGCTACCCTGGAGCTGCTACACATATCCGCTGGATACTCTTAACCTTCCAACATGCTTCACGTGCTTGCATCAAATATTGTTCCAGGGAGCTTCATAGGCTCAACTGTTGTATTAATTTGTTTCTTTGTTGGTTCTGTCGGTTCAATCGGTCAGGTGCGCGTCATTTGTATGCCGTCTGACAGTCCTTCCCAGCTAGTCCATCTCACACAAAGTGACTGCCCACGGTCATTCTCACCAGGTGCCTCATGATACACCTCACCTTGACGCGTCTGATCTTAGGGATTGTATATGCAGGATCAATGTTGAGTTTCGGCAACAGCTCTGGGGCTTCCTGGAGCTGCTCGGGGATATATCTTATGTCAGGGCAAAATTTGCTTGCATGGTTACCGCAGCACCTGATTATCTTGCCGAACGGCGAGGATTTCTCCACACCTAGTTCAATGAACCAGTTCAGATTAACCTTCTTCTTATCCCTACGCGAAAACTTGAAATTAGTTGAGCCGACAGTAGACCCCCTTTGATGCGTGCACCTAGGGGGGAGGATGCTATAATGCAGCAGTGCGCAACGTTATAGTATCTAATTGAATGGGATTCACCTAACCAGTGGGTCCCCTACCTTTTCGTATCACCTTTCAAGCATGATGTATTTCTCTTACGAGGCAAACAACTCTTTTTGTTTCGTTTGCTCACGTGCGTGCACGGGGCTGTAGGTCTCTCCTTACCTATCCACCTAGTCAAGCACACTTACAGTAGGAAAGCACTCCGAGGAGCAATAAGGAAAGTATGGTTAAAAGAGGAAAATGGCATCATCTCAAACCCCGACATTACAATCATACATCTCTGACAATCCCAACCATCTATCACCTATCCAGCCCCGCCAGTCTCCGAAACGCCGTATTCTCCAAAATCGGAAACTCACCAATTTTCTGGATATCGTTCCCGGCAGTCAAACTACCCTGATGCCTTCCCATCGCCATCTCCACCAAAAACCTCCCAAGTGGCTCCGTCGGGCTCCACAAACTCACCATCCCACGCCTAATGCCGACCCCGACAAACGGTAGAAAGAACTTGTACGCAAGCGGTTTGGCGGGCACGTACGGCTTAATGGCCTCATGAGCCCACTCGTCGATAAACGCGGGCCGCACAGAACTGGCGTGCAGCTGCGGGTTGGCGCGCCGCATTTCGGCCAGTGCTGCTTCCGTCTCGCCCTTTGTGCGGGCGGAGATCATGGAGAACCAGCCCGGTTCGGTTGTGGCGCCTGAGCCGGAAATGTAGACGAAGTTGAAGGGATCTCTGGGGGACGGGGGGAGGGTTTGGAAGGCTTTGGCAGCTTCCAGGGCGTAGGTTTTGGTGATTTTGATGTATTCGCTGAGAAGGATGTTAGACTGGTTTGTCTGTCTGTAGTGGGAGGGATGAGAGGACGTACTCCTTTCCTACTTGAGTTTGGCTGATGCCCAGGGCCCAGACGCAGCCGGTTGCTCCTCGCAATTCGGATAATACTTTGGGGTCGTACTTCTCAAAGTCCTTGTGGATAATGACATGGACGCGCGGGTCTTTGACGTCCTCGAGCATCTTTACTGGCCTGCGACTGAGGATGGAGATCTTGGTGATTTCGGGCATCTTGAGCATGGCATCCAAGACACCTGAGCCTGCCAGCCCTGTCACTCCTGTGAGAATGAGATGCATCTTAGTGGCCTAGTTCAGCGCAGTCGTGATAAGTCTAGATGTCACTCGTGGTGTTATTACGATTGCGGGTTGTGGAGTGACAAAGCTGCTGGCTGCCTATCCATATTTAAACGTCTCCGACCTGCACTTTATGCCCACCTAAACACCGAAGGCTGGTACGCCGGCATAAGAGCGGACCGCATGCTGACACCACCATCCTGTTTTCTCGCTTGATATAATTACCTTAGGTCGGATAAACGATTGGCCCGCTTTCCGGAGACTCTGAATTTTCTACTAATCGCGAGAAGACGCGGTCGAATATCATTCTCTGTCCGCGTCTCTATATAAGCCGCTGCGTTCCCGCACGTAACACTTCACACTCCAAACGCCCTGATGAGCCACACATGGCAAAACTGATTGTCGTCTCCCAGGAGGTCTTTCAGTAGGCACCACGTGTATGTTCACAGTTTTTCTGCCTTTTTGACTTTACCCCTCCCGAGATGTGCATTTTCTGGGTTTGTCTTAGCTGCTACTGTGGAGGCCGCCCTCGCATTAACTCCTTAACTCCGCCTGTAACTCCACGATTAACCCGACCATACCTCCTTTCAGAGGTGGTTCGTGTGTATCCACCACTACTGCTTGGTACCAGCCCACCAGCACTAGCCTGACTTACCTAAATACATCTCACTTCTGTCTCTGTGCGGGCCCCCAACACCTCCGGCTTCTATAATAAGTATTCCTGGCGAGCGGTAATCCTCTAGAATATTTGAACCCGTAATCGCATTGCTTGTCAGTCTTGCCGATATATTTGCGTAAATATGTGAAGCAACATGGGTCTTATACGCTATCGTTGAGCTCATAGAATTGCCCGTGATGTCCGCTTATGCTGTGGAAGACTAAATTCACAAGTGAGCGGGGATCATTGAGAATGGTGCAACCGGGACATGCTCACGGGCATTACCTTCTCCCGAAAGTCAATCCCCTGACAAAGGTCTTTTTGCTCTGAACTTTTCTCCATCGGCAACGGAGTATATCTATTGTTATTTTTGTTGACTTCGTGATGTTATCACTATGACAAAAGCAGTGTTTGAACCCGGCACTACGTCATCGACATTGAATCGCACAAACAGCCGTAGACGACTTGTAATTGAAACCTTTAGAAAGTCTCACACCAAAACTCATTCAAACCAGCATCTTCAAACCAACATCCCCGGAGTATAATCTCCGTTCCCTGCTGTGCTGAAAATGAAGCACTACACCGCCGAACGCTTCCTTCCCTCCCACTCAAGCCTAGGCGAGTCTCCCCTCTACCGCGCCTCCGACAACACCCTCTTCTTCGTGGACATCGCCGGGCAACGCGTCCACACTGTTCCCCTCTCATCCTCCTCGTCTTCCCCCTGGGATACTAAACACACCATCGCCCTCTCCACCCCCGTGACCCGCCTACACGTCGTCTCCAACCGTGTCGACGTCCTCGCCGCACAAACCAAACTTGGTTTCGCCCTCTTGAACCCCCAAACCGGGGATTTGGAGAGAATTGCTGATGTGCACCATTCTGACGATGGGGGGTTGGATGACGAAGTCCGGATGAATGATGGTGGGATCGATGCCAAGGGCAGGTGGTGGGCCGGCACGATGGCGTTGGATGAGGAGAGTAAGGTGGGGAGGCTGTGGTGTTTGAGTGAGGGAGTGGTGAGGGATATGTCTACTTCCGTCTCCGACCATGAGTCAACGGTGCCGAATGGACCGGTCTGGTCGCCGGACGACAAGACGATGTACGCTTGGGAGACACCGCAAGGGAAGGTGTACCGGTATGATTATGACGTGGAAACAGGGAAAGTGACGAGCAGGCAATTGTTCGTGCAGCTCGAGGGAGGGGGTATGCCGGACGGAATGGCGGTCGATGTAGAAGGGCATGTGTGGGTCGCTGCCAATTCGCAGGGGAAGATTGTTCGGTTCTCGCCCAAGGGGGAGCAGACGGCGGTTGTTGAGGTTCCCGGGGCGAAGATGTGCTCATGTCCTGCGTTTGGGGGTGAGGATATGAAGACATTGTTCATTACGTCGATCAAGGCGGAGGGCTCGACGGGGGATGTGTATCAGGTTAGGGTGGATGTGAAAGGGGTTAGGAGGCACGCTTATCGGGTGTGAATCGATGATTCGTCTGGGATCACAACCCGAGTTTCTCTTCGTGGAGGAGCATATGTGGTCTGCAAAACAGATTCTGAACGGCTACTGACGCCCGTTGAATATTTCTATATTTCTACACTATGCATAAAACTCTATGATATTCGTCTAGAAGCGCCCGCAAGATACATCAAATCATCACTCAAAACCCTCGGGTCATGTCGAACAAGGCGATATCGTCGTCGCACCCCGATCATGACGTAGCCACATCCTCCGTCGACCGCTCAGTATTACCAGATTCCTCGATCTCCACAGAGCTATTCTTGGGCGGTAACCTCGAGAAGAGCAAAATGGCAATGGCGATCAGCGCAACACCCTATGAAGTATTAGATTGCAAAGTCCAAGTTTCACACGCGGACATTAGACTTACCGCATTGCAGTAAAACGTCAAGTATGCCTTCCCCATGTCGGAAAAAATGGAAAACACGAAGCCAAATACCCCAAGCGTGACCAAGACGCCCACGTACTCCACAAACGTCATGGCTTGCAAGGCATCGGGACGCTGCGACGCGGGACACATCTCGGCGAGAACTCCTTTACTCGCTGGTGCCGATCCGGAGGCAAAGGGGAGAAGGAACCCGGCTGTTTTGGGGGTTAGATACGGTGAGGGATTCTACCACGTCGTGAAGTTCACATACCTAGGTAAAGTTGCCAACTCTCGGTGCAAAAGGCAATGCACGCCGTGATGATGGCATCGAACAACAAACTCCAGCGCAAGAAGAACAGGTCAAATGCGGCCCCGGAATCCTCCGAAACGGGAGCAGGCGCCCTGGTCGGCTCGAGTTCTGACTGAACCCCGGTAATCGGATCCAGGTCCTCGGCGTGCGTAGGCATGCCTGCCTCCACCGTGGCTTCTGCTTGTGGTGCGTCCTTGGAAGAAAACCACTTTCGACCATACGTGATGACGTGAGGGAAGATGAACATCAAGAAGGCGCCTCGGATAAGGGAGTTGGCGGCCACGAGGGTGCTAGTGTCCTTGGGGGTGAAGTGCAGCGCAGTCATGGCGTACATCTGGATCAACACCGGCGCATAGCCGGTGGCTAGGACGGACGTGAAGATGCCCACGGCCAGGAGCAGCATGCCGTAATACTTGACGACCTTCCCATTTTCGAGCCGCAGTCTCTGCGGCGCGAAGACGGCGAGGAAGAACTTGGATTTCTCGGCCGAACCCGCTGATTTCTTGTCCGACCCGCCGAGCGTTTTGGGGTCGATGTAGGGGACGATGAAGGCGGCGTAGAGACAAGAAAGCGTCAGACTCACGGCGGCGAGCTCGAAGGGTCGGCGGATGATGGATATCTCGCCGATAATGCCACCGATTTGGTATCCCAGGGACACACCAAACATGACAACGCCTTGGAGCTTTCCGAAAGCCCCCGTCCGCGCAGCAGGCTCCACCACCTCGGCGATGGCCGTGTTGAGGATGAGGATGTAGCCCGCGGGCCCACCGGCGATGCTCAGCGCCTGCGACGACTGCATGATGACGACCCCGGTGAGGCCACCGACGCCGATGCCGATTATCTGCATAGAAACGCGGAGGATGGGGAAGAAAGTGCTCAGCACCAAGGCACGACGAGGGCCCCAGCGCTTAATATAGCTTCCGGTCAAAATCAGGTTCAGGACGCCGCAGCACACCGTCGACATGCCCATGATGGTCATCTGCAGTGCGGTGGCCGAGTCGATGTCGTTGCGACTGCAGCGGTCGCCAGCGCCCTCATAGGCCGGCACATGGGTGTAGAAGTCGTCGCAAACCATCTGGCGGAATGCGTACATGATCCTGCATTTTCGGGTGAGTGGGATACTTCAAGTAGGAGTGACGATGGTTCTGAGCTCTTACGGGACCTGGGTGTAGCTGAAGGACATGGAAATGAGAATTCCAGAGGCCAGAAGCCTCAGCTCTGGCGTCGCGAACCACCATGGCTTCGTCGCTTTGTTGTCGATATGGACGGTACCATTGCCATTGGGGGCCGAACTCTCGTGCTGCCTCGCATGGCCGTTGTTCAACAGCGGCGTATTCTCATCAGTCGCCATCTTGAGATGTCGCAAGTCAAAAACCACTGCGGTCAACGAGATGAAAATCTGAGGTGATTTTCATTTGCGACAGAGGAATCGATCGGACTTTATCGATTGCGACCCACAGAAAACCTGACAGGCTAAGAAATTATCAATTCCCATTATCTCTGCCAAATCCACCCGACAAGGGTGCAATGTGTACGCGGTTCCGACTAGGCGACGCAGGCTGCACTGTGCTGCGGCTCGGGTGTCGGCTGCTGGAAGCACTAGCTGCCCTATGCCCGTTTATCGGATTAAGCGCATTCTGTAGTGGAATCTGGTTGACGGACGAAGATCCAGGCACGATAAGGAGTATTCGGTGGCTCGAGCGTTTCTAGCCCGCCACCTCTTAATAGAGGTTGGGGACACAGTTCGAGGCTGAGGCGCTTGTATAATTTGCGAATATGCGCGTTTTATCGCCCAAACACCACGTTTCTAAATGCCTTCAAGACCTCTAGTTTTTCTACCGCGATACCAATAACCCAGCTTGTTTGCAGACAGGCGATCCACGCCTCCTAACTTAATACCGCCGGAATACATTTGATTCGCGCGCAGCGAGGAGCGAGTCAGCGTACTGCGTAGTACTACTGCTCTACTATTACTATACTACTACTATACTACTACTATACTAGTTCGCTGTCCCGCACGCGCCCTCGCCGCTAGCCAAAGATATAGTCGATGACAAGCCACATTTCACGCCTGCCATGGCCCCGCATGCACGAGGCATCGAAAGTTTGCACTATGTCGGCATTCAGGTTGCGACATCCGCGACGAGAACTATTTAGACGGAAAGCCCGTCGTCTCCAGCCAATCCAACACGGTACCGTGGGCCCTCTGGACGACATCGATCGCGGGACCATCTGCCTGGCCATGGACTTTGGACAGTTTTGATCGTATGCTCGGCAAGTCGACTGAGGACGCCGAAGTCATACCATTGAGGTGGATATTCAAGTTGTAAAAGAAAAGCTATGTTCGTTAAACTCGTAACCACATACTCGTTGCAGTATGTACAAAAAGGGCCATTTAAGTGCTGATTTTAAGATCCTAGGAAAATGCCGCACCGTCGCTCAACATACTCCTCCCCTCCTCTCTCGTATTATGCTCGCCCCCATCCAATCACACGCAGTGCAATCCGATCCGCACAGAAGACTCACGATGGCACAACCTGGCGCCACGGTGAACTATGGTAACTAGACCCGCTCACTGTCTTCTCGCCTCTCACTCCTTAAAAACCTTCTCCCCCGTCTTGCCCACCAACTCACCCATAATCCCCTCCAACTCATCCAACAACTCCTTCGCAACACTAATCCACTCCCCAAAAGTAACAATCTCAAACATCAGCTCCCCCTTCTCCAGATCCACAAATGCCTGGCACTTCCACTCCCTGAGCGGTTCATAGTGGGGATATACGGTCTCCATCCTCGCCTTCGCACCCGCCATTTTCAATTCTTCAACATGATACACGTCCTGGTGCACCACGCTGTCGAACCAGTCTGTTTCCTTGGGCCAGTCGGTGCAGATGGGCACCATTTCCGAGAGGGACATACCTTGATGTTGAGCGGAGGCGATGTGTTGGTATTGGATGTGTTCGAGGAGGTCTAAGTTGGTCCAGTCTGGCTCGAATTGTACCCGCACGGGGACGTATTGCCACGTGGGTCCCATGACGGCGTCCGCGTTGGGGAGGTCCGTGTTTCGACCGCTGACGACCTCGCCAAAAACGACATCACGAGAGCCGAGGCGGCGGGCGAGGCACAGGGCCCATGCGGCGGTCGGCAGCGTGGCGACGGTAATGTCGCTGGGGCGGGCGGCGATGCTGACTGTTCGTGTCACCGCGTCTGGTACTCTGGACTGGAGCGGGATGTCCGGCTTGAGCACCGAAAGTTGCGACCCTTTGAGCAGGTCCCGCCAGTAGGGGATGCTTTGCGGGATCCCCTTGTTGACGGTGTGGTACACAAACGACGAGAACGGTACGCCGTCGCGGGTGGGCGTGCCGTCGTAGAGGGCGCCGAGCTGGCGGAGGAGGCCAACGAGACAAATCTCGTCGTATTGCGCGTGCGAGATGCGCGTCAGGAGACAGCTCTTGTTGTTCTCTCCCTGGACAAAAAGGAACTTGACGAAGGGGCTGCCGAGCGGCATGCGGGTCTGCACGTCGACGTTGCAGAGCTTGTGCGTGAAGGAGTCGAGGTCGCCTTCGATGTCGTACTCCTCGATAGCGGCTACGAGGGATTGCAGGACGACGCCGAGACACCTGCCTTCGTGCTCGACGAAGACAGTGCGGAGGATCTCGTTCCGGGCTACGAGTTCTTGACAGCATTGGAAGAGGCGGGCCCGGTCGACGACGCCGTCGAGGTGGAATAGCTCGTATCGGGACGAGTAGCGCGGCATTTTGTAGGTGCCGTTGACGGCGACCTCTTGGAGGGGCCGGGCTGGGTAGATGTCCTGGACGACCCAGTCGGACCTTGCAAGTGCAGGCTGGATGGTTTTGGCGACGAATGCTTCTGCGTCGCCCACATCCAGAAGAGAGAATGGCTTGGGTAGCTGTTCTGCGACGTTGGTCCTCTGGACTTGGACTTCCTTGAGGACGTCGGCCATGTCGTACAGAGTACGGTGTTTGAATATTTGCGCCACCGTCAACGCGAAGCCTTCGACTCTCGTCTCGGAAACGAGCTTCATGGCCCCGATGGAATCACCGCCGAGCTGGAAGAAACTGTCGTTGAGTCCAATCTCCTCTTCGGAGATTCCCAGGATGCGGCTCCATGCGTGTCGCAGTTTGATTTGCTTCGTCGAGGTGACCTGGACCCGTGCAGGTCGGTTCTCAACTGGCTTGGTCTTGATTTCCTTGATGGCCTTTTCCACCAGCACGACTGACCCCTCTTCGTTGTACTTGGCCAGACGACCAGTTCGATATACCTTCTCGACCAGCGTACCAGCCAGCCATGTGGGAGAAGGAATCGGCTCGATCTGAGGGTCGCCGAGACAGTGCACCAGCAACTCTCCAGTAGCACCGACAGGGAGCAACCGGTTCGGGTTCTTGGGATCGACGATCCAAGCATCAGTCACCTCCACACCAGCAGGGACCACGAAAGAGCAGACATTGCAGCCCCCGGTAAACCGACTCAGTCGTGCGAGATCGGGAATCTCCTGGTCACACACCACTTGCAGGTCTCCAAGTCGCTTCTCAGGAGACGCGTAGAACTGCTGTGTCAGTCGCCCAAGTTGAGCCAGCATTCTTTGCAGCTGCGAGCTGGTGACCGTCTTTTGATCGAAACTGGCCATGATGAGGAAGCCCTTGGGATCCAGCGAGCAGACCAGCATGAGGGCGTACGTGTTGAATTTGAGCGCCTCTTGCGCCGCCTCGTCGTCACTGGCGGGCACGAAGCCGTTGGCAGGTTGGTCGTCGCTGATCTTGACCACGGCGTCGTCGGTCGTGGGGTGCATGACCAGGCCGGTGCGAAGTTCACACGCTTCTCGAGCATCGGGGCTAAGACGTCGGATGTGTTGCAGGCCAAAGTGCTCGTGCGGAATGCCGAGAACGGATTGCTGGTGAATTTCTTGGAGGTACTCGCCGACGGTAGAGTCCGGGTTGATGCCCACGCGGACGGGGACGGTGGCAATCATCGGTCCTTCAATCTCTTCGACTCCAAAGATGGGAGCATTGCGTCCGGTCAGCGTCTCTCCAAAGACAACGTCATTGGACGCGGTGTACAATCCCACCAGAAGGGCCCAGGCACCGCGAATAGCAGTGGCTAGTGTGGTCACACCGGCACGGCTGTCGACCTCAACGTAGTGCTCCAGAAGTGAGTCGGCCTTCTGCTGGTACCCGGTGTAAGGCAGGGCCGGGAATTGCTCGCCGCCAGCGCCATTCAGTCGTTCTCTCCAGTAACCCTCCGAGACTTTGCGGTCCATGTCCTCGAGGTACTTGATGAAATTCTTGACTCCGGCTGGCCGTTCGGTGGTCAGGTCGTTGAATGCCCTGTTCACGCGCTCAACCACCAACGGCATAGACCACCCATCGTAGAGCGCGTGGTGCATGGTAAGTACGAAGTGCGTCTTGCCCGTATTTTTCTCATTGGCGACAATCGCGTACCGCACCAGCGGCTTGCCGAGGTCGACGGCGTCATTTCGATCAGTAGCCAGGTAATCAGCGAGACTCTGGCCGTAAAACAAGGGACAGGAGAAGGTGTCCTTGACGATGACTTGCATCAGCCCCTGACCGGCCACTTGCACAATTCTGGTACGCAGGATGGGGCAATCCTGAGACGCCACCTCGAATGCTTTGGCGAGCTTCCTGGCCGCGGCGACATCGGGCATCTCGACCACGCGTTGGGCGACGTAGGCCTCGGTGACTTTGGCGGACAGTGCCATCAGACCTTCTTGCAGAGGTGTGCAGGGGTAGACATCCTCGATCATTTCTGGACCGAGTTCGCAGAATGACGCGGTTTCCGCCATCGCAGCTTCAGGGGTCCAGCTCGAGCCGAGCAGGGAGAAAGGGGCTACAGTAAGATCCGCCTGAGCAGCCGCTGGCTTGATAGCAAGAGCCATGTCGGCGAGCGTGGGATTGCTGAAAATGTCGGCGACTGACAACGCCAACCCCTGGGCTCGTGCCGCAGCGACTAGCTTCATGGCCCTTAACGAGTCCCCACCCACCGCGAAGAAGTTGTCGTTCGCGCTGACGTCGGAATCGGGACCAAGCACGATAGCCCACAAGGATGCTAGTTGTTTCTCTTCGTCGGTTGACGGCTCCCTACGCTGGACGACCGCCGCGGCGTATCCGGCAAGTTCTCTCCGGGTCAGCGTTGATCCAATCTCGCGAAGCTGTTTGCGGTCGGTCTTGGCAGACACAAGCAGTGGCATGGTGTGCAGGGGTATGTATGCTGCCGGAACCATGTAAATAGGCAGGTATTCCGACAGACTTCGGTTCATATCTTTCAGAGCACCCTTGATGGCAGGCGAGAATGTGGCCAAAAGACTGTCCGCTGCTGAGACCAGTCCCGCCTTCTCCGATATGAAGGCCACAAGGGTCGGTTCACCTGAAGCACCGCCCGGCCTGATGACCTCGGCCGCGACTCGCGTCTCAGCTGGCAGCTTGTCGCGCATGTGGTGCTCGATCTCGGCCAATTCGATACGTTGACCACGCAGTTTGACTTGTTGATCTCCTCGGCCAATGAAAATGATGGACCCGTCCACGTCGTATTTAACAAGATCGCCCGTTCTGTACAGCCTGCCTTTCCGTCCAGGGTAGTCCTTGCACCCCGCAACAAGGAAGTCAGGGTCATTAATGAATACAGTATCCGTCTTCTCGGCGTCGCCAAGGTATCCCGGACCAACGATCGGGCCCTCGATCAGCAGCTCGCCCACAGCACCAGGTGATACGAGAAGGTTGTGGTCTGTAGGGTCCACGATCCAGGTTGAACCTCCCACTCCCTTGCCAATGGTGACTTGCTTCGTACCGTTGCGACCGACTTGGTTGTTGATGGTGCAGCCTACGGTACACTCGGATGGTCCGTAGGCGTTGACAACTTTGGTGGTCGAACCCCATTTGGCAGCATCGCCGTTCGATACCGCCTCGCCTCCCAATCCCAGAACATCGAGCGAAGGAATGATGTCGGAATCGAGCACGCGGGCTACCGAAGGGGTCATGTGTGCCATGTTGACGTTCATCCGGCGGATGGCGCCGCTGAGGTCGTTGATGCGGTCTGCGTCAGAAGCGATGCACAGGCAGCCCCCGCAGGATAGCGTGCACAGCATGCAGTCGATGCAGACATCGAAAGCGTAAGAAGCGAAGTCGAGAACCCGCGAGTGCTGCCGGTATCCGACGAGGTCCGCCCGCGGCACGGCACCGCTCGTATAGTTCTCGTGGGTGACCAGCACGCCTTTCGGCTTGCCGGTGCTGCCACTGGTGAATTGTATGTAAAGATTGGTGCTCGGGTCAACGACGGGTAGACTGGATCCAGCGTCGTATGTGTCGAAATGAGCCTCCGAGACGACAACAGCGGTGGCATGTGGGGCTATCCTGCGCCCCAGAGCCTCTTGTATCTGCGATGTAATAATATGGGACGCGCCCGTCTGCTCAACAATGGTCCGCAGTCTTCCCTCAGGTTGGCTCGGGTCCATAAGCGCAAAAGTGCCGCCGGCCTTCATGACGGCCAAGACGGCCACCACCGTCCACCTCGACTTCTCGAAGCATACCGGTACGTTAATACCAGAGCCAACGCCGATGGATAGGAGGTGCGAGGCCAGCCGACTTGACTTGTCGTCCACTTGGCTGTACGTAAGTTGGCCGTCCCACGAGTCCACTGCCGATTTGTTTGGCTCCTTTGCCGCTTGCTGTGCTATGAGATCGTGCATACACGTCCGCAATGCCGGGGGCACGGGAGTGTTCCACGCCCATATCTGTTCGAGGCTCTTGGGACTGAGACATTCTTCGTCTAGTTCGGTGGGAGGGCTGTGGGACTGGTTGGTGCCGGCGTCTTCTTCGGATGTGTGGAGGGACTCGTTATCGACGTCGCCAACAGTGGAAGGGAGGTGGGATTCAATGGCATTTGAAGGCGCCTCTTCTTCCATCGGCGCAGGATTGCGTGTTTGAGACATGAAGTGATTTTGGTCCAACGCACTCATGGTACTCCACCGAACACGTACTTATGTCGATTATGTGTGGGTAGAAAGGGAGTTTTTGGGCACGCTGGAACGCGACAACAGGATGCACGATGCTGCACGAGTGCAGATCCAGTTCCCATATATCAGTCCTCACTCGTGAATATCGCGGGTACTAGAAAAGGGCCAGCAACCAACAACGAACCACTCATGCAGCAAAGGATTTTCCGCCGATGCCGACAGCGGCAGCGCCTCGCAAAAAAGGGATCGACAAGGCCCATGACGAAGGAGGTGGTTCCGGTGTGTCACCAGCCGGCCCACGTCGTATAATAGAATATAATGGAATATAATGTGGTTCGGCAATGCCACGCTAGCCTGGTTGTACTGGGTTGTTGTGCAAGCCACAAGCCTACCCGAGTTTGATCTGATAACTTTAAACGGAGTGTCGAAGACGAGGGTGGCCGGCAGACAGGGTCTATGCCTCGGTCGAGCCATCCTGGGACCTTAGACAGTCGTCGCTCCGTCACTAAACGTGGCACGACTATTACTTAATAGGTAGGTTGCCCGGCGTTGCGGGCGTTGGGGCGCACAAAGTGCCATTGCTGACTAGCAACGGCCAGCTCGGAATGAAATCGAGCAGGCGGTTGGCCCTGGACTGGCCATGAAGTGTCATGCTGGTGGCATCAGCATGCCTTGGCGAGATGCGAACTGCGCTTGAGGGTGTCATATCAAATGACTTGAGAAACGCCTCAGACTTATGGCGCAAATGCCTTGCCATGCTGGTAGGTGGGGTATTCGCATACTTTTCTTCAGTGGCGCTTGAGGTCTATGATGTGGCATGTCGAGTCTCTTGGACCTACTACGTCGGGCTACTCTCGGCAGTGGGTGTGGCTCATCGGCAAGCGGTCTATAGCATCCATCAGTCACGTTCCCTGCAGACTCGTCGCATGGAAATGGGGTCAGCAAGGAAAATTTTCATCATGCGCGAGCGGCCTTCGGGCCCAAAGTCGACATTCGGTAGGTGGGCAGTGGTTCAAGTGGCACTCATTTTATCAGATGGAGGGATTATCGATCTCCTTGCTTTCAGCCCTTGCAAGATTGTGGAAAATGCGGAGATCTCGCGCGATTTCCCGGATCTGATAAGATATGATTTGTCCGACCCCGATCCACACCGGCATCATTGTGGTCGCGCCAAAACATGGCCTCCTTGGGTCCGGGTGGCACGCCCCTTAGTCAATTCACCAGGGAAATTGGAAATTCCGATCTCGGCCGCAACTTGGATGCGCGAGATTTATTTTCGTGCTCTTTAATTCGTGGTTCTTTCCCAAATAGGCGACAGTGGAGTTTCAGCAGCTGTCTAGAAAACCTGCACCAAAATCATTTCAACATGTGATTCTTATAAGGAGGGGATCTCGCGTAGCGAACTGCAGGAACTTTCTCACCCTCTCTCTATATCCATAGAAATGCCGTACAATTCCCGGCACCTCTGCGTCGTGTCGATGCATCTTCTACCAGTGCCTGCCACCGAGTCCGTCCAGACTACGATCATGTCCGACGCCAGGGGCCTACAATCGTGCCATTTGCCGTCTTCATCGAGCCCCTGTACCGATCTGTTACAGTATTGGGCATACCCGCCGTCTTATTCGGAGGTCCAGGGCACGGTTGACATTGCGGACTGATAAACCCTGTCCAGCTCGGAGCTTTGGATCTTTGTCAATTCCTTGGCCTCTTTCTCCTCATCTCCATTCCTCCGAACTGAATGTGGCGCTCATAATTCCTTGTATATAGGCTATATTTTTTGTAGTATTACTTTGTGCCACTCGTGTAGTAGACTCAATAGCTTGATGATACAGAACGAATACGAGACTCGTTTCTGGAGATCCTCCTAGAGTCCACATAGGCGCTAATAAATGGGTGTAACGGCGAGTCCCCCAGCCCACTGTCGCCATGCTCACTGCCCCTTGGATGAACATGCGGCAAATGTGGAACTTACCAACCAATCACGCCATTCTAGTGACATGTGTAATGGCCTTGTGAGCCTTTCATAGTGAGATCCACTGCTCTCATAAGTGCAAGCCTTGAGTCCTGAGTTCAGAGAGTAGCGCTTAGCTCTACAAGTGACATACCTTCTTGAGGGCAAATAGCCGGTTCGTGTATTACTATACCTCGTGTTTAATAGTGTCGTGTGTACTTGAAGATGGCACCCGGAGTATGTGAGAACACTCATTATGATTTTCAAAGATTTACGCTAGGGCTTGGTGGTTAGGTAATGCCTTGTCAGGTTGTCTCATCAAGAATTCACATAATATCAGAACCCCACATATCGTAGCGCGAGTTGATGCCATTAAATCCACTTCGGGGACATATAAGATATTAAACCCCTTCGAAACCCCTGGTTTGAGCCAAAACCTCGATATGCTCTGCGGAAACACTAGACTCCATGTTGCACATTGCCCCGATTTGGAACCGAGACTACCGATCATGTAACACCGAATGCAACCCCAAAGACGATGCTGGCTCCACGTGCCGAATAAGGCCTCCATATCGCAGCCAAATGTACCAATCCCCAGCACGCAGTGACGCCACTACAGACGACCTGCCCGTTCGAGCCGTAGGCCGCCTTGGTTTTCTGGACCCCGTAGACTCCTCCCACCAGGACCTAAACAGCATCATGCAGCTCTACGAGTCACTCGTACCACAAGAAGTACGCCACTGTCTCGTCATGACCCGAGAGGGAGGACAGTCGGTCGTAAATTGCCCAAGCCACCAACCACCACGACGTTCTGGTGCCGGCATTGCTTACCTTTGCTTGGCTAGTCAGGCAAGTGTGTCTGCGTAATTGACCGCCAATGAGGAACCTGGCGTATGATCCCGCATTTCCGGGTGAGTGGGATACTTCAAGTAGGAGTGACGATGGTTCTGAGCTCTTACGGGACCTGGGTGTAGCTGAAGGACATGGAAATGAGAATTCCAGAGGCCAGAAGCCTCAGCTCTGGCGTCGCGAACCACCATGGCTTCGTCGCTTTGTTGTCGATATGGACGGTACCATTGCCATTGGGGGCCGAACTCTCGTGCTGCACACCATCTGACGTTCTGCACTTTTCCTGCGGAGATAGTGGTCACGTGGGCTTCGCAAATGTGTTGTTGCGTGGCTAAGTCTGAAATGTGCGGAGGAGGGGAAAGCCGAGTGCATCTACTACCTCTGCTACGCCATAGCAGAAGGGGTTTTTGTTCAATATTGAAGTCCTCTATCGATTGAGAACAGAAATCTCCAACTTACTGTGAAAACTGGCGTTTAAGTGGCATGCAGATTCTGGGGTGAAGAATTTACAGTTAGTCCGTACGATTCGAGAGCCTTCGCTCCAAGGCGTCAAGGGGAGGGGAGAAGAAGTGATCAAATGAGTGCCTGAGATTTCAAACAAATCCATATGGCTGTAAATCGCTTCTAGACAACAGGCATGAGACCATTCAGGGAGCTATCGAACAAATATTGATAGGTCGAGTAAAAGATATAGTAAGATCTGGGTACTTGACGAGAAGAAGGTAGGTAGCATGGGTTTTACTATGTGGGCAGGATTAATGAAATGAAGCGAAATATAATGAAGGTAAAACCAAAGCATCCCCCCAGCCGAAAAGACCTTTCCACTCCATCGATCAACTTAATTACGACTAAACCTGTCACCTTACTTCTCGCTAGACGAGCATATTGGGAGATTTATCCCGCTTTATCCAACGTTCCATCAGAGAGCATATAGTAGTTTCGATATAGTCTCTATAGTGGCTTTAGCTCCAGTACTGTGTGGTTCATCTTTTTATGTCCAATTTCACTCAAGCGTTACTGGAAAGCATAAATCCTCAGATTACAGTTAATCAGCGAGTCACACCAGGATAAAGGTTTTCACAGCCAAGACCCAAGTGTATGTAGAAAGTCAGGGCTGACATAACAGCGATGCGACCAAGGACCGCATAGTGTTCTTCGCGACTGTGTAGAAGAGTTGCAGCACTTTGAGAACTCCCGATATGCTTAGGTAATATCCATGTACTGACCACACCCTTGAGCATCCACATTATTATTACACAGTGAACTCTGTCAACAGCCTAGACCTGTGTTTAATTCCATAGAACATACTACTACATGTAGAAATCCATATCGTCTGATATGGATTAACCTTGGCTGGGGTTGGGTAGTTTAATGCCCTTGAACAGAATCAGTAATTCTGTACAATCATCAACTTTGACCAGCTTCGAATCAGGACTTCAGACGATCCAAACTCAATGTCTTGAGAGACTTCTGTATACCCGAGTCATCTAGCATGTCTAACCTAGCATCAAGGACCGACGGCCCGGTGATAATCACTTTCACTATGCAACCATCAGTAATAACCCTTAAACCTTCAACCAACCTACACACACACCTCGACAGATTGCCTTACATATATCAGATTACTAAGATACACCGAATATCCGTCTAATTGCAAACTATAAGTAAAGCTTAAAGCGACTGCTGACTCAAGATCTTCATCCTAATATTACTCACCTTCTTCGAAATCAACCACGTGTTGTTACCCAACAAACATCCCATCTTTCAACTCGCATAGACCAATAGACTCTGACTCTGCATATTGCAGTTCAACTTGTTCCCAAGTGCCTACATTAGAAATTAGGGTATCCATGTCACAGATCCCGACAACCCATCCATACAGCCCATCCCAGCGAAACGTGTCAGTCGATCGTTTCAGAATCTTATGCCGAACACTGCACTTCAACGTATCGCATGCTCTCGGGACATAGGTGTCCTGATTCGGCCTCTCGGACTTAACCATTACAGTTATCTGGCAGGCTATTTTTCGGATGCTTAGTGTACTAGTGGTGTACCCAGAGAGCCAGAACAACTAGTGGGGATTACGATAGGAAATTGATGACGATCAGTAAAGGTTGAAAAGTTGGTCTTTGAGATCAGATTATACACCGAAGTATGCCAAATAATGCGCATCACGCATCCCGGCCGCGCTGCTCTTTTGTGATTGATGACCCAAACAACCCGTTTAAACCCAATGCTATAGTTGAGCAAGCCTTTTTACAATATATAACACCCGTGGCTCACGCGGGACATTTTCGTTGTTTCAGAAGTTTTGAAACCAGATGCGCAATGTAAAAAGAAACAAGATCTAAGCATGCGGGGCAAATCCGAGGGAGCTATTGCCACCGTTGAAGGCGACAAAGTTGCTCTTGAAGAAGATGTCTCCGTAGATCTGGAGGTTGGCGGGGGTTGCTTGCATGCCACCGAAGCAGTCTAAGAAATAGTTAGCAAAGTTGTCGTCCAACCAAACAAGATGGGTGGTAACGTGTAAAACTTACTTTGAGCATCAACTTGCGCGAAGTTAATATCGGATCCGCTAACCTTGGCCATCGTACCGCCAATATCAAGCATAAGATCTGGCAGATTGCTGTTGCAAGGGAAGACAAACCCACCAGCCTGGGCATCATTGACAGCGTTGGGGACTTGGGCGTAGTATGCTCGGGCGACAGCGGGCTCAGCCAGGATGAGCGTAGTTCCCGTGTCGGCAATAGCCTGAGAGCCAGCGACAGACGTCTGAACCGCGCCAGTTCCGACGGCGAACTTCTCGCTGGTGAATTGCCAGAAGCCCTGAGTGGTGTTGACGGGGACGAAGGTCATGGCCCCGGTGAACTTGGCGGCGTCGACGCGGCCGAATTCGTAGGATCCAACAGCAGCCTTCTTCAGGTCGGCGGTAAAGACAGGCTCGGCAAGCGAGGGCATAACATTATCGAAGAAGGTCTTCTGCTGTGCGGGCTTGACGGTGTTCAGCTTGGAAAAGGCGAGACCGAGCAGACCGTTGTTGTTGGTATCCTCCACGAATGACTGGGACACGGCCGTGGCTAACTCGACGGCTTGCTTGGTGACAGTGGCACCACCAAGATTGACAGTGTCAGTGCCGACGTTACCGGCAGCACCAGAGCCATCACCGTATGAGATAGAGAAAGTAGCACCCTGAATGAGCGCGAAGCTCTGAGACTTGTTAGGGTCGTACACAGTGTGGCCAGTGGTCGCCGCAGTGGAAAGCTGACTGCTGAAGACCCACAGGTCTGAGGAGCCAGAGTCGAAATCGAGGTTCAAAGTTTGACCACCAATGTCAACGGGGGACAAGTACTCGACGTCATTCTGCTCAGGCGTAGCAGTGACGAGACCAACTCCAGTGGCGGCAGCACCTGCAGTGGTGTTTCCAGCGGCAGCAAGGGCGGCGGCGCCAGTCGTGTTGGTAGCTTGTCTCCTGACCCTCGACGATCCGATTTGTCTCCGGGAAATCATCTCGATATCAGCTTTCGCGACAGCGTCCATGAGACCATCGGGGATGGGCATGCGGTATTTGCGGAGAGTCTTGAGTAATGCTCGGGGGCCATTGCGGCCAGTGTAGTTTGGGTTCGGTACACGCTCAACCTTGTATACGCCTCGCTTGTGAATGGGCGCCGGGGACGCAGCAACCAAGGCGATGAAGCCAAGGAAACACAGGACCTTCATGAGGGACTGCATGATGGCGAAAAGTCGGAAGGAACCACACCAGGTGGCCGAGAGAGAATGAATGTAGGTTGAGGGATACTAGCTCCTCTCGAAAAGAATTATCACAAAAAAAGGTCCCTTCCAGACGACTAATTAAATGTACAAAGAACGGAACTGGTGCCGGCCGGATAAGAACGAAGAGAAGTGAATGGGCAAAAAGGGAATAAAACTGAGAGAAACAAGAAAGTTATAGGTTGTTGCCGGCCCCATCAACTATTTTAAAGACAACAGTTCGTGACAAGCACAACAACTAGAATAGAAGCAAGGCCCACTTGGACCAGGGGCGTTTGGGACGAAGAACAGAAACAGAAGACGGGCATGCAAGTAGGAACTCATCCCTGTCTTGAAGGTACCGACAAAGTGTACTGCCGTAATGAAGCCAAATTCTGGTCAAGGCGCGCCAAGACAGTAGAAGGCGATGTACATAGTAGCCAGGCTGGCGCATGAAAGTGCCGTCTTCCGTCATGTCCTCTGCCAGAAAGAGGGATCTCCCTCGCCCTTGAAGATCCACTTGCAGGCAAAGCCAAGACAGACAATGCGGCAAGATGGTGGGGCGACTTGGGTACCCCAGAAGCTTGTCAACACGTCGCGCGACGAGACATCATTGCGGTGGTGTGATACTGGGGAACGAATGTGAGAAACGAGACAGCACGGCCGAGCCTGGTCAGGGGGTAACTGCAGCTAAGCGGTCCAAAAGGATGTTAGGTTTGGTCACGCAGCACCAGGGGGTCCCAGTAAAGACCCGGCCGTGGAAACGGCCTGCGAATCGCATGTCAGAATGTCGAACCGGGAGTATGATTTCTTAGCACTGCCCGTTAGAGCCTCAGCTCCGCTCAATGTCCAGCCACCCGGAACAGTGACCGCTGGCGGAGTCCGTTATTTAGGCCCAGCAATAACCACAGGCTCTCGAATGGTGCCAATTTCGGAGCCATGCAAACGGTGCAAGAAACCGCTTCCCGTAGCATCCATTCGGTAGCTGTACAGTTATTGCCAGTGGCTTCTGCGTTAGGTGCCACTCGAGCCTCTCAGTCGTTGAAGCGGTATTGTGCTTTTTCAGGCATAAACGGCAGTTCAATCCGCGTAGCAGAGCTAGGTTAGCAGTCTCTTCACAACTTTAGAGGCATGTGCTATTGTGACAAATGGTGCTAACGGTGTTATTGAGCCATCCTGGCGCGTGGCTTGGCGTTTTGATGTTACGGCTGCTGGAGATGTTCGCAGTTGTTTCATGAGCGACGCAGGGACAGAAGCGCCAGTAGAGATCTTCGCGAGTCAAAAGCTCGCCAGCTCTCCAAGTAGGTCTTCGGCAGGTGGCCTTTGCTGCTTATCGCCGGAGGCCAAAGTACCGACAGGATGAGGAATTCAGACCAAATTAAATGAGAAACCCAAAGTCGATGTTCCGGACCCATTGTCTTCAACTTGCTCGTTACCACAATAGGCCTGTACTTCATCATCCAGATATTTGTCAGGTCGAATGGAATCGGCTCCAGTCCACACGATCTGGATGCCAGCCATATTTGCTAGCTGGTGGACTGACATGCACACTCTCGTTAGTTGTCCACCCAGGGAATCCAAACTAACAAGATGCTAAGCTTTCTTTAACTCCGGCCGGGTTGCCGTTGGAAAGATGTTTGGTGGAATCTGGCGGCAACAGATCGGGACATGAGCCGCAGACCGACTGGGCGCGGGGAACTTCTGTGGGACCCCTGCCCCAGGGGCGCTGAAACGACAACGAGCTCCAGTCTGCTCATATCTTCAGATCTGAAACAGCCTCAGACTCTCTATCCACCAATACATCTAACCGTGACTTCATGGATACGAATTCAGCCATAGTTGTAAAACAGGCCTTGCCTTGCATCGCCGACCCGGCGGGCGTCAATAGCCGAGCTTGGAATACAATCTTCCACAATCGCCCGCGGGTTTCAAGTAGATCGACAAGTGATTTTCATTCACATCCGGAGTCGCAGGTGTGGGAAACGTCAGGATCCTTGGCCCAGCACAGATTTCCTTGGGCGTCCACAAATTCATGTGGGAGCTGGCACTAGGGATAAGCTTGATGAAATCAAGACTTTTGTGATGTGGAATCATCCACATTTCCAATGCAGGAGAGCAGTACCTAATCTCATGTTGCCTGTCAATCAACCGTTGGCCAATTTTGAGTTGACGCCGCAAAGCCACCAAGTCAACTCATCAGACAATCAGTTGGGACGTGTTTCATTATCCGTGTAATCCATCTTCATCTTGACGGCTTTGTTCTGCGTCTGAAGTCCCGAACTCAAGCACGCCTTGTCATCAGTGTAATGACAGCCAGCATCATGAACCAAGCTACATGAAAAAGCAAAGCTCGATTACGCCGAACACCCGAGAGCGGATAGGGCTTGGTTCGTACTGATATTCGCGATTTGCGGAGTTTCTTGACGTCGGCCGTCGCGAAGTCGAGTTGGAATTTGGAATCGTGATAATCCCTAAGCTTCAGTATGATGTCCTACGTGGTCGGGAGTCAGACCGCAACGCCCTGGAAACATACGAAATGTGCGTGGTGCTCGCTGCTCTCGCATGCTACTGAACACGTCATTGCGAATATAGAGTTGAGTGCCTAATGCTCCTGTCATTTCGTCGAGATGCCAGCGACTCGACCGAAGCATAAGACGCGCGTTCGCCCATCCAGCTGGTAGGTGGATCAAACAACCTCTGGTGGGCTCTGGGTCCTGACCACTGCAGGGTGCATGTGTCAGTCTTTTAGGCGTTGTCGACAGTCAACATCTACATTCGGAACAAAGGTCGGGAGAGCGAAATGCTTTCGGATTGTCCGACGGGTTGTGAATATGTGCCCCGCTGTCTGCTTTCAAGAGCCAACTGTAAGCCAGAATGGAGACACCCTGAAACTGAGGGACAGCATGGCGCTTTTTGAGGTCTACGCCGGCCATGACAACCATTTGAGCTGCATGGTCTCTATGGGCCTCGTCTCTTGACTCAAGAGGAAAGCCAAGGTCGTCATGTTGCGCGATACTGACTAGATTTTGCGAACGGCCGCATGCTCCAGCAGAACGTGCGCTTATAAGAAAAGCTGTCGCAACATGGACTCATCGTTGCTTAATGAGCCTCCTCCAGCCGATGACTAAGAGCGAACCAACGAGAAACCTCGGTTGGCCGGATCATTGGTGTATCAACGTCAGGGCTTGATAATATAGGATCATAACGCCGACTTTGGATTTTTTGGACAGGCTCTCTCGCTCGCAGTCTTCGAATTTGAGGCTCAACTTGGACTTGAAGGCGAGGACGGAAGGAGCGCGTTCTTGCCTGACAGCTGTCTCGTAGCTGCCAATCATCCCTGCCACTTCAGATCACCTTCCCATTTAGCCGAGGACATACAATTTGATTTATACGCCATCGAACAATTGGTTCTTATGCGAAAAGTTGAGTCCGTGGTGTTGGTTTCGATGAATCTATCAACTATTGATGCGCTTCACAATTTCTCGTTGTCCTGCTGCTTCCGCGTGTGAGCAAAATCGAAAGTCGAGTAAGTGAGGCACCGTTTCTGAAACTGGCCCCGCCTCCGTTTCGACGAACGAACGAACGAACGAACGAACGATGAGAACCAACCTCGCGATTTCTCCACCGTAACCTGCCTCCAGCCACCAACCAGCGCAACCTAGATCTGCCATGACGCGATGCGATAAGCTACGATAACCGCGACATTGTGAGACTCGAGCTCCATCGCGAATTGAAGATCAACAATTGCCGTTGGTGACATAATCTCTCAGGAGCGTCGCGCATCATGTCGGAAGATGAGCGTCGCAATTCCGACCGGCGCACGCCGCGCTTCAGCTGGAACAGCGCCTACGAGGACACCTTCTTCCGCTCGCTATGCGAGTCCATGCAGCTGGGCTATAAGGATAGCCACAGCTTTAAGTCGGGTGCATGGGAACGAGCCGCGATTGCGTTGCGTGACAAACACAATGTCTACCCGGAACGGAGCCACCTGATCAACAAGGCCGACAACGCGCGGAAGAAGTTTCGCATGTGGAGAGGGCTGCGCGAGGATCCTGAGTTTTTATACAACCCTGTCACCCGCATGGTAACGGCAAATGAGGAAGCTTGGAAGAGGCACTTCGAGGTACGTTGAACTAGTTGCGAGCTTTATGGCGAGACTCTGGTGCTGATTGCGCCTTGCAGAGAGAGCCGCTGTCCAAGGCGCTTCGTGGCCGACCGTTCGACCACGAAGAATATATGGAAATACTGTTTCCCGACGTAGTAGGATCCGGCGGTGCACCCAAGCGAATTATGAAGAAACGCAGGAACCCAGATGGCACTCCAGTAGCCGGCGACAGGACGAACAGCGCGGGCCAAAACGTCATAGACATGACCCTCGACCCGAACTTGTCCTCCCACACACCGAGCCATCCTTCTACACAGCCAGCGCCCCAGGCACCTCACCTCCCCATGCCTGCCACATCGCAACCGCCCGCCTTCGCTGCTACTCAAGTCAACACCGCTGGGAGCATATTAACACCGCCCGATGAGCACCCTCCGAATTCAACCCATGCGCAAAAGCGGTACGCACCAGATTCATCCTCCTCACAGCCCGCTAAGCGCCGTGGACGCCCCTCTCGCTTCTCCTCTAATATTTACAGCAACCTGCCCACTACAGCAACACCGTCGACAACGTTAGCTTTCGCCCCACCCCGTCCTCGACCGCTTCGGCACGAAATCACTCGATCCACTCCTCCTTCAGCAATGCTGCTCTTTTTGAAGAGGGGATATGCACAATGGCGGAGGCGCTGAAGATGCGCAGCCCGCCTCGATGGCCCGAGCAGGCAATGGAGATATTCTTTCGCGATTTTGCGGACGAGGATCCAGATTTGCAGCTCAAGATCGCTGAGAAGGCGCTTACGGACGAAAACAAGGCCATGGTGTTCGTCAAGAGCACGCCTGATCTCCGGCGTCATTGGGTTGGACGGTTGAGAGACGTCCACATGCGTAACCTGGGAGGTGGTCTGGGGCTCGGGCGAGTTGGAGACGAGGCTTCGTAAAGCCGTCAATCCCTTGTTCTCGGACGACTCCCAATGCGTAGAGGTAACCGCCTGGGCACGGCCGGAAAGGGGCCGGTGTTGCCTACTCGCTAGGACGTGTGCTAATTCTGCGGGATACAACGGACTATGGGATATTTTTGAACAACTACGGCGATTTGAAGATGAGCTGAGCAATCCTGGAGCAAAGAAAGGCACCACACGTTGATTGTAGGACTGGGTGTATGTGGTATACGTGTGTCTACGATTTTCCTAGCGCACGTTAACTGCCATTAATATTGTGGTTCGTTGACTACAGCGAGCCACATGCCAGCTTTCATCATACCCATAGGATTAAGCTACCTACAGCTTGTAGCTACGCTACATCCTTAACTATTCATATTAAATTTACCTTCTTCCATCGGCTGATATCAAGTAGCAACGCTAGGCCGTGGTTGAGTGCAGCATCTTCGAATGCAGCTTCCGTCGTGCCGCCAAACGGAGCTACGAGGGGAATAATGGTAGCATGAGGCAAGGGCAAGTGCTACTACTTCTCGATGATTACAAATGAAACCAGTGACATATTTTGGAAGAACTCATGGAAACTAAGCTTGGCTTACCGCGGTAGATAACCGTTTGCTCTCTATCTACGAACGACCAGGGCTTAATAAGAGAGCTCGATCGACTGTTGGACAGGGTCCTCAATCCCTGGTTTTGTGGAACTTGAGGGAATCGGCCCTCTGTTGAGGAGACTCTCGATCAATGTCGTATTGATCGCTATGCCTGCTCTAGGCGTTGTGCCACGTAGATTGGTGTTGCAACGCTTCTGCAAGGTGCTCTTGCTCTCTGAGGAAGGAGGGAAGGGTCTGACCCACTAGCTACACTAGCGACTGTACCGCTTTCGGCCTGGGGCTATGGCGCTCGATCCCACAGTACTGCCACTTCAACCCCCACCTCCCTGTTGGTATATACAGACCCTAGATAATAAGCAGGCCGCATATTCCACCTTGAAAGCTGTGATACTCCTGGTTAACAACGTCCAAGGTGTATTGGAGGCCGAACCATGGTTATCGTTGAGCGTAGGACTGCTTCGATCCTCCATAATTTATGTCCTTGTTACGCGTCGGGCATTGCTTGACTAACTGTAGCATCGTCATGCCAGCTGCTTGGCATATTCTGGAGTAAAAGGCCCTGGCTTTTATTGCTTTTATTTTTGCTGATCGGTGGTGGCCTCCTTTCACGCCTCGCGTGTTCTTCGACTTCTCGTAGAATCTTTTGGAAGTCCGCTTGATCATCTTCCGTGAAGTGGAATGCCCTGACTTGGCAAACTCGGAAGCAATCGAACGGAGTCTTCGTCCAGGGTATGCCAGTGCAAGCTATTGTCTCAGTCAGCGATCAGGTGGTGTGATGCGAACCGGTATGCACCGATTTTGCATCAGCATAACCTCTGACGTCCTTGATGACGTTGTTGAGCCTTTCCTTATCCAGCTGAGATTTTTCGTTTTTAGAAATGGCCAAATCGAGACACCGTAAAATTAGATGTTTAGATCTATTAATCAAACAAGAAGTGGTTTAGATCTGCGGAAACCCCAATAGTCGCGATGAACAGCCGCAGCCCCCTTTTATCCTTTGGCAATTACCCCTTTGAATCCCTCTTAGGAGCAACCAGATAAATTTTCTTGATCTTCCATGTACATGAGCTGGACGGGTTTTATGTATGCTGAAGTTTATTGTCATAAATGACAAAACTAGATTAAGTGATAGAAATTGGGATTTTCACACAATCCTCGCGGCAACGTTTAAACCCCCCCATTGCTATCTTTCCCTAAATACCGGTGATACCGGGAGTACCAGTCTTGAAAGACATAGTACTATATCCGCACAGAACCCATCTTCGTGAATCAATGATGGTGCTCATTTAACCATAGCATCTCCGTTCTCATCCAGATCTCCCGAATGCCCAGTGCTGAACAATCTCGAGCGTTGTCAGCATACCGTAACTTGGCCTAAGGTGTCAAGACCCCCGGTATCCTGGGATGGCATTAGTCTAAGTCCAGAAATATCCGTGGACTCAGTTTGCTTTACCAGTTGTCCGGCCTCCTGAATCCCACCTGCAAACTCCGTATTGGCATCGCAGCCGACGCACCGGCGTTAAATCTGTCTTCGTTTCCCTAGCAGCAGAGCTTCTGGCCTCGGTCTCCTGGTATCTAGGGTCGGTCATTGTGGGTAGATAAAATGGCTATCACATGCTGTGTCAAAAGTGTTGCTAGGACGAGTAATAGGGCACCTAATTTGTCAGTTGGTGCTCCACTGTCATTTAATCCCCCAGAGCGGCCCGCGTTTGGTTACGTTTCTTCAACGTCAATACGGGAGATGACTTGATCGATTACCAGATATTCTGTGTCTTTGACGTCATGTAGAACATAATACCTAATCGTTCAGCCACTCTTATGCCCTATGGCATATGCTCAATCACTATATATTTACGATAGTTGATATAGGGATATGTTTACAGAGTCTGCGACGAGATTGTCTTTGTTTCATGGGACACTCCTACCCGTAAGTCAAGATTGCTTCTAGGACTGATGATAGAGCCTTGATAGACTCCCTGTCCTCACTACCGTTTATTCCTCAACACAATGGTCGCATGCATAAATTCTTGCTTGCTGCAACCATAAACTGTAAGCGCCGTTGCATGCACAAAGGAGTGACCTGGCCTTACCCTGCATATCTAAACCTAGAGACGATGCAGGGAAGCATTGTGGAGCGAGCCGTGGTGGGTAACACAACATCAACATCCATCTCATCCGCCATATTCCGCGAATCTGGATGGCAGCAGACCGTCGACATCCTTCGTCTTATTTCTTTCGACAAGCTACACTGATGATATGACAACCGGAATAATCGGACACAATCTTGTGACAACACAAATAAGATCGTCTCCAAAAAGCCAGGCCCCATCCCCACACCCTAATCAAATCCTCGAAGACTACCATACATATTCACCATTCAATTGCGAACCGAACAATGCCGGAAATTTAATAAAAAGACATGCCCTCTACAGCGTAAGTTTTCCTTTTCAATGATATGTATACTAACCGCGGATGCGGCGTAGTTCCCGTACACGCTTTAGCACCGAATTAACAAACCGGTTAATAAGGGCCCAAGCGACTGCCTACCACGCCTCCTGGATCTAGGTCCTCATCGTAGCTTGATTGACCTAGCTACTCTTCAATTTGATTAGTTTACCGTGTTTCCTATACGTATACGCTTTTATATACTTCCACATATGCTCACCCAGCGACTAATCAGGACTCTAAGCGAGCTATTCAATGGTCTAGACTCTATACCTCTCTAACCAGTCTTTGGAGGCGTTACTAATGAGAACTCGGGTGCTATCTTACTATAAGAAGGTCCCTGGAGTACATATTGGTAGTAAAGCTTCTTCTAGCGCCCAAATTCATAATCGTGAAGAGAACCCTTAACGCTGGGACTGTGAATCACGCTCCATGGTAACGATATCGGACCGCCCCCTCTTATAAATAGCCCCCAGAATACAAGATAGCCGGCTTACCATAATCGGTACATTTAACTATTCACTGTGGAATTGGTGGCCTGAGGTCATGGTAAGGTACACCTGAGATGCTTTAGTGCCCTTATGCGGCTTGGATCCCCCCACCTGTACTTCCCCTACTCACATTCGTATGTAGCCGGAATGCCAGTACCAGTGCGATCCCACATTCACTTGTTAAATCGCTTGCAGGGCATCTGCCAGACCTAACCGGTACCAGAACTAGTCGCGATTTGGACCGTGAAATCGTCGCTGAAGATAACCTGGTGATTAGTTAGAGTTAGCCCCGAAATCGCCGGATTTAACGCCCCGGCATCACTTACACGTACTTCCTTTATAATTATGCCTCTCTGCCTCTTCCAAAGTGGTAGTATATAGTCAGTCATTCGACGGACTTGGGAGTTTGCCAAATACGCCTTATGGACTTCTAGTGCTTGAGATTCTGGGCCTTAAAGGCTACGCGTGGGTATTCTAGCTTAACTGTATTAGAGAGCTTAGACCAGCCGATTCGCGATCCCCCCCCCAACGGTTCGTGTAATATAGCGGTAGTCACGTATAGATAGCTTGTGAAGCAAATGATGAAGTGGCTTCAAGGCGGGTGTTGTTACGGCGGACTATTGACGGATCGCGTTCGAAACGCCCCTCGACCTTACACTGCTTGCCCTCCACACAGATATGGTCGCACGCACTTCAAAAGATTACTCATCGCCTCTCTGGTGTCCCGCGAGTAAAACGGGCGCTAGCTCTTTTAGTGTGTCTTCCTGGTGGCCGATTGAAATGTTGGTCTAGCTGGGAGGATGTCTGAACCAGACGCGAGCGCGTCGCGAAGTGGGGTGGATGGGGCGAGACTCGTCAGCTTGAATGTGCCCACTTCCCATGGACCCAATTCATTGCCCTTGCCCATAATCATCGGCTCCGATTTAGTGTCGACTGCTATCTACTTGATGACGAGAGATCGCGGATGCGGGCTGCCGGAGACGGCCTGGACATATTGTCGATTCGTCACGACACACCAGATCCAGCTACGTGTCGGACGAGATAATCCGCATCCGCGAAGGAACGATACCCATATGCGATTGACGCCGGACAGCCCAATGAGCCAGGGGTTCTGCGCCGCCATGGGGCTTGCATTTCCAAGAGGTTGGTCGCCTTCCCTTCCAATTGGTTACCGACTAGCTGGCGCGAACTGGGAATGGATAATGCCAACACTGTGTTACACGGTCTGGAATCCTTCGCGTATTACTATGGGTCGAATCTTGCATGGGATGTAAGACAGGCTGGGAATCCATCGGGCGGAGAGAGCCCGTACTCTGACACTGTACTCATGTTTGGTTTGCACCCAGCTCGAGAGCTGCAGGTGTTGTACCATCATGGTGCTTCTTGGGACAAAATTCCTAGGAATGAGTGCCGGAGGGATCCTTACACCAATGAGGAAACCATCAGAGCCCAACAATCGCAAGAATGGTATTTGACTTCAAGCGACGCCCCGTTCTTGTTTCTCCGAGGTTCACTTTACCGCATCCCCTGGCCAAGATGTCAGGAACGGTAGCCAGGCTCTGGCGCCTTCGACCAAAGCTTGCATCACCCAGGAATCACAAGGAACACACGGAACACACGGAACACACGGAACATACCCCTCCACCCCGCCAATATGGCAAACTACCTGGGGAAGTCATTGATGTGCGAGGGGTCGATCCGCAGATGAATTCCGATTTCTTTCAAGATTTGCCCCCCGAGATTCGAAAGTTGATATTTGGCTACATTTGGCAGACTCACGGCCAACGACACCACCTCTTCCTTGAACGGGGCCGCCTAACTCGCGTTGGATGTGTGATGGACGAGATGGACGAGGATATGGACTTCATCCAGAAACAATTGGATTTGATACCTGCCTTGGAGCGGTTGGGAGAACCAAAGAGTAACCAAACAAAAATCTGGTACCGAAGGCTGTCTTCGACATGGGGTAGCCGGCATTGGAGATGTGAAGAGAGGATTCTTTATGGAGGCCGGCCGTTCCCCGATCGTACCGACTTTCAATCTATGATGTTAGTTTGCAAGCGGATGTAAGTGTCTCACGACCCCTATTGCAGGGATTTCCCCAAGTAGCGATGACTAACACAAGACCACAGGTATCCCGAGGTCATGGAATCGATCTTCGAGTCACAGACATTTCTTTTCAACGACCTACCTGCGGCCTACAGATTCTTTGTTCTCGAACCTTCGCTGTTTTTGAAGCATCTCCGTCATTTGGATATCACACTCAGCTTGGAGTTCGCTGAGTATGCGCTTTTCATCCACGCCAATCGGTCTCTGGAACAGAGTCGCCTCATGACGGTAGAGAAATCACTTGCGCAAACGATATGCTTGCATGACTTGAGAATGTCATTCGACATTTGGGACCACCAGTGCTGGCGTAAGATCCCAGAGGAGGGTGTCACACGCAAGTTGAGCGACATAAATGTCAGAAAGCTTACCGTTGAGCTGCCGCCAGCCCTGCCCATCAGGGTGAACGCTAACAACATGGACAACGTGAAGGACGCTCCATTCCAAGTCGTCCGCCGCCCGCCGCTCCGGTACTGGATGTTCGTGCCAGGCAGCGTCAGTCGCTTTGAGTGGAAAACAACTGAGGATGTGGACGACACAAGCTGGATCGAGGCGGAGGGAATACCATACATCCCTAACCCGTACATAGACGACTTCTTCGAACGACGCTTGGCTTGGACATGAGGAGGGGTATTCCCCTGGTCATGCAGACAAGGGTCCCAGAAGGCACTAGCCATGCATGTTGGCTCCCCAAAGTGGTCAAGTTGCATTCGCGCTTAGCTCAAGCAAGATATCCGCTCCGCATTTTCTGTCTGTCCAGATCACGGCTACATTGCGATTGGGCTACACCTAGATCTCCCTTACTGGGGTTCCAACGTTACATCTTCACACTGTGCCGCAACTAGGACACTGAGATGGGCAGATCTCTCGATGCGGCAGGCTTCGCACACGATAGGATCAAATGATACCCTGTGGTTGCAGTCGATTGGCTGCAGATTGCACATGAACGCCCGAGGCGCCGTCAAAACCACCCAACACGTCAACTGACTGGTTTTCGACATGGCACGACCCGTTCTTCATATGCCGTTGCAGAATGTTGTTTGCTTATGCCATCCGTCATTGGCGAGCACCATCCAATGCTTTCTGTTCGGTTGGTTGCAATGTTGTATTGCGGGTCGAAATCCTGGAGTGCCAAGGATAAATGTCAAGACCAGCAACAACTTGAGTGTGGGGTTTGACTCAGCGGCAATGTCTCTCGGAGCGACGGTAAACTTGATATAAACTTGCCCTCGCCAATTCAAGCGTTATTATTAGACCAAGGCACTACTTGTCCCCAGCACCAGCATGGAAGAGAGACTCCCGGCAACCCCACCGCCTATGGCGGACATACCCCGTCCACATTGGGACGGTTTCCAAGCCACATCAGAGCTTCAGATTCAGTCTACTTTCTTCGGCATACTGCCGAGAGAGGTCAGGGACATGATTTATGCTGAGTTTTGGGAGGTGTCGGGCCCCCGGCAGCATATCTTGCATAAAGATGACGGTCATCTGACACACTTCCCGTGCATCATCGGGGAGGACGAGAAAGATGAGAGGAACGAGATGTTTGGCGTGCTGTGGCGTGAGCAGCAGAAGCGGCAGCCAAGATCACTCGTGGTGAACACCGAATGGGCTGAGAGGATGTCGTCGACTTGGCAACAGCACTGGAAGTGCGAGGAAGCCATGAAGGGCGCTGCGAACGAGGGCAAAGTCACGGGGACTCTGTTCCTGACGTCGCTGTTGGCTTGTAAACGGATGTAAGATAAGCGCATCCTGCTCAAGAACCCTAAACAGACTGCTGACAGCCACGAAAGGTATCTCGAAGCTCTACCGTCACTCTACGCTTCAACAACCTTCATCCTCACCCACCTCCCCACAGCCCACCACTTCCTCGTCTCCCATCCAACCTCCTCCACGCCCCTCATTCGCTCCCTATCCCTCTCCCTCTCCCTCTCCTACAACACCCTCCACTATCACCGCTACGCCTCCTCCGCCCCTTCATCCCCTCCCCTCTCTCCCCCAGCCAACCCCCACCATTGGGTCGAACTCTGCACGACTCTCTCAAACCTCGTCCGCTTCGCCTCCCTCCGCGCCGTGGACCTCCGTCTAGACCTGGCAGACGATCGCTACTGGTGGGAGGTGCGCGAGCGCTGGGCGCTGTCAGCTATCCGCGGTATGCTGGCACGGTGTCTGACGGTGAGGCTGCCGGATGTGACTGTTGAGAAGAAGGTCATGCAGCCTTATCAGTTCTGCGAGGGGGACGAGACGCTATTCAGATTGGAGAGGTACCCAAGGTTGCGGTGGATGGATGCTGGTGCCAGGGCTGGGACGAATGGGGGAGGTGGGGGGAGGGCCGTACAAGCCAGGTTGGAGTTTTTCAATCCGAGGGAGCATGTCGTTTTGGAGAGGGAGACGAGGCTGGAGAAAATGAGGGGTTTGTTAAGGGGTTGGTTGATATGATTAATCATCTATTGGTCATGGTGGCATGAATGTGGTCAAAAGTGGCCTGTCTGTTAGGTGAGAGTTTGCAGGCGCAGGTGTGAAGAGGTATGTCTGTCTCTATCTGAGCCGGAGAGATGCATACCGAGAAGATACCACAAGCCAGCTTTCGTCTTAAAGAAACCCATGTAACCGGCCAAATGAATAAAGTGATAGTTTCATGTCGCAACTTACACGAGATCTCAATTGTAACATTCACAAGTCACAGTGGATATGGGAGTTCCACATGCTCAAGAGATATATGCTCGACAACTTCCAGCATAACAAGGTGTGGTTCTGAAGTCCTAAGAATAGGTCAAGAGCGAGCGAAAACCAGGTCGTAAGGCTGAGCAAAGCGTGCAGGAATTGGTTGTGCACAGTTGATCCCATCGCGATTAGACTTAGGATAATGCCATGGTGTTGCACATCAGCTCCGCTACGTGCTCAATACCCAACACGGGGGCACTGATGGATAAGCCAAGCCCTACTAAACCATCTCGCCGGGTCACTTGTTGCCCCAGATTTCCGATTGTATACGACACGCTCTTTGCCCTAACAATGACTTTGAATCATTGGGGAAGAAGACCTTTTTTCGGTTTTCCTTTTTTAATTAATAGTCCCCTTGGTGAATGCATATATAATGTCAATGAAGTCGTTGAACGCCAACGCCGACGCCGTGAACACCCAGCTTTCCCCCGATTGAACAACCCAGCTCAATGCGGAGTCGCGGGCAGTGTATGTGCCCTGTTATTAGCAGGCAACTCACTGATCGGTCTCAAGTCACTACAACACTGCTGGTCTCTAAACTAATGACCTATCGCACCCCATTGCGGTTGAGGCGTAGCCGGCATGCCCGACGCGGGGCTGATGCCCAATGAGCGGGCGCTGATAAAAGTACAGGCATGTCGACCGTCAGATGGTAAGAATGGATATCGGGACGGCGAGCTGCTTGTCTGAGAGTTGACCGTACGGCTACATTGAGATTGCTTGTGAGTCGCTGTACCCGCCATAGGGCACTGGGAAAGGAGCGGGAGGATCGTGTGCATTGACTGCAGAATTTGGGGCCTGTATGGCGTGCTTGGGCCGGTGGCGACGAATGCAGACAGTGACTACCACAGAGCTTGCAATGATAGTGAGGCTTCCGCGGACGCCTCCTACGATAGGTCCGATGTGGCTGCTGGAACTCGATGTTTGAAGCCGGGCGTGAAGGATGCGGAGGATGTGGACGACGGTTCCGATGTGTCCCTTGGAAACGTTGTCGTACTGGGAATGTTCTCTTTTTGCGAAAGCAGTACCGACCTCGGCTGTAGTATCGCAAATGCACATTGTATGGTCATGCCACTGATTTGCGGGACCGGTGGAGTCATATCGCCAGCAGGCAGAGCTTGAGGGATCGGTGCTGCAGGCTGTTAGTCTTTGGCAATGGGCATGAAATCTTCGAAAGGGTGGCTGACCACGACAAAGTCCATGTGTCCATCATGGGATCTGGAGTACGATGCTCCTGCTGAATATGCTGGGAGTTCAGACAGGTCATGGGAACTGGACAGTCGCCCGCCTCGTCCTAGATGCTGATATGGTGTCTGGTGGATAACACAGGCCTTGAGCACATGTTGCCAGGGGGCTTGCTGCGAATGAGTGAGTAGAGGCCAAGAAACATGTCACATACTGATTAGCCGCAAGTTATCAATTCGGATAGATACTTTTGTCGTGCTGCAAGCGTTTGCGAGGCATATTCTAGACAAAAGGTGGTGTTGACGTGAAAGTCGACATTGCACCATCTTGAAGACAACCTGCGTCATCTCTTCCACCTTGAATTCGACGGTAGAGCTAACACCCACTACAGAGGAACGTATTGTGGGCGATTCCACCTTTCGAGAAGGACTGGGGCTTAGTGCAACGTAGTTTATTCGCAAGAAGCTCCGCGTGAGAGTTGTAGTCGCTGATAAGAGAGCAAAATCGAAGAGCGCAGAGAATCCTAGATGTGGTACAAGAAACGACGTGCAACGGTTCGTTGATATCGGACCTACGTACTCCAGTTCCGCGAGGATGCTCGCGAACTAACACAGGCGTATCCTTTCCTTGAAGGAAGTAAAGAATGATGGACTTGACAAACTTGTAGCGTTGGATGTGCATATTAACGAGAAATCCAAACAATCGAGGAAACGCGTAGCAAACCCCAACATGTCATATCATCAGACCGATCTGCATAGCGGTGGACCAATAATAAATATTGGTGGTATGTTGACATGAAGTTAGTCAGCTGGGTAAGCCGCCGCACTGGCGCCAGGCAAATTCCAGATAAGAACGGCTGGATGCCTCTCTGACGAAAGGCGTCTAAGCGGGTTTCTGAACGCCAAACAGGAAGCAGATTTCTCGTTCAGTCTCATCGTGTCCGTCCGACCAACGCCGTCAGGTGGGATCTTCTGGCATAGTTGCAGACATGGGATTTCATAGATCAACTCAACTTTGGAAGAATATTCCAGATTGTGCCCGCGATTAGTCTCCAATCGTATTTGTAGTTTGCAAGTCTTCCTTGTCCAGATGCAGGCAATCCCACTGGTAAGCAGCCCCGTAGTTAAAGGTCTCATGGTCTTGTACGGGAAATTGCCAAGGTGCACTGGCTGGAATGGGCGAACTTAGAAGGAGAGGAAAGCTTGATGTGGCGCTACTCTTTTAACGCGTCCCTGCCAAGACTTGTGATAACTCGCGTGCGACATAATGTACCTCTGGCGATAAGGCTCGATAAGGATTTCCATCGCGGATCGTCGAGGTCAACAATCAATCATGAGCACGCCTTAATGGGACAGCGATTATATCTGACCGGGTATCTTTCCAAGGCCAATGGGTTGGCTGGTGAAATATCTTGGCTCTCCGAGTTGCCATGGACACCTTCTCAGATGATGGCTTCGACGAGCTGAACGCCAACGCCCTGCAGGAGCTCGAGAGCCAGGCCATCCAGTTCACCCAAGCCCAGAAGAAGTACGAGCTGTCGCAAGAAGAGTTAGACTGCGACTTTGAAGACGACGATCTCGACGATGCCGTTGTCCACGATGAGTTGCGCGGTGGCGGCAAATCCGTTCTCCCACCCGAAAAGCCCGCAGAGTTGCCTTCAAGAATACTGCCCCAGCAAGCATCACGGCCGCAACATAATGGCTGGGGCCCTGTGCCCATTCCAGCAAGCCACTTTCGACCCTCCCAATCACCACGTTACAGCCAGATCCGACCCCCTCCGCCCCTCCCTCGCCCGGCCCCGCGATACCAGCCATCACAGGTGCAGCAGCGGCCGCTCGAACCTCCCAATCGCGACCAAGAACTTTTGCTGGCTCAAATCCAAGAACTACAGTCGCGGCTCAATACCAAGGATGGCGAGATACAGATTGTGCGGAAGCGCCTCGAAAAGGATCGCCAGGACCACGATCGCGAACTCCAGACAATACGCAAGCAGACTGCGGAACAACTTGCCAAGAATGAGCGCCTGGTGGAGGCGGCCAAGGTAGCAGAGCGTACGGCGGCTACAGAGCTTGAGTTCACTAAACGCGATCTGAAAGATGAATTAGACCGTGCGAAGCGGAGGGAGAAAGATGGCGGGACTCCTAAAAGGAACGCAGCTGCCAAAACCTGGGGGGTTTCGGATGGATTTGAAGATGTCGAGATGGCCGGAAGTCCTAGTAAAGGTAATAGGGGTAAACCCCCTGGCGCCGTTGCCAGCGTTGTTTCGGAGCCTCCTGCAAGGTTGACAAGAACTCCGACTAAGGGAAAGAGGAAACGGCCTGCGGTAGACAGCCCGGTCATGGCACTGGAAACAACCGAGGATGTACTTATGCTCGACGATGTTGGCACAGCTGAGGAAATTGCCCAGTCTTATTCTATCGGGGCGTCGCTGAAGTCTCTACCATTCGATGTAAGATGGCTTTTTTGTACGGGGATCAGAATGGCTTTACTAACATGCCCATCCAGTTTCTGAGGGTCATCCTGAACCATAGCACGGCGTACGGACGACCACTGACGTTCGAGTACCTTGCTAGCTTTGCTCTGCCTTCGACACCAGGTCAGAGCCTGGCCTCGCTCCTGTTCCACAGATTAGCTGTCATCGGTGACCCTAGTGATCCCATGCGGATTCCTATAGAATTTTGTGAAGCGATCATCGCCTTATTGCACAAGTGCCATGAAGAGGGCTGCGTGAGTTCAACTGCTATCGTGTTATCATCCACCGGCTAACCCATACCTCAAGCTCGAACCCATCACCGAACTCATATCGCTTGTGTCTTTTACTCTGCAACTCAACACTGTTGCAATCGTTCCTCACATCGCACAGTCCCTCCTCGCAATTGGGCAGGACATTGCCTTTGAAGTTGCGATCCCTCGCTTTCACAACCACGACCTCAGCAAATACAACCATGCCAACGGCAAGAATTGGGCAGCTCATATATCTACCACGGGCATTTTGTCGGTTCTCTACCTGACAGCACTAGGTTGCGCAATATCGTCACCAGTTGGTGGTGCTTTGTCGCCACCCATAGTTGACTATTGGAGCTCCGTCCATCTCGAATATGTCTTGATCAACTTGAGTCATAACCAGCTCTTACCCGACTTCCTCGCCATGCTGAAACTTCTCTGCACGTCCGTATTTGAAGAAACGGTTGGCTCCATTACACACAAAAACAAAACGGCCGAGGAGGTAGCCAGTCCTGTGATTGACCGCGTCAGCATCTACCTGATCGAAACACCCAAATGGGATATTAGCAAAGAGGAGCTTCAAGGTGTCAGAAGCACAATATTGCGAACGCTTGCTGCCTTTGCAAAATCAAAAGTCGGAATGTCCCAGCTCAAGGGGCATGACTCTGCCGTGCCTCGTCTGGCCATCTTTTTGTACCATTTGATCGATGACCTTTATGACGGGGAGACGAAAACGATGTACGCTTTCTCGCCCACAATTCACCCCGAAGAGGCCGGCGAAGCGCAGGCACAGGCAACCCCAACAGATGAGCTGCGGACTCTTATCAGCCACACCATGTTGCTGCTGCATACTATCATTACAGACAAGTCGGACGAGACCCCCGTGAACCTGCAGTCGAAACTGGCGAAGATCACGGGAGGAACTCAGAAGTATCTGCTTAGCCTGGCTAGACTCAATTTCGCCGATTCAGAAGAGGACCTTCTCGGGGTCAACGAGGAGACGGCTGACCTGGCTCATGAGCTGCTGGAACTGGCCGTCACCGAAGAGGATGGTGCCGAGCTTGGAGTCTTCTTTGGGGGATGAATTCAGGAATCACGAACCAGGACAAACGTACGACTTGTTGGAGAGGGGCATCACTGATACTGATAACTTCAAGGCCATCATCCAAGAGGCCAATAATGATACGCGCCATGAGAAGGGGGGAGTGACGGTGATGGCGCAATGCTCAAGGTTTGCAGTACATCATTAGCGGCGGCATTCAAACTGAACTTGGAGTTACGATGATGTCCGGTCGCCATTTTCGAAGAATCTACGGAAGAGAGTGTGCGAATCAAATGCCATGGTTGCGGTTGTGCTTTGTTCCACCCAAGATGTATCACGGTCTTGTCAACGTTTATTGCTCCTTGCTGGACAAACTTGCCCCGGAGCCCTGCGTCGCAACTGCCATGTAGCAAGAAAGCTGCTTCGTTTAGGTTCGCGCCGGGTCGTCGGGGTTCCGTTCCACGGCAGATGTCAACAGAAGTTCCTGCAGAGGCTTCTGGAATGCCATGCGCTGGGCAGCTCCAGCCACAATTCTAACGGGGATTGAAATTTGGGTAGTCTGACACGCTGTTTGCGTTGCTCCGCTTCAACAGGCCAAAGGAAGCTCCCTTCTATGTAGGACGGACGGATAAGCCGGCAATCAAGGAATTCATGATTACACCGAGTCCGCACAGTACCGACGATAGGGGTGCATCCTACAAAATTATTGGAAGCTACTGCTGATGAAATGGACAGAGGAAAGTCTGCAATGACGACAATGGGAAAATGGCACGCATCAAGATTTATTTTTTGCATGTGAAACTCTTCGGGCACTAAATACACCGGCAGATCCATGATGTGTGCCTTACGAAATCATTGTGTTTGCGGCCTGACGAGATGGAGCCTCACGATCATCATATCCTGTAGCATAACCTACAGAAATAGACGAAAACTATGTTTGTTTTAGATTTGTCGATTTCCAAAGATCGAAAGGGAAGAAAATCAGCGAAGGAAAGAATTCCAGTGCTACTTGCTAGATGCATTTGATAATGAAGCTTACAGGTGATCTCGTGGCCCGACACTTGCCAAGTCTCAGCTAAGCCACACTTTGACGTCAATATTAGAACCTGCCAAATCAAGTTCATTTCCCCAATAGTCCGTCATTCTACTAGCCAGGGCAGCCCAGGGCTCGTCTTTGCTCCAACGTGTATGTCACCTTTAGCTCCTCAAAGAGAAAAGAAAAAAAATCAAAAAATCTTCCGAATTCTCCAGCGTCGCAGTGATCCATATCGAAATTCAGACTCCTCAACATTGACACCTGGAATCAAAGGAATATCGGTACGACCATTGTATGTCTGAGAAGTGAGGGACACCATTCAAGCCTGTCAGCGCCGAACTACCCGACTCCACTTCCCCAAATTGCACTCAGCTTTCTACGTATCCCGGACGAACGACGAGCCCGCATTCAACGACCTGGCCTTTCGTTGACATCGAACGCCGACGCAAACCTTCGCGACGACGACGTCGCCCGTAAACTCAGCAGTCTTGTAGCACGCTCTTTGCCGTACCGAGACACCAGCGCAAGCAACAGACCATCATCTTTGCTGCTGAATAGTGACGCGACCGGGGCCATGTCGAAACCGCGCCGAGGGGTCAAGTTCTCCCACCGCACGAATGGCCATATCGCGAGCGACGGGCGCAGGCTCAGCCTGAGTGAGGCCAGTGAGGAAGGATCGGGTTCTCCTACAAGGACGAGGAGAAAATCGGAATTGGAGGAGATCAGGGAGGTAAGTTGCGCTCAACCAGAAATTATTCCGTCAACCCAACCCCATCCGCGAGTCCGTCTGCGCGACACAAAGAGTGCCTCGAAAGTTGACATGCTTTCCATGCAGCAGCCAGCAGCACCACCGCAATCGTCGGATTACGAGAAGAAGAAGGCCAACTTCATAACGCGCACTTTTTGGACCTTCGTCATGATTGGAGGCTTCTTCGCTGCCCTCTTCATGGGCCACATCTACATCCTTGCCTGCATTACCGTCATCCAGATCGTGTCCTTTAAGGAAGTTATTGCCATCTCGTCGATTCCCTCGCGGCAACGCCAGCTCAAGGCCACCAAATCCTTGAACTGGTATTGGCTGGCATCCACCATGTACTTCCTGTACGGCGAAAGCGTCATCTATTACTTCAAGCACATTGTGCTGGTCGACAAGGTCCTGTTACCACTGGCTACCCACCACCGCTTCATCAGCTTCGTGCTCTACGTCATAGGGTTCGTGTTCTTCGTGGCAAATTTGAAGGGCGGCCACCTCAAGTTCCAGTTCACCAATTTCGCCTGGACGCACATGGCACTGTACCTCATAGTCGTACAGGCCCACTTCATCATGAACAACGTGTTCGAGGGTCTCATCTGGTTCTTCCTGCCAGTATCGCTCGTCATCACCAACGATATTTTCGCTTACTTGGTCGGTATCACCATTGGCCGAACCCAGCTTATCAAGCTGTCCCCCAAGAAGACGGTCGAGGGCTTCGTGGGCGCATGGGTGTTTACCGTCCTCTTCGCAGCTATCCTGACCAACTTGTTGATCAAGAGCAAGTACTTTATCTGCCCTGTTAACGACCTCGGCGCCAACATCTTCACCGGGCTGGAGTGCGACCCGAACCCCGTCTTTCTCCCGCACACGTACAAGCTCCCATACCTGTTTTTCCTCCCGGCTTCGTACAACCAATCCTTCCAATTCACCACAGAACCAATACAGTTCCACAGCATGATCATCGCAACCTTTGCCAGCTTGATCGCCCCCTTCGGTGGATTCTTCGCGTCCGGGTTGAAGCGCACTTTTAAGATCAAGGATTTTGGTGACTCGATCCCAGGCCATGGCGGCATGACCGATCGCATGGATTGCCAGTTCATCATGGGATGCTTTGCGTACATGTACTACCACACATTTATCGCGCTCAACAAGGTCAACTTTGGGCAGGTCATGGAACTTGCCATCACCGGGCTCACGCTCGAGGAGCAAATAGACCTGTGGAAGGGGATAGGGAAGTATCTCGAAAACCAGGGAGCTTTGGGTCCTGAGGTAGGTCCTGCTTTTATGCGCCAGCAATGGCGCTTATGCTTTTTTCTGTGACACTACTTTTACTAACAGATATCAGGTAGCGGCATACCTGGACTCTGCGATAGCGAGCCGCCGATAGTTTCCGGCGGATCAGTAGTGCGAGCATGGGGAGTACAAGAATGTACAACACAACACACATCAAGAGGTTTCGAGGATGTTATTCCGGGGCAGCGACTATAAACCACACGGAGGTCATTGCTATCAGTCCCTCAACAACTCCACGTGGCCGTGGAATCCGAACTGAGCTGAGAGTTGCTTTCTCACGGTTATACAGGGGATCGGACGCATTATGACTACATGACGGTAGACCTACAGAGCAAAGAGAGGGTTTCCGGTTTGGGTTCAGTCCGGTGAGGATTGGAAATGACACTGTGCACTATTAGGGTATGTGTAATTGTAGGGGAAAACTGCTCCGTTGTGATATACTGGATTCAATGAGGGACACGGAAGGAGCCGGGCATGCATTTATAGTGACGCTCCTTGCAGTAGCTCTGATGGGTTGATGGTGGAGTAATGACAGATATGAACTTAAGCGTTGCTACCGTGATGAAACTGACAGGCATGCTACGTGAGTTGTGAATTGATGAGACACGATTGACCACACCAGTGAGATTGTTTTGCGAAATGACGTATTGCTAAAGGAGTGTAAACTACATACCCTAGAGGTTGACGAGAATGGAAATCTGCACAGCACATGTTCCAAATAAACACACACCACCCCTCTTCCCCGCTTCCCCGCCTCCCAAAAAGAACTGAAATGAATGTCGAGTATTGCTGCGGGCCGTAGATCTCCCTCGGAGGTGGATTGACATGCTAGTGAGACACACTAAGAGCGTAGAGATGTGTTTCCCAGATGCGAACGGGCACACAACAATTAGCAGAAGACCCCAATCCCATGCTTGTTTGCTTCCCGCCACCAAGCCTGAGCCACGTATATCAAACATCATAGCCACCTCCGCCAAGGGCGTGGGTGGGTGGAACTTGTCACAGATCAGGCAACAGCGGACTTAATAAACGAGGCAGCGGTGTTAACATCCGCCCCGTAGCCCGTATGACCTGAGGTGCTCGCGGACTGGCAGCCGCCAGTGCCAGCACAAGTTCCGCCGGCGCCGCAGACGGAGTCACCCTGTACACGGGGGGGTCAGTAATTTCACCGCAGAGTGAGCTATAAGGTAGATTGTAGTGGACTGGGAGTGGAAAAGGTTTGCACGGAATCCGGCAAAAGGAAGGGATCATGAGAGGGAGGATTACTTACAGAAGCACAGAACGTCTTGAACTTGGCCGCCGGAATCCCTTTGGGCAGGGAAGTCTTGTACGGGTCACCGAACGTGACCGCGGCGCCAACGGAGGAGGTTTTGGCGCCCAGCTTGGTAGCCGTGTTGTGCACCACCTATCAGAAGTGAAAGTCAGTCACTGGTGGTTTCATGGTGTTCGAAAGAGGAGGCATCGAGGGTTCGCCGATATGAACAAGCTCATAGGTTCACTCTCGCCTCAGAAGACTGAAATTACATACCATGCCGCCCTGGCTGTACCCCGTGAGGATCAACTTGGTTTGCGGACACTTGGATAGCCAGGAGTTGGCTTGGTTGGTCATGGCGACGGAGCCGGGGCCCGAGCCGCTGGACTCGGCCATGATACCGGCCATGTCGGCGGGGTAGGAGACGCCCTGTGAGTTTGGTGTTAGACCGGGGCGAACAGTTGGGGTCAATTACTCTTGGGGGTGGGAGGCTTGTGAGTGCGCTGTGGTCTTGAGGTTGTATACAAGAATATATGAGCAAAAAGGGGGGCCGGGTGGAGCGGAGGGACGGTACCTCGACGACAACATTGTCGGCGCCTAGAGCCGATTGCACGGACTTCTGGAGACCGGGCCCCACAACGGAGCCTAGGGTGCCCATCTCGGTGGTGCCGCGGGCGAAGAGGAGGGTGTAGGGTTTGCAGGTGGCCGATGAGGTTTGCGGCAGCGCAGAAGTGGTCGAGAGGCCCGCGAGGAGCGTGGCTGAGAAGAGGATGGACTTCATGTTGAAGGAGTGGTTAGAACTTGGGGATTTGAGGAAGGGGATGAATGAATATGAGCACAGTGGAAACTAGCGAGAAGTAGCGAATGTCTGAGTGAATGAATCAATGAATGAATGGGTTGTGGTGATGAAGTTGGTTTACATGGTGCGTAGGTCTGGGCTTTTATATCTTCCAGGACGATACTGAGCCTTCAATCTATTGAAGCATAGCTAGTTTCTACTATTTGGTCGTGCTAGAGTTAAGATAGAGCTTAGACGCAACAACATCCACATTGCCCCATTAGAATGATGTGGCTTTTTCCATTGGACAATCAGTAAGCCTCCAGCAATCGGGCATTATTCTATCGAGGCTAAACTTGCCCTGAAACCCTGGCCTACCATGGGCTAATGCTTTCTGTATGTCTTGTGTGTCAGCCACAAAATCAATGTCACCCGCAAATAGCCAACGAATAATGACTTACCCAGAAACGTCACTGCTTGCGGCGGCCCGATTTGACTCAAGCCACTGGCGCGAGAGGGACCAACTCAGGGTTTCCTAATGTTTGAGGCTCACCAATCGCATTTTGTACTATCTTCATGTCCATTTACCCCATATCTATATGGCGGTTTGACGCGGAGCTATTGTATCCGACGTGGAAATTCCTGCAATCTCAACATGATGTATAGTTGTGGAAGTATGGAGTGCGTCGATGACGCTTATGATCCTGAAGTCTTTTTCACGAACACGCCCATCGCTGGCACAATTTTCAAGATGCAACCGAGGTAGTGATGTACATGAACGCGGTGCCGGCAGGCGATACAGTCTCAGTAACGATTGTTAATACAAACGGCATGTAGATATGACAAAACCGTGTAATTGAAGGCGTTCGCCACAATGGTACGAATTAGGTTGTCTTAACGAGGATTAGAATATGCTTCATTACCGTTTGAATATCCTCCCACTTCTTTAGGCGCTTACCCTGCCCCTTCAACTGAATCACTTTTGGCATAATCTGGTGAAGAATGGGTGGCAACCACCTTCCTCGACTGTTCAAGATTGCTGTCTTGACGGGCCTGGTGACCAGTCGCCACCCTAATTAACATCCTGTCCTCAACATCTGTCGCTGTCGATCACTCACGCGATTATTGCCCGGACGCATCTTTGAAAGCGGAGCCAAGATACTCGCCGCATGCAGAGCAACATATAGCAGCCGCGAATCTTTGAGTTGAGTAACCCCAAAGCCGTGCAGCATGATATCAACATACCCCACTGTGTCAGACCCGCCGAGATGGATGCTCCAGCCCCAGTCCCGCTGAAGCCAACGCCTCGGATGTTATTTGAGGAGCAGGAGCTGAGGCGGACCCATGCTTTCCACCGCCCCGGCCTGCAGGTCGAAGCATGAGGCTTTAAGGCAAGCAGCTTCTGCTGCGTAAATTAGCCTGATTTGCGTTAGTACGATCATGATGCGAGTCATCATCAGGATAGTAGAATATCTCGCTTTTGTATCCACCCTTTGGAATCTCGCTCTGCATATGTACTGGGTCTGCGAGAAGCTCCCACAATCTGAGGGAGTGTTCGCGCTGCCTGGAATGCAGATTGGATCTATGATGCCTCCCCTGTGGAGATTGTGCTCTCACAATGGCTAATCAGAGCGTTATGGCTTATTCTCGGGCGCGGGTGCTTATACAGTGGGCTTGTTATCTTATCCATACAGCAAGTCGGTAGGCAGGTCTACCTTTACCTAGTTATCAAACACCCGTGCCTACAGTATATATACTTGCAGGCCCATATATCTAGAAACGATGCTCCCCGCGTGTTGTGGCGATAACTTATGTGCTATGTGGTAGTGGATATAAGGTCAATTCTAGGCAAACAGATTGCATGGAATCCAACTGAATCAAAACGAATCTACCGCGTTTCAGATCCGCTTGGCCATACCATTTCCAGCCCCAAGTCCCATATGTGGCACGATAACTGCCTATAATCCCTTATGTACCGCTTTGGCGGGCTCGCAACATGGCTTCATGTTGGAAATGAAGGAATGAATGCCTGCTTGCTTGATTCATCCTACGATGGGGACTACTATGGTGAAATCGACTGCCAAATGTGATCATAAGGGCCGATTACCATGGTGCGATCACACAGCCTGTCCAATAGGCCATTCGACGAATGCCAATGACGGTTGAGGCCTTCTGGCCGATTGCGACGACTTGGTCCCATAACCATAACCCTGACACTTTGTGTCTGTAAGAGCTCCCATAGCCCAGTGTGCTCCTCTGGAACCCGTGGCATTTCAGAGAGCACTCTGAACAATGCTTTATTCTTCCTGAAAAAATCGAATGATATACTGGCAAATGTGAACGGTAGTTATAAGGGGTTCGATTTGTCTAAGGGCCCTTGTCTAATTTCTTTAAATTCAAACGTATGTTAAGCCTTCGTATGCATAGTGGGAAAATAAGTTCGTCCGAATCACGAGAATGAGCGAGATGGACTGCCGCCAAGCTGTATACTATATGTAAGCCTGTTGCCGTTGTTATGGTTGTTGGCTATTCAGTTCCCATCGGGACCTCTAATTGGTTGCGCTGGCTGCAGGTGTAACAGCCCCTCCGGTCGCGTCCCAATTGGGATTCCGCACCGCGATTGTATGAAGCAAGCACGCGGTCGTTCGCTATGTTCCTGTTTGTACCGTCGTTCGGGCCGATAGGACGACGCCCCCGAGCATATGCGTGAAAATGTCCTGCGATTTTCGCTTATCAAGTCTGCAGCCTACTGAAACAGGCAACTGAAATCTGACAACAGGTTGTTGAGTCGGTCGATCCCCCAACCGGGCCAGACTTCGAACTCCAAGAGACGCAAGAAGCCTGAGGCAGGCCGCGACTGGGCCACATAGGCGAGCGAGTCCACCAAGCTTGGTTCCATGCCATGGCCAACTCATGTCGGCCATGACTCGACGGATGACGCGACAAAGACTCAGCGGGACTCGGCAATTTGGTCGGAGCTCGCATTGTCTGAGCCTTGGAAATTTTGTTGTTCGGTGCATGCCGTCAACGAAAATTGAGATTCGGCCGTTCTGTCGGACGGGCATGCGTTCCCGGTTTGGCCGCCCTGACACGGTGAAAGCTTGACCTTTCGACAAACCCTGGGTGGGGTGTTCCCATGGTATCGGGAATAAAACGGGCGCGGCTGAGAATATTTTCAGACTCCAGACTGCCAGTGACGTGTATCCGAGCGATTTCACCGGGACGTCCGGTATAGGGCCTATAGGCTGCTACCGATGCGCCAAGTCAAGATCAATGGGACCGAGCGAGTGAAAAGCCAACGCGAAAGTCCATGTGTTCTATTTTCGAGGTATGGGAAAGTCGGGGGTCCACTGCGAATATCGTGTCTTGCCAGCGTTTGCCGCTGATTGACAGCACTGCATACGCATGCTGTTCTGGATGCTGACCTGACATGTATACTAGTGCATAGGCGCCAACTAAATTGCAGAGGATAGTTGGGGTCGGTCTTTGATAGGATGGTGGGATGGCCTGCCCGGATTCGCAGTCGTTGCCAAGCTGGGCTGTTGGGACGAACTGTGGGGTGCGTCTGGACCTTACCGGGCCTCACCGGGCCTTACTGGGCCGCTTGTATCGACCAGGCGTGACGTCGTACGATGGCCACGGTCGCACGGCGCGACTGCATGTGGGTCGACCAGCGCAAGCATGCCACCGACTCCCCGAAAATCCTATGATCATCAGCGCAGTTATATGGGCCTAGAGGGAAATGTGTGATATATAAGCGCACTTCATCTTGGCTTTTCGGTCAGGTGGTGGTATCCTCATTGCCTCTTTGGTACATCCTCGTCACAGCTTTCTTCACTATTTAAACACACACCGTTACACAACCCACACAGATTCGAACTACACGCACATATTCTCAGACTTGTTCAAACACAATTTGCAGAAGATGAGCGCCAAGGTTAGTAGCGTGCTTTTAAGAAGCATCCATGCCCCCGCCCGGCGAGTCGCATTGCTAGCACTGGCAAGTGAGTGTGCAAGGCGCTTCACTACCGGGTCGCGGAGGCTTTGCGCGCCGGGCAATGGGATGGCCAACCGTTCTCACACTCACACTTTTGATTACCAGGCAGCATCCGACGTTCCTAAGGAGCAATGGGCACAGGTCGTGGAGCAGAAGGGCGGCCGTACGTTTTCCCCTCGTACCCCTTTTTTACGCAACGCCGTCACCAATACTGACCTGTTTCCCAGCCGTGGTCTACAAGAAGATTCCCGTTGCCGAGCCCGGCCCCGATGAGGTCCTCATCAACATCAAGTACAGCGGCGTCTGCCACACCGACCTTCACGCCATGAACGGCGATTGGCCCCTGCCCGTCAAGTTGCCCCTCGTCGGTGGGCACGAGGGTGCCGGTGTGGTAGTGGCCCGCGGCTCTCTCGTCAAGGATATCGAAATCGGTGATTACGCCGGTATCAAGTGGCTTAATGGCTCCTGCATGAGCTGCGTCTACTGTCGCCAATCCGCCGAGTCCGTCTGCCCCTCGCCCGCCCTTTCCGGATACACCGTCGACGGATCCTTCCAGCAGTACGCCATCGGCAAGGCTGCCCACGTGGCGCGCATTCCCAAGGACTGTGACCTCGCGGCCGTGGCCCCTATTCTGTGCGCCGGCCTCACCGTGTACAAGGCTCTGAAGGAGAGCAACGCCAAGCCCGGTATGCACGTCGCCATTGTCGGAGCTGGAGGTGGTCTGGGCAGTTTCGCTCTGCAGTACGCCAAGGCCATGGGTCTGCACACGATTGCCATTGACGGCGGCGAGGACAAGAAGCAGGTGTGTCTGGAGCTCGGTGCCACTACGTTCGTCGACTTCGCCACGTCCAAGAATATCGTCGCCGATGTGAAGAAGGCGTCTGGCGATGGGCTTGGTCCCGATGCCGTTATCTTGTTGGCCGTCAGCGAGAAGCCTTTCCAGCAGGCGAGCGAGTACGTCAGGAGTAAGGGCACGATTGTCTGTGTTGGACTTCCCGGGAACGCCTTCATCAAGGCACCCGTCTTCGACACGGTGGTTCGGTGAGTCGGTTCCACACCTGGCCTGGGAACTGTGTGAAACTAACCAGCGACAGTGAAATCGTCATCAAGGGCAGCTACGTCGGAAACCGCCAAGACACCGCAGAGGCTATTGACTTCTTCAGACGTGGACTAATCAAGGCACCGTACAAGTAGGTCCACCGCACCCCCTTTTCTCCATCCCCCAACTCCTTTATTCTCCAGTCGGAATTTGGCTGACTTTCATTCTCACTTAGGGTTGTCCCGCTATCCACGCTGCAAGATGTATACGACCTCATGATCAAGGGCCAGATTTCCGGTCGCTACATCGTCGACACGGCCAACTAGAGGTGTCGCATAAAAGTGTGTCGTCTGGTAACCAGTCTGACGAATAGAGAGGGTTCATTTCTGGGGGAGCGGAGCATGCATATACGGGGGTGTTTTTGGGAGATTTGGGCATGGCTTGCCACGGGCATTGGGTTGGGATGGTACAACTCTTAGAGAATCGCTATTACGCTGAGATATCACTGGAATTGAAGTTGCATTGAAATTCGCTCTACTCCTCATTTGCAGAACTGTGCTGGCTTGACCTTGGCTTGTGTTGAGATTATTTTCTACACGATTTACCATACCTGTGTAGTTAACAACCTACCTCCCGCTCCATCTTTGCATCATATTATCAAGCCGCCCCATGAAAAAACCCGACGGGCGTAAACGGAATCAGTTTTTGCACTTCATCCAGAAGTCCGGCCTTGGGTTCGGGTCTGAGATCTTGAGCACGGAGAAGCGGGGATGGCGGTCCACTGTATAAAGATGGAGATGCGGGTATATAAATAAAATAATATTAATAATAATATTAAATACGCCGTAGGTGTTAACCCTCGGTACCTCTACAAGTACTCCCTTAAGGGGCTATAGATGATATAGCGGGCCCTTAAGCCGCGTCGGGCGGTTATACAGGTAAACTTGTAGCCAAACGACTACTAAACCTCCTGTCCCTCCCTAAGTCTGTGCTACAACCCCTGCCTGAACTACCGATAAGTGTGGTAATATGGCGCTTAAATTCGTCCTCAGGGGTGGGATACTGCTGATATGCAGAAGATGCTCGACTATTTTTTGTCGCGACAAGTCGTGGTATCTGCTAATTGGGGTTCTCATCGAGCGTATACATCTCAACCATACGCTCAAGTAGATAGACCGTAACGTGGTCTAGACGCTCGCAAGAATCGCGGCGAGAGGGCGTGCTGCGCGCCTTATATCGTGAGGGGACGGGTTCGCCGACGAGCGTTATCGGATAGGCGAGGTCCAATAAGGGGTCGGATTAACGATTCGAATTCTGGACCGGCTGTCGAGTTATATTCCGCCGGCGTAGTGCTTGACGGTCGACTGGCTAGTGCGGGTATATAATTATGTGATGAAGTGTGGGAATGACATGTGAGCTGATGCTTTAGAAAGCGCGGGAAAGCGTACGGCAAAACAGTCAAAAAGCAGCGGTACTGACATTTGGGAAGGCCAGAATGAGCCATTGCCATTTTTTGGTAGTGGCTGTCGGGTCCCAGTGTGGGAAGGTACACATTGTGCGATACGGTTTTGCATAATCCTTTCTTCGTCTTTTGTGGTGTTGGTTTCATAGACAGAGAACCAATGCGTTGTATCCGGAGACAAAGCCACTCAACGCAATGGTGCGATTATTAGAGACAAAGAGGTTGACAAGGAACTCTTTATTCGGATTTCTGAATCATTATACGTAGGGAATGAAACATGAAACTTTGGAGGATTTTTAAAAGGACATGGGATCAGTAAACTTGCAGGAGTGCTGAAGTAATAAGCATAGAATATTATTTGCAAGGGAAACCCTCACGGTGAAGTTATTGTACTAATATTATTGTCTCGTAATTCGCCTTTACAATCATAATTGGGTTTATCAGCAACACTTTGGCAATAATCCATGTCTCTCATTCAGCGAGTTGTGAGTGACCAGAGGAGCGCAGCTCCAAACCTCTAGTCTACGACCCCGGTCCAATCCACAATCCATGCGTCAATCCTATCTCTATAGTAGCCCGACGAACGACGGTATCTGACGCAAGCAGCACCCATATCCGTAGCCCGAACAAACATGTTCTCATACTCAACCTTCAACTCTTCCTGAAAATCCCTTACGCCGCCCTCGCCCTTCAGCGCCAGCGCCTCCACCTCCCAGGTCTGCAAAAACGACCGCATCGCCGCCTGAACTGCGGCCCACCTCAGCTCCTCGTACCTGAGGTTTGAATTCCATTTGTCGATGATGGATACAGCCAAAGCCACGGCTTCGCTCCGCATTTCCCGGGCGTGCTTCAAGATACGGTTCAACGGACGTCGTGGTTCGGGTTTGGCTTTACGGCGGGCTTCTCGGCTGGTGGAGGCTAGGTATTCAACACGGGCGACGATGGAGTCGTGGGTTTTGAGAAAAGTTCGGCGCTGGTACTCGGGTGAGAGGAGGCTATAGATGAAGTTGCCTACTTTGATGAGGGCATCTTGCTCTTTTGGGGTTAGGTCCGCTAAGGCCGAGGTAGGCTGGGCTGTGGGAGGTGTAAGAGGCCGCGGAAACCCTTGGCTTCTGTTTGTACGAAACATTGCGTTATTCCTGGGGTTTGCTGTGCTATGAGTTCGTTATCTGATGGCACTTACAAATGCTGCTGAATATTCTCACGAGTGGATGGTAAAGGATGGAAACGGGGCAGAAATCCCAACCAAAGGAGCTGCTAGGTGAGTCGGGGGGGGGGGGTTATATACTACTTGAGTTATGTATGGCCATAAACATTGTTTCCAACCCTATGGGATAGTCTTGAGATTCCAAACTCTTCCCTGTACATCTAGAAGATGAAGAATCCTGTACCAGAATTCCATCGTGACAAAGGGTTCTGGAGACGGAAATATCGTGCGAAAGGGGCTGCCTCCTATTTGCATTTCTTTATCCCCAATGTGTTCCCAAGGCAATGCTATTGTATTTCCCATAAACGCAGACTACTTTCAAACACTGGTGATGTATGGTAATGCAGCATTGTGAGTTGTTAATCTCTGTGAATTTCCCCACCCGGACCCGTAATGTGTCAGGCCCCAGGCTAGGAGAACTTTGAGCATGACCACAATAGCATATATCCAAAGCACAAACCAAGACCTTTCGAGTCCGCAAGCGGCTCCCTAGTAGCTGTTGATCCCCCAGCTCCCAAGCACCCGACTATGCTAGATGCCGCCTGTGCAGTAACATATCTTCTCATATTCAAGTCTGTCGAAACGCGCATGTCATCTAGGTACTCTGGGTAAGCAAGACATGGGAAAACAGAAACCAAGTTATTCAAAATCCCTACAGTGAATGCCCTGGCAGATGTCATGACCGTCAGAAATTGCATGACAAGCATCACTGAATGTGCTGCACCCTATGAGGTGAAATAGCGTAAAGTTCATCAGTATTGCGGCACGTATCATCAATGCCAATCCGTGCTGTCGAATACCTCCAGCCACACCTGATGGTAGATATACCAACCCACCTGTCAAGTAGCCGAGCTAATGTATCTCCACAAACTGAGCACCAAGCGATATTTGAAGTGTCATCTTGACTGAACAGGTAACAACATATGTCAGAATAAACATGCGGACGAACCAACCACGGTAAAAGTAGGCTCTACGCCATTCCAAGAATAGCCACAGAAAATGGAACGATATCCACAACCTGAACTGTGAACTTGAGCTCCAAGGCTAATAGACACACTACCAGCTGGCCTATTGAATAACTTACGAAGTATGATGCGAGGGTCTCTGCGAGTCAATCTCGAAACGCTTCTTGGTCAAGTCGGGATCGCGTGTTCACATCGCTGAAGCAGCGACATTGAAATACATCACAGAGCACACATCAGTACCCGCATCCAAGGTCGACTGTCATGGAGCGGGTCCAAGGTGAGCCGCTGGCCAAAGGGTGGGGCAGCCTACCGACCGAGTCGCCCCAGATGGTCCTGTCGCAACTCAAGAGCATGCGTTGCGAGTTGCGGAATCTCGAACCTCCTGCCGCGACAGGCACTGCCGTGGGGTCTTGTGTGGGCGGACCGTTGTGCGATTTCCACATTCCACACGCGCGGCCACGCTTTAGTCCCGTCGACACCATCCCACCGATGGCTACGCGAAGGCCTAGACCCATCGTAGCATCCCCACCGTGATGACGACGGGGACTGGATGGCCAGACAGCACGGTCCGTGGCCCCATCCCGTTTTCACCCGTAGTGACTTGCATCCAGCCAGCATTTTTGTCCGCGGCCACAACATCGTTGTCATCATTGACTGGGAGTTCTCTGGCTGATATCCGCACCATCGGGAGCACCCATTAGCGTGGTACGGTAATCGTCTGTCCATGGATTGGCAGGATGTACTCGGCGAATTCTGCAGCGCTAACCGGAAGAGCTGAACATGGAGATCGTGCGTCAGAAGTGGTGGGGGGAGTCCGAAGTTGAGTTGTTGAGCACTGCGGCTGCATGCAGATACGGGTGGTGCTCTTCGGACCAACACTGGCCAACACCGGCCAACGCCGCCGAACGCCGCGGCGCAGCATACTCGAACAAGAGCCAATCGAACCCCATGGTAGCGAAAATGCACATCAACTCCAAACAAAAGTTTGTAATCCTCTCAACGCCTTGCAGATCGGCCTTGAGGGTGTCTGCATCATCTTTGTTCATGTATTCTTCTTTACACCCACCCCAAGCGTGCATTTTTTTTGTTCATTAGAATATTGTCGGGCTTGGCTGGTTCCCTAATAATGTCCACCTCATCTAACTTGGTGATTGCGTCGCTGATGTGTTTCTCCTAGCATCTGTGCATGGCCCGCTCGGCACCATGCACACCGACTGCAGAGTTGCGCCTTTCATAGACATAAACATCGGGAAGAAATGGAAAGAAGATTATGTCGCCATTGTACTTATACACATTTGTGTCCGCATCATGGACTTTTGCGCACCTCAAGCCCACGGGCCAGCATTCTACCTCCCACGTACACATCCAACGGGAAACAACTCGAACAAACGTATACTTTCTTACAGATATACTCTGGAACCCCAAGGCGACACGAACATCAGACGCGTCGAAGAATCGCGTCCACTTCTTAGCATCGTGCAGGAAATTTTAATTTAGTCGGGGAAAGGCGTCGACAGAAAAACTTTTGTTATCAGCATGATCTCAGATAAGCTTGAAATCGTCGTCTGGGAGTTTGCCCTGGTTTCTATTAGGCAAGAGATAATTCGATCGAAGCTGGGTGGCTTGAGCGGTGCGGATGTTGTCCCTCCAGTGCAAGTCGGGTGAAGATGGTATAAGTAAATCGTCTTGCTCCGCGGATGGCAATCGAAAACAGAAGCAGTTGAATCGCTGTCTAGATCAGCGGTCGTTATCCTGCCATAGGTTTAGGCTTACAAGAATGTCAAAAAAGAAATTAATCTCTCAGCCACTCATGTAACGGGAGGAATTGAAGTATATATGCTTACACATATCACTTGATTGGCCTAAATCCAGTATGCGAAAGGGCAGGAACTCAAAAGAGAGGAAAAACAAAGAGCAAGAAGATGCTGACATCTCTCAGGATTGACTTGCGTCCCTGAAAGACAGAATACAATGGGCATAAGTCAATTGCGTATTACAATAGGCAAACAAAAGTCGGTTTTGAGCACATTATTCAGCACTAGTAAGCCTCTAGTTAATACTGTTCACATACACATCGCCCTTAATGATCGCGACATGAACTTCACAGTTCGAGGAGCATCAATTGTACATTACCAGACACGGAAAAACATGAATGCACCTAGTTACTTTCAAAATAGATTACATGGTTCTTAGGAAATCATCCGCTGGCCATGGGCATTTAGTTCTTTTGGGCCCTCACAAGTCCCTCGAGATTATCAATAGTCGAGTTTTCTTTGAGATGATACGTCAAAACCCAGACATAGCATTGAAACAAATGTAAAGATACCAATGGATAATATCAACCATTATTTGTTTTTCTCAACAAGCCATGGCTTTCTCGGAGATGTCAACCTGGCTATGTATATTGAATGTGTTTCTAAAGTCACTCCTATTCTAATGCGCTAATTCATACACTTAACTTCACGCCCTCGAAAAATGTAGACGTGGCAGATATAACCTTGAACCGGAAATACACGAGGCTCGAGTCACATGAATCGAATCGCGACAGCCTGGTGAAGGTCATGAAAAGAAGGATTGCGTAGATAGTTGAAGCCAACAGGACACCAAAAAGCATTGGGAGTAAAGCGTCCCAAGGCAAAATCCAGGGCCAGATGTTGCAGAGCAGTCCCATGGATCGGTACTTCGCCGACCAGCCCACCCTGCGCCGTACATGGGTTTTCTTCTTCCCCGTGAACCACTCGTGCTGCATGATTTCATCGAGGGTCATGCGGTCTTCGGGATCGTATTTGAATATCCCATAGAAGAGGTCACCCAGGATCGGGATCTCGTCTTTGGGGAGGACAAAGGGTTCCCAGACTCGCCCATGCTCGCCAACGCTCTCATCGACCGCGCCATCAGGCTTATATACTTCTGTCCATTGACCACGATCCAAGTAGAGATGCCCATGAAGATAGTCGTGATAGCCAGTGTCCTTGGTCATTTTTTCCCATTTCTCTTTGAACCATTCAGGCGACTCCGTTAGAGGCTGGGGTCCGTGTAGCCAATCGAAGACTTTTCTGAATGCCGCAGTTCTGCTGGCCTTGGCCATACTGTCTTTACTGCTCTCTGTGTTATCCGCTATGTATTGGCCTTCCTCGTCCTCTTTTGGGTACTCTTCCTCTGGCGTTCCTTCCCACCAAAGCGCTCGGTAAGGCTCAGGAAGAGGGCCGAGTAGAAGCTCTAGCGTGCGCGCCCATTTTCCCAGTTCGTCATCCCATATCGAATTGTGTACTCTTAGTTCCGCAATAGTGACGGCCAGCGACCACAAATCACTGGCAGGGCCTATCAGCAAGTCTGGGAAGTTGTGTTCGGGCGCGCCGTACCGCGTAGGGATGCCAGTAAACTCCGCCGGATTAGACGCTTTGAAGGCCACTCCGAAGTCGACAATGGCGATGTTGTTCTGGATGGGAAGAGCTGAAAGATCTACTGGCTTGACGAGATACTGCGGGTAATTTGGCCCATGGTATTCTTCACCATACCAGTCGGACGGCACAGTCCATGGCCTCTCAACCAAGGTGATCATTTCCTTCTTGCCGAGGCGATCGATGGAGTCCAAGCGCAGGAGGATGTTGGAGGGCCGGAAGTCACCGTGGCAGATGCCGTGCTGGTGGAGGAATGCCAGCCCCTGCGCAGCTTGAAGGCATATATGTTTGATGGTGCCCACATCCTCATCCAATTGTGTGTCTATCGCTGGGCCCAGCAGGGGAAGGACAAGGGCAAGGTGTCGACCGTTTGGGCCCTCAATCCAGAAGTGATCGATCGGAAGCTGGATGTGCGCCGCCTCCCAGTCGGCAGGACCCAGATTGCGATTTTTTAAATATTCGACAAGCAGCAGGCCCGGATTCTCTGGCTTTGAATGCTCCGCTTTAATGATTTTGACAGCTCTCCATTTGTGGGTGTTTGTCTCTAGACAGAGCCAGACGGTGGCAAATCCCCCATCGCCGAGCTTGGCAATGACCTCAAACCGACCGTCCAAAATGTCATTTATGTGAACAGGATGGAGACCGCCATGGCCATAGTCACTTAGAGGCTCGTGAGGGGGTTCTTGGCGGTCCAACCGGGATGGATAATCACTCTCGGTCAGGGGCAATAGGGAAACGAGACCTGACTGGAGCGGCGAGCTTGGCCTAGAGGTAAAGTCTTCGGGCTCCTCGCTCTCATGCTCGTCTGGATCAGATAGGGTCATTTCTGGCTTTTGATTTTTAAATTCAGCGGGGAAGTCAGTATCATGAGTTGCCCCCGTTGATTCTATAGCCAACCCGGACGCTGCGAGGCCTTTTTTCGTTTCCTTTCCCGGTGTGGTGCATTGAGCGTGTAAATAGGGGGCATCGGGATGTTTAGACCACCCGACCTTTGCAGCTGAACGGGGATTGAGGTTATTGGATTTATATGGCGACATGATTGACGTCTGGTTGCGGGCACGATATTTTGGCCGGAGCAAACAGTTCGAGGGAGTCTAAAATATATTGAAGCGCTTGGTCACTTCATTGTCTCAAGCTTTATGAAACATGGCATTACCAGGGAAATCTGTGAGCCACTTGTTTGATTCAAGTTTACATTCCAGAGGAAATAAACAGGGAGGGAACATCGCGTATGTCACAAAACAGAGTGCCTCGTCGAGGGATTGGAGACGAGCCCGCCAGATGTTGAGACAAAGCAGCTGTTTTCGTCTAAATTTGGCTTTGAAAGAGGAAGGAATGAATGAGATTCTTAGGCGACGTACGTAGACATGCTAAGTGGCGTCTATTGCAACAAAAAAACCTAGCCATCATCTTGTTGCTATTAAAGTCAATTATCCACAAAGAAAATATCAATATCCAGGTCGTAGGCGGGAATGATGTGCCATCAAGTATCATGTGAATAATATACAACCTGGCAGGCGGCTACAGCTTTTTCGCTACTCAAACTGAAAGCATTTCATTTACACCCTACTTAATCTAAGAGAGTCTCCTTGTAAAACTGCCATTCTTAGCCAGTGGTTTACGTAGTTCTAGTGTCGGCCACAAAGGAAGGAGCACTGAAGTCACATAGCCGGATATGCTATCGAGTCAACCTTTTTAGATGGAATGCTGGATAACGAGCAAATTAAGAGTAACAGGGTTCAGGAAAGATTATGAAACCCCCCTAAATGTTGAAAGGATACAACTAGAAACATGAACAGAATCTCTAATTCGTCAGTCCTGGAGTTGATACATAGGTGGCATGGTTTGACAGGTACCGCTCCAGAACGGAAGCTCAATAATTCTAGACACCCTAGAACCACGTCCTATATCAACTATATACCAACTGAATTATGTGAAAGCTTGAAACTCTACGAGGATACGAGATATACGTGAGAAAAACATGAAATGGCCGGAAGGTGATCGCTTATGTACAGCTGTGGTAGCTGCCGAACCCTGGAGAGTGGTGGGATTAGGAATAGTAAACTACTCATTTGCATGTTCACATTTATATGTGTAAAAGTACAAGTTCCTGATCAATATGTCTAGATAAAATGGCTCTGCGACCTGAGGGGCAGATAAGTCTGCACATGTGAGAATCTAGAAGCTGATGAATCATGGGCATGGAACAATGCGGAAGAAATGGTGTAACCTTGCGTATGGGTTACATATGTGTCAACCGGCCGAGAACGAAACTATCATGGCTAGCTTAACTGTTCATTTTGGGTCTAGGGCACGTTACAACGTGACTGATAAAGAAGCGCTCCCTTGATCCTCCGTCTCGGCAGAGCTGCAAATACCGTAAACCTGGGTGTTCTTGGTTATATGGACTGTGACCAGCCAAGGCCGGCTAATGGCCGCAAAGTACCAAGTCAATTCAATCCCGATTGCTTCGTTTGGGCCCATTGGAACCGATCATCCGAAATTCTTCCAGATGAGGCTTGGTTTACACATTCGCATGTTCGCGGTCAGTCCAGGACGAACTGGAGAAGAAATGTGGTGCGCAACGGCCCTTTTATTGACTAGGTGTGGGTGAGTTTGGCTTCAGACATGGAGGGGTAGAAGGGAGGCAGCCATGGATTGTAGTATTTAGGGGCACCTTCATAGTACCAACACAGCCACCAATACTCGGGATCCGACATTAAGACCCGTGTGGTGCCAGTTTTGCGGTGGTAGGTCGAAGAAATCATTAATGTCAACGTCTGTCTGTGTCTCAATCTATCGAACAGTCACACGACGGAGAGATGGCGGCAAGGTGGATCCTAATGAAAAGAGCAGGTGAGCCTGGAAGCAAAGCTTGCCTGCTTCCCATGGGATGCGTCAACTCGCCCTCATGAAACTCTGGACGAGGCCTGAACTGGTCATCATCTCCCTACATCTTTGGGTGCGGGGCCTTGGACGTCACCTAATTCCCTTCACCGTTATGAAAACCAAGCTGGAAAAATGGGTACCTCTCGAAAAAATAAAACACCCTCCGTCGGAAAATGTGTCTACAATTTATCTGAGATTTCTAACGCGCAACATCCAATTCATGCGGCACTATATTACAAAAGAACATACTAATGCCACAACCACCCGTAACATGATCGAGCCGGCTACCGTAATACTCGCACCAGAAGTACCCGTAGTCGAGGAGCTGCTAGAAGAAGTCGAGGAGTTGCCAGAAGAAGTCGAGTTGGACGATGACGAAATGTCGGTCCCATTGTTACTGGACGCATACGTAGAACTCGTCGAGTTAGTGGCATCCGAGCTGTCAACTTCAATGCTCGAGTAGGCGCCCGTCTTGTCGCCGTACGTATAAGTAGAGCCAGGGTTGTAGTTGGTGATCTCAATCTTCTCAACATACATGGTGAACGGACCATCATCGTAATCCGTCTCACCACCCGCCCATTCGATCGTGCCCGCATTCTGAGTGCTGTCACCGCCAGCCCAGAGGCCCAGCTTCACCCGCATCGGCGTCTGCGGGTAATTCTCCCCTTCCAATGCATCGGCGTACGCGAGCGTGCGCACGGCAGTCCCGTCAATGTACCACGTCGTCGCAGCGGAGGTCCACTCAATGGTATAGTTGTGCGTCGTGTCCTGGGAGTCGGTCACGTCGACGTAAGTAGCGCGGTCGTAGCTCGTCGTGTTGCCCTTGCCGAAATAGTTGGTCTCGACCTCGTCTACCGACCCGCCAAGCCACTCCCAGTCGATCTCATCCAGGTCGTCCGACTCGAGGATCGCGCAGCTGACGATGCCGGTGCCCGGGGCGGCGCGCATGAGGACTGTGATCACGCCGAAGAAGATGTACCAGTTGGATTGCATGGTGGGGGCGTCGCCCGACTCGGTGATAGTAAAGGCGGCGCCGCTCGAGTCGTAGCTTACGCTGCCGTAGGTCATGTTCCAGTCATCGCTGGCGCCTTGGGTGAAATCGACGGAGTAGGTGCTCAGGTTCAGACCGGTATCTGAGGGACATGTTTCTGATTCTTGTTAGTCTGGAACTTAACCATCGTCCAAAGTTGGAAAAGTTCACCATTTGTCGGGTTGCAGTCTGTGTAAGTCTGCGCAAGCGTTGAAGAGGCGAACGCCAAAGCCGCCAGGCGACGGATCTGCATGGTAGCGAATGTGGCTTGAACGAGTGAATAGGGTGATGCCAAGAGAGGAATGAACCCAGGAAACAATGTCGTCCGTCAAGAAACCCGCATGGCACAAGACATCAGGGCTGATGATCTACTTGTACGCCGAATCTTTCTTGACCATCCCCGCTTTTCCTCCTCCTATATCCGAGCTCTCGGCGCAGATCGCAACTGCGTTTCGGGATGTGGCCTGTTAATGCTCCTGATATTTGGGATACGTGCTGGCATGGGCCAGCTGGAAATATCCTCCGCCAGGGAAGGGGGGAGGCGTTGACTCGACAAAAGGCAGCCGATTGAAGCATTTTGCGTGGCTGTGTACCATCACGAACAGCGGTTGCCCGGAGCCGCGTTGGAGGTTGACGTACGCCTGTGGATCCAAGCGATATTTCAACGCAATGCGGGCAAATATCCAGTGGAGTCGCGGCCCGCAGGTGCAAATATTGAGGGTTAATTCTTGTTTGTGATTGTTTTTAGACAATTCGTTGACCTTTTTGCTATCGTCGATGGACTGAGTCTCGTATAATATGGATAATATGGGGATGAAGCTTATTTTTAGCCAAGCACCGTTGACAAAATGGCTTAGCTGATAGGCGAATCTTGCATCGCAAAGGAGATACGTATTGGTCGAAGTGGATGCGCAACTTACAAATTTCTCTTAATCTAATTGGAAACTGGTCGTTGACAATGTTTCGCATCCTCATTTATCATATTGCAGGGAGCCTTTGCCAGTCGTTGAACATCTGGTGTGAAAACTAACTTGCTATAATCCATGCCTCGGTCAGTTATAGTCTGAACTATTGTGATTGAGAATATAGCACAGGACAATGCAAGACTTGTTGAGCCTGAACTTGCAACCAACAAGCTGGTTACCAACCTACAATCTCCCCAAGAGATTCCCCTTTCGGCCCACCAACCTTCCATTCCCGAACCAGCAGGAACGTGAACAGCCTCCCTAACCCCCTGCCTTACACCCCCGCCTGAAGCTCAAACCCAGTCACACTTAAAACTCTCCCCCTCCACTCCCTGAAAGCACCCAGGCATCATGTTATCAATCTTCGCGCCTTTGCAGTCCATGCCGATATAGATACTGCAATGCCCCTTCTCTCCAATGTACAGGGCATTCCAACTGAACCCCCCGATGTCTTCGCATCCTTGCTTTGCGAATCCCCAGTTGGTGTAGTATCCACATTCGATGACATCGTCGTATGGCACTTCCCCGATGTTTTGGCAGTGTGACGACTCGGGGAAGTCAAAGTTCCCAAAGTCGTATATCAGGTAGCTCTGGCTGTCGTGGCAGGTGTCGGAGCGGAAGCTGATCGTATGTAGGGTGTTGGCGGTGGGGACGGCTGAGAGGAAGAGGGGCACTAGGGGGACTAGGTGAAGGCTGAAGTCGGTAAGACGCATGGTGTTGGTTCAAATGTAACTCGGATGTAGCGGTCTTTATGCTTGATATGTGTCACTTGAAATGAGTTAAGTGTGTTCTTGATGATCGAATATTGCCAGTAAAAGGGGACTAACTTATTGGCCTTTCCTGTGACAGAGACGGTTGATCCAAGTCTCGTTGGCTTCCAACTTCACTGCCCGTCGGGATGCGACAGGTTAGTTTATATGGTAGCTGTTTGGACGACAACAAACAAGCTGCTGGCCACGAACTGGATCAGCTGACGACTCGACGCAAACAACATGATGTCCACTGGCTTATCTTCAAGATGGCTGAAAGTTATTGACAGCACAATTGCCGCGTAGTGCAAGCTCGCTTGCCAATGCTGTGCTGGACGGCCTCAGCCGTCGTTTGCGTCCCATTGTCTTACCCGACACCGTCTTGTTGGCCATCGTCGAACAGATTACCGTGGACTTTATGCTTGCAATACACGTGTAGATAGTCAGACATATAGAATGTACAAGTCACTTTGATTGGATTAGAGTACATAAAGAAGGGCTCCCGGATCTTCGCCCGTGGATTCCCCATCCTTGTACGACGTCTCGTCCCAGTATCATGTATGCCCCTTTCTCAGAGTTGTGCCGAGTTTCCATTGGACACAGCCAACGCGGGATCCCAAGGTGGCCATATTGACTTTTAGTTGTGCGCGTCGGTAGTTGTACGCCAAGCCTCGATCGACGCTGGGTTTGCCGGTTTTTCCTCTTCCGTACGAGATGGTCTCCAGGGGAGCAAGGGTAATGGGCGCTCAGCTCGATGTAGAATGTGCTGTCGAACTTGCGGGTGGAGGTGCCGGGTCGTAGCAAAGACCGACTGAGCCGACAACGCTGAGGCAAGTGTAGAGGTAGCCAAGGACCACCGCGCGGTGAAGACGGAATTGGGGAAATGATACAAAAAACTTGATATCAAGGTAAATATCCCTACGTGTATTGGGAACGACAACATATAATTTCACTTCTTGTGCACACATCACATTTTCCTATCAGCGTGTTCCTACTCCTCCAAACGATACCCGAAACCTAATCGACTCTGCCCCCTATCCTGTCCTCTCTTTGACAATATTCGCCGCATTCTCCGGAACCGCATGAACTGTAGACTGTAAATGCTCCGCCGGGATCAGGGTCATGATGGAAGTATCCATGATCGACAGCCTTGTCGTCCCATAAACCTCTAGATCTGCTCCCACGCGTCCCCTAAGGTTCTCAGGCATCATAGCACAAGACCCGCTCAGGTGCGCAAACGATCGCCGGATCACACAGCGAGACGGAAAGCCATGATGTCCTCGCTACTCTCGGCCTGCGGGCCAAGAACCAGTTCAGTCAGTTCGTAATCTTGCAAACTGGGGTCTGCGCAAAACCCCCGCACGTAGCGGAAAATATCGTTCAGAATGAGCTTATCGGCCGGGTTCGAGAAGCTCTTGAATTGGACTGCTCGGTTGCCGCCAGAATTCGAGCGTGATGGTCCCGCGGGAAAGGGCTTCATCAAGGCACCTGCGCTGAAGTCGTCTCCATGGACGAGTATCTGGGCTGTGGTTGCATCAGTGCCTGGGAAATGGTCGACAGGATGTCTTGTTGGGCTTTCAAACCGACGAAGAGTTCCTTATTCTTATAGACTGAGGGGAGGTAGTCAGTTAGTTGGGTTTTGCGAGATGACTTCGTTGAAGATAGAATCTCGGTAATATGTAAGCTGGTTAAGGGTGATATTCGCCGGGTTGTTACAGTTTGCAGCTGTGTAGTTGTCGGCGTGGTTGGTGATGCGTTCATCCCAGGAGCTGGCGTTGTTCTGTGTAGAGGCTGCTCCTGTTGCCAGAATCGCTTTTTTGGTGGCTGAGAAGTCGGAAATGCCGTGGTTCTGGCGGAGGTAACATGGACGCCAACAGCTGTGCGGTCTTGAACGAAGTCTTATCGACTCTGACCGGTAATGAGCTGCAGATTCGGCCTATCCGCTACCGGGTCATACGAACGTACTCCTGTTGCAAAATTCAGAGTATTCGGTGTCCAGCGAAACCCAATCTCACTGACCTCGGCTTTATTAGCAACGGCATTACTTACACATCTCAGCAGCAGGGTAAGTGGCCACTGCGTGCGGAATCTTGGTGTTGAGACCATCATCGATGTAGCCGTCGTTTATAACTAGGATATTTCCTACGACATGCAATCAGCTTTAGTAGTTTAATACACAAAAGAGAAGAATAATCAGAGAAGAAGGTGAAACTGGTGGGGTCAACTGCTTAATCATTGAGTGTTGCTGAGACGGTTAGCGATCACGAGGCCGCTCGTCCCACCCCTGACAATGACACAGTCGTATCTATCAGCGATACTTCAACGATAAGGCTGGTTCTGCTGCAGATTATATGGCCTGAAATTTGCAAGAGCGCTTATCCACCAAATGCGAGCCACGCATATGGTCATGAACAAGTTTTAAAATTCCGGTCAACAGCACCTGCAGACTTTTCGACATGCTCTGGTTAGAGCCAAGGAATTATGCGAAGGTAAATAATGGGGCGACGAACACGGGCCTTATAAGGACCTGATAGTTGCTTTTTTAAGCGACATCATCGTTCGATGCGATCGTGTGGAATAATGCGCGGGGTCTTCCCTTCGACAGCTGCTCTGCTACGTGAGCATGCAAGACCATATCCGAATAGCTCTCGGCGGCATCAACCCCAAGGGATGCCTTCGATCTGTTGTGCATCTTTTCCAGATACTGGTTTAAATCTACTGGGACACGTGCAGTTCATTATCTTTACAAAGGAAGACCGATCAAAATTCAAAGGCGAAGAGATGAAAGTTATGTTGATCCAAGTGACAATGACGGTGACCTACCTAGGAGGAACTTCGGAACCTTCCATGTCACCGGAGGCAGCAAAAGCACTTAAATTGAGAGGCATCTAATACTTCAATGCAGATATGAAAATAGAAGGACTATGCACTCCAGACCATCGCTTAGCTTCGTGTGAGTCGCCTATCCTCCCGCTGTAAACCTTCCTTGCTGCCCCGCGTTGTGAACCCGGTCGCAGAAGCCTATAGTTGGTGCCGTCATGATTTGACACGAAGATGCCGCTGGTAATAACATACGAACATTCATCCTCAAACTTGTCAATCGTTCGGTGGCTGAGCTAGACGGACGCCCAGTGGTGCCTCAGACGCAGAGGCACTTTTATCAACCGAGTCCGTAACGTAGCCCGCAACGCACCGAAGCATGGACCTGAAATGACCGATGGTCGCGTCTAGGTACGCAATGTTCGCCTGTGCTAGAGTACACGGCTCATCACCCAACTCTGCCACCTTGCTCCGACAATTGGAATTAATCGACGTCAACACCGTGCTGGCTCTTTGTACTAGATCCATGACCAGCATGGCTCTGAACTTGGCATCATTAGACGAGACTTCATAGCCACCGAAGGTAATCTTGACGGCGCCATCGAGATCGGATCGGGCAATGTATTCAAAGCAACAGGATGTCTCTTGGAGGATGGTCATCATCATGAGCAGGTCTGTGCAGCTGACTTGGCAAGTGGTGCAGTCGACAAGATCCTGGCAGCCTCTCATCATTTCGCTTGTCACTTTGAAGATTTCGTCCAACCGTTTGTCTCGCATGGCGCTTGTGACGATGGGCAAGAGAAGCATCAGGTTCGCTCGGCATAGGCAGCTGGATGCGAAAGAGACAACCCCGTTTTGTACCGAAAGACTGGAAGAGCGAGCTAGAGACTAAGTACTCGTACTGGTACTGTCACTATGAAACAGTGAGTTGTTGTTGTTGTTGCCCTGAGTGACATTCTGAGGCGCCGGCTTGTCCAGGGACTGGAACAGGTCCAAGTCACACGGTCCTGACTGGTTCAGAGACTTGAAAGTCTGCTCCTGCAGAGTTTGTTTGATCAGTTCACTGGGGACGAGCATGGCTGGTCGTCATGGCGACTCACATTCAAGACTGGGTCTATGGGCCTCCAGTCAAAGTCATTCATGCTGTGATGGGGCATCTCATTCACCCAGTCCGCCGACGGCATGGACTCAAGTCCCATTCCTGACACATAAGGTGTGTGTACCGGTGGGGATTGATCTGGTGCATTGATATTGAACTCCAGGGGCATTTCCTCGCTGGTAGTTCGGATTGGAGACGGCCATGCGACTGCATCATTCGGCAAACGGCGAACGCTCTCTGCGGAGAGTGTGGAAATTCCGGGGCCCGTCTTGGCAGTGTATCTGCAAAGGAGGCCACGGGCGATGCACCTATGACATTTCTGCTGCCCAGTGCATTTGACCTTGGCCTCACGACAGCTTTCGCAAGCCGTCATGGGGCGGCGGACCAGCCCTTTCGACCCACCACGATTAGATCCCGAACTCTGCCAGTTAGAAAAGAGATTTGTGGGGATCCATCCATTGTGACAAACACGAGCGGTACGATCCGGCGGCATGTTATCTTATCATCGACGGCGTTGGTGGCCTGTCTAACGGCTATTCGTCTAGGAGCGAACCCCAGAGATGTCAGATCCCCCCACCGTGAAGGGATGTTAAAGATTTCAGCTTTATTATCACGTGCTTCAACCCTAGAATGCCATGTAGATGCCTAGAGGCCGGTTAAATGATTGATTGGTCGAATGCCTACTGGGATATATCTGGTCCACGACGTTCCACACCGACAACAACGAATAATCTGCGAGCCGCAGCACTTTCGTCATCCCTTGATATAATTGTCAAGATTGCAGTTTGGCAAAATCTTCGTTATATGAAGAAAGGGATCCTCCCGCACTAGTTTACCACGCACTGCGACCGTCCTCCTGTAGATACCTGTCGAAACCTTCCCTCCACAATGAAGGTGTGGAGTGCTATAGGGCCAGTCTATGGCCCTCAATGCGGTCTAGGCCCCTAGACACGCGAATCGCGTTTAAGTTTTCACACCGTTCAACATATTTTTAAACGCTGGCCGGGTATATAGAGGTCAGTGTGATTTTGTAAACGCACGCAGAGGGGACGGAAAGGTTTGCGCAACGACAGCAAGGGTTTCCACCAGAACACTTGACTCGTGATCGTCTGCAGTTGTTACATGAGGAATTGTATGCAGGTCGGGCCGGGCCATGCATGACTGGAGTCCGCGTCGGAGGCTGGCAGGTGCCAGCGTTCCATTGTGTCGTGTACGAACTTGGTATCTCGATCGAGGTGACCATGATGCTGCAAGAGTTGCGTTGATGCTTAGAAGACCACTAACGGTTTTTGGACAGGAGAGACCGATAACACAGATTTCTACCGTTTTGATTGCTGTTACACGCAAAGGTGGTCAAAGATTTGTGAGGTTGTAAAAGCATGACATTCTATCTAGTCCTATGGAGCACGAAGGTTGGACTTAGTCCCGAAGGGCTAAGTCACGTGGTAACCTTGGTGGTCTTGGCAAAGCCCACCAAGGTTGCCTAACACCTATTTTATACAAGACCAAGGTGTGCTTCTCTATAAGTTCTGTGTATTCTAAGCGATCATGGACATGACTTCAGAAAAACGTAATCTGTGGTCACAAGAACAAGATTAAAACCTACAAGACTCAAGATTTGTTAAACATTAATTTTGACCTCCAAATTTATCATCAGAGACTACTATACCCACGCCGCGTCGATGCTAGGGGACTTGATATTTATGCTTAGAAGGTGAATGAAGAATTCCTGTTTTTTGACGATATTGACATCATGACTAATCTAGACGAAGTCCTCTCTTGACGGAATCTATGTAAAGAAAGCCGCCGTCTCAAACTGACCCATCCTTCCCCTGGACCCACACCTCCACTGCCTAAGCTCCAGCAGCACCAGCATTGATGAACAGCTTTTCTTTTCTCATGAAGAAGCTCAGCACGGTGACTAATGCGCCGGAAGTGATGACAAGAATGTACGTCCTGTCAATGGAGCTTATGATGGCATCCAAGACTCTTGCCCTCACATCCGGGCCAAGGCTCTGCAGGAAACCCCCTGTAGTACCTTGAACGGCCGCCTGTATCTCTGAAATGGGGACATCGGCAAGAATCCGCTGGATCTTCGTCTGGGATTCGTTCAGGAATATCGAGTTAGCAATGGCGAGCGAAACGGTATTGCCTAGGAACTGAGCGAGGGTGATGAAGCCTATAGCCAGCGGTACGCTCTCGGGGTCCACCACAGCCTGGGCTACGGAGAAGGAAGCCTGTATCCATAGTCCCACGCCAACGGCGATGAGCACCGTGTATCCATATATGCTGCTTTCGCTGGTGCTCTGGTCCACGGTGTACATCAAGGCACCGCCAGCAACCGCAAACAGTCCACCCACGGTGTACCATGGCATATAATAGCCGAATCTAGCCATCAAAGCTCCGTTGACGAAGATGAAGACGACAAGGACAACAATCAAGGGCAACAACCGCACGCCCGCATCAAGTGCGCCGTCATTTCGGGTAAATTGGAAGAAGAGAGGGACAAAATAGATGGGCGTGAAGGCGGCCGATGCAGAAGCAGCGGTCGTAGCGAAGAGGAGGAGCACCGTACACGAACGGAAGAACTGGACAGAATGATGCGGCGAGACTCGGTGGTGAAAATTGTGCAAACATGCTGAATTGCCAGGAGAACGAAAAGCGCTCCGGTGGTAACGAAGAGGCCGATGATCTGTCCGGAATTCCAAGCGTAGACGATACCACCCCAGTTGATGGCCATGAATATAATCCATCTCTTTCGCGTGCTGCATATACGCAACACCCGGGCGGGGGTCTTTGCTGGGGAGCAGAAAGAAATAGGCAGGAGCGCCGGCGCCACCGATGAATAAGTTGATGTAGAAGGCCCATCTCCAGCTAACGGAAGACTCCTCGAAAGTGCCTCCAATGACCGGGCCAAGCACGATGCCTAAACCCCAGGCCAGTCCGGTAGCGGATACACACATCAGACGCTCTGCCATGGTGGTGGTAACGGCGATGAGAGTCATGACGCCGATGTAAAGTCCTGATCCCCCAATACCGCAGATGACGCGTCCCACAATCATGGCGTTGATATTGGGCGCAGCGCCGCAGAGAGCGGAACCGACTTCAAAGATGACCACATTGAAGATGTAGAGCCATTTGGACTTGAACTGGCTGTAAATGCGACCCCAGTCCATGTTAGTCGCCGTTGCGCTCATCAAGAAGCCGACACTGAGCCATAATAAATTCTGCAGGGAATCGAACTCCTTGACGATGGCGGGTTGGATATCGGCGACGATGGTGGCGTCGAGGGCGTATAGGAATATGGAAGATAGAATAACGACTGTCGCCACCATCCACTTCCATCCTGTGATTTCTCGCGGGAGTGCCTCAGCCTTTGGCTGTTCCAGCTTCTCACTGTCGTATGGCAGGGGTGTACCGGGAATTGTGGTTGTCCCCGCCACGTTGCTGTCGGAGGACGTGTGGTCGTTCTGGGAGGCTGCCATGGTGGAGCTGCTATTTATCGAGGAAAGTTTCAGCTACATTTGTAGATTCAGAAATTCATGCCGGCCTACTCACAACCAAAACTTTCGACCTGAAACGCAGAGCTGTCCTGGGAAGTTGTCGGAACTGTCGCAGGAGCCAGACTGCAGCACGGAGCGTGGCATTGACAAACTTCGGTTTGGGGATTTCTTACATATGGAGCTCCAGAATAGCCGGTACTAGTGATGGTTGTTTGGAGTGCGCAAGAAGTGCGCATGGAATCAGAGTCTAAGTACCTTTGTACACAGAGTGCTTGAAGCTCAGTTCTTAATACATCAGGAAAACTTGCGATTTGTCAGCATGCCGCATGTTGAGATGGGCGTGTTTGTCGTTCCGTAGTATAGACATCAACAAACTTGAGTACCTGGTTGCACATAACGTACAACCCCACCTTTCTGGCCACCTAATCTGCCAACTACAACAACCTTCGGCACAACAGATTATCGTCGGTATTGGCTATTATTATACAATGCATCGATATTCAGAAAATTCGATTCAAGGCGCTCTCAACGATATCAATCAAGGGATATCCCAGCGCCAGGCTTCCCTCCGATGGGGCATTCCACGCTCTACCCTATAACTTCGTTACGCCCCAAACCACGTAAGAAGGTACGATTAGGGCCTAATGAACGATTTGGTAACATTATACAGATTAAGGAAGCGATGGATCGAGCCCTCAGGTACAACGTCGGAATCAGGTAATACTGGACCCAGCTAAGGCGTCAGAATCTATCAGATCTATACCTCAGGAAGCGCTAGAGAACAGCTTTCTATTAGAGCTGGTTGTACCTGAATAGCTATAATAGTACATTGAATACACTGTTTCGAATACCTTCAATTGGATTGCAATATGTGGCCGGAAAGGTGGGGTTGTACGTTAATGCACGTTGGCTTTCAACAAGATCTGCCAGGCTGATACATCTTGACATGAAGGGGTATTTTCCGTGACCAGGGGATGCTTGGAAGGGTGGGTCCGGAGGGCACCCTGCGTTCATCGCGTATTCAATTACCAAGGCAGACTGGCGCTCATGATTGGAAGATGCCGTAGGAAGTGTTGGATGTACAATTGCCCATCCTGACCCCACAATATGCTGAAGCCCAGGCCCAGCATGGCGGGAGCTAGCCAGCTTATAGTACATGATCGTGCATGGCTGCTCGTGCATCCTTCTAGCCGCCACCCCGAAAGGGAAGGAAAATCCCGAAAGGGGTGGGAAATAATCCCAAAAGAAAAGCAATATTCCGACACCAACCCGATTGGCCAGAAATTTGCTTCGCAAACAGCTGCGCTCAACAAGATGGTCAACAGTCCAGTACCATGCGCTTGCCCCAGATTTCATCGCAAACGCAGGACACTAACCCGTGGGAGATGTATATGTTCCGATGGACTCGGTGGGGACTCGGTGGAGCAGGGCCGCAAGTGGCTGGGTTGGGTATGCTGAAATTGCAAGAAGTAAATTGAAACGCTACGATGCAATAAATGACTAACGTACCCCACAAGCAAGTTGGCCACTTTTTCTTGGCACCTTATGAATAACTTCAATAACTTAACTAAACTAAAAAATAATAATTCAAACCAATCGGAATCCTCTTCCTCGTACGTATCTTTATCATTCTCACAAGTACGAGCATTATGTCCGGGCTCTCCGCAGATCCTACAGCGCCGTCGGCGTGGTTCGGCCGGTCTCGTACGACGACGACTTACACGTATACCATCCTCTAGCTGCTGTTCAATATCCCGTTGAGACTGTAAGTCCTGAGCGTCTCGTAAACTAAAAGATCCTCCATCTTGTAGCTGTCGATTTTTAGTCCTTCGACAACGGCTTAGCTCTTGATTCGCCTTCCGAAGTGTAGTAACCTCATCCTCAAGTAAAACTAACCGATGTATAACAGCCGTCGCACCACGTGAAAATTGGTCAATAGCCGTAAGTATTGTCGTCGGGGAGCTATTCTGATGCTGTACGATTCTGTTTTTAACGTATTCAGACTGGGATTGCGCCTCGGTTGGGTTATTTGGAGTCTTTGATTCCCAGATTAAGGGGGCGCCAGACGAGCTCCCAGGAGGTGTAGGCGTATGTAGCTTAATATCCAGCTGTGAAATCACATATTCCGGGTCGTACGGAATAAGTCCTGTCCCCCTGAAACCTGCCTGGATATTCGACTTAGTTATAGTCGTACGATACGCCCTATAGAATGCCGAAAAGAAATCCTCCTTCGAGATATGGGTTATATGCGCCCGTATTAGGTCTTAAATTTCTTGACTAGATTGTCGAGTATCGCGTCGAGATAGTAGTCCGCGTTTTCGGTTAGCTAGAGTTGTACGAGGGACATTGTAGAGTTGGGCAGGGCGTCGGATGCTTAATTCGGGTTTCGATTGAAGCGCCTGACACGCTAGAATCATGTCGCTTTCTTTCCAATTCGATCCCATCTTGGTATGTGTAAAGATGTTAATTAAAAGGTTGTTCGTACGGTGCCAAGAAAAGTGGCCAACTTGCTTGTGGGGTACGTTATCACATAGACGAAGTCTGTAGACCCCCTTTCAGTGGTTAAACGTCCAACTAGTGTAGATACTTGCCTTCACCAAGAATCGCGTTATCGCAAACAAAGATAGATCTGTTGGACCAAATTGACCGTCAAAAGACGAGGGACCCACTCGTTTTAGAATGAGGTATTTTTGGTAGTTATAAGGTCTGACAAGATCCCTAGATCATTGCCAAATAGAGAAATAACAAGCGAATCTCTGACTAGAGCTGCAGGAAGAACTCCAAGATTGCAGCAAAGTAATAAGTGTTTGTCCGAGGAGCTCATGGAAAATCTTCGACAGAATCCTATCGGCAGTTCTGGAGTGTTCTAGATTTTGCTTGTAGTATGGTAACACACCAGGTATACGTTACATAGGATGAAACTAGGGCGATGACAGGAATGGGCATGACAGAATCGGACAGCGAAGTTCCTAAAGAGGTAACACTATAATCTTACACACCGTCTCTATGCGTAACGTAGGACTTGCTCCATTGACCGCCTACGTAAGCAAAGGAAAATGTGCATACTATTGAGACTTTCGTTGCAGCGTTGAGAATAGTTGATTAAGGCATTATAAGCTGCAGCTTTGTTTCTTTTCATATGACCACTGGAACCCTAGCCACGCATAATACCTCATGTAGCAGTCGAGTTATAACGTTCAATACGTCCAATATTCAATCCTGTATTACTGAACCTATCATTACTTCCTTCTCTGAAAAGCCAAATTATCAGGGCGCTCTTAAATCAGTCCTCCACACCGGCCAAACGGCTTCTTCGGCTCCCAAATTGATTGCACTACGAAAAGATGCTGGCACCGGTCCAGAACCAGTCAGCCCCATGGATAGCTACGGAGCCCGATGGCAAGGAGGAAGCAATAAATAAGGATGCTAAAGACGGCGCCACTAGGCATGTCCAGTGGTATCAGCCTGCAATCAAGTTTCTGCCACGAAGCACGGTCGACTTCTTTGAAAATTACGTTGGGGTCAAGGGTAAAGATGCAATCACAACCCACATTTACAATGTCAGGGATATGGCCTGGCAAGTGTGAGTGAATATCTATCTATCTACAGATCGTCTGCGAATTTGAGGTGATACTAAGATGTCCGGCAGACTCCCCTACCCATGCATCGGCCTGTTCCGATTCTTGGACTTCGGCATACACCTCTCCCCGGATTACCCAACCGTAGTCCGGCGCGTGCAAGAAGGCGCAACCTTTCTTGACCTTGGATGCTGCTTCGGGCAGGACGTTCGCAAACTGGCCTACGACGCCGGAACATCGTTCAATCTGATCGGCACGGACCTCGAAGAACCATTCCTGCAACTGGGATACGAGCTTTTCCGCGACAGGGGCCGTTGCGACGCGACCTTTGTACGCGGAAATGTCTTTGAAGAAGACTTTCTTGAGCCATACCGCGGCAAGATCAACATTATTTATGTGGGCAGCTTTCTGCATCTGTTCAATGAGGCTCAGCAGAAGAAGGTAGTGCGACAGGTAAATCGGCTTCTGCGTCCCCAGAAAGGCTCTATGGTGTTTGGACGACACCTTGGCGCAGAGAAAGGGGGTCATTTTACCATGAAGAGCATTGGCTGGGACCTTTACAGGCATGATCTCCAAACCATTGCCGATCTTTTCCAGTCAAATGGTTCAGCAGATGGAGATGTGCAAGAAGTCAAATGGGAGGTCACCAGTTCATTGGGCCGCTATGAATCTGCTAATTGGGACGACGACAGGCGTGGTTGGCAGGGAGACGAGACAAAGCAGATGATTTTCACTGCAGTTAGGCTGTGATTGCCAGCCAACTCGGATGTATCAGCTGCTAGCGACTTGACGTCGGGATATTAGAATGCTGAAGTGAGATTCATAATCTAGTCCTCGTCAACTCTTGAGGAATTATTTGTATACTTTGTCCTGTCTACTCGCCGTATTCCTTAGTTGTCTGTTGAACCGGGGCGCAAAAGTACGAGGTGAATCTCCCCTATCATAATCACAGTTATCTATGTGTGCAACTTGAATTGAAATATTTAGCAACCTTGTATATTTGAACTGCAACACACATAAGCATTAAACTCAAAACTGTTATGTTTATAGATCGCTCAAAATATGAACAACTGAAATGCAATCATTTGCTCTTTTAATTCTTTGCTCTTTGCACTTGCATCAGCTCCAGGTCAGTGACGAAACGGTGTTGTAGTAATTTAAATGGCTCATTTCAGTCAAACTTCCTTCGGCATTACAACGAACGCAACGAATCCTGAGCCCAATCGTTGATTTGAATTCCCCCCTTGACCACCATACCATCCTTGCCACCATTCAACAAAAATTTTGTTCCTTCGAACAGATCCTCTGCCCACTCCTTCGATGCTGGGAGCTGCTGAAACCGCCAAAACCCATGGGGTAGGCCGTCATACATATGCACCAGCGTCTTTGCACCCGAATAATCACGAAGCAGGCGCGCGAAAAGAAGACCTTCGTCGCGAATAGGGTCTAGGCCTACTATCTGGAAGTACGCACGCATGGGCAAGTTGTAATGGACCGGGTTCAGCAGGAAAGAAATGCGCGGCTCATCAGGAGGTGCTTTAAGGATATATGTAGTATGTCAGCAATGCAAAGCTCTTGACTAGAGCACGTGTGTCTACTGCGACTGCCTGCTACTCATCAAGGGAAAGCCGTTTCGTACCTTGGGTGAGTTGTTTATACGATTGTAGATCCAGCAGGTCCGAGTTCTTGTTTTGTTCCATGCTGAGCAGCTCCTCCTTCCATTGGGGGACGAGGTCAAAGGCTTGAGGCATCAGGCAGCACGGTATGGAAAGGAGAAGACCCGTGATTGGGGGTGTGATCTTGTTGTCCCTGACGAGGTATGCTATCACGCTAGCCATGTTGGCGCCGGAGGAGACGCCACCAACGATGAACCCACTACTTAGGTCGGCATTGAACTCTGTCTGCGCGTTCTCGGCAGCCCATTCGAATGCATCGTAGGCGTCGTTGATTGCTGCAGGGAAAGCATGCTCGGGCGTAAGTCTGTAGTCAACATTCAGAACACACAGAGTGTTGCGAGCACATAGAAGGCGGCAATTTTCGTCGCCAGTTTCGATGTCACCTGATGTCCAGCCACCACCATGATAATAGATGAAAAACGGGCAGGACCTTCCAGCGGTTTCCAAGTCCTTTGGAAAGTAAGACCGCACAGGGATCTCGTGACCATCTCGGCCGAAGATGTTGGAGTCCCAAACAGTGACCTCAGTGTCTCCAGGAATGCGTCGCAGCTGAGGGCCCTCAGCGGCGAGTTTTCCGAATAGTGCCCGACGTTCGATCGCGTCTGCGCCTTCGGTGCGAATTTTGTATAGAGCTGGTTGAGACTTCACGAACTGATAGTTCAGGTCAGACTGGTTCTTCTACTAAAACAACTAGATTGATTTGTGCCTATCACAACGCTCAGAGTCTTGCCGTCTCACCAGGAACGAGGAGACGGAACCTAGGACTCACGTTCTCCCATTGCGGGTTGACTTCGGAATATCTTGAATACTGCGCCATACTCCGAGCTGAAGCTTCTAAATTTTATCGCACAGATATTTTGTACAGTCCTGGTTTCCATGCTGTTGGGAAACTGCCCGCAGTCTAATAAGTGAAGATCCTATCTGAACGCAGCAGCAAATAGGAAAATGCTGCAGAGCCCCAAATGTTACCCCGAGGCCTATCGCGGCGAAATAAGGAGGAATAGGAAATAAAACGAACCATGGAAGGTTTAGTGGCTGAATGGCCAATTCCTTATCGGGCGAATCCCGCAGGAGTAGTTACTCTTTGGGGAGAAATCGCCACTCGCTTCGCGAAAGGTACAACTTCGTATTATAATGATCTAAGTTACCCATATCAGCAACACTTACCTTTTTAGTCCCGTCACGGCGATATTGAAACATCGCTCAGCGAAAGTGGTTTGGGTTCGTCAATAATTACATTTCAGGCAACCATTACTTATGTAGTCTGCTGTGGTCATATTAGACAAACATACCACGGTCCCTCCGGCCTAATTCACGTGAGCGATTGTTTCATTTTGAGGATGAGGGGTTGAAACTTTCATTGTCAAGTTGTCACTCACCACATTTCAAACTCGTATCTGGAAAGCCGGATTCTGAACCAGATTATGGTCAATATCATTTGAAAGCTTCATTGTTGCAGTTGGTCGTCATCATGACCTCCGTCACGGAAACCACACTCCCGGGTGGAACGCCAGGCTTCAACGGCGCAGACTGGTCCAAGTACATGGCCTACCGCCCCATCTACCCCGCTTCCTTCTTCAAGCGCATATACGAGTACCATAGTGTGAAGCCCCAAGCCGGCTGGTCTACAGCTCATGATGTCGGCGCCGGAGTCGGGATCGTTGCGGCAAGTCTAGCTGCTAGTTTCAACAACGTCATCGTCTCAGATCCCAACGATGGCTACACGACGCTCGCCCGCAAGATTCTCGTCGAAGACTCAGGCATCCCGGAGTCCAAATTCACTTTCTTTCAGGAGGGCGCAGAGAAGAGCGCCGCCGAGTCCGGGACGGTCGATCTGATTGCTGCTTGTGAGATGATCCAGTGGACCGATATTGATGCTGCAATGGAGGAGTTCGACCGGGAGCTCAGGGTTGGCGGGACTGTGGCGGTGACTTCCTACACAAGGCCGCGGATCATGGGCAACGAAAGGGCCCAGAGGATCTGGCAGGCGATCTTCACAGAGTATGCTAAGAGAACTCGAGGTCTCGGTCACCTGTACGATCGCGCCTTCGAGACCATAAACTCCGGGCTTGAGAATGTGGAATTTCCCGAGGCTAGATGGGAGGCTGTCAAAAGGATTTACATTAATTCGGGCGGCAGCTTGGAGGTCTTCCAAATTGATGACCGGGTAGGTGAGAGTCGAGTCAAAAAAGGGGAGGAGAAGGTCTGGGAAGAAGGTGATGAAGATTGGTCCGATATCAAAGATATTGACTGGTTCAAGGCCTACCTTGCTACATGGTCCGCTCGCATTCCAGAGACCGAAATCCAGAGTCTTTGGGATGAAATGGAAATTTCCCTGAAAGGTGAGAGGGCGAGGATAGAAACACCGATTGTGCTGGTTTTTGCCACGAAGAAGGCGTAGTCTAGTGGTTATGTTTTGCGGGTAGACAAAAGTTTCCACGCCCAAGTTTCGTTACTAAATCCTACTCGATGCTGACCGTCGTATCTAAAATTGGTGTACTCAAGTACTTGTTCGCCGACCCAAATCTTGTAAATTAAAGGCTAGTCCATCCATGAACATGAGTACTGTACCATGGTTATAATATGGTATATCTCAGAGTGACCATATCATCAGGGCCTTGCTGTAAGACACAAGACGGCGAACTCGATCGTCGTCCATGGCTCAAACGCGCCTGCGAGCGGGTAAGTCTAAGTTTGCTTAGATTCTCCAGTTAAAGTTATAGATGAAAAATTCCCACGAAAGAAGGGTGGTGTGCGTATACAAGGCCGTCTGTTTGGATTGTCTTACTCCTGCAAGGATTGTTGCGCAACTATGAAGACTTTCGAATCCTCAAAAGCTCAAGTTCAACGACATTTCTTGCACCAATCACAATATGTACATGATTCGCTCGTCTATATTATCAGCAGCAAACTACATATGCATTTTTCTTGGTGTATTGACTTTCATTTGTTGAAGACAGTCCGTATGAGTGAGCATCTGGGGCAGGTTTGATTTTTGACTCTTATAAATCCATCTATTAAAGATGTACTTTGACACGGCCTGCGCAGAGCATATGGGCAACTCGGAGGTAACTGATAATACTTGATGCGAATGATTTCCTGAAAAGGGTAGGAGTGAATAGGCTCGCTACGCGTCCAAATCGAGTTATGTAGGATTCATTGCGCCAGGTGCATGAATGACGTGATATTACATGCGTCGATGTGACACCCAGTGCTGACAAATATTTTAGCCAATCGGCCTCGCAGATGTCTCCGTGTAAGCAATGGATTGAAAATATATTATTATTAAATACGCCGTAGGCTCGAAGCCCCCGGTACCTCTGCTAGTACTCCCGTATGTCAAACCGTGCCCTAATGGCTGGACTAAATACATACGCTGCGTCGTCGGTTCGCCCTATTGGCGACTGCGTTGCGTCCACTACCATACTACGTTGGTTCTCAACCTACCAACAAAGTCCCCCCTGAGAAGATCGATGCTATCTGGGCCTTGAAGCTGTCCGACCCGTCCCTAGCAGCCACCTTACAATAGTCCCACTAACTACTGGTTCTCCTGTTGCCGTTGCGAGGTCTCTGCGAGAGTATAGTGGCCGTGGTGCGATGGCGGCCCGTAATCGTTCCCTCCGTCCTTCCAACAGCCCGCAAAAGAGGATTACGTGCTCTGCCGTCTCAGGGGCGTCGCCTTGAAAATATATAAAAACTGAAATATCCTCGCCATCAAGGTTGGTTGTATAACCGCATCTGGGACATTCAGGTAACTAAAACCCACAGCAGCCCCAGCATTGTTGATAGTTAATTTGCGTTAGAATTTGGTGTGCTTATAAGAACGTCTGTTATTAAATGGAGGTAACCAAACTTCTTTAAACCGTTTCTGAGCCAATTTATGATTCTCTTGTAGCGCCAATAGCCAACATGGAATGGCTCATTTCCGAGTTACCAACGTGTCCGTCCTCCTTCTTATGGTGACCGCGACTATGACCTGGTAAATTGTCTCGGCTACTCTAGCATGGCATCGCCTGAGACATTTCCAGGGACCCTTCGTGGCCAAGTTTTGCTATCTTTTGTTTTTTTCGGCCTGGTTGATTAGGCCGGAATCATGAAGTTCTCACGGAGACCAACGAAAATACAGTGACTTGGCTAAAACATGTCTGTATGCCCCCCTTACAGATGATGCGGAGGTTATACGCAATGTATCGGCTGTCAGGTCCACTCACAAGAGGTCTTCTTGGTACATGGCCAATCTTCTGGACGTTCACCATGACAGGATATTCACCCTATGGATACTGCAGCTCCTGTCAAATTCAAGGGAAGGGTCATGGTTGGGTACTCGCGTGGAGATAACCCGGATCTCGAGACTGGCATAGACACGTATCTCACAACCTTGGTCCGACTCCCGAAGAAGAAATACATCTCGACGGCTGGTTTGTTGAAGTTTCTTGATTTGGCAAGGCTTAGCTAACACTTTACGCTGGGCAGCATAAATATATTTGCCTATGGGAACGGGTTCGGTTATCATAGCGCATCTTGTAAATTTGGTCGGGTTCGTTTGCTGCGATTACGGGTACCCGTCCTAACTGCAGCTTGACAAGGTGAGGTGCACGATGTCTTCAGTACATCTGGTCACCAACAGATTGAAACACATCAGCAAAACAATGACAAACATGCTACACCAATTAATACCATTCGTGCGGGTATAAGAAGCTGGCTCTTGTTGCTCAACAGATGCTCGCACTTCAAACCTCCACTCATACATTCCTCAAGTCTCAAAGACCGAATTTTCCAACTCTGCTTATTCCATCACACAACCGCGACAACCACCCACCATGTTGGCTCTCGTCATCTTCCCCCTCTTTGTTTTCATGGCCCAAGGTCCTGCTCCGGATCCTTACTCTCTCCATATCACCGGCGACCGTGATGCTTCGATCAATGGTATGTACATGATCTACAGTCCTCTTCTCTATCACTTCGTCCAATTCATTAACCACGATCTATTACTTTAGGATACCTGTCCATCTGTCTCAATTTCGTCGGCTGAGCAGGCCTCTACTACAGACCCGAGCATATCTTGCTCAAAGTCTACAGCACATTTTACATGGAGTCAGATGAAGATTCTTCTCTTCTGGGGTTATATCATCGTTCAGAGGGAGAGAAATGAGGGCATTGACATCACCGTCGATTGGTAATGTTATCCAACGGCGCAGTGGTGTCCAATGTCGGGGTAGCCACCTTTGGGGATCTTGATTGTTAGCTGCCCAAAATGGTGGTTGGGATCGCTTCGGAGAACAAGGCATGTATGGCCGGCTTGGACGAAGCATCATGCACAAATGAGGAATCCCTAGAGATGCAAGACAATGTGTACTATAGTCGAAATCTTTGGTATGCGTTGGTGAGTAGTCTCTCGAAGAGGAACGTGCTGACAGTGGTGAGAGGACCAACGCCATTGAATCCTACTTGTCGGCCGCTGAAGGATACTTTTCAAGAAGTTTTGTAGGTGGGTTGAGGGATTGGTGGACCCAGTTGGAAGATATTTTCCAAGAAAATTAGCTTACATTATGAAGAAGACTAACTGTGAACTTGATCAGCCAATCACCTAACAGCATGATAAGCAACTTTGGTCTAATGGTTAGGATCCAAGCCTTCCAAGCTTGGGGTCGGGGTTCGATTCCCCGGAGTTGCAAGAAAACTTTTCAGGTCGTTTTTCACTTTCTACGGCTGATAATTTTACTACTAGTAATAGTTATATTTTATTCTCTTTTGCATGTATGGTTGGCCGATTTCCCCGCTTCTAAGGTCTATCTCTATAATTTAGCTATTGTGCCCGCGTTTTAGTTAATCAACAACCACTTCGTTGCAACAATATCGCCATAAATGTGTCGGCGGCTCTTCCAGTCGATGCCATCGCAGTGGACTCATTGCAAGCAATAATAAACAATGTATTGAATCTGTCATTAATCACCCCATGTCCAAAGAAGTGAAGGTAGTCAGTCATGACTTAAGTACAAAAAGGTAACGTGAATGTACACCGAGCTGGCCACTTTCATGCGCCAACGCGACCGGCCAACTTAATGTTTGATTTTCTCAACAACCAATTATGGCAAAGTCATACAACGAAGCAGACTTAATGCTAGCCCTTCAAGCTCTCAAAAATGACCAAAAACTTAGTCTCCGACAAGCGGCAAAAACGTACCAAGTCCCCCGAAGCACCCTCCAAACGCGTAAAAACGCGCCCGAGTCGCTGTGGTATTTGCAACGGGACTGGGCATAATGCGCGAACTTGTAAGATCGCATTGCCATCTTCTGGAGAGGAAGATTCAGAGTAGTTTCAATTGATTTACGGCGTTGTGGTTTTACTATCGTAAAATTTCTATACGAGGTTATGTAAGGGTGGCCAGCTCGGTGTACATTCACGTTATGCGTTGCACACTTGAGTAAGTTACTGATACACCATAGGCTTCGCTCCTGAGATTTTAACAGGTGGTTGTTGCCACGGGTCTTTTTCTCAGGGTCCATCCATCATCGATCAGCTGGCTTCCGTAAAGTACGACAAAAAAGACAGTCGTTGGAATTCGAAGCCTAGTACGGGCCGACCCATGACTGTAGATGGCATACTGTTCAAGAAGCTTCAACCAAACACCGCCTGGTCTTAGGTGTGAGCAAAAAGAACATAGCCGGCTTCATGTCCTCATCGCTAAATCCTTCCAAGTTGGACATCTTCGCATTTGGAAAAGTCCTGAAGAATCTCGCCGTAGCCAAGCGAAGTTCAATCCGGGCCAGATGCAAACCAAGGCATACTGCAAGTCGTTAGCGAAAGTAAACCAGCTACCATCATTCCAAAAAGGTGTATCAAGTGTATCAATAACTTACTCCGGCTTCCTCCACCAAATGGCACGAACGAGTCCTTCATCGCTTGAGTCGGTTCCTCCCACCTAGACGGATCGAACACAAGAGGCTCCGGATACACCGCCGCATCCCGGTGCATGCTATACGCCTGCACCGACACGGTATGTCCTCCAGGGATGAAATACCCACCCATCTCAGCGCCCTCCCTGGGCACAGCTCTCGGTAAGCCCGATGGCGCAGCTGGGTACAGCCTCATCGACTCCTGAATAACCTGGTTCAAGTACGGCAAGTTCTTCAACTTCTGGTCCTCCAGGTCATCATCCGAGAGGCCACTCAACTCATCCACAAGTCTCCTCTGAACATGCGGGTGCTTGCACACTGACCAAACAAGATACGTCAGCGTATTGGTTGTCGTATCGCTGCCGGCAATGATGTACGACGCAGCGTTATCCCTTATCTCAGCAAAATTCAACCCGTCTTCCCCGGCTTTGTACAATTTCGAGAAGAGCGTGGGTTTGGCGTCCTCGCCTTGTTTGTCGACGAGATCATAATGCTGCTTTATCGCCTGCCCGGCGTAGCTCATGGTGCGCTTCGCTTGCTCGGCGATGTCGGTTAGGACGGGGGTGCGGAAAGGCATCCATTGCGCGAGCTTGTAGATCCATGGGATGGTAGCCCGGATACTGCTGGCGAAGGCGATTTGTTCAAGGTCACGAATGTACTGTGTTTTCTAGGCGACGTCAGTATTCCACTTTTACTCTTTTTCATTATTTCCACCATATGTCGTGACGTGCAAGATAGAAACTTACCGATCCGGTCTCCAACATGTGGAACGACTCTCCAAAACTCAGCTCCCCAATGATATCCGTCGTCATGCACATGAACCAATGGAACACGTCCGCCGCCCCTCTCTTTTCCATCTCCTCTACCATTCTCTGGACAGCTAGCCGGATTTTCCCCTCGATAACGGGTTGATGCGCGACCAGACCGGTCTCCGAGATGGGCGCCGAGAGAAGACGGCGCCACCGCCGGTGGAAATTGACGTCCAGGGTGTTGAAGATATTATGCCGGTCCGGGGAGAATTTCTGATAGAAGACTGATTTGAGGAACTCGCCTTTGACGCGGTATATTTGCTTCACAGAGCTTAAGTCTTGAATACTGGCTTCAGTTGGACCGATGCGGATGATGGGGCCTGGCGACAATGTGAGCTCCTAGTGTTATTGATATAGTTGCACTCATGATGGACATGTACCATATTTAAGGTGAAGCGAATGCACATAAGTTGGTCTTTGGCCTTTCAAGATGTGGTATCTCAACACCGTATCCGTCCATATACTGTACCAGGGGCCGGGGAGCTTGGCTAATGGATTGGTCAGGAGGGTGTAAGCCCACTGTGAGATGTTAGATCAGGGTATTGGGTGAAGAGAGAGATTGCATACCACGATCAGGCCGCCAACAATGGAGACCAGTCCAACGAACTGGACACTAGGAGAATCCAGGTCGAGCATTTCACGACAATCAAGAAATTCAACGGCAGGTGACAGGTGCAACAATAAACGATGAGCTTAACAGACAATTGAGGAAACGAATGACTTGATGCGTATCTGTCCACTTTTTATTCAAGATCTCATTCCACGACAAGCCCCAGGTGTCGGGAAATCGCTTTCCGCAGTCACCGTCCATGATGTACTATGGTATCATGGGTAAGTTTTCTATTGCGTGTTTGTACCGTGCCCCACCTAGGCACGCGCCAACTCTTCGCTACCTGGCTTGAAGGGACCTTCATAGCTGTCTGAATATGATTAAGAGAAAACGTTGTAGTAGTGTGAATTTCGGCTTTCGATTTCCCACCGTCGAAATATAGGGTTCGAATTCGTTGGCGATCCGCTTCTGTAAGGTGTTTAGTCCCCATTGTAGTTGCTGAATACGCGATAATTAGGACGCGTTAACAGCAAGTTGGAATCAGAGGTGGAAGTACCTTTTCGTTACCATGAGTAGGCTAGGAAAGAATCAGTATAGCGTTACCTTGACAGTGGTCCACTGGTACTTGTCAAGGGGGTGAAAACTTTGGCCTGATACCGTAGTAGCCTTCCACAATGCAACTACCCATTGATCCACCACTGATGCTTCAACACCCTACGACACCAGAGCACCATCGTCAATAATGTGATCGTTGTGCACAACGAATGGGTTACATGACATACTCGTGTGAAGCGGTATCGGCAGTGACAGCTGCCGGCCTCCGTGGTTCCCTGTAGCGACGCGTATATCCAGAGGGCAAATGTCCGACTTAGCCGAAAACGAAAGCGTGTATACTTGAGTGTGCGGGGAAGCTGGTTGCCTTCCTGCATGTCGGTATAGTGAAGTGTGCGGGGACGCAGGTTGAACTACTGCATGTTGTCAAATCAGCGATTCAATCTTCAGCGAGCACCGAGGTTGGCATGTGAGAATATTAGGGCAATGGTTAAGGTAGAATGGCGGTGTTGATAAGTACTTTTTCCGCCCGTACGACAATCGTATACCGGCGGGATTGTGAGATATGATCGATGCCTCAACGAACATGACGGAAGTGGGCACCGAGGTTGTGACATACGTCACGTTCTGGGCCGTAATATAATCTCATTGTAGGAGGAGATTGTGGCATGCTGGGTTAATAGTTTCCGACGCCATTTCGTATGAAGACACACCACAAGTTCCAGGATCTTGCTCACGAGGAAACCCGACAGGAACACCGGAAGGAGAGTCGTAATGTCGATTAGATATCATCATTCATATAAGAATCGCATCGCTGCAAACATAGGGTCTATCCGCTCTAAGCACGTAAGAAATATCACACATTACACCCACCCCTTCTCAGCATCCTCAACCTGTATGGTGGGATTTACCTCAGTCACAAACAAGGCCGGCGCCCCATCCTCACTACCATCGCTCTTCTCCTTCTCCGATTCGACCTTATCCCCCGGACTCTTCTTATTCCTCTTAAGTACCCCTCCCAACCTCCCAAACACCCTAGCAAGGGCCTTGTACACAATCACCACTGGGCCCCCAACGACCCTTGCAATGCGTGCATAAAGCTCATCAGGAAATAACCTCACCACCACCGCCCACGGCAATGACAACAAGGCCAACACGATACAGATCGCCCACTGCACCCCATCGATCTGGGTAATCGAAAATGCCTTTCCACCGACAAAGATGATGGCTATCTGCGCTCCGACCATGATGCAGTTAATCCCAATGAAGAACATATTCCGATGAACCCCCTCAAAGATATTGAACTTGTTATCCAACCGTCGGTTATTGAACTCGTTGAAAATCTGCATCCAGACAAACGTGTTGAAGACCATGGTGTCCAACTCCAACATCTTGTTCGTGTCATTCAAGTCGTACCCAAGGATTTGCGCACCAGCGAAGTGCAGGATCAAAGTGACGACGAGTTGGAAGATGGCCTGCCCGACGATCATCTTCCACATGTTGGTGGTAATGAGGGGCGCGCTCTTGGTCTGGGGAGGCCGGTCGAGGATTTTCTCCGTGGGCGGGTCGGTGGCGAGGGCGAGGGCGGCGAAGGTGTCCATTATGAGGTTAACCCAGAGAAGTTGAACGGCCGTGAGGACGGATTCCATGGTGGGGGAGGAGACGGCGGAGATGAAAGCTAGGAGGACAGCAGTGATGTTTACCGTCACTTGGAACTATATTGGCACAGAGTTAGTCGGCGTTATTGGAAAGATGGGGAAATAGGGATGACAAGCCTGCAAGAACTTCTGCACCGCATCATTAACGGCGCGACCCCACTTCAGCGCCATGATGATCGACGCGAAGTTGTCGTCCATAAGCACAATCGACGAAGCCTCTTTTGCGACTTCGGTGCCGCAGATACCCATGGAGAAACCAACGTCTGACGCCTTCAGCGCAGGAGCGTCGTTCGTCCCGTCGCCAGTGACTGCCACGGTCTCTCCTAACGCCTTGAGTCGCGTGACCAGAATCCGCTTATCCTCCGGCGAAGACCGTGCTAGAACCTGCAGCTTGGGAAGCGTCGAGTTCATCTCCTCCTCGCTCAGGGCGCGGAATGTGGGGCCCTCCATGATGACGCCGTCGGTGTAGATGCCGCATTCCGTGGCGATGGCTTGCGCAGTGACGGCGTTGTCGCCAGTAACCATACGGACCACGACGCCGGCGTGCTGGGCCTTGGCCACGGCCTCCGGAACGCCGGGGCGGACGGGGTCTTGGATTCCCACCAAGCCAAGGAAGACGAGGTCGTTGAGCACGGAAGACAACTCAACATGGCCTTCTTCCTCGATGGAGACTCCGGCGGGCGGCCAGGATGGGTAGTCCCGGTAGACGAGCCCAATGGTACGGAGGGACTGGCGAGCATACCCGTCGATGGTCTTCGTCAACATCGTTCTATCAGCCTCGGTGAGTGCAGCCGAGGCGAGGGTCTGGATGTCGGCAGTGGAAGAGCAGCACCCGAGCAGAATCTCCGATGCGCCCTTGATAAGGAGGCGGTAGCCGCCTGAGCGCAACCGAATCACGGCGCCCATGCACTTCTTGTCCGAGTCGAAAGGCATCATCTGCACCACTTCCTCATTGGCCCGGACTCCGGGGAGAGAACCCATGCCGAGTTGTTCTCGAGCCAGCTGTAGCAGGGCCGTCTCGGTCTTGGAGCCAATGAACGCGAACTGCCCGTTATCGACGCCCTCGAAGGCGGTGGAGTTGATGGCGACGGATTGGATGATGGCTTCCTTGGTGGCGAGGGAGAGGCTTGAGGCCCATCGCGAGATGCTCATGGTGTTGGGCTTTTCCGTGTCCGACTTGACGAAGTTGGTCTGCCCGAATGTGCCGGCGACGACGGTCATCTTGTTGGTGGTGAGAGTACCGGTTTTGTCGGAGCAAATGGTCGTAGCGTTGCCCATGGTTTCGCATGCTCGGAGCACGCGCACCAGGTTGTTCTCCTTGAGCAGGCGGGTAGTTGCGAAGGCCAGTGCGAGGGTTACGGCCAGGGGAAGACCTTCAGGCACGGCGACGACGATGATCGTAATGGCCACGATGAGGATGTCCATGAACGTCATGGCTTTCTCGGCAGCAGGCCGAGTGTCTCCTGACAGCCCGGCCAAAAAGCGGAAAAGGAGCACGAAGAAAAGGAGACCGGCGGCACCCCCACCAAGTTTGGCGATTGCGATGGCAAGACGCTCTAGCTTCTTCTGCAGCGGCGTGGCTTCGACCTCGGTCCGGACGGACATCATGATCTTGCCGAAACTCGAGTTGACGCCAACCGAAGTGCAGACAAACGTCCCCATGCCCTCGAGCACCTTCGCACCCGAAATAATGAACGGATCAAGACCCTTGGACTTCTTGCCCGCCTCGAGCGCCTGCATGACCTGCTCTCCGCCCGTCTTCTTCAGCGCATCCGACTCGCCCGTCGCCGAGGACTCGTCGCACTTCAAATCATGCCCGCTGATGAAAATGCCATCAACGGGAATCAAATCACCCGCCTCAAGATGCAGTATATCTCCCACGAGGATATCATGCACGTTAATCATGTACGAAGTTCCCGAACGGATGGCCTTGATCTCGCGATCCTCTTTCTTCGCATTAAGCCGGACAAATGCGCGCTCTTTCTGCCAGTCGTTAAGGGAACCGACAGCCGTGACGATGACAATGGCAACCACGATGGCCACGCCCTCGACCCAGTCCACAGGCATAGGCGAGCCTGCAGGGTGCACCACACCGAAGGTCTCGTATAGACCCAGAGCCAGCGATATAACGGCCGCTCCTGTGAGCAGGATGAGCACTTTGTCGTTGTAGGCGTCCCACATAAGCTTCCACAGCGGCGTTGCCTTTTTGGCGGGGAGCACGTTCCGGCCGTAGACGCGGGAGCGGTCGCAGAAAGCCTCGGCGCCATCTTGCGGAGGGGCTAGGGATATTTCGTTTTGATGTGCCTTACTGTTCGCGACGGCTTCTTCAAATGTGACTCTAGCTGGGACGGAAGTCTCATCAACGCCCAAGCCGGCGGTGATATCTGTCTGGAGGCCCTTTTCGATTCCACGCAGCCCACCCAGTGCCCTAAATGCGGCAAGGGACTTGGGGTTGAGGAGTTTATTGAGCTGGCCCGGGCTATATGCAAAAGGGTTGTTGTCTACGTTGAAATCGGCTTCAGTGCCGGGGTCGGGGCGCAGAGCGGAATCGGTGTCTATTGCTGGAGTTGTGGATGTCGCAATGCTGGATGCGCGACTCCTGTTATAGGGCGTAAGAAAAGGGTTATTTGAGGCTGATGGTGTTAAAAACGGGTTGGAAATTGTCGACATGCCCGACGGTGTCGTGGCATCGTCGGTTGCATCGCTATTAGAACGCACATGTGTGTTAACTTGGAGGGTAGGTAGCGCTAAGTTGGTGTTGCCCGCCATAATGATAAATATAAATAATTATTCGAGTAATAATTGATGAACACCAGGTGCAAGTGTGAAGAGGCGCGTAGACCAGTTGAATCTGCCTCCAAAATATAAAATATCACCAAACAGTTTGGAATGTTTTCGTATTTTCCCAAATTCCGACCAGAACATATAGGAATCGACCCGGGCGGTGCAATTTTCTGCCTTGCTGAGGCGATGGCGATACGCTGAGACTTACGCAGGGGAGGGAGCTTTTGTGCTTTCTCAGTTAACCGAATTCAGAGGGGCAAGTCCGTGAGTAAAACACGTCGCAATTGTACCGTGAAGCCCCGAAATTGATCGGGGGCTGTGCCTGGAGGAGTGAGGGAGGTGCCCAGGCGAGCCGAGAAAGTATATATCCGACCATCAGCCAAGGCCAACTTCCGGGACCATGTATTAGAGTCCCGGTGTACGGAAATGCCTGTGGCTCACGTCTTGGTGTTGCCCTCGTGTGTGCCGGTGGACAGCCCACGGTTCGAGTTTCATAGTTTCATAAAGCTAAATCGTGCATCCGAGGCTGTGCAAGTCTCAATTATTGGAAGAGACGACTCGGTGGGTTACTTGAGTATCATCGTGCAAATGCGATAGTCGACGAATTCCATAAGTGGAGCGACGTACTTGCACCATCCAAGCACCCATGCGACGACCCCACGACCTGCAGATCTCGTCTCGTCCGCTATGTAGACCGGCCATTCAACCCAACGAGATAGACTGGAGGCTCGAGCATTCTGGCAACGGTCCCTGTGGCAGGAGCGCTTCGAAATTCATTCCCAAGATCTTGATTTGGCACTTTATTGCCTGCCAAGTAGTGTGGTAGCGCAGAAGGGGGCTGTGTTTTGCTAGGCGAATCAACGAGCTATACAGCGCAGGATGGCGGCTTGGCAGGGCGAACTTTTCCACATTCTAGTGTAGTCCATCCGAAGGGCATCTGACACTTTACTCAAGAGGGCGGGTCCAATCGAATAGCTGACTCGGATGAGCACTTTGATGAAACGTCCAATGCCCATCATGCAGTTTGCCCCAATTCGTCATCTGGTCGTGTCTTCAGATGCCCCAGCAACTTTGAAGCTGAAAGCTGGAGTATACAGGCACCGCATATGCAGATACCTCAAGCGCCCCTTTCGTGTTCATTGGAGGCCCCCTGTCGTCGTCCTCAGAGTCCTGTCCAATCGGACCATCGGACGCATCGTGCACAAGCTCGATCTGGCAGTTGTGGCCGCCAAGCTTCAGCGTGTCAATTTAGCGCCGTGGCCTATCGCCATCTGTGAACTTCTGACGGGAGGCACTGGATCTCACGTTCTCGCGACTATATTAGACGCTGTCGACGTATGCCCCGTACTCACGCACCGAGGACGACAACGTCTTTGCCTGTAAACTCACGTGTTACCAGACGAGTCAGTTGGTCGCCACAGTCGACTTCGCACGAGACCCAGAGCCCCCAGCCCCGTGTAGTGGCAAGCTCGCAGTTCCAGAGTCAGAGCTGTACCACGTGTCGTCTTTCGTCATTTCGAGGCTTGTCGAGGCTTGTCGAGGCAGTAAATTTCGGATTGAGATTTCGGATCCCTATGAACCCTGCTCGCTGAGAGCGGTGTTTCGACCTCCAAGTGCAATCAAGCCGGCCGGGTTGTGGCAGAGCAGTTCGCCGCCCAGCTACACGGAGATCCACCCCAAATCTCCGGGCGGCCTCCTAATGATACGGTAAATTACCACCCCGGAATGCAGTCGGATAACTGTAACATCAGCCTTTTGTTTACTTCGGAAGGCATTCCATCTTATTAGTTATCCGGTACGCTGACTGCCATAGGTGGATGGCGTCTTGCTTCAGAAGTGCAGCGCATTAGAGATTGTGGGGGTATTTCCCCATGCAGTCAATACACGTCACTCATATTCGAAGGTTCTAAGCGCCACGCGAAGGAAGGGATCCATGCGTCCCATTCAGTACAATGGCATCAGGACCGGAACGTTGCTGGTGTTTGTCGCCTCCACCAAATACACAATCGATGCCTAACAGATTAAACCGGAGAAGTTGGCCCCGTCTCGGAAATCCCCCGCGGATCGGTTCCAGGGGTGCATCCACGATACACGGTACTTAGAGATAGCATCAATCCCACAAATTGCATATCACCGTGAATCCATATAGGGAAATGGGGAAACGGGGTAGGATTAGTGCAATGCCACATGGAGTTCGCCCACACCAAGCCGTGCCATCTTGGAGATAGCATGTGGTCAAGGATCTGCAACAGAGCCTGCAACCATCGTTTCTGCTCTGCTATGTCAGTCGAAATATCCGCCGTTGCCATTGTTGCTTCTCACTTCACCACGCGAGTTGCCGTACCGCATCAACCATCATGTATACCCTCCAACGTTGCCAATGTCCAGAAGGGGTCATTCCGACTCGGACTGCCTGTACGCAATGCAATGCAATGCAATAAAATGCAATGTTTCCAACTCAAAATACCTATTTGTGCTGATTTCACTATGCCTGACACTGGTGATAATGTACAATCCTCGATGAAACGGTGAATCAAAGTTCCTCAGACAGCCAAGCCACTTCGAAATGCGATCCGCCGTATCAGCCTGCAGGAGTAAAGCGCACCAAATCCTTGCCATGGTGATGGCTAGATTATATTTTCGATGCGTAACGAAAGCTTCAAAGAAGTGTTTACACTATTAACCCAGATTGTAGAGCTGACGGGAACTTCTTGGTGTGTCATGCCTAGTCTGCTGAGCAACCATGCCCGCTTGGCTTATGCCCAACCAAACTTGACATCATATCATCGAGAGTTATACAGCTTTCAAGTTTTCATTTGATATGAGCATTTCCTAATAATTTGTATTATTGTCGAAACAATGGGGCGAGCTTGACGTATTTCGCTCGCCTAGGTTTCAAACCAGTCAAATTGTGCATCACGTTAGCTTCCCAGATACAATGCACGCAGCCCATCAGACCTTTTCACCACCCTTTTCGGCGATGGAGTAGGTGTGATGTGACCTTGACCCATCAGATCGTTGTATGAGAGGTTTTGCGGGTGTTTCTGCGGCCAATATTGCTGCGCCCAGTGGCTGCGCAGCACAGAAGGGATGAGTATTGGTCGCCTCGGCATCCTATTGGATCATTCATTTACGTGTGCATTGTTGGCCTCAGTCATAAAGTCTCCTGATTCTTTCAGGAGGAGAGGGGAGAGATTAATTATTTACACAAGCTCTGTTTGATCGAGTTCAACCATCCATATGTGTGCATTGTGGCAAGCTGTATCACAGGAGCTTTCTCGATATTAACAATGCTCGTCTAGTAACCATTGGTTTGTTTCTGATATAGTCTGCCATAATATACAAGGTGGATTCTTTCCCCGTAGGTCCTTTGCCCTTCGAAGACGCCTCGATATCTAACATCAAGCCTGGATGGGTTTCATGGCTCGCACCATGGGGATAGCGCTTGGTTTCTCCATAACCGCCGAAACATTCTGAACGACGTACCCGTTCTTTTCGTAAACAGACCTTCCTAGCTCACTGGCATCCAAATATCACTCAACGCCCATCTCATCCACAAGATCATTGCCCCATTGCACTAGAGCCCGCCCAACACCTTTACCTCTATACATATTGAGAGTTGTAAGAACCTCGAGAACTGGAAAGTACAGTAAGCTCATGCTATGTGATTCTATCATGGCGGCTTCTACGGTATTTCACTTACAGACATGCCCGCGATCTCCCATCAGATATTCGTGCGCTATCTGCATCGGCTCGTAGAACGCCGCCAGCTTCTCCTTGCTCAAGTCCGGGACGTCGTCAATCGGTGTCCATCTGGCACTCCAATCTCGCTGCGACTGAGTCATTCACACTAGCACAATACGGTAGACAGCCACCGCAATATGGGTGCCTATTTATACGGTCAGTCTCTGCTTTGCCATGGAACAGCTCGCAGCTAGCCGCGGCGCACACCACCGTCACCTCTCACGATAATGACCCTAGTCTCTGGTTCGCCAGCCGACGGTGGCACGAGGTTCTTAGCATAATCTCGCTCGAGCCATTGACGACCTGTTTCCGACTCAGGGTAAACTTCTCGGAATATATCGGCGTTGAACCCGCTCGAGGGTTGCCTTCCGTGCTTGCTGGCACAAGTGAAGGTCAACCCACGCATGTCGTCCAAATATCAGTTAATAAAAGCCCGTCTACAAGGGGGTTGGGTTGCAATATCGTCGCTTACGATGCTTACTAATCGTTCTCAGTTATAGGTGACCTTTGCGAACACCAATGCTGTCGTTATTTAGCCGCCTTTGGTCAAATATTATACACTACTGTTTTAGCCTATGCCTGCATATTGAGCCTAGTTGTACTCTGACCCGTCAATCATGTTACGAATGGCTTGTCTGAAAATCGTACTCGCCCTATGGAAGCTTCCGATTGGTGCATGACTGCGCCATAAGCTACGTGGACTTACACGTGTCTGCTGTTATCTCGGTGAAAGTTGGCCGTCTTACACGAGTCGAGCATGTGAGAGCCTTGGTAAGCTTAATCTATTTACAACATACTGGGGTTGTTGGCGAGCTCCATTATGGGGAGAAAATGGCGAATTTGCAGCTGGAGTTTATAAACAACATGAGTTCCGAGTGCTGAAGACGAAACTGCCTTTGTCCACGAGAACCAACCGCTGCCCTAATACTCATAATAAAAGCTTCCGTCCAAAGAGAGTAAACGTAGCTTCTGAATTAAGGGAGGATGCCTCTAATATGGCGACAACAAGCTCTATAAGCCGTCATTATTGAAGTCATGCCAGGGTTGCGTAGCTGCAAAATCAGATAGCATGGAAATGAACGTAGCCATTCAAAAACAAGCAGAGCTTGTACTGTTGTAATTATCAGAAGAGTGTAGATCCTCCCATATCATGGGTAACACAACCAACCTAATGAGGGCCGCTACCACTCGAGTTAATCGATTAGCTATACCCCTATCGACCCTCATAACAAAGTGGGCCTCGGCTAAGTTAATATGGCGTTGAACCCGTGCTTTGAAAAGGACCATAAGGCGAGGTGGCATTTATCCGACGACATCTGGAGGTTAACATATTTTTCCACTGTTGAAAGACGCATAACTGAGGGACAACCGCAGACATCATTTTTGAACCCTGATCACATGTCTTGACTAGGAAGCAGCACTATAGGAACCTGCCTCAACCAGTTTGTCCCCTTGGACCGATGTATTATACACAAATATAGATTTTCTCACAGCACACCTGTTAATACTGTCATTCGTTAAAGCCTATCCCTTTCTCCTCTGACAATACCTATTCACGATCAACACCTTGACCTGGCCACCTCCCCCTATCCGCACACCACATCAACATCCCCGCCAAATCATGATTGGCTTGCTCCGTCTCAGGAATCTCATGCCCTCCACCATGGTTATACACCTTCCTTATATACGGATCACACAACCCCGCCAACCGCACACTCCCCGCCACCATCGGATCCCCCTCCCCGAAAACATGTACCGTTGGAATCCTAATCTTCAGCTCCAGCGGTATTCGATTTAAATTCAAACCAAAACAATCATCGGAGTCAAACTGCGCACGACGTATATATGCCGCGTAATCCGTACCTTTACTCCGCCACCTAGTTTCTCCCCCTCCATCCACATGATTCTCATGGCATTGGCCTGTGGTCTTCTCCGATGACTGCTCCTGAATCCTCAAATCCAACTCCTCAAGATCCCTGGACACGGGACAGCCCAAGTCCTTGAGCGCCGAGATCGGCACCTCGCCACAGATAAAAATGGCGAATTTGAAAGGAGGCAGGGCTTCAGGTTCGTACCACTGCTGGTATAGTATGTAACTCGAGACGAGAGCACAGCCCTGCGAGAAGGCCAGTACGCCGTCGTACGGGCCCCGCAACTCGAGGACGTCGCGCAGCCAGGCGTGGGCGGTGCGGATGGTGCTGACCCCTGTGCCTTCGTAGAAAGCGTAGTGTGGGGGTTCGGAAACTAGGGGGCGGTCTGGCGAGGGAGACAACGGCAAGGGCCCATCTATAAAATCGAATGTGAATGATCTGCCGGGGCTGAGCTCTTCAAGCTTCTGGCGAATGAAGACTAGATGTCTCGGTGAGCTATAGTACGCGTATTCATCGATTGTTCACTTGGGGGAATTGGCTTACCAGTTTGGGAATTGAAAATTTGCCCGTTGGCGCCTTTACCGTGCAAACAGAGGATCTTCATATCTGGGCAGTCTAGTGCCGGGGCTGTGCACTGCACCTGGCCGCAATTGTGTAAGTATGTACAGCGGGGGTGGATCAAAGCTATGGACTGGATTGAATCAGGTTTTGTCTGGACACAATCTCGGCAATGGCAAAATTATTACGACAATGCAAAAGACATGTTCACGACGACATTGTGTTTTGATTTGGATGTTGATACAGATGCCGGATGTCCGAAACGGAGCTCCGGTTGGTCCTCAGGACCGCCAACCCGGAGTTCTCCGGCCGCGATCATATGTTTACGACATGTACGTTTAGTCGGGTTGTTTGAGCCTGCATGCCGGCTCCATCGTGAGCGGCCATATGAATGTCAAGCCAGGAGCGTCTGGTGAGCAGAGAGACCGGAAACGGCCCGGCTGCGACAGAACTTCACGAAGCCACCTTGCACTACGCCCATCGATAAATTTCAAGTGGTAAGGCAGAGTGAACCTGCATTGCTGCCGCAAACTGTAATCGATCTGGGCCTCGTGCACTGCCCATCCAAGCACTGAGAAATAGCCAATGAACTTCGCACACTAAGAAATGAGTCTGCTTCGTACCATAAAATTTGATATTGAACAAATCGGCTCCAGAAGGGCACATCATCTATTTGATCGATGTTTGCAAGTTGCCGTTCTCGCCATCAAACTTGAACTTGGATCCAAACATCACTACCTCAACTGGATATTTGCTGGTCCAAGCAAACACAGTCTCGTGCACAGCATCCATCGCTGCATCCTCATCCTCCAGGTATGAGGTGGTATCATACCGGTGCCCCTGCCCCTGCCCCTTTGCAAGGCATAGTCGAGCTTTCTTCGGCCCTAAGAATTCAACGACATAGGCCGTCGCATTCATTTCCACATCATCGTCGACATCTTCCCTGAGGAAGGCTATCGGTGGCTATATTTGGAGCATTGCACCATCTCACTGCTTCGCCCCGTCGAATCCCACGTCAACCTCGCCGACCAAGTGCTCAAAGGCGTTGTTTTAGAGGTAGTAATTATAGCAACAGCCTCTCTCCTACGCGTCGGCTACAGCCACGCCTACCGGTCGTGAAGGTTTCAAGTAGTTAGAGTCTTCAAACCAGACGGAAGCATGCGACCGAGAGCAGAAGCCTGGTCGTTGTATTCCGGTATACTGTCCGCCTCGGTTGGAGCGTTGATGAAGTGTGCCATATCCTCAAGCTATATGGCGTTTGGCTTTGCACGACACGACAAGACGAAGGTCAAACTTCAAGGAATACTAGATCAAGGGGGCTCGTACGAACCTGCGCTACCACCGCCGACGTGAACGTTTCGTTTCTCATCTGAGTCTTCAGATTGCCAGGACTGAAAGAACTCGTAGGCAGATAACGCTTCTCAGAGCAGACCTTTGTGGTCCGTCTGGGGCATGAGACGATAGCTGGCGCTAATCAATGGTCACTTTCGCGGATAGCAAACTTGCACCAGGTCTGACGAGACGAAAGTGCGAGCGCCGGCGACGAGTCGGCCCGTATGGAAGAAGAGAAAGATGGGTTGGCGGGAAGGGTAGTCGCCATTTTGGTAGACATCGCATTGCAGAGGGAATTCGTGCGTAGCAAGCACGTGTATTGTCTTCGTCAACATTGTGTGAGAGGACTGAAGAATCCAGACTATTGGATTTGGGCAGAAAAGTCTCACATGATGGGTAGGAGAAATACACTGCTTGAAACAAGAAGCACAAGGCAGCTAGGTTGCCATAACCAGACCATCTTATCGACTGGACGCCACAGAAACGAGAGACTTCGGCGTCTCGATGACCCGAGAAGACGAGTCCAAGCCAACGAGAGGAAGACGGGTTTGGGTCGTGAATGATACTAGCAGCATGGTTCTGGAATTGCAAGTGAGCGTCGACTTGCACCCGTACTGGAAATCCAATTTCTTCGCGTCTTTCCAACGCAATGCCGGCGATCCCACGCAGCTGGAACCTTTGAGCAAGTGCAACTTTGCTGCGCTCTCACATGGGAAAGTGGGGTCTCGGCAGTCAAGGCCGATCTTGAGGATATCTTAGGTACATTTCCACCGATCAATACTTTAAAACTGCATCATGTCTGACTATTGAAATATACTATTCCTCACTCACTGTAGCTCTAAGTAAGCAGAATCAACTACAGAAACCACTGCAATCGTGATGCTAGAAACACGCAAATGTTGTACGCAACGTTGAACCAAACTCCGGGTACCTACGCCCATTCTGTCATCGGGAGACCCACCATATTGGAATCTCTAGCTCGGCATTGACCGACACATTGCCATCATCAACAATTTTGGCACAAGACCTCGACCTTGTTCTCCTCCTCCGCGAGAATGACTCAAAATTCTCGCCGTATAGTTTACAACGTGTCATTGCCCAATTTGTTATTACACTGAGTCTCCGTGTCGCGATTCATGTCTAGTTGGTGAAAAGACCTTGCGATACAAGGGATTTTTCGAACATGGCCTCCGAAAGGCCGTCTGGGCCCAGCCGATCCAATTCCCACGTGCCGTCGACACCGAGTGGACTTCGGCTGAGCCAAACGCTGTCGTCTTCACAGTTGTCGAAGAATGGAGGCGCCGAAAGCTCGAGACCGCGACCCAGCGACGAAGGACCTCCGAGCCACGCCGGCCCGAGTGTGGTTCCCAGCACGACTGCCCCTGCGACCGAAGGGACCTCTCTGCTTCACCACGAACGAGGTTATTCAGCGTCTTACGACAATGGCACCTTCTCCCCTCACGCCGAGAGCCTGTCCACAAGCTACTTCAAGATGCCTGATTCCGATGCCGCATCGACGACCGGGTCAGAAACAGCCTCTCTGAAGGGAAACTGGAAGAAGGCGCTCGCGTTCAGGATAAAGTCCAAGACAATGCACAATTCGAGAGCATTGGCGGAACAACACGGCTTTAAGGATTCTCCCATCATGTACCTTTCGTACTACATACCGTGTCTGATATGGATGCGGCAATACAACTGGGCCTGGTTGAAGGGAGACCTTACGGCGGCGATCACGATAGCGTCCATGTACCTGCCCATGGCGCTGTCGTATGCCGACAACTTGGCACACGTGCCGGCCATCAATGGGCTCTATGCCTTTGCTTTCAATCCCTTCATCTATGGTATACTGGGCAGTTGTCCGCAGATGATTGTGGGGCCAGAAGCAGCAGGTTCGTTGCTAGTAGGGTCCATCGTCAAGAGCAGCATCGATGCCGGGCATGGCGAGGACGATAATCCCCTCCTGCACGCCCAGATCGCCGGTGTAGCTGTGGGTATGGCGGGGGCAACCGTTTTTATAATGGGACTGTTTCGCCTCGGGTTTTTGGACAGTGTCCTCAGCCGTCCCTTTCTCCGCGGCTTCATTTCGGCCATTGGTGTGGTCATTTTCATTGATCAGTTGGTTCCCGTACTCGGACTCTCCAAGATCGCTTCCGAAACCTCTGGAGTGGGACATGGCAGCTCGGTGGAAAAGCTTGAGTTTATCTTCTCAAATTTTGGCTCTATCCACAAGCTATCTGCCATCATTGGTGTGGTCAGTTTTGTCGTCATCATGGTTTTTCGGTAAGTGGTCACGCCCGTACCCAGCTCTGCCTTCTTTCTCATGTTCTCTAGTGAAGTCAAGAGGCGCCTCCAGCCCAGGTATCCTGGAGTGGCCTATGCTCCTGATCGCCTCTTCGTTGTCGTGATTTCCTCCCTTCTCGCATGGCGACTGCGGTGGGACGAGCAAGGGGTTGGAGTGCTGGGCAACGTTCAAGCTGCATCGAGCCACCCGTTCGCTTTCCACAATCCATTCCAGCTGTCTCAAATGGCGCACATACGGGAGGCGATGGGCACATCCTTCTTAATTGGCATGCTTGGCTTCTTCGAGTCTTCAGTCGCTGCGAAGAGTCTTGGCGCCGGTGAGGTGATTGAAGGCATGCAATTGAGTCCCAACAGAGAACTCATTGCGCTTGGGACAGCCAATCTACTTGGTGCATGCTTCATGGCAATTCCTGCCTTTGGTGGGTATGGTAGAAGCAAGGTCAACAAGTCCACCGGCGGCAAGAGTCCAATGAGCTCTATCCTACTCAGCATCATCACAGTGCTCTGCATACTGTTCGTCTTACCGTGGTTCTACTACATCCCTGTACGTTACTTCCCGAAGCTTTCGTCTCCAGCCTGCTCGTTTTCTACGCATGAGAACCATGAGAACCATCAACTGACGCCCTTAGAAACCCGTTCTTTCAGCACTCATCATCGTCGTGGCTTGGTCACTGATTGAAGAAGCACCCCACGACATAGCCTTCTTCCTGAAGATTCGCGGATGGACAGAGCTGTCACTCATAGCCGTCATCCTTCTGGTGACGGTATTCTTCTCCCTGAATCTGGGAATTGCTATTGGGATTGGAATTTCACTCCTCCAAGTCATCCGACATTCGACACGCCCACGAATCCAGATCCTCGGCCGCATCCCCGGGACCGAGAGATTCGAAAACGCAGAGGAGAATCCTTCGGCTCTCGAATTCGTCGAGGGCTGCTTGATTGTCAAAATACCCGAGCCCCTGACCTTTGCCAACACGGGCGAGCTCAAGAACAGGCTCCGCCGGCTGGAGCTCTACGGCACCGGAAACGCACATCCAGCCCTGCCACGTCTTCGCCCGCATAACAGCAATCGCAACGTCATATTTGACATCCATGGCGTTACTTCAATGGACGGCTCCGGTGCGCAGGTATTGGAGGAGATCGTGCGCAGCTATCGCGAGAGAGGCGTGCGCGTCTTCTTCAGCCGAGCTCCCGCCAAGAGTAATATCACCTGGACTCTCTTGCAGCGGGCTGGAATCGTGGAATTGGTCGGCGGCGAGCATCATTTCGTACGTGACGTTAAGGACGCCCTGCGCATGACTGAGGCCGAGGATCTGGGAGCCACGGGGGCCTGTGCCGCTGCGGGTAATGATGTCCCGGAAGCTCGATAGCGTTTCTGTCATTTTGAGCTCGCGACAAACTGGTTCGGATTTGCATGTTCATTAAGCGCATTGACGGCAACGGCGTCGGCGTTGTGATACAGAATCAGAGGGGGTGGTGTGATGTAGATGACTAGGAGGCGGAGGGTTGTGAGAAAGATGAGCATTTAATCATGGGTTCGGAGCATTGAATGTTGAATGATTTGATGAATCGACTAGTATGAAGGTAGATTGCACAGAGATTATGTTGAGGGACACACAATAGAAGTGATGTATTGTGGTGAGGAAAGAAAGCTAGGCTAGTGTTGTTGGTCTGGAAATAAGTAGTGGTGGCTGCGCAGGTACCACCTCTGACAGATTATACCCAGTAAGGCAGTGGTGGACTATTGTTAGATTACGTTCCCCATATTCGGCTTTCAGGTATTATCAATTCAATATGGCGGTTACAGTCGCCCTGCGTTACATGCTACGTTTGCGACATCTAGTGGGGAATGTGATAGTCAAACTCAGGGACCTACGATCATAACCCTTTGTCTTGGAGAAAAGACCATATCTAGGACCCTCTATCTCTATATTGAGCCATTCCCTGGTGGTGCAATACGTACAGACTAACAAATTTGCCGTCATATACGCGATTTGCAAGGGCCACGAGCATCCGCGTTGCAACTTGACCTCACTTGCGCATGATGAGATAGGTAGCGAATTTTGACTCGAATACGATGCTACGAAGGCACCCGCATTAAATGCACCAACCAACCAACAAGCTATGCCTTGGACTCCCACTAGAAACGCCCGTAAAGGTTTGCACCAAAAAGCAATTCGGACCCTGTGTTTCGAAGAGACTACCTTCTCTTGACGATTCAGTCGTCACTCGTTACTTATTCCTCATCTGACTCCTCTTCAGCTACCTGTATTGTCACTAGTCAGCTCAGGTTCAAAACACGCTGTCCGAAAAGGGTATACTCACATCGTCATGGAAATTCTGCCCATCCGTCGTCTTCTTGATGACATCCTTCCTTATGCAGAAGTCGCCAAAATGCTCACCTTCCTCCCTTTCGAGGGCATACCTCTTCAGCAACGGCTTCATGATAGCCAGGATCTCATCTTCTTTGATGCTGGACCGGTACAACTTATTGAGGCGCTGCCCGTGGTAACCCCCGCCAAGGTACATGTTGTACGCACCGAAAGCCTTGCCGACAAAAGCCACCTCAGCGAGCCAGGGACGCGCGCAACCGTTGGGGCAACCCGTCATGCGCATCACTATGGACTCGCGTCGGAGGCCGTTTTCTTCGAGGCAGGCCTCGAGCTTGGAGATGAGCACGGGGAGGTACCGTTCGCTTTCGGCCATGGCCAGACCGCAGGTGGGGAACGCCACGCAGGACGAGGAGCTCAGGCGCAGGCCCGAGAACTGCAAATTATCGAGCTTGTACTGCTTCATGAGCTCCTTCAGCTGTGGCATGTCCTCGTCTGCCACGTTGGAGAGAATTAAGTGCTGGTTGCCCGTTAGGCGGAATTCGCCCTTGTGGACCTTGGCGATCTCGCGTAGGCCCGTCTTCATCTGGAAGTCGGTCGTGTCTTCGATACGGCCGTTCTCGATGAAGAAGGTGAAGTGGTTGAGGCCCGTTTCGTCCTTTAGCCAGCCGAAGGTGTCGATGTTGCTCTTGAAGTGGAATGGCCGGGCGGGCTCGAACGCATCGCCCCACAAGGCTTCAACTTTGGAGCGGAAGCCATCGACGGTGAGATCGTCAATGGTATACTTTAGACGGGCATGCTTTCGGTTCTTGCGGTCACCGTGGTCGCGCTGCACCAACATGATCTTTTCGCACGCAATGTGAACCTTTTCTTTGGAGACATAGCCCATCATTCGGCCAGTTTGAGGGTAGGTCTTCTTGTTGTTGTGCGTCGCACCCATCCCACCTCCAGCCAACAAATTGAAACCGACCAAGTGACCATCATTGCCCTTGATGGCGATCAGGCCGACATCGTGTGCATAGACATCCGTGTCGTTGTGAGGGGGGATGGCGATGGTGATCTTGAACTTTCGAGGAAGATACGTGGGACCGTACAACGGTTCAAAGTCTTGAACAGCGTCCCCGGCAATCTGCTTCTTTTCCTTGTCATCCTGGAGCCAGATCTCGTGGTATGCAGTCGTTGATGGCAGCAAGTGGTCACTGATTATTTTTGAGTAAGCGAATACTTCCTTCTGGTACTGCGATTGTGTTGGCAAAGAACTGCACATGACATTTCTGTTGACGTCACCGCAGGCGGCGATGGTCGTCATGAGGGATCGGTTGATCGCCTGCATTGCCGGCTTGAGTTTGCCCTTGACGATACCGTGGAATTGGAACGTTTGACGGGTTGTGAGTTTCATCGTCTCGTTACCAAGTTGTGTACTGATGTCGTCCATCTGTATCCACTGTTTCGGGGTGGCAACACCACCGGGCAGTCTGCAACGAATCATAAACGAGTATGCTGGCTCCAATCCCTGTGCTTTTCGTTCATCCCGAACATCGCGATCGTCTTGCATGTACGTGCCGTGGAACTTTGTTAGCTGCGAATCCGACGCAGAGATGGCGCCGGTGGTATGGTCGTTGAGCCCTTCCACAATAGTACCACGCAAGTAATTGGACGCAAGCTTGATGTCCTCGTTGGTAATTGGTGGCGGCTCCTCGGGAAGGCCCTCGACGTTGGCAACACCAAGTGCCGACCAAATCTTGGGCTCCCATTCGGCATATCCGGTTTGATAACCATCAGGATCCTGGTCGTCACCAAGTCCAATGTCAGCCAGACGCTTGGCACCGAAGTTCGCCAGCACCTTGTCGAGATCTTTCGCGGGCTTGTTGTAGTAAACTTTGTCTTGTTTGCGAGGCCAGTAGTGCTTGTCACCCAGACCAAAGACGGAGTAGTTGACTGAAGCCAGGTCAAGCTCGGTGTTATCCTTGATCGCATCCCAGAAGGGCTTGCCATTCTGGGGGAACTCTCCCTGTCCGGCAGTTGCAGTGACGAGAACAATGTTCTCCTCCGTGGGAAGATCCTCCACTGGGTAGTCTTCCATGGCCATGACGGTCGTCTTGAGACCTCTCGCCCTACCGCGAGTGCCTAACCGCTTGGCCACGGATTGGGCATTGCCGTTGTCGGATGCATACAGGACCGTCAGAGGTGCACCGAAAAGACCTTCCAAAAGTTGCATGTATGCGTCGCGGGCCTTCCTCTTCTGTTGAGCTCGCACTTCGGTGCCGAAATCCTGGGCGAGATTGGCAGCAAAGGCAGGCTCCTTTTGCATCAACTGCGTGAGGTGGTTGTCACGAGCGAGGAACTCCTTGAGCTCTTTCTTGACCAGCTCGGAGTCCAAGGAGAAGTTGGGCTCGCCCTTGGTCTCATTTTGTGGGTTCCACCTGTATAGGGGCCAGTAGCCAACGTCCACAGCCTTCTTCGTCTCCTGAAGCACGGTCAGGGGCGACTCGTGCTCGCCAAAGTACGGGAGGTAGGCCAACACGACCGAAGGACCGTCGAACTGGTCGGCCTCCAACATCGCTTGCAGAACCTGGGTGTAGGAACTGTACACGGCAGTTGAGGCCACATAAGCGTTGCCAAAGTTCATGGCGTACAGACCGATATCCTTCTTACGCCTGGAAGCATCTGCAGCTGCTCTCTCCGAGTACGGCGTCGAGTCGATGATGAGCATGTTGACATTCTCCCCAGAAGCCAAGACATGGTGCACACCGGAGTTACCCAGATCATATGACCATGCATCAGAGCCGACCAGCCAGAGTGACTCTTTTCGGAAGAGTCCCTTCTTTTCCAGGAGTCCCTGGGCCACCGAAGTGCCATCGCGTTCGAGCCGGCTGACCACCTCTTCGGCCACATCGTCAACCTTCAGGCCACTGTTGATGGTCTCCACCCATTTCGTCAACCAGTGCTTCGTCTGCGAGACGAACGGATTCCGAGGGGAAGCGACAATGTTCTTCACTTCCTTGACGAGTCGCTGCCGGTTTTCCTTGCGGGCCAAGAGGGAGCCAAAGCCAAACTCTGGGCTGGAAGCAACTGTGGCAGCGACCCCCGCGTTGGACGACTTGAGGGCATTGGCGATGTACACCCGGTTGCCAAACAGCTGGTCTAGAATCTTTGTGTAGGCGGTTTCGAGCTTTGGTTCCCCCAAACGAAAGGACGCGACATCAGCGGGTCCGTCTTTTTTCCCCACCTCCAGATTCTGAAGGGGTTTCGGTGACGTAAGATTCTGAAAGACACCCTTGAGGGCCTGCGAGATGGTTTCGGGCGCAATGTAACCCAATTGGTATCCAACAATGTGTTCCACACCGCCGAAGCCGCTTTTGACGGACGTCAGGACATCGATCAACAGAGGGCCCCACTTTGTCGTCTTCCGCGACACTTGCTCCAAAACGGCTATGCGCTTGACAGATTTCGGAATGGCCTCGATCAGCTTTGCACCCAGCCATGGTCGATAGAGTCTCGCGGTCAACATGCCCGACTTTGCGTATATATCGCTCGACCTGGCGGCATCCAGGGCCTCAGCAAAGAGGCCGGCATCGGACCCGAACACGAATATGGCCTTGTCGGCTGACCGTGGGCCAGACCACTCGAAAGGGCTGTACTCTCTGCCAGAAAGCACTTTGAGTTGTGCCCATATGGCTGTAACGTATTTGTATATGTCCTCGGAGGTAACGACTGGGGGTGCATCATCGAGGGTTGTGGCTGAAGACACACTAGGGGGTGCGCTGGAGCTGCTGTGTTGACTGGCGGACGAGCCCTCAGATGGCGTTGCCTTGGAGGTCGTGTCCAAAATGGTCGAGTCTGCGAGGCTATTAGACGTCGCGGATGCGCCATTAATCAAAGGCTCTGATCGATTAGAAGCCACAGCGGCCATCCCATCGTCGGCATAGAGGGTGGAGCTAGGGATCAAGGCAGCCTGGAACCGCCGGACATCACCAATGGTGAGCAACTCCCGTACGATTGATGCATCTTCAGCAGCAATTGGCTTGTCGAGTGAGCAGGAGCCCGGGTCAAAGTAGTGGATAACACCCTTTCCTGACTGAACAGCCAAAGCGTGCGATGTGATGGCCATATCTTGTGCCTCTTGCAGTGACTCTGACTGCAGGAACGTCCATCCTGAGTTTCTGATGGCCGTGATAGCCGAGTAATCGGGGAACTGGGCGGGGTGAAGGGAGACGTGGATGACCACGGGATAGTTTGCCAGCTTGTACAGGTGCGCAATGGATGGCAACAAGACGTTGGAGGTGGTGGTCACCGAGGTGAGTCGGCCGGAGCGGATGGGGGCGAATACAGAGAGCAGGGGGTCGTTGTTGTGTCTGACGGATTGGATCTGGACAGGTTCAAGTCAGTCGAGGTCCTTCGTTCTTCGTCGACAAGTGGCTTTGCTGGGTGGGACAAACCTCGGGAACGGCGCCATCTCCCTTGCAGATAAGACTTGGGTCTTTTCTGCCAGCATATCGGTTGAGGTGTGTAGAAAAGGCCGAGTCGTCCTTCAGCGTCGGCTGTACTGAAATAACGACATCACTGGCCAAATATGCTATTCTCGCAACTGCAATGGGAGACTGATATTAGCTGCTGTGGTAGCGTAACAGCGACACACATACGAGGGGTTCGCAGTGTGAGACTGTGGGATATGGATAGAGGGACGACGTACCTGCCTCTTCAGGTGTGCGAATCTGGATGCTGGAGGACGCCATCAAATCTGTCTCAACCTGGGACGAAGGAGCAGCAGACGAGGGCTCTACTTTACTGCTTCCGAAGAGGAAAGACATGATGGCGGTGGCATATCTACTTCAGACTTTAAATTTCTTCCATAACAATATCACCTTAGAGCCGAGGGCAGCAATGGCGACATGCGACTGCCCCGCAATTTACTCTCTACGCCCATGTTGCAATGGTCACTCACTGAGAAAGCACAATCACGCCATCGATAGATTTGGCGTTGCCGGCCAATGGGATTTGGGGTTTGGTCAGAGATGGGAACTAGACCGTGAACAGACGTCCTCCCACTGCTTTTCCTAACCCTTCGCCGGTCAAGTCCCACTGTTTGGACCCTGGGTTTGCGGCTCGGCTGGCGGTCCACCTATGCAGCCGCTGGAACAACCTTATTTGCAATGCCCGATAGCCGTATTGTGAATTGGTTGTTTTCTGTCTCTTGACTTGACTTGTAACGCATCAACATCACCAACTACTCGCTGTCAGCCCGTTTGCATGGTAATAGACGTCGTGGGACCCTTAGTATCTATCCAGTATCAATTATGGACGATAAAAGGCTGACTTGAACGATTCGCATGACAGCCGCCCTCTAACCCCGACATCCGTGTGGCCACCGACGACTTCGCTTACGTAAAGCATCTTGAGTGACGAAGCGTTGCTTACCAAGCGAATGCGGCACATAACCGGGTACTCACGTCAGCTTCGTGGCTTTCACGTACTCTAGTGTAGAGGTAACGTCAATAGGAGGAATAATTGTAAGTCGAGCATCACCGAGATCTAAGTGTTGTCAGTGTTCATATATCTGCAGTGGAATCTGCATGTACTGTTATTTACATAGCCAAGCCCGTGCTAAACATTAATGTCGCAAAATAAACACTACCAACCCTCTACGCAGCGATAACCTTTTGGTTGCTAAACTTGCCCTTCATACTGCGCGTCCACTCATCACCCTCAGCCGGACCGACCCAGTAGCTCCGACCAACCGAGATCATGGCCCTGCCAACCTTGCCCCTCCAGCCCGCACCTTCGGGGGAGTCTTCCGCAAAGAGGCCCTCGTTAGCCCGCCCAGCATCGTCACCGAAACCCTGTTCTCTGCCCTCCGTGTACTGAAGCAGTACCAGTCGTACGTGCGCCATGACCACCAACATGAAGTAGACCCGAACAAGTGTAAACAGGACAATCAACGTCATGCTCGTCGTAGTGTCGACTGCGCCCATGAAACCCTCCGCACCCGGCTGCTGATCCGGATCTTCCGATTTAATGTCATCCTTCTTCCCAGCAACACCGCTGCCGTTGGCCAGATACCACGTCACGGCAAAGGCGGTGGTGTACGCAGTGTTGATAAAGGTATCGATGACATAGAGCCACGCAAGCGCGACACACTGGAAGGGCGTCTGTTTCCGGATGTGCGGCATGCAGAAGGCGAGCAGGATAAGGGCGGCGGTCGAGTAGATGTAGAGCGACAGCTGGAGGATCGAGATGTGATAGCCCGTCAGGATGGCAAGGAGGCCATAGAGGCCCGTGACTTTGTTGAAGAGGAGAGCGAGGGCAATAAGCTCAGTGCCGGTTTGGAGGCTGATGAGGCCGAGGAAATTCTGCGAAAGTAGGTTGGTTTCAGTGCAGGTAGGAATTGGTTTGAATGTCTTCCATTCTTGAACTGTGATCGGGCAGGCGTCATGGCTGATGGTTCAGTTCGCAACGTACCTGGGGACGAGGCAGCCGAAGCTGCAGACCTTTTGAGGATGCCATAGTGAAGGCGACAGTGTGATGCGATATGTTGCAAGTGCGGCGTATTATCGTCTTGGACTCGAGTGACGAAACAAAGTAATCGAACGACTACGATGCAAGTTCTTCCGAGTTGATTGGAACCGACGGAAGCGCCGGCTTGAGTAGCCCCACTTCCTCATTTGATCAACGTACCCCTGGGGTGCACATCAAAGCAACGTCCGACTTGAACCAACTTAACTGTAACATCTTCCCAAATCACCAAAATCACCAAAATGCAGATGGTCTGGATCCTTCCTCGGTGAGGCGAATAGCCGACAGAGATTTTGGGGCCAACTGCTTCCCATTTATGGTGCAGCCCTTGCTCAAAAGTAAAGTTCAAGTGGCTGTAAAGTTCCAGGTACGGTATCGTGAGTACTTCATACATAACATGTCCTTCCGCGACAAGACAGAGCGCTGTGCTGCTCTTCGGATCCAATAATCTAACGCAAGTGTCATTCGTGTCAAATGTCTTCCTCAGACAAGATATGGAGCTCCTCGGCCTTCCCAATGAGATCTTCGACCAAATCCTGGCTTTTGCCATCTTGGTACGCTGGCATGGGAAACCAAACCCGGCGAAAGGCACAGATGCCGTGCTCATCTACCAACTGAGGCGTGTTTGGAGTTAGTCGTCATAGAATGTTTGGGTACCAATGTATGCCATGCAGCTGATGTGAATCCCTAGAGCAGTTCTCAACCAGAGTTCCCAAACTTTATTCGAATCCCGCATTCTGGGCAACTTCCCCATCATCTAGGTTAGGTGTTGGACAATTGATACAAGACGTACCACAGCGATGCTCATCATTTCTGGCACTCGTACCTGGTTTACCGTGTCCAGGGAGAAACTTGCGACACCGTCGATCTCCTCGTGTATCGTCGTCGAATGCCGAGCTTGTTTGCTTCGAAAACGAACGATCCGTGGCTGAGAGTTATTGACGCTCTTTGCTGGGTGGCTCTGGAGAAGAGTTTTCACCGTTTGAGTACGAGGTCATCTGCGCATGAGCCGAACGCGAACATAGAGCTGAATCTTTTTGGTGGTTGCCACTCACTTCAACCTCGCCCAAATCGGCCAACGAGTCCTTGCTGAGGGTCAAGGTCCGGGTCCCCGGAGTACCTATATCCGTCAGCCATGTAGGTAGCTGATTATGCGGGCAACTTCGACGTGCTCCAACTATTCCAGGCTCATATTAACGGCCGTATCCTGAGGTGACCTGGATATCTCGGGGCTTGCTCTCTACCCCCCGTCATGCAGTGTCGTAAACAGCACTGACAGTGAACACCAACCGGCGGGCGGTATGGAGTGCAACTGTCCCAGTGGCCATTGCTTATATGAGGCATTCAACGCCACAAAGCATCCCCACATCAGAAAACATCTTCAAGAACTTCTGTGGCTACCCTGGCTGGGTGAATCTCATCTTACCAACTCCCTGATCCACCATGCCTTATGTGGCAACCTTGACATGGTCAAGGTCGGTTCTTATATCCACTGCCAAGTAGTGGAGCGCTGAACTCAACCTCTGCCGGCAGCATCAAGCCGGGGCCACCATGAAATCGTCAAATTTCTGCTTGACTGTAGTGCCGACCCAAACTAAGGCAGAAAGGGAGACAGTGTATTGCATTGTACAGCAGCAAGAGACGACTTGGCTATAATTCGGACTCTGCTCGACCACGGTGCAGATGGTATTGCCTCAATACATAGTAGTTTTGATTAGTTGGCCTTGGAAGCTATTACGATGTTTGTCCAAATATGCGTACAAAGTTATATTGCTAGATACCTTACACAGCCTAACTACGGACAATTACTTCGAGTATATCTTACACTTGCAATCTCCCTAAGGTCGACAGTGCCTCGACAGTGCCTCAAATCCTGTGGAGCCATGAATAGGGACCAACAAGGAATAACCCGGTGAGGAAAGTCTACAGTATCTCATATCTATACGCAAAGGCCTTAACTTAGTCCACCAATGTTTTGCAATTTCCAAAGCATTTTTATGAGAGGTACAGCCAGATGAGCCAATTCCTGCCGTTCATTTTGACGTAGTGACCAAACAGAATATCGAGTCTCCTCCTTTTGATCCCCAAATTCCAGGTAGCAGAAGAATGCTGGGGCCAAGAAGGTACGCTGATCAAGAACTGGAGCTTCCAGTCTAGTCGAAGATTGTAATAGCTAGTGATATATATTAGAGATCGGGATATAGTATAATCCTATTTAGTTACCAACTAGTGATTTCACCTAGATAGTATCCTTCACCGGAATTGATCTAGCAACCGTGTCGGTTAATATTATCATAAGAAGCTGTTAGGTTTAAAGGCTAGGCTAGTATAATAGGGTATGGTGTAACTATAGAGAAGAAGGTCATATAGGCAAAATAGTATAAATAACCCATGCTTATATCGCATGAAATAATATAAGATTGAGGAGGAAGGAGGGATAACCCTTAGTGGGGCTTTATCCTATGTCTGAGAAGCGAAATATATTGGATCACAGGTCCTACTAGTTCGAAGTCCGGTCATAACGTATCGTATTTCCGGATATTAAGCGTAACTATTATCATCTATATACTAACCTCAGCCCCTAGCGTCGAATCCCCCGTTTCAATACCCCGACTGCTTCACCAGCTATTCATAAGCTGGGCCGCCCTATCAAGTAGCCGCGGATGCCTCGTAACGGCCCGTCTACGAATCAGGCAGCTATCGAAATCTCTCGCTACTGGAATACAGTTTACGCTAGTCCGTAGATTCAGATGCTTTATTCAGAAATCTGTGAACAGATTAAAATATTGTAACCAGGGCAGCTCACATAGAGAGGGTGGCAGAGCTACTGAGAACTAAGGAAGTAGTAGCTAGCAGGGAGCCAGTCAGCAAGCCACTGGTAGCTAGGGAGCAGCCAGGGCAGCAGAAGCATGTGTGTAAGGAGCCAGTAGCTAGCAGAGCAGGGACGTCGTCCTAGGAGCCTGGCTGGCACTCTCCTTCAGAGCGTAGCTTTGGCTCGCCGCGTCTGCCCGCACTTATTGAACCCCGCGCCGACAGCTTTTGCCAAAGAAAACTGCAGAGATGTAATTCAATGGTAATTTCAATCAGAGGCAGTTCAACTTGTTGTTTCTTACTGCTCCGAGTGTCATCAAGTGTAACTTTCCATATTCAACCTTTCGGTGGTTGCTAGCAGGACGCATTTCAGCATCCACAAAGGAAATAATGGCAAACTAAAGGCTAGTCATAAATCAGTCGTTTGAAGAGAAAGAGGGCACGAGGGGAGGCAGTTGGCAACCTGCGGAACCGACACATGGTACAGATTATTAAAGTGTCTCTCAGCTGTCGATAAAAGTAATCCTTATAGGTCCAATTGTCCTTCTTGATCTCGATAAGAGGGTCCATTCTTGGCTCTTTCCCAGACATCTGACGAGCCTGGCGCTCGGTTTTATCGAGTCGGTACGCTCGTGGGACTTCGTTACGAATGGCTTCGCACCAGCCACTCTTGTCGCCTCCATCTGACCGTTGCCCTGAGGGCGACTTCTGCGAATCAGTAGCGTCGTTCCAATGAGTATAGCCTCAGCCGTTGGGCAAACCCCTACATTCCTTCCCATGGGGACATCAATCGACTCCACATTTGGCGTCTAAGTCAGCTCTGTGCTGTGGGCAACCTATGCAACGTAACGTAATACGAACATGCGAGATCTTCCCAGCGTGGGCCAACTTCTGTCCTGATTTATCGCCTGTGCTGGCATCACTCGAATCTGCCAGTTATAGTCCAGCTGCTCGTCATCATGATTTATGCGGGCAAAGGGGGAGGTATTGTTTCATGTCTTAACTATCATACAGCTTGCAAGTTCGCAATGGGAAGTCTGTCTATAATCAGTTCCTTGACATAGCCTAATAAAGACCATTCCGGCATACTCCAGCTCGACTCCGTCCACATCTGCAAGCAACTCAACCAGCTATATCAGCCGCTTATTTCCCGGGGTTGGAGGCAACAAAGGAGACACCCTTCTTGATGTTCTTTTGGAGGTCGATCAAGCAAGCCTCGAGCAGCTTCTGCTCGTTGGCGTCGACCTCACCGACGGGCAAGATCTTCTCAACACCGTTGGGGCCGAGCTCGACCTTGGAGGCGAAGAAGTCAATGCCTTGGTCCTTGTACAGAGGGCTGTCGACGAAGGCGGGCTCAATGACACCCTTCTCGCCCTGGGCGGCACGGAGGATGCTCTCGGCCATGCGGGCACCAGCCATGGCCATGGACAGAGTAGCAGAGCCGGCACCGTCCTTGGCCTTGACGACCTCGTCGCCACCGAACTGGACGCGGTTGACGAGCTCAGCGTTGGAGCTCAGGTCGGGGTGGTTGCTCTGGCTGAAGAGAGGAACGATGGTGACACCGGAGTGGCCACCGACAACAGTGATCTTCTCGTCAGCGGGGTCACTGCCCTTGATCTCGCTGACGAAGCGAGAGGCACGGACCACGTCGAGGGTGGTGACACCAAAGAGACGTTTGGGGTTGTAGACACCACGGGCCTTGTAGACCTCGGCGCAGATGGGGACGGTGGAGTTGACGGGGTTGGCGATGATGAGAAGGCTGGCCTCGGGGGCGGACTCGGCGCAGGCCTTGGCCAGGTCGCGGACGATGGAGGCGTTGGTGTTGAAGAGGTCGTCACGGGTCATGCCGGGCTTGCGGGGCACACCGGCAGGGATGAGGATGACATCGGATCCCTTGAGGGCATTGGCGAGGCCGGTGGGGGTCGGGTCGTAGCCCTTGACGGTGCTCTTGGTATTGATGTGCGAGATGTCGGCGGCGACACCGGGTCCACCGCGGATATCGTACAAAGCCAATTCCGTCACTCTGGGGTTGAGCTTGAGGAGCAGTGACAGAGGCTGGCCAATGCCACCGGCCGCACCGAGGACCGTCACCTTGGAGAGCTGTTTTCCGACGACCCGTCAGCAAATTGAGCTCAATGCACCGTGCGACGACACCCATTGAACTCTTGGGATGGGGGAAAAAAAACCTTACGTTGCGAGCCGAGGCAGAGAAGGCACGGCGCTGGACGGCGCCAAACATAATTCTTGCAGGAATCATGGTGATGGTGTCTTGTGCTGGGGCTATGGCAGAAGAATTGGCTGGTAAAAGATGCTTGAGGTGGAGAGCTTTGGTCAAGACGTGAGTGAATTCAAGACCAACTTTAGAACTTGGACCTTTTGTTTCTAGACCCGTCGTCGGAGTTGCTGGGGTATGTCGGCACACGAAAACTTTGAGGTTCCCTATTCTAGACTAGCGTGATTACTTCTCGGCCAAAAGGCATTTAGCTGTTGCCGAGCTGTGAAGTCGTGATGCTGACGCTACAGAGTACCAAATGAAGAATCTCTACCTATGCACATCTATTTGGAATTGCACGAGGACAGACAGCGTTGAATTGAGTGTGTGAAGTCTTACCCGCTCTTAGTTGACCTGATAGCGTGGGTGGCGGCAATTTACCCAAGCTCGGCAAACAAGCTTCAATAGCCGGCCACCTGGGATTCCAGCCAAACTGTGAAAGCTACAACTAGATCACCAGTGTGCTTTACTAGAGAGGTCTCGCTGGAACAATTGATGCCATTGATTTGGGGAACACACTTATGCTTGTTTCATACTTAAGCACTAGGCCTTTCTTTCACTCCTCCTGTTGTTCCCACTCTGCTACCTTCATCATGACAGCATCACATGCCTTAGATGAGTTACAGCTTTGGATTGTTCTCTTTCCTTCCAACCTGAAACTCCTTTAAAGGTGCTAGTACTAGGATCATGCCCTGTTATACCACTGGAAATGCCCCGGTTCCATCGAAACATCTAGTCTATCCCACAATGCTCAGAACAGAACCCTGCTTCTCTCGACATTGCCCTCCATTGCCCTCCCTTGCCGATCCATACAGCATTTGACCTTGGTTGTGTCAGTAAGGGCAGCCGAAACTGGACCTGAAAGCGCAGAGATCACAGACGGGCGGGTATTTGGATTCATCGGTAGCAACCTTTGGGACGAGTTGCTGGCGGTCGATGCGGAGGTTTTGTCGCGTCAATTCCGCGTTGATCGTCTGGTATTTGGACCCGAATGTGCTGCGTTTGGACAATGCTATCAGGTGAAGACGGTGATTGTACGTAGCACAGCCGCAGCGATTACTGGTTGTTGGGCCGATTTCTTGAAGAGTGCGAGTGTCTCCTAGAGCTCTGCGGGGGAAAGAGAGCTGATTTCAGCTCGGTATTGGTTCTGGTCGAGTGCAAAGGCATGTCGACTGTTCGGTAGTTGTATGAAGATGACGTGAAATTTAGATTGTAACTGTAGATTCGCTAAGCCATGTTGGTTGGAATTAAAGCGGTCTGCGACATATGTAGAGACGGGATAACCCGATTATTATAGGGGACTATGGCAGCGTGTCCATGAATGAAACATGATCATGCTATGGGCTGATGTTATACCCTCATCCTTTAAGTATATGCAGGTACAAGGGTCGGAACAACACTATGCTAACCTGACCGGAGGCCATGGTTAGGTAACCTGGTTGGTTTATAGTTTCTAAGGTTTAAATAGCTATTTTGACCGTGCTAGGGGTCCCTGATAGCCGTGTTTTAGGAAATTTGAAGGTGCTGGAGGTCCCTACTAGCCCTGTAGGGCCCCCTGTAAGACTTGTGAGCTTGAAAATCTCTGTAAGCCGCTGCCCACATGCTATGGAGGGTCTAATTGTCCCTACTCCCGGAGGCTTAAGAGCAACTTTTCCAGTATTTCTGTACCTTTACTGTTTCCGAACGCGGGCTTATAGCTATAATTTCCAGAACGATATGAATATGAGTGGTTATTTCCATCTGCCGGTAGAATGGTTACTTCATGGCGGCTAAGCCTTAACGCCGGTATTATAGGTATGTGTTAGATACTATAAAGTTGGTATAGAGCCGGCTTAATAAGCTAGCTAGATACTCTGCTTAGCGCCCTGACGGCTGAGAGAGCTATAGAACATAACTGGCCGGATGAACCGGACGAGGCTATAGAGGAGGCTATCGCCAACCCCGCTAGTATGTTCCCGGGAGACCGCGCTGCTGAGGTTAGTGATAGCTTTATCTCTTCGTAGTAAATCGGAGTAAAACATTACTAACCTCACCTAACCTCACTAGGATCACTAGTTGGTCAATATCACTAGCGTTTTGCTTACTAATTTTATCACTAACCAACCAAGGGGGGATGGTGAGGTTGGTGAGGTTGGTGAGGTTAGTCCGACCCTTCTGAAGGTACCACGGGCAACATAGTTTGTCCTGCTTGTCCTGACCGTCTGACTTGCAAAGTATGAATTGATAATCCGTCTCGCATAGGGAAAAGGCAGACGCAGGGGCAGGCACAAATAGGTGCGAGTACACCAGCACCGGCGACGAATAATAGCCCGATAAATTTCTGCGTGTAACCAGTCACCGATGGCCATTCCAGGTTGGGGTGCAATGCTAGTCACCAGTTCTCTTGTATACGATTGATATGCTTGGTTGAGGCAATTATGTTCAAGGGCAGACTTTACACCGTAACGCACGGTGATGGAGTATATTTCGACTTAAGGCTTAAACAGCAAATTCCATAACTGATGCCCCTATGCAGTAGATAATGTATCTTTAGACTTCTTTCATATGTAGTCATCGACATAGAACTCCCCATTTTTCGGGACTATCACTCCTGGGTTGGGCAACTTGGTAGTCTCCTCAGCGACAAACTTCCTCACAGCTTCATAGTCACTGCAAGTGTGCACCCGTGCCATATCACCAGTCAGACGACCCTCTTGACCAAGCCACAGTAGTGGCGTGACCCCAACATCTGCCGTGCATTGTAGACGGAGACGAAGCACCTCAACACAGTGGTCTAAATCGTCGTTAGAAACATATGTGAACTGTGGATCGTTGATAGCTGACGGAACTTACCGATATGCAACTGTACATACTTTTCCGGTCCCGCGCAGTGAGGTGGACCGCAGGTTTCCCGCGTGTGGTCGATGTTGTAGTACAGATTCATGCGGAGTAAATTGAGGCAGTGCATCTGGTGAATAGCCTCGACCTTGACCGGGTAGCCCACAAGCCCCATCTCCGGGCTGTCAAAGTAGGCGTGTCGGGATTTGTCGATAGCGGCCTGCTCTGCGTCTTCCTCGGGGATCAGGATCACACCCGAATCTGTCATACGGTCAAAATTTACCTACAGGGAGGGATTCCTGTGGGTGACCCAGAATGGGTTGGATGGATACTTACCGACTTGAGTGTACTCATACCAAAAAGCATCAGCCACGTCCGAGGCATGCTTGCGGAATATGCTCTGGTCGTGATCATAGAAAGTCACGTTTAGTAATTGCGGCTTCGGCGGCCCGGCGAGTTTCTCCACGGCGTGTGCCACGCCTGTGGGAGGGTGGTTTACAGCGAGAGGGCAAGCTTGCTGTCGTGTGGCTAGCACAACCAGCAAGAGAAAAGTAGCGATGTTGGTTAGGGACAGTGTAACCACGCCAGCTAAGAGAAATCGAGTTTTAGACAACGATGTATTAAATTTATTGGGCACTTCTCGCCATGTTGGTAATGGGGAGCCATCTTCGGATGATGGATGGTCCTTGGATAAGAGTCCAACTGTGTCTTCGATTTCTTCTTTCGACACCGTAGAAGACCCGAATGAGGGCGCCATGGTGGTTGATATGTGTTGTGTTGTGTAGGTTAAGTCCCTCGGACCAAGTTTGATAATGAAGACTCGAGGATGTCAGAGATCGTACAGGTACCCAGGAAGATGGTTTTGGGGATAGCCCAATACTGGATTTGCTCCAAGCTTCCTCATCCACATATCCGAGAGGTATCTATCAAACGGGAATTCTGAGACAGCAGAACAGGCGATTCGCAATAGATAATCGAAGAGATAGGTATCTTGTGAGAAACTGTAACAGTGGCAAGTCTATGTCGTCATGTCGTTATACACCTTCCCAATACTGCACCCTGCCGTAGGGCCGATAGTGAATGCGAGACTAAAGATTATGGATGCTTACAGAAGCTAATGCAGATTATAGGATTGGCGTGCCGAAGGATTGGGTACCTAGTAACTAGTTATAAGACAACCCCGCAAGGATATACGATAGGTAATGTGTGCGATGCAGGATTACAGTACCGAAGAACGTCATTTCGTAAAGTTTCTTTGATGTTACGTTGCAAGAGTCAAAGTAAACATGTATCGGTCAAGTTCAAGCCGCCTTGATGACAGTTCGCAAATACACCTATCTGTAGGGAGGAAAAGAATACCTGCCAAATTGATACTTAGCAGCAGGTGAAACTTCCTCGGATTGGTCTGAAGTGCAGCGCACTGAATCCTGAAGTTGAATTTAGGTTGGATAAAAGATAACAAATACTACCTAGGCAGAGCATACGAAGGGCGTCAACGGGCTACTGACCAGGATTTATGCTAATCTACGAAGGATGTCGGTACAGAGTTTCCGATCAGCTAGTTCATCAAGCCTGAGATTACACACACCTCTACAAGGGATGAGATTACCGCATTTTAAGCGACTGAGCAACGCATACGAATTGCGTGAGAGATCAAGTACCATTTTCCTTCGGTAAGGGCATCACTGCCCTTCAGATCACTGAAAACGAATGGACGACCAAGTATTATGGAGGTTATAATACCCTGGAGACGTGTACATCAGTATTTTAGGTTAACTTCTTGAGTACCTTCCGCATTTCACCAAAGACGATCACTACCAAGCCGTCTTCCTACACCGATAGAACCCGAGCTCGACCTAGTTCACATCCTGTGGCCCCTCGCAGCCCACAGACAACTGATCAGCACAGTGTGTCGTATGGTGCAAACTAATAGTCTTGTTATCTAGGAACTCCATGCGGTGATCCATCGCGTACTGCAGCTTCCTCCACTGGAACAAACAGTGCTCTCCGTGATAACTGAGGTCAAAATAATCAGCATTATACACAACAACAGACGCAAACTTCAGGCTTACCGGTGCGTATACACCATAATCTCTTCTCCAGCCCACAACTGTTCCGGGGCCAACTCCATGGTCATGTTGCGATCTTTGTAAAATTTCCTGTCTTCGAAAACAGGATGCGCAGATGTCAGTTCGGGGAATACACACTGCGGTGGCATCCACCCATAGAATAGCGGCTCCATGACGCAACCGCGGGCCTTCGCCGTCAAACTAGATCGGCCGCAATAGTTCCACTCTTCAGCTTCAATCTCGGCTGGGGATATTGGTGAACCCAGAGCAGACACTGCGTGCTTGATGGCAAGTAGCATGGCAGCGAAAATGAGTGTAGTCACACATCCGGCGCCAAAGGGGATGATTCTGGAGTGACTGCGTTGTTTGGGACCAGGCAAGGAATTCTGAGATTGAGCAAGATTCTCGTACTCGACGTTTCCGTATGAATCTCCTGGCTTCATTTTGATCGTATGATGAGGAGGTGGTGATACTGAAATTATGGCAGACGATGGCCGACAAACATGAGTTGTTTACATGCTCCGCAAATTCCTGAGAGGTTTTGAAACCCGAAAACTATAATTTCATTGACTCGAAAACGTACAAGAAGAACGCAAAGCATTTCGACTTACACAGTGCCTGAGATAGCGACGGAGAAAACAGGTAAAAATGTAATCTGTTGCTGATCTCTTGACAAGGGGTCGTTACTAATGCACGGGCCAATATAATAGAGATGTGCAGTGGGTGGATTCGTGTGGTGAGAAATCACTCGGCCGCCACGAAGGATTCGTGTACTTTACTCCATCAAGAAGGCGACACAACGAGTTATGCTCATTCCATGGAATCCTTATTGTCTCGCTTGAAAGCTTCCGAGCATGCCTTTACGCTAATGTAGATCGTATACACGTCAAAGAGGGGTAGAATGACGACCAGTGAGCATTGCTTGGATGAGGTTGTTATTCGTGTGCAACCCTATTCGCAGGAGTTTTTTCCATGATATTATACATATAAAGTCCAGTAGCTTTGAGCAACACACAATCCACACTTTTGACCACTCTATCCAACCTAAAACACCCACTTCACATTAACACCATCATTCCAACCATCAAAATGAAGGGACTCTTGCTTATCACCCTCGCCGCTGCTGGCTTGGCCGCCCCCCTTACCAAAGAACCTGAAAAGGCAAAACGTGTCTATGAAGGCGGCAAGCATGAATCCTAGCTGTTTGCATATGATTGCAATGCATTAACACAGCATTAGTTTCCTGGATTGTGCCTGCAGGTCAAGAGGGTGACGCCGCTGAGGCTGAAAAGGCAAAACGTGTCTACGAAGGCAGTAAGTCATGAACTGTAGCTGTTTGAATATGGTTGCAATGCATTAACGCAGTGTTAGTTTCCTGGATTGTGCCTGCAGGTCAAGAGGGTGAAGCTGCTGAGGCCGAAAAGGCATAAACAGCTTAAATGTTCAGCTGTGGTCTAGCTCAAACGTTGGGACCCATCAATTAAACCAAGGGCAACTGATACAGGGACACTGCACAACCAATTCTAGGAAATTATGATACTACTGGACCCCTAGTCTTGACAACAAGCACTGTCATATCGATCTAGATACCTGGCGAATGCACTTCACCCGAGCAAATAAATCTACAGCACTTGCAGAACAAAATAACACATGTGTCTTCTATTCTAGCCTCGATCTGCATATAATGTAACTTCATCATTGCGGCCCAGTTCAACGCTTCCGGTCTCAGCTTGAGTCTTCTCGCTGCAGCAAACACTATCTTTTACCCCGACACTTAGCGCACCATTAGAATTTGGCGTAGTTTCAGCCTTGGCCATAAGTTTGTTCCCGTACGCAATGAACAAGGGGCCAATCCAGGTGAGATGATAGCCTTTATGACTTCTGTAGTGCATTGGATCTTCCCTCGACACAACTGCTTGGTAAAGCAATAATCGCCGTAACTTGTTTACTTTTCCCAGCCACGTTCCTAGTCCTGTTTATAAACCACGGAAAATTTGCCCAGCTCGACCCGGATTCTCAAACATAGGCCCCGGACTCGACCCCATGCCCCGAGCGGATAATCCACGCAGGTATTCGATGTGGCTCTCCTGCAATCGACGTTTTGATGATTGCAAGATTTGATCTAGAGTCGTGGTCATAACAAGTTGGATCATTCCCACGCTACGACGGGAACCTAGATGCCTCTGATTACCTGCGCCATTGCTCTCTTGAGACAGCCGCCAGATATACCAGCCATTTTCTGACACTATTTGCGGTCATGGCATATGTCTTGGTGTTCCTGCATTGGAGGGATAAAAAGCCGTTGGTACGGTCACGGAAAATAACCGAGGATAGGAAGAGCAACCACATTTAATATTAGATAATTCGGGACAGCTATGTCATATTTCACGTATATAAACGGGGGGCATTTGTGACTAAATCTCGTCGTTTCTCCGCCAAACAAAGTAATGGATTTCAACTATACCAAAAGAAAGGTATCTAATTAATGCATTCCCTGTTAACCTTTACAAAGTCGTTGAAGAGCTGGACGTCCGACACAACGAAGGACTACCTACATCAATGGAAAGTGACCCAGACCTCAAAAAGGTGTCTGAGTTGCTGACGACCACTTTCCGCATTGGCTGTCGCCTGTCTTCCCTTCCCCCCCGAAGATTGCAGAGTCAGAATCTGTGACTTCACCTCCAGCTTCTTAACTTTACTCTTCCACTCATCCATTCCACATACAGTATCCCAGAGCTCCTTCCAGCTTTGCTCGTTATGCCGATACATGTAAATGAGATTCCCCGTCACATTCTCCCTCAAAAATGGGCCAGCCTTGGCACTTCCCACTTGACCACCTAATAGCAGAACTGGTGCACCTGTGTCCTTCCTTAAAAGTCGTAGGCAGCGATCGGCCACCACTTTCTGGTCTTTGAGGCTGAATAGGTGATAAACGGCATACATGTGCAATATTGTGACCTTGTCATCCAACAAAGCCAACTTGTCTTCTGGTGAGTTCGTCAACAGATCACCCGGACACAGGAAGTGATCCTTGGGCAACTTGTCTGCATCGTTGAACATCTGGAAGCCAAGGTCGATCAAGTGCTGCTCGATATCGCTCGCCCAGACTCAATGGGACATTGCGCCGTCAAAGATGAGCTTCCGGATGTCTTGGCCAAAGCATGTACCGAGGTTAAGGAGCAGCGGCTCTACTTCGCCTTCTTTCGTGGGTCGCTTCAGTGGGGTCAAAACGTGTTCTTTGTACGATGGAAGAGCTGAGAGGTCGAAATTGAGGAAGCGCATATTGTTAGATATTCACGTATCTTGCAGTATGACCGTGATATAACGGTTATATGAAAAGAATAATTTGGTGGTTATGGTTAGGTCACTGTTTTTTCCATGCTCGATTCCCTCTATCTGTTCTGTTGGCTGTGTGCATTGCCTTTAAGTAATCTGAAGGGTCCAGCCTTACTAGGCTACCTCTATCCCGCCTTTATCCTGAAGCACAAAGCGCTTTTATTCTAAGCATAAATCGCTTTTCAACCTTAGGAATCACTGTGGTGCTCAATCCCACATTTAATATCAAACAACAGTCTAGACAAAGCTAGAACTAACGATATGGTGCTTCTATGCTCCAATACCATGTGACCCGTCGTTTTTGACACATATTGCCGATGCACGGGTAGCGGAAGCGCTCGTAGGCTTTATTACGCAGCTCCACGACATGTTTGACCTGATCTTCTTTGGGGATTCTGGAGTATGAGGCGAGGAGTTCTGACATTGGCCCTGGGACGGAGTCGATGGTGTCTTGCAAGTGGACAGGTAACGCGATGCTGCTGCCTCGTTGTTGTTTGTCATGGTGACGCTTGTTGATTTCACAGAACTACTCGTATAATAATGAAGATTATCAGCGGCTGCGGGAGCTTAAAGGACGTTGGAGATGGAAACGCATGTATGACGTAAGACCGCGTATACGCCGGTAGGCTCGGCGATAAGCAATACCCGAGACTATCTTTAGGAGTAAGCACAGCTCCTAACGAAGAACAACATCTATAGTAGTCTCATTCAAGTAATATATTAATCGTTCCTCAAACTAATTTGACTTTGAGCAATTAAATTTTCTTATACACTTACTAGTAGCTGTCGACGAAACTCATATACTGAAAATACGCGCCTATTATGTTAGTTACAACCAGAAACAATCATCTACATGACTTTCGGTTTTCATTGACAGTGATCCATGGCACTGCGGAACTCACCAAGGAAATAGCTCCGTTAATTGGAGCCAGGATCCAAACCTGGTGAAACTCAAATATGCCTCAAGCCAACATTTTAGAATGCATTGCTGTGTCGCTGAAATGAGAATTTCGCAGCCAGAGCCATTCACATGTCGAGTATATGCCTTCTTCTAGGGGTTGTTGGCAAGGATCGCAAATGCTCGTGCATTTGCCCTCATCTGCGCCGCCTCCCAAATGGGCTGTAAGTGCGAGAGCCCCAGTCCCAGTGGGGAAGAAAGGTTGATAGGTTAAATAAAACTGAGTGACTTAAGAATAAGAGTGTGTCTAGTTAATCATAGTCGCTGAAGGTTACGATACCGAAGTCCGACGGTTTCCGCCCCGGTGGTCACCGGCGTAGACCCCGAGGTTAGCCCCACACTAGATGCCGGCCTGGCATGTCAAAGTTACCGCCAATATTTTCCTCGTCATCTTCTACATGGACAAAGATTCTCACTACTTGACTAATCATTGCTCATCATGTCAAAACCGTATCACATGTGGGTTGCGGGTCAAGAACGACCGGGAAAGGCGGAGTTGTATGTGTTTTCAAATGTGCCCGCACGGCGTATCAGTCCGAATCGCAGCTAATAGAAGCGCAGAATACCGGTTGAAGATCCTGCTACTGGTGAAATATTTGCGCAGTAAGACTTTCAGGCGTAGCTGCTCCTGTTCATCGGAAGTATTGACATTTGGAGAAGATGCCATGCTGCATCCGCCGAAGACGTCCATGAGACAATTCAACTGGCACACCAAGCCTTCAGGTCCGGCGCTTGGTCTAAAGCGCCCAGGCAAACCCGCGCAGACGTCCTGGACAAAGCAGCCGCTCTATTGACCGAACACCTTCCCGATCTCATACACCTAGAAGTCCGCCAAACCGGCCGGGCAATTCGCGAAATGAACGCACAGGTGCCGACACTGGTCAAGTGGTTCAAATACTACGCAGCATTACTCCGCATCGAGCAGCGGTCCGTCTTGCCCACGATGGGCAAGCTGCACAACTGGGTTGACCGTGTTCCGCTGGGAGTAGTTGTGCAGATCACGCCGTTCAACCACCCCCTATTGATCGCGGTCAAGAAATTGGCACCGGCATTAGCAGCTGGAAATAGTGTCGTGGTGAAGCCAAGCGAGCTGACACCCCTGACCACACTTTTACTCGGAAAGTTGCTCAAACAGGCAGGAATACCGGATGGTGTCTTCAACGTTTTGCCGGGCTTCGGCGTGACGACGGGTCGTGCAATGGTAGAGCACCCTCTTGTTCGGAAGGTAGATGTTACGGGTGGCACGCAAGCTGGGAGGGCGATTGGCTCTATCGTTGGAGGAAATCTCGCTAGGTTCACTGCGGAACTTGGAGGCAAGGCGCCGCTCGTCGTTTTCGAGCAAGCCGATGTGGATGTCGCGGTGAACGGCATTGCGTTCGGCTCGTTCATCGCCAGTGGGCAGACATGCGTCGCGAGCACTCGAATCATCGTGCACAATAAAGTGCTCCCACACGTGCTTGAGTGGCTCAAGGCCAAGGCCGAGTCAATAATGCGGCGGATGGGCTCACCCAGCAACGTGGAGTCGATGATGGGCCCGCTAGTCTCAGCTAAACAACTGCGAAATGTGGAGAATCTGGTTGGCGAGGCGGTTGACAGTAAAAATGCCATAGCCATCACTGGAGGAGGCCGAATGATGGGCCAAAGCACGCTCGATAGGACTGATTTCTCCAAGGGCTACTTCTTCCCGCCTTCTATCCTGACGTCCAATACGACCGATCGCGGCAGTATTCTGAAGACCCGAATCTGGAAGGAAGAAGCATTCGGCCCCGTCATCGTCGTCGTCGGATTCGACACAGAAGAAGAGGCTATCACCCTGGCCAACGACAGCGAATTTGGCTTGGGTGCTGCAATCTGGACCAAAGATCTAGCGCAGGCGTTCAGGGTGTCGGAGCAGATTGAGGCGGGCATCGTATGGATCAACACACATCATCGCAATGACCCGAGCAGTCCCTGGGGTGGGGCCAAATCGTCGAGTGGTGTGGGAAGCGAGAACGGGGTTGATGCGTACAATGAGTATACCACTATGAAGAGTACGGTTGTAAATTATGCTTCGACGGAAGAGGCCTTGGCTTCGGAGGATTGGTTTAAGGAAGGGAATGGGGATGTGAGGTATGGTTGAGGGGAGGTGCACAGCGTGTACGTTAGTATTCGTAATCAGGCTTCAAATAGTAGCATACAGTAGTAGCCCGTGCCCAATATTGATTATCTTCCGTAGAGCGCGCACCCATTAATACCGACTTGATCGTGGGATCGTCAGAGGACGATAGAGTGGAGCGACTGGAGTGATTTATTTATTTAGGTTTTTTCCCCAAGTGAGGCATGCGACTCTTGCAGGGAGGCGTGTAAATGGTTCCTTGGGCCGATAGTCATATTTCCTGTTATACGGAATTTAATTGGTGTCCTCAATCTCTATTTTCTCAATGAATTCGACATGAAAAGGAGACCTTAACTCCTTGACGATGCCGCGGGTCGTCACGGAGGGAGAGCCAGTGGGAGACGTCTGACCAAGGTCCAGAAATAGAGGATAAGCGGTGAATCTATCATGGTATCGATGCACCGGGTGGCTATGTCTTCTAGGTATGCATTGCGCGAGACCTAACACAACCACTTCGGTACTTATTCTCTCCAACTAGTTTCAGGCCACTAACTATAGGCCCGGCGGGGGACATAGGCAAATCATGCTTCGGATAGTGTAACGACTAGTGCCATTCGGACAGGCAATACCAAGTTTCCTGAGGGGTTTATAGATGCTGGGACGTGACGTGATAGAAATGGGCATATCTTAGCAGCCCCAGGCTCTAAGCAGTGAAATTGAGATGCTCCTCGTGCAACATGCATCTGCAAAATACTCCCTTGGAGTATCCACCTATCGCTCATCAGGACGGAGGCACACTTACGCTCAATCGTGAAACAACCTCAAGGTTTACTCGTTTCTGTCTCTATGGTGCTAAACTATTGCTAACCACAACCAGGCTCATCGGCGTTGGCCACAACCGTCTGATCTTCTACACCGCGCCTTCCATAAGCGCCTCCGTCCAGTATCACGTCCTCATTATTCTCCAAATCGTCCTGCACCTTCCTCCATCTCGTCTTCCTGTCTTTCCGACCTTCCAAGCCGGTGCCTTTCCCCTTTGTCTCAAATACGGGCTTAATAAGCCCTCCCAGCAACGGATTCTGGCTGAAGGCTCCGCCGCTGCCGCCGCCGACGTTTCTACCACCAGCTGAGCCACGGTTTCCGCGAGTTTCCGCGAGCACTGGTGCTGCCGTGTCTAATTGTTCATCTGGACTCTGAGGACGTTGTCTCGCAGCCATCTTGCGTACGACCTTGCCGCCGACCAAGTCAATACTGACGACCTGCTGCATCTTTTCATACTCAGGTTTCGCATTCCATTCCATCTCCCGCATGATCTTCTGCTGTCGTTTTAACTCACGCGCTCGCTCTTCCGGAGTGGACCACATGCTGCCGCCAGTGCCGGCCATGGCCCCAGCGACATCAAAATCAGCGGCTTCATCCCTGACCGTCGTCCGTCGGGCATTCTGGGACTGGAATGCGAGCAACCTGTCGCGGTGCTCCAGTGCCTTTGCTTCCGCCGAGTTTGGTTCGTCGGTATTCTCGCGCGGCTTAGTGAAGGGCGCGGGAGTTCGGGACACGTCAGGCCTTTTGTTGGCTTGTCTGTCGGCAGCCATCTTCTCGCGACCTCGCTCTGCTTTCAGCTCCTGGATCATAGACTGCACCTCTGACGTGCTCAACACAGGGGTACCGCAGAAGGTACATGGACCGAGGCCTTCTTTGACACAGATGACCTTCCCGCAGCTCAGGCAATTGGGCGCTGCCGCGAGAAGTGGATGTCGTGCGGCCACGCAGTTGCATCGCCTGGTCTCATCGTCGTTAGTTTTCGAGGGGTTTGTCGTCATCTCCAGCGCCCGGATGGCGGCATCCAGATCCGAGAGCGCGGTGGAGGCGCCATGCATAGCGGTGCCACCAGATATGTTGATTTTGGTTTTGGGCCCAGGATTCGAAGACTGCGATGCCGGATTGGACTTGGTCTTCGGCTTTGGAAGGTCTGAGATGAGGTGGCCAGCAGCTGTCCGTGTTACCTTTGGTGGTGGAGTCGCAGATTTGGGTGGCGCCTTCGCCGGCGACACGGAACCGCTTGACGTGGATGCCGGACTTGGCCTTCGTGCAAGGAACTCATCGTTGGAATCCTTCTTGTTGTATGCTGTGCCAGGAGCGGGACCTAGATTAGTGATCTGCCGGGGCGCCAGGGTGTGCAACTGTGCTTTCTTCTTCTTTGCGCCTCTTGGGGGCTTGGGAAAGGCATCTGGGCTAGAATTCTGTCTTGCTGTCGATGCTGTTGCTTGCGACGAGGCGGATTTAGGGTCTTGCCGCCTTGAATTGAAGGACGATATGAAATCCACGGCGCCAGGTGAGTCACCAAGAAGGTTTCCAAAGTGGTCAACCGCTTCCGTTTTTGACAAGGTCGCTGCGTAGTCCAGCACCTGTTTCAGTTCATCTTCTGGCAGCGGCAGAAGCCTCGAGAGCTGCGAAATCGACATAGTGTAATATTGTGCAGCTCTCTTGCCTATGCTCCTTTTCTGGGCCAAGGAAGAACACTAAAAGACGTTCGTGGTTTGATGTCATCAAAATGGTGACGGACAATGGACGAGTGAGCTGCAGCCTCCGTCGGTTGGTTACTAGTGGTTGAGCCACGATTTCACAGCCACAGCTTCGATGTTTATTGCCGAAGAATTGCCGTTCGAGACAGTCAATTATCGGGTTTTCGTTCCCCTGTGTGTCCCTGGAGGCGGCAAGACCAATCAAGCAATATAGCTTTGAAGATATGTACATGAAACCGCGAAGCCAGGCAGTTCTAAGATGATAATATGATATAACTAGGTTAGATATGAAAGCGCTCGTGACATTCTTGGAACGATACGTACTGTATCGCTACACCGGCTAACCTTACATCAACCCAGAACCATTTTACTAGGCTCATCCTAACTCGGTAACGAACTTGCTTCACGCAAATAAATCGCCCTTCATGTCCAACCAGGTGTATCATAACTTTCAGCTGAGCAATTAGAAATTCAGACCGAAGCGACTTCGAAGATATTACTAATTCAGGGGTAGGCAGAACGTCTTGCCAAATCGAGCGTGTACATGAAGCTCAACGAGGTGAACATTTCATGGGCGTATTTGATTTCCTCGAACGGTCTAAATCTATGCAGCGTTGAACAATATCTATCCCTCTCTGCTTCAAAAACAAAAGTAAATCAATTCAAAATACCCCTATTGGAATCCCCACTGTTTACACCACCGCTTCATCATGTCCTTCGTAACAACACCCGATCTCGCCATAGTCACACTTCTCTTGACCGTATTGCGCATATCAAACTGCATCCCGTGATGCCCGGCCTCCTGATCCTCAGCTAACAACTTGTAAAAGTCGAGTAGCTTAACACCAGCATTCGCATCGACGGACTGAATCCCATCCGCCTGGCTTTTCTCCAAACGGTTGACCCATTCTCTGAAGCTGACGAACTCCTTGATCCGGTCCTCGCCGTAGAACTCCTGCACCGCAGGCGCCAACTCCTTCCAAGAGGTCACTGATGGGTTCACGCCGTGATAGTAACCTGTGATGTCCTCAGGATCGACCTTCTGCGCCACGCCGAGAATCTCAAGGACCAAACTCGCAATGCGTTCTGCCGGCGTCCAGTCGACCCTGTCCATGGCTCCCAGGTTGCTGGGCAGCGCCTTCATGTACAGACTACTGGCCACGATACTAGGCAGCCACTCCTGTCGGTTCCAGGCTCCTTCCTCGCGTTCGGGGCCGGCGATCTGGCCCACTCGGATAATGGCAGCGGGAAAGTCTCCCACCTTGGCGGCATCTTCCATAATCAAACTACCCACCATCTTACTCCGTCCGTATCCACCACTAGGGATACTCACATCATCGAGTCTCTCCTCGGGGACGGGACCACGGGTAGTCGAATCCCACCGATCGGCCGTGCCAGTGGACGAAATGAAAACAACTGCGACCCTCTTCTCGGCTTTCGCGGCGAAATCTGCCAAGTTCCTCACACCGCAAAGGTGTGGTTCAAACGTCTCGACCGTGATATTGAAATTAACCGGCCACGCATTATGCACCACGCGATCCGCCTCCTTTAACAGCCGCGCGTACACATCCCTCGGCAGGCCAAAATTGGACCTCGACAGATCGGTGTGGTAGAACTCGGCTTTGCCCTGGTAACTGGGGTCCAGACCCCTCCCGACCATGGCCTTGGCCTGCTGCTTGACGCCGCCATCTGCGGCGCGGTTGAGACAGATGACCTTCTTTACCAAAGGGTTGTGCGCCATCTGGTCGAGGAGGTAGGAGCCCAGCATGCCGGTTGAGCCGGTCAGGACAACGGTCTGGCCGACGTCTGACGGGTTGGGACGCCCCTTTTTGTTGGGGAGGAGGTTTTGCGTGTATTTTTCATACAGAAACTGCATCGCGTGTTGCTGCTCCTCGTCCTCGTTGGCCTTGTGCTTCAATCCGCCGTACAAGACCGAGTCGAGGATGTAGCGTGCCAATCGGCGAGGCGTGGGATTGCCGTAGATGACTCGCGTGGCCAGAGTCTGCGAGTCGACGTTGTCCTGGCCAAATGCCGCAATACCAGCACGCAGGAGACGAGAGGCATTGATTACTTGCATTGAGTCGATTCCGGCGGCGAAGAACTCGGTGTCGGATTCCAAGTGAGGGGAGCCGAGGTGGTCTTCGAACATCTTGGCGATGGACTCGACCAATGCTTCCTCGGAGCTGATGTCCAGGCGAGGGGCGTCAGAATGCGAAACCAAGTTGGCCTTTTCGTACAGAAGGTCGATCTCCTCAGCATACGCTTTGATACTCATAGCTCTCTGAATCGTCCCCTTGCCTGCACGATGGAAGGGTTTGTCGGGGTTGGAGACGGCAATGAGGTCCCGGCTGATCCGCCCGTGGGCGACGGTCTCCTTGTTGGCTTGGACAACCAGGGGCCAGATTCTATCAATGAGTTTCTTTTCCTCCTCGGCATCTTTGGGAGGCGTAAGAGGTTCGATGAGCAGACCGGGCTGGAATCGCTGCGAGCCGACAACAAGAGCGGCCTTCACTTCGGCATGATCCGAGACGATCTCTTCGATGGTAACCGGGTTCAGCTTTTCGCCGTTGGAGAAGACAATGATGTCGTCCGAGCGGCTGTAATACAGCCAGTGGTTTGGCAGGGTGGGGTGCGGTTTGTACAAATCCTTGGTGTTGTACTCGTCGGCATCGGGGAAAGTGTAGAAGAAACCCTGCATACCAGGTTCTTTGGCCTGACGCACCACGTGGAGCTCATACACTTCATCGTCATCCTCAACCTTATGCCACTCGCACCCGAACAAATCATCGTTGAAGATGAAATACTGCCAGAGCTCCGGGTCGGGTTGCCAGTAGACCTGAAACGGGGCAAACTCTGTCGACCCAATGGAATTTACCAAGACAACACCATTCTTCACCAATCGATTTCCTGCCTCGCGAACGAGGTTGCCTGTGTGCATGTCAGTGGATTTATCCTTTTGAGCTTGATATGATGCAACGTACCACCGCCAAAGATAACGCAGTTCAGCTTTGCCAACGCCTTGATATATTCTTCGCTTTGGCTCATATCCTCCACAGTGGCCGGAGGCAGTACAGCCGACTCCACGTCCAACTGATTCAGACTCTCCATGACCAGATCCGAAGATAGGGGTCGGTCTGCGATGCCAAGACACACGGGTATTTCCCAGAAAATGGACTTTAGGATAATTGTGTACAATGCAGCAGCATGGAACAAAGGCACTGCGAGTGTGAGCCGTTTCTTCCCCCAAAATACGAGTCAAAAGGAGCACCAACTGGGAACGAAATGCCTCTTGGACTTCTCCGCCCACCCTTTGTGCAGGGTCTGCGTCCCATTCCACTCGCGAAGGTTATAACATGCATCGCTAATCGCCAGCATGCCCGCCTTCGCCACAATCGGCTTGGGCAAGCCTGTGCTACCGCTCGTGTGAAGCACCGCGAACGGATCATGCTCAGCCTGCTCCCACGTCTTGTTGTAGGAGAACTCGGGCACCTCCTCGGCTGGGAACCAAGAGTCCATGGAACTCACCTCGATAGCCTTCATGTCTCTCTCCTCTAACCACGACTGCACCATGGCGCGGTGCGTCGGCGAAAAGGCCAGTACATGGCAGTCCGACATCTCGAAAAGGTTAATTTGTCCTTCTTGTGAATTTCTAGGTGAGATGAAGAGCGCCTTGTAGCCAGCCTTCACCGCCGCTACAACAACTACCAGATATCGTACATCGTTGGGACCGATATACGCAATTGTTGGGAAAGTTCCGGGCGTTGCCTCGCCGCAGTACTCGACGATCTTGTGTGCACAGCGGTTGATAGCATTGGCGTAGTCCTTCCATGCCACAATGCGCCAGCCGTCTTTTGGGTTGGAAGATCGCGGGATCTGGATAAATTCTCTGTCAGGTGTTTTACGGGCGTTCTCGTCAATGACATGAGGAATGAGACGTTTCCCGCGGTTGGCGTCGCCTAAGCTGGCTGTGCCGGTTGCCGTCATGCTGAAGATGTATTTGTGTGGTTGTATCTGTGTCGCTATAGTGGTAGGATCTGTTGAACAGCTTTGTCGTTTGATATGTGATGTAAGATAGACGGCAAGGCGTTATCAGATGCGGAATTCACCAGTTTTTCGTAATGGTTTGCAAGGAACTGAGCAGTGGCCTTATCATATATCATTGTACGCTGACACACGTCCCGCCCGCCCCCGAAAATGGCGCGAGCATCTCATCGAATCTTTACCGACCCCTGCTTATGTCCCTTCCTTCACACCACTATTCCGCTAATTGTGATCATTCCTAGAGTCGGTTCTTTGGTTTTTCCATAGTACTGCTCGAGTTTGGGGGCCAAACCTCTGTGGCTAAGAGCGACACCTCGCGTAAGTGGAAGAAAGACTTCATAGGCTCCGTCAGACATTTTCGCCCCAGATGATCAACGCATACAAATCGTGTGAGTGGACAAGTACCGGTTTACTTGGGCAAGGGTATCATTGCCCTTCACAGCACTGAAAACGAATGGAAGACCAAGTATTATGGGGGTTGCAATAAGCTAATAATCTGCATGTCTGGAGAGGTGTAGAAGGTACCAAGAAGGGCAACTATTGACCTTATGGCCGACCGCCAGGTAACCGTTTCACTTAATGATCGGCATAGTCGGTGTTAAGTGCAAGCTGAGTCTGTATGTCGCTGACTTTAGCTATGCACAATGCAAGCCGATTCGTCGTTGGAGTCGGAGCTGCCGAAGAAGCACGAGCGGCCGCTTTGGTATGATTAGTGATCATTGATTGAGATCGAGATAGCTTAGGCGATGTCGGCTGACCACCGGAAATACAAGCTTGTATTTGAGAAAGGTGGCTTACTTCCGACGGGTACGAGCCTTAAAGTCCGGTATCGAGACTTGCATTGAAACCTTGCTCACTACCACTGGTGGCAGAACAGATCGATCGTACATTATACTTAGCCAGGCATGTAATATGAGGTATTCAGCTGCGGTTTATTACATTTAGCTTGCGCTAATAACGCCCCTATTCCTCTGTTCTTATCTGATTCAAATGAGTTTCTATGAATAAGACTCGGATCAATTCAACACAATGAAGCTCTTAATTGGCCTTGGTGGTTGCCACGAGCCTGGGGCAGCATGGTCAGTCCTTGTCTAAGCTTATAATTGAGAAGAGGGGCTTCGGTTGAGTTGATCCAGTCGTTTTCAACTAGAGCTATATTACTTCGTAAAATCCAAGTAACTGAAATACCCGCAATAGTGATTCATCTACTTCAGATTGAAGATACATCTATAGGATCAAACAAGTACAAATGCATGCCATTGATGTATCTGTAGAAAAGTCTGACTCGAGTCTCGAAAGAAACAAATTTTTTAAAGTCAAACTTGGCTATCTGATTATTTGCACCTCTTGCATGTATAGGTTCAATCTGAAACATAGAGACCCATTGAAACAGATTGATAGCCCAGTTACGTGCAACTGGCATTGATCATTCCACATGCAATGAACAAGCCATGAAACCAGTAAAGACGCAATTTTCTGTACATCATTCATTGAAGTAAACCTTGCTGATCTGATAGACTGGTCAGAGGAATTCTGCTGAGACAATAGCCTTGTTTCATAGTCGACTTTAAAGATGAATCCGGAAACTTCTGACTCTTTATTCCGTCTGGTGCATTGCTTGTCTATGCTATGTATTGTCCCATGACTCCATGATCTATCGCTTTACACAGCGTTACGCTCGGCGAAATTAACGCCCCCATTAAGCCTGGGCAGCCATTATACTATCTATCTCTTAATACCGTAGGACGGTGTTAAAACGGCCACCCAAGTACAGTAATCGTTTATATCGACACAGTTAGGAGTAGCAAAGTTATATACCAGCTCTTAAATTTGTCTGATGAAATTATTACTATTATTATTGTAGACTACATGGATAAGCCGAGAAGTGTATAGGCCCCTATAGAAGCTAGCCGGAAGCAATAGCATATTATCGATCTAATAATACCTATCCGGTAGGATATCTAAGCCCACCTCGCGGCATATGGGTATGAACTAGCAGAGTTAACTTGAATGGAAATTGCTGTAGAATCGGAGTTTACCCCACCAGTTAATCCGCTTGACATGCTTCCACGAATATAGGAACACCCCACGCCAGCCCCGGACCTTCTACGAGCCATTGAGGTCAATGAGGATATCGACTACATATGAATATTGATCAAATTGTACAAGGAGATATTCCCATATGCACTTGAAGGTTTCTGGGCTACTAGTTCTCCTGCTCCTTTCGTCACGCCATCTGAAACAGCAGTCTCGATATCTTCGAGTTATGCGCGCCTACGAATTCATTTCAAAGGGAATGGAGCAAATGAGTGAGGTGTCTGAAATTGACGGGGATATACCGTTTGCAGAGGCGTTCCATGCGCAGGACGAGCACCTGGTCTGATTCCTCCTGGCGCGGAATTCTCAACTGAACTATATTCACTTATCCCATTTCGTGTCCGGCATGATGCTGCGCATAGCTGATGTATGGCTCACTGTGCCTCAGTCAACCTCTAAAGTGTTCAGAGGGTGGATATCTTCCCCCATCTGTTCTAAATCTTCTTTGATTCGGGCCATGCAGTTCCGAGTGGACTAATACTATACTGTATGCACGTCGCTGGCCTCGACATAGCCTTTGACATATTCCGAGTCCTCCACCAAAAATGTTACTGGGCCGTCAACAACGGTAACGGCACTCCTGAGAAAGCTTCAGGGACAATTCTGCACTTCGTCTTCATGAAACTCACAAAAGCGCGCCCATCAAGACGCAACGCTCCATCCTTGATCACCGTACATCCACGCCAACAACGCACCTCCTGTGCCGACTGATCAAAGCCGGCGGACTCGCCAACCCGCAAGATGAAAGTCCAGCTCCGCACCTGGCTCTGTTCATTTTGACTTGTTCACCACCGTGCTGACATTTCGCGTCTGCGTGACCTCCGCGAGGAAATAATAGTGGGGAGAAGGGTGTTCTCGTTCGTATCATTTCCCAAGATGGCCGCGATGAAAAGGGCTTGCGATCCAGGGAAGGGTACAGGAGGCAGGTAGATGACTTGGAGACGCAATCATGGAGTATGACATCTAGGGCTATGCGGCCAGTTGAGATTGGCTTTGGGGATGGGTGGGTCAGTGGATGAGGTATGGCCTGTTTAACCATGACTGGCAAGCACCTGATTAAGGAGATAGTTACGGGGACAGCACCTCGGAATGGTTTCTAATGTCATGATTTACATAGCATCAATGGCTAATGGCTATGCTGCACAATTGTTTTATTATGCTATACATCGTAGTCGTTTAGTTATCCAAAGCGCATATACTTTGATAACCTGTAGTGATTCGTTACCAGACCTGAAACAGCTAGTAGCATCCCATCCAGATCATGCTCGTAAGTATCGTCTGACCATAAATGAAATTACGGAGGAACTGGAAGTCCACCGGTTTCTAGACTGCTCGTTCATATTCAGCGGAGCCTAACCATTTCATGACGACTTTCGGCTCCTTCTTGTGACGGCGGTCGCAGGTGACTTCTTAAGTGGTAAGGTCGCATGAGTAAAATGATAACATGGACTGAATGGCATGATCAACGTAGATATAAAGTCCAGATTCGCCGGACCGTCAAGACTCCCAAAGCTTCAAGGTATTACGGTCCCTTTTCTGGGATCTACCAAGGGCCGTGGAAATTTAGGATGTTCGTGGAAATCACTAAGAACGACTGGCATTAGTGACAAGCATAATTCCACATCTGGCCTGCTTCTAACATGACACCAACGTCCGAATCTTTTTTCAACGCCGAACGATAACACCCCCTTGAAACCCCCATATGTAAGGCGCAAAGAAAACCAGAGTCTAATTTTTGCCAGCGTCTTCCTTGAGTGACACAATCTTGTTCAACACAACCTTGCTGTCGGTGCTGTCCGAGTCCACGGCCTAAAGAGTGGTTAGCCAGCGCTCGGAGCGCAAAGGACGGCATATTTGTGATGATATGGAGTTGAACTTACGAAGTATGCCACTCTCATTCCCTGAAACCTGATGCTCTCGGGACCACCCCTGCCCAGTTCACTCTCACCAGCAGCCTCGGGCCATGGCGCGCGACGCTTCACCTCGTCAAACCCCGTCTCAATCATGGCGTTAGGGTAGATGATCTCGCTATCAGGATTGATATCATTCAAGAAACCTCCATCAGCGTTGTCCGGTTTTTCGGATTTGAACAGCGAGTTGTAGATGCGAACCTCGGCGGTGCGAGACTCTGTGGCCACCCACTGGATGAAGGTCTTGGGTTTCTTGGTTTCCTTGTCGAAGACGGCGCGCACCTCTGTAACCTTGCCGGTGGTCTCATCCTTGGAGAAAGATACGGCCTTGATTGGGTAAGGGGCGTGCAAGAGTCCCACAGTCTTATTGGGTGCCAGACGGAAGTAGTCCTTGTTGTCCTCCTCGCGGAAATCAGATCGATCGATGTAGACGGTAGGCGTAAACTTGATCTTGTGGGATCCCATGGCAGGGTTCTTGGGAGAGAACGGCACGTCCACCTCAAGCTCTTCTGCGCCGTCGATAATAACGGGTATAGGGTCGAGCACCAACATCAATCTGGGCACCGTCCGCTCCAAGTATCTTCGGATGGTCTGCTCAAAACGTACCAGCTGAATGACAGACGGCGCAGTCGTCACACCAAGTTCATTGACGAATTCAAGGATAGCTCCCGGCGGCACACCACGTCTCTTGATGGCGATCAGGGTGTACAGACGGGGGTCGTCCCAGCCACGTACGTACTTTTCGGTGACTAGCTTCATAATTTTCCGCTTGCTGAGCACAGTTCCAGTTATGCTCAGACGACCGTACTCGCGCTGCATCGGCTCGTACACGCCGAGCGTCTTGTTGAGCCACTCGTAACTTACGCGGCTCTGGACAAACTCAGTGGTGCATAGCGAGTGGGTGATGCCCTCGAAACTATCACATAAACAATGGGTAAAATCGTAGGTAGGGTATATCCGCCATTTGGACCCGGTGCGGTGATGTGGTTTCTCGAGAACGCGGTATGCGGCCAAATCCCACATCTGGGGGTTTCCGTCGGTGATGTCCTGCTTCATTCGTAGAAAAGCCTCTCTGGGTTTGTATTTTCCATCACGCATACCCCTGAACTCTTCCAGATTGGTCTCGGGGCTCTGGTCTGCGTGGGAACATCGGAAACGGTCGCCATGTTCTTCACCGCCGCGCTGAGCCTTTATCTCGTCGTCTGCATCGCCATGAGTGTCAGCATGCCTCCATAATATGACAGACCAAAGGGTTTCACTAACCATTGCAGTGACAGACGTAGGCATTTCCCTGCCCAACAAGCTTCTCTGCTAGGTCGTACAGCTTCTGGAAGTTATCGCTCGAATATGTGATCTTGTGGGGACTGAAGCCGAGCCACCGTACCATCTCCTCGATGGCAGTGAAGTATTTCTCCTCCTCAGCCTCGGGGTTGGTGTCGTCATATCGCAAGTAGCATTTACCCCCATGGTACTTGGCAAAGCCGAAGTTGACGGTAATGGCTTTCGCATGTCCAATGTGTAGGAATCCGTTGGGTTCGGGAGGGAATCGGGTTGTGACAGGCTTCTTGGGGCGCTCTTCGAAAACATCGTTGAGGAAGCCCTGCTTGAACATGAGCTCCGGGTCGAGGGCGGGCTCGTCTACCTTTGCCTTTGGTTTGGGCGCGGCATTTTCTTTGGGCGCTGCAGCTCCCTTTGCCTTCGCGGTGGCTGCCTTCTTTGCGCGCTTCTGGGTGCGCTTCTTGAGCTCGTTCTTGGACACCATCTCGCCCGTCTCCTCGTCCAGAAACAGCTTGGCCGTCGCTTCGGTGATGGCGTCCGCCATGATTGCGGGGCGGTCAATCGACTTCGATAGGCTATTGAGTTGTATGGCGGTAAAGGTATCGATTTATCCAGTTGCAAGAAATCGCGGTCGTCAAATCGCAGCTGATCAGACACTTGCAGAGTGACTCAAGATTTGGTTCGGTCGTTGCCAGCTTCTTTTTTGGAGGGGCAACAACGCGGGGCAGATCAACCAAGCCCAGGCAGCCACGACAAGCTCAATGCACAGCCTCTCAATTTCCCGACAACGGATCATTGCTCCCAAGTTGCCGGCGGCCAAACCCTAGAACAATCAATGGGCTTCATGACCAGCTTGAAGACCACGAGATGCCAGTTTCGCTCAAGAAGCAATTCACGATGCAACACCGTAACGGTATCATCGAAATATGTTTCATAGTTTCAACTCCGCACCTTTGGCAATCCAAATGTAGTCATGCGACTCGAGTACTTTAGGCACTATCGTGTCGACAATTGCCGCTTCCCTGCTTTCTCCCGACCGAACTCCAGCTACCACGACTGGCGAGCATCACGATATCCACGAGCAGCCGACGCGCATTTGCAAAACACCCGGTCCGATTCTCCATGCGCGACACCCAAATTCCTCCCTCCATTCAAAAGGACGAGAAACTACAAGGCCCTTTCAGTCGAGGTCATGTGTGCGATAGATGTCTGAATAGACTGGCTGTGCTTCAGCCTTCCCAAGTTCTGGATAGAGATAAGTGCTCTGCCTCCAAAAAGAATTAAGGACCCGCCTCGAATCTGCGTCACAGAACAATAATCACTTTCCCAAGATGCATAGCATAAACAGTGTGATTCATCGGATAGATATCTCTTGTCTCTGGTTTCGAATTCAAGAGTGGACTAGTGTCGATCCAATCTAACTATTCTACAACTGAGTCAATGTTTCCCGTATGAACTGCGGGCCCACCGTTGCAAACTGTATACTTCTGCTCCAAGCCCTCTCCTTCGCCAGAGAAGTTACCATCACGCCCTTCTGGATACTTTGCTGCTGAATGCCGTGGCCCGTCCTAGACTCAATTGCACGTATAAGAATCTACGTTGCATCGTAGAATTAATCATGATAATGCTGTAAGTAAAGCTGGTCAAATTCCATTCTATGATCCAGTACTCTGTATAGTGAGAAGCGTCCAACGTACCCCGCGCTTCAGGCCACTCTCCGTAGCCGAGGCCGCATTCCATTGCATTGACTGACACGTACAGTTCCATACTAATGGGCTATCTGCATGTAGGGCCTGGAAGTACCAGTAACCTCTGGAGTCGTAGTCCATTTGACCAATTCGTTACTGAATCCCGATAAGGAAGGTGGTTCAAAGTCAGACACTATTGCGGCTTCACCTCAATTCACGGTGGGAACCCGGCAAACCGCATCGCTGCAGATAGGCATGCACCTCCCGGATGTATCATTGTTTCCCGCAGGAACTCACCTGCCCTATTGTGCAGGGCATGCTGTTGAACCGCTATCCCTATCTTTAAGTGGACGATGGACTTGATTCATATTACGGGGTTGGCTCGGTTCATCTATCCGATTGATACGTAATGCGTATCAGTCCGTCCGGTACGGAATCGCCACTGGTTCGGCCGCAGTCCGGAGGGTGCCCGGTGTGAATGCTAGAGTGGCTTTTGTAGAGTGCCGCCGGTGCTATGTGGACGACCATACGCGAAGTCTTTCAGCCAAGGTCAATATCTTTCAAAACATGGGAAACGGAGGCACATTGTTGAGGCTATTTATGATGTAGGATGTACGGGCAGCTCGATGCCGTGGCTCGCTTTCGACGGATGTGTCTGCTTCCTGCCCAAGAGCGACTAGCCCTGTAGCCTGTTCTATCTACGAATGCATACGACACATGTGCAGATGAATGACCACGACTCGAAGCCTTCGACGGCCTTGATAGTAGTTGTCACAGCTGTTTGCCGTATTCACCGAACTTTCCTACGTTTTCATCATTCCGAAACCTCTTATATATCAACAACTGACTCAAGTGTGCAGCCAAAGGCACACTTTTCGGTACTTGAGGCCATAGTCAGTCTCTTGAACTTGGGGAGATCAGAGATACAGCCAACTCTATGCTTTGTTACAGCTTGCAATAAGTCCGATAGATGTCACATGGGACGCGATTCCACAAGTTCATCTCATTTGGGAAAAGCGCTACCCTTCCAATAACATCCTGGTTAACTTCGCCCGCCATGATATTGTCCAGCTTGATTCTTTTCAAGACTTCACAGTGGTTGATACATCAGAGACTCTGAAAGTCGATTCTCAAGGTCATTCAAACCGTTTATGTAAGCTTATTTCGTTTCTACCTTCCATAGATTAATAAAAACAAGCAGTCGTTTCTTCATTTCAACCACTATTGCAGGACGCTGTTTCGTCGTTTTGTATAAAGAATACCGATGGTATGAAGCCACAGGGAATCCTATTGGGTTGTCACATCTTCAGTTAGATACCCAAGATAGCAGTGTTCCTTCTTCATCCCCCATTAACCGAAACATATCCCCATCAAAACAGAGAGTAGAAGCACATCTTCGCCATCTTCAAGAATCTACAAGAATTGCTTATCCTAAGAAAGGAAGAGGTGTTGCTTGTTTTTGATGGGAGATTGGACAAGCCCAACCTACGAGCACACTTTATCCCGAGGGTCGTTTGCATGGAATCCACGAGATAGATTAGAGCCTATAAGAATATTCATGATTCTGTGACGGTTCCCACTCTACCCCCCTCCCCCGCGAACGTGACAACAAGTCGACCAAGTAAGGAGTCCATGTTGTCGTTGAAAAGAAATAGAAGCTCTCGGTCTTAGCGATCCAGCCGATGCCGTGGCTTCCACACCAAACCCTCACCTCCTTAGCCAGTATGACTTCTCGAATGCTCCAGGTCCTTGTGAAGTATTTCCTGTGGGACACCTTGGCAGCAGTAACCCAGGATATTTCAAACCCTTTGTCCTCCTTAAATGCGCTATGTGGCTACAGTGTTACGCGCTTATTCAAGTCCCAGGTAGATAGCTGCTTGGTCAATGCATATGCTCGCGCGGCGTATTCGTCGTCGTTGCCCAGCCATCTGACAATCACCTTTACCATCCTATACATGTCCGCTATGAGCTTGATTTGGTCACGCCTTTCTACTGGCTTTTCTTCATTGATAGAGATGGCGTCAATCCAAAACTTACTGTCCGATATATTGGTATTTCACAATCGTTCCAGGAAACAGTCAAGGTTCTTCACTACAGAGAGCTCACGGTTATTCGCACAGTTGTGACAAGGCGACTCGTTCATCATATCTGCGAATTTCCGCTATGCTTTCCGCTATGCGGCTGGCGCGCTCCTCCGCGTATAAGAACGCGCGTAGTATTGGAGGGTCGCACTGTGAGGAGCCGGATCTGGTTAGGTGCAAGGCCAAGATATTTATAGGCCGACATGTTCTTGACTGGCAACGCGAACTGCGACAGCGCATTCACATGCAGGTTCGAATTGCTCATCTTTGGTATCATCCATTCTAATAAGTTATGAGTCGAGCGGATAAGTCTCGTTGCTAATTGGAATAATTCCAAATAGCACCAGTAGGAACCCAGAGTGTGCACAAATGACCCATCACACGTGAAAAGCCCAGAGACCTGCCCATCGCCAATCATGCGGGAGCAAACCGTCGGCATTTAGCTGTACTGCCAAGTGCCCAAACGTTCTCCAGCCACGCAACGGACCAAGCTCGCCCGACATCAAGCAGATAGCAGCATCTTTCCACAGGACGTGACTAGATGAGCAACCTACGTAATTGGATTTATTTCGCAAATGAGGCTTCTAGCTTTGCCCAGCAGCGAGAGGATGATACGCATCAGCACCCGCTAGAGTCCTCTCTAGCCCATAGGCAATCGGCAAATAGATTACAAGCAGGTTCCAGATAAGACATTGGCACCAGACCATCATCGTATCGATTTCAAGAGCATAACGTACACAATGTAACGTAGCACAGTTGACTTCGGCAATTTACGATCGGGGAGCCGAGCAGGGGTGGTGGGAAGCGGGGAATGTGGTGAAAACGCATTGCCCATTGCCGGAAATATATGCGGACGATACCAATGATCTTATGACCAGACTCGTGCTTACAATCTTGATGTCCTAGGTACGCGAAGTGCAGAAATCAACGGCGCGTCACCAGCAAACCACTCTTGAGCATCCTCGCCGTGATGTACCATAAGACGGGATTCTTACTAGCTGCATTTGAGATTGAAGATGGGAGCATTTAACGGCTGTAGGTCATGGAGCCAATCTGTCCACTGCTAGCTCGGTCCACTCTCGAGGAGTGTAGCCAACTTCGCGTATCGGTTGTTGGGGTTTTCTGTGGGGTTCTGAACTCTTGAACAAGGGATCCTCGACGTCTAGCTTGACGGCAGACGTGAAGATGCTTTTCCCAGCCGAGATCTGTAGACGACATAACTGCTGAACGTCTCACCTCATCGAATATTTGTTTTGCAACTGTAAGTATTTAGATCATGAAGATGCATCCCGTTCCGCCACCACCATTGATCATCCTGCATAGATCCACATTGGGAATCTGGCACCCCCGGCCCTGACTAGTGTCAACCAAGGACTAACCGTCCCCGCAGTCTTCCTTATCCACTGCAACCGAGCATCCAACACCGGGCGCTGGGCGATCCCCTTTGGGAGGAGGGTCGACATCTTTCCATATACAGTGTCTGGTTATCAGTGGCTCGGCATGGTAGCATTCATGTCCCAATTCGTGTTAGTGACCCATGCCGTCGGCGACTTGCTCCGACTGGTGAATGACACGCAGATAAATATGAGATTTGAGAGATGCTCCGATTTACACAATTGTGCTCATGCGAGCCGTCCCATCGTCCTGTGTGTTGCTTCATCATATGGCCAGTATGTCTGGCACCGTAGAAAATGTCGAGGAGCACATCTCACCTAAAACCTTTGACTCCGATCCTGAAAAGACTCAACTCCAGAGCACCAACTATGGGGATCAAATCTCGCCCGAGCTGCTCGAGGAGCTGGCACCCAATGGCGAACGCGACTACATACTCGAAAAGATCAACAACATGACCGAAGAAGAAGCCATAGCCATCCTCGAGGAATCAGTCGAGTTCCACTCCGATGACTGGAACTTCCCTCCGGAAATGAGAGCGCGCATGGTTCGGCTTCTGGAAGGTCCCAAGGCATACGGCGACTTTTATGACCGTGACTTGAGAATCGATGCCACCATGCTAAGATACTCGTCTCCTTATCCAGGTGTTCGCGCTGTGGCCGAGCCAGTAGACAATTCTGATGTGCCCATCGAGACCGTCCGCGCATACTTTCTCGGAATCGGCTGGGCTATCATTGGAACTTTCATGTCGACATTCTTCAACAGTCGATTCCCCTCGATCAGTAAGACCCCGACTAAACCACACGTGTACATGGTACTGATTTCTTCAAGGTTTGAGTGGTTCTGTGATTCAAATCCTGCTATTTCCTTGTGCCAAGTTTCTCGAATTCATCCTCCCTGATTGGGGCGTCACCGTCTTCGGAGTCCGTCACTCACTTAACCCCGGCCCATGGACCTTCAAGGAGCAGATGTTTGCCACCATTACATATAACATTGCTATATACACCACCAACAGCTACGGCATGATCCTTGTACAAAAGTCACCGGTTTTCTACGGCCAGGAATTCGTCACATTCGGCTATCAGCTGATGCTGACGCTCTTCGTCCAACTCATGGGCATGGGTTTTGCCGGATACCTACGACGATTCAGTGTGTACCCGGTCAAAGCCTTGTGGCCAACCGTCCTACCAACCATTGCCATGAATCGAGCTCTGACTAGACCCGAACCCAAAGAAAATATCAATGGCTGGACCATCTCCCGATACAGATTTTTCTACGTCGTCACAGTGTGCATGTTCTTCTACTACTGGTTCCCAGGATACCTGTTCACAGCGCTCTCGACATTCAATTGGATGACATGGATCTCGCCACAGAATGTCACTCTGGCAATTCTCACGGGCTCTTCTCTGGGACTGGGCTTGTTCAACCCAATCACGACATTTGACTGGAACATCGCCACTTCTTCCTATGCTGCTCTGTCTCAACCTTTCTTTGCCACCTGCACGATGTGGTTTGGCAGTATTCTGGGCGGTTTCATCATCTTGGGAATCTATTATTCCAACATGTACAACACGGCCTACCTCCCGATCAACTCATCGTCTGCTTTTGCAAATGACGGGACAACGTACGAGGTCCAGAAGGTCGTTTTCAATAACAGACTCAACGAAACGGCATACCAAGAATATTCACCCCCCTTCTACTCAGCTGGCTACATTCTGACAGTCGGCGCCAATTTCGTTTTTTACCCTGTCTACTTCCTCTACATCATGATCAACCAGTGGAGGACCGTATCCACCGCCTACATCGACTTCTACAAGGGTTTGCGTCACGGAAAAGGGAACTACGAAGGTGCTATGGATGTGCACAGCCGTCTCATGTCCAAGTACAAGGAAGTTCCTGACTGGTGGTTCATCCTAATTCTGGTTGCGGCTGTGGTAGTCTCCGTCGTCTTTTTGAAGATCTTCCCACTTGACACTCCAGTTTGGCTCACCTTTCTCATGATTGGCATCAACCTCGTATTTGCCGTCCCCCTCTCTTTCCTGTCCGCAACGACGGGTACCAACTTGGGACTAGGCGCATTGATCCAGGTTATCACCGGCTTCATCCTGCCCAACAACCCCAACGCCTTCTTGTACGCTCAAACACTGGGTTCCTGGGCTCTAGCAGGCTATGGCGACAACTACGTCCAGGATCAAAAGATGGCCCATTACTGCAAGATCGCACCCCGAGCCGTCTTTCGCAGTCAAATTGGCACCATCATCATCACATGTTTCGTGGCTGTTGGTGTCCAAGACTTCATTTTGGAAAACGTCAAGGGACTATGCACGCCAGACCAACCAAGCCGATTCACCTGCGCAAATGACGGTTTTCCACTTTACGCAAGCTCCCTGATGTGGGGTCTTCTTGGTTCCAACCGAATGTTCAACTCCCTGTATCCCCTGTTCAAGTGGTGCTTCCTCATCGGATTCGGAATATCCGTCTTATTCCTGGTTCCGCAGACCCTTGGTCCAAAGTACCTACCTGGTGCCAAGGAGAATCTGCGGACTAAGCTCAGCCCTCGTACCTTCAGCATGTTGGATCGAACACTTTTCCCCTTCATTGCTTCGCTGTTGTGGTTGAACCCAATCCTCATCATCCAGGGGATCCAACACTGGGCTCCATCTAACTTGTCGTACAAGACACCTGGAATGATACTGTCGTTTATCTTCATGTACTGGCTCCCACGACATCGTCTGGCCTGGTGGGTCAAGTACAATTACGTTCTCTCATCTGCCCTGACGGCTGGTGTCGCCATCAGTGCTCTGATCATGTTCTTTGCCATCGGTTACAACCCTGTGAGTCTGAAGTGGTGGGGCAATACGGTTAGCTCTGCTGGAGTCGATGGTTCTGGCGTTGGAATTCTCCCAATTCCTGACAGAGGATACTTCGGCCCAGAAAAGGGGAGCTTTCCGTATTAGATGATTCTATGATTCACTAAGCACGCATGTTTGGGTACTCACACTTGGGTTTTTACAAATACTATGTTTCACCCAAAGTCCCGGGATGTATACTTTTGTTTGCAGTAGTTTAGTAATTCAAAAGCAGCTAATGCCGATTTTTATTAGACGTCCGAAGGGTACACCTATTATCCTACTATTAAGACTAACGTAGTCCACGGTCCAATTGCACACGTCGGCAGATTTTCGTACGCTACCACTTTGACCTGCGGTTTTTCACCACATAACTGTGGTTTGTTCTTGGAATGAAAGTGATATGATTCTGGCATTACATGCGCTTCAATCTGATCCAAAATTAAGTGTACGTCGCGCTGGTCAGATCTATAACGTACCTTTTAGAACCCTTGCGTATCGACGCGACGGTAAACCCGCTCGAGCGATTACGCGATCACCAACGCAAAAGTTGACTCCTTCCGAAGAAGAGGCAATCGTACGACATACAACCGACCTAGATTCGCGAGCATTCCCTCCCCGATTGAGTGGTATTAAAGATATGGCCAACCGATTACTTCGAAGTCGCGACGCGGGACGCGTCGGCGTCAACTGGGCCTCGAGCTTCGTAAGACGACAACCAGACCTCCGGACGCGTTTAAATCGAAGGATCGACTATCAGAGAGTCCTCTGCGAAGATCCCGACGCGTATCGCGCGTGGTTTGACCTGGTACGGAATACAATTGCGAAATACGCGATCCAGGAAAGCTCAAGCCTCTTGATGTTGGTTGTTTTCGCGGGTTAAAAAGAGCGTACGGAAAAGAAATCGAAGATCTCATGCGAGCACATATAAGTCATATCTCGAAAGAAGACTTTTTACCGGCGTTTTTAAACGCGTACAACGCAACTTTCACGGTTTCAAATATCCAAGGAGGTTTCCGAGGGGTAGGAATAGTTCCGTACGATGCAGATTATGTCATATCACAGCTCGATGTGAAATTACATACGCCAACACCTCCGGGTAGCTCGGCTGGTCTCTCCGTCCCTTGGGAATCAAAGACTCGGAACAACCCAACCGAAGCCCAATCACAAACCGATTATGTGAAAAATAGAATTGTACGACATCAAAATAGCTCACCAACGTCAATTTTTGCTGGAATAGATCAGATTGCGCGAGGTACAACGAAGGTTATGCATCGACCTGCCCTTTTAGAAGGCGAGGTCGAATCACTTCGAAAGGCAAATGAGACCTTAAGTCGACGTCGCCGTGCGAAGAAAAAACAGCTACAGAGTGGAGGGTCACTTCGTATACAAGCTGGACAGGACCTACAGTCTCAACGAGAGGTTGATGGGCAGTTACATGACGAATTTCGTCAAATTGGTGGTCGTACGAGGCGGCGAATTGCGCGTGTACGGCGCTGTAGAATCTGCGGCGAGCCCGGACAGAATGCGCGCACTTGTGGAAATGATGTAGAGACGTCTGAAGATAACGATTCTGAGTAGTTTCAATTCATGATAGGCGTTGTGGTTGAATTAACTTATACATTGTCGTATAACGTCTGCCAAAGTGTGCAATTGGACCGTGGACTACGTTATCTTCTTTTTTTCAATCTTATTAATTATCCTTAATTATCTTTGCCTTTGTTTTTCAGTTAGTTAGTTTATCTCTACTGTTACACGCAAAGGTGGTCAAAGATTTGTGAGGTTGTAAAAGCATGACATTCTATCTAGTCCTATGGAGCACGAAGGTTAGACTTAGTCCCAAAGGGCTAAGTCACGTGGTAACCTTGGTGGTCTTAGCAAAGCCCACCAAGGTTGCCTAACATCTACGTTCGAGATCATCACGTGATGAGACGTTAAATTTCAATCAATCAATCATACGTTCGAGATCCTATTATTCTGCTTTTATCTTGTCCTTGACGACGACATAGGCCTGTATCTTATCCTGATCAGAGAAATCCAGTACTAGTAGCAGCTTCAATTCGACTCCCGGAGTCAAGAGTCCTATCCTGAGAATCACCCCTTCGCTGAATACAAGAGGGCACATCCGACCAACTTGCGCTCAAGGCTTGTAGGAGCTTCGCTCCAGCGTCCATCGCCATGATATTCGTCTGATCAGACCAACAGATCGGATCTGTTAGTACTGGAGCCATCTGTTCAGTGTGTTAGGTAATAGGTACACCCTACCGACCGCCTGACCCCGTTTCAATAGTAAATATATATTTGGATAACTTGAGCTTCTACGTCTATCACTGCATCTATAGATATCTTCATATGTCGATATTATTTCCAGCGTGTTCGGGTTTTGTAGGAGGGACTCTGACTATTTTACCCCTTGTGCAACTGCTTTATGGCATCCTGACTAATCGACGAATGACATTGGGTTGCCTCGGCCTGCTTGGAATGGTGTAGGACTTTATTCAATCATCGTTGCATATTGAGGTTCCTGATGGTAGCAATATTCGAATTGGTAGCTAGATCTGGAAGCTGGAACGAGCAAGAAAATGCGGGTCTTTGGAGTTCGTCGAATGACGCGATCTCACACCATCGCACGACATGCATTACATATCACAGCATAACAAATCGCAAAGTGGTAACCCGAAAGGGCAGAGCCCAGGCCGTCCAATCAAGAATTTCGACAAATTTAGGCACAACACAAAATCACCCCAAATCCCCATTATACGAGGCCTGGGTTCATTCCTTTGGGTCTGCATCAAGATCACAGGACGACAGTGAAAGTGGGCACTGGGCTCAGTAGACCCCCGTCTTTTCAACTGCATCATTCCACGTCACCTGTGCTGCCGCCAACTTGTGTCTACCCTTATCTGATATGCATATGTGTAACGCTACCATGGGAACAGTGAAGCGTGTTGCCGTGATTGGTGCCGGTCCGGCAGGGGCCATCACAATCGATGCACTTGCGCAAGAGAAGACATTTGAGGTTATCAGAGTGTTTGAGCGACGAGAAGGTCCAGGAGGGTGTTGGTGAGCTTTACACGTATGACTCTGACTGCACATGTGCAAATTCTCTGATGCCTCGATAGGATCGGCGACGATACGCCGCCGCCCATTATCTCAGATTTTGATGCTCTTGCCGCACGAAGCGCTGACCAGCCTCTCCCAATCCCTAACTTGCTGCCAGCGGAGACCCCAAAGTCGCCACAACTTCGTTTTCACGAATCTGCAATGTATCCTTACCTGGAGACTAATGTCGATCATGTGCCGATGCAATTCAGTCAGGAGCTGATCGCAGCTGAAACAAGTGACTGGTCTCGGAGCCTATATGGACCTGACACCCCATTCAGGCATTGGAAAGTATTGCGGAGATACATAGAAAGTTTGGTACAGCGACGCGGGTACGAAGACTTGGTATCTTATGACACGAGCGTTGAGTTGGTAGAAAAGATGGGAACTGAATGGAGGGTCGTGTTGCGAAAATCAAAAACCTCATCAAAGACGAATTACTGGTGGGAGGAGCGGTTCGATGCTGTCGTCGTTGCCAGTGGACACTATTGGGTCCCCTATATCCCTCATGTGGATGGACTCAGTGCCTTCGCCAGTGCACGACCGGGCAGTGTAATCCACAGCAAACACTTTCGAGGGCGTAACAATTTCCGTGGCCAGGTAAGTCGTACTTTCTGGTTGGGAGCGTCACCAGCATGCTGACTTATTAGAAAGCGAGTTGTGGTGGTAGGAGCCTCCGTGTCAGCAGCAGATATTGCCTACGATCTAGTGGGAACCGCACAATCACCAGTATACGCCGTTGTCATTGGCCACAATTTCAATAACTACTTTGGAGATGAGGCTTTCAACCACCCAGGCATTGACAACCGCCCTTCCATCGATCGGATTAAAGCTGGCAGCCGGACCGTGCACTTCAAGGACGGCACAGCGGTTTCTGACGTGGACAGTATCGTCTTCGGCACTGGATTCACTTGGACGTTGCCGTTTCTTCCTGGGGTTGAAGTGCGAAATAACCGTGTTCCCTTGCTCTACCAGCACGTCGTTTACAGAAAGGACCCAAGACTGCTGTTTGTAGGAGCAGTCAACGCCGGTCTGACTTTCAAGATCTTCGAGTGGCAGGCCGTGCTAGCGGCTCGAATCTTGGCCGGAAGAGCGAATCTGCCAAGTTCTGCCGAACAACAGATCTGGGAGGAAGATCGAATCAAATCGCGAGGTGATGGCCCCAGGTTCGGACTCATTCACCCAGAGTTTGAAGAGTACTTCAATGAACTCCGTCAACTAGCTGGGCCTGACAAGGAGGGGTTTGGACGTCACCTACCACTTTTTGATCCTGAGTGGTTCAATCGGTTTATGAAGGGCCACGAGTTGCGCAAGCATATGTGGAGGAGTCTTAACGAGAAAGCTCGGACAGATAGTCAAAAGTCGCAACCAGGAAGTCAAACGGAGGGAAGTTTGGACCTGGCGGTGTGTATCCTGGTCGATCTGACCTCACAGGACTCAAGTCACGAATATCAGGATTGATTTCGTGCCAAGTCAGTTGTGTGGTTCAGATCTCTTTTGATGGTGTTTTTTCTAGAAAGCTCAGCTATTTCCGAAGCTACGAAATGTTGCTTAAGAGCAACGATGTAGCCAATCAGATCCTCTGATTTGGATCCACAGCGGCAGGTCGGGCTAAGTTATAGACTTAGCCGTCTTTTATGATAACCGATAACGTAGTCCACAAGCGAACGGGTCACGCCAAGTAGCAAAACATGGAATTCAACACGATTTCGCAACCACAACGCCGTAAATCAATTAAAACTACTCAGAATACTCTTGCCCAGATGATTCTACCTCTACCTGACAGGTTCACGCATTATGCCCGGTCTTCCCGCATACGCCACAGCGCCGTTGCCGTGGCTGGCCACGATTTGATCCAGCGCTATTTCCACGCATTTCCTGCTGTACTTGCTGCGCAACGTCCTTTTGATCTTGAATATCTTGTACGTCTTGTGAATTAAGTGATCCTACAAGCCGTACTCGTGTTTTTTTGGCCCTGCGCCGCTTGCTAATTAGAGCATTTGCCTCTCGAAGTTCGGCGACCTCAGCTTGGAGTAAAGCCATCTTATGCATAATACTCCGCGCTCCTTTCAAAAACTGATCGATAGCATCGTAAATTGACGTCGGGGAGCTATTTTGATGCCTGGAAATTCGAGATTTAATAAATTTGGATTGCGAAGTAGCCTCGGTTGGGTTGTTTGGCGTCCGAGAAGCCCAAGGAAGGGGTTTCCGCGTAAGGGGCCGGGAGGACGTTGGAGTCTGTAATTTCACATCCAGCTTCTCAATAACAATATCTGGGCTTAAAGGCACAAGCCCAGCCCCTTGAAAGCCTGCACGAATATTGCTTTCGGTCAGGCTCTTCTTGAACGCGTCGCAAAATGCCGGAAGAAAGTCCTCCTTTGTGATATGCGAGTCGCGTAGCAGTCGGTTTGCCATATCTTCAACAGCACTTATCCGGGGAGGAAATGCTTGCGAATCTAGCTCAATTATCCTTTGAATAATCGTATTTTCTTCTAGTTTTGTTAGATTCTGACCGTTGGCTTCGATATTGCGACGTGATTGACGTTTTTGAAGACGCGCTTGGAGAGTAGTATTCGAGACTTTATAGATTGTTGCAGCACGTCGGATACTAAGTGTTGAGTCATTTCTGATAGCCTGAGTTGCAAGGAGTAATTGAGATTCTTTTTGAGCAGAATCCATCGAGAATTAGTTGCGTGGTAAAGTTAGGAAGTTTAGTTCTATTTTTTGCTATGGGCGTGACCCGTTCGGTTGGGTGACCCGTTCGCTTGTGGACTACGTTACTTAAAATAGATATAATGTGTGTAAAAGTGAAACATCGTTAGTCTAAATCTATTTAGCGTACCACTTGCGTTAGGACACGAATATTACATAATAATGCCTTCGGAAGCGGGCCTCTTGTCTTCCCGCACCTGAATATTTTCTGCCCACTCACCGGATGTTATGCAGTGTAGGATGATGCAGCATGCTCAAGCTGCTCACGAGTTTCTCGTAACCCCTTAAATGAGTACTATCTAGGTACGTACTTCGAATAGATCTCATCTTACCATATCACACGTCTCACAGGAATAGTCAGGTAGTGCAAAGAGCGGCTATAATACGCTAGGGTTATAGGTGCGTATATTATAAGACTCATTCTTAAGGAATCTAAGTTAGGTACGAGCGCCTCGAGATGTGTATCCTGGTCGATCTACCGCACTGGGCTCATGTAACGAATGTCAAGTTCATTGAATTCGTGCCAAGTCAGCTGTGTGGTCAGATCTGTTGATTCGTGGATTGATTCATGATAAGTCTAGGTTTCTATGTAACGCGGTAACAGCGTTGGCTTTACTTCCACTTTTGTGGGGCCTAGGGCCACACTTAGATCCACAGAGATGTTCTCTTTAACTAGGTTAGGTGGTTCTGGAGTTTTACCGGATCGGGGGCGAAACCCTCCCGACTCAGCTTGTTAGCTGAGACCGGCCCGTCATGACGACTCTTTCCTTACCATCCCCCACCACCCCACCGGTAACCAAATTAGCAGCACCTACACTATAATTACTTCAACTTCAATTAACGTGGTTTAACACCGAGTCGCGCACTTTTTACCACACTATAATTTCAAGTTCAATTAAAAAGCCACAGCAGGCTAAAGTTTATTGAAATTTATTCAGAGCTATATACATCTGACAATTATAGTTCGACCTGACAAGTCTTTACATTATGTCCGGTCTTCTTACACTTACTACATCGTCGTACAGTCGACGGACCAGCCTTTTCTTTACCCCCCTAGAGCGCTTGTCCTCCTTTACCTGGGCCTCCGCGTCCTTCCGGGCCAAAATGTCCAGGGCATCCTCGACAGTAAGTGCACCTCCTTGCCGGACACGCGATTTTTTGCCCTCCGACGCTTGCTTAGTGCCTCATTTGCCTTGCGAAGGGTGGAGCACTCAGCCTTCAAGAGGGTATTCTCATGGGCTAATCGAGTTATACCCTTCGCAAGGTGGCCAACAGCATCAAAAATTGGGGTCGGAGAGCTTCCCTGATGTCTGGCGATTCGGCGATTGACAAAATCGGACTGCGAGAGAGCCTCCGTGGGGTTATTTGGCGTTTGCGAAACCCAAGGGTCAGCATCTAGAAGAGAGGGGCTAACGGGTGTAGGCGACCGAATCCTAACATCCAGCTTCGAGATAACGGCTTCAGGCTCGTGGGGGACTAGGCCGGCCCCTCGAAACCCTGCCTTGATGTTTTTGTCGGTTATTGTCTTTAAATAAGCCTCCTTAAAGGCGATAAAGAAGTCGACCTTAGTAATGTGGTTAATATGGGACTTGATAAATATATCAATCTCTCGACCGTATATACGTTTCAAGACCCCAAAGCACCCGACATCAAGTGGCTGGGTTAGATGAGACGAGTGCGGGGGCAGACTGATAGTAATAATGCCGTTAGACTTGCAATAAGACTCGAAATCGGCCGATGTATGACTCTCATGCCCGTCCAATACTAACAGCCGATACACGCCTCTTTTGGTCGAGATAGTGTGCTTGTTGAAATGTTTGATCCAGTCTAGACCAGTCTCGTCGTTCGTCCACCCGTTTTCGGTCGGTTTGACTACCCAATCGGCTGGTAGGCCCCCTTCAGTATACCAATTAGCAAGGTGATAGTTCCCTTGAATTACCAGAAATGGCGGGATGTCGCGACCCTCCGAATTGACACAGGTAATCGCCGTGGCCCATTCCCGGTTACCTGGCTGGACCTTCTTGCCTCTACCATTACGTTCAGACGAGGTAACGACCATCGAGCGTTGAATAACGCCCATCATAAAGCCCGTCTCGTCGAAGTTCCACATATCGCAGTCCTGGATCCCGTATTTGGCCCTCATATTCGATACAAGCCGGAACCAGTCCTCAATAATCTTTGGATCCTCGCAGAGAGCCCTCTGGAAGTCATACGAGCGAGAAAAACGCGTCTGTAACTCTGGGGTTCGCTTTACAAAGCGATGCGCCCAGAGCTTGCCGACGCGTCGGGTACCCCGCGTCGCAAGAATGGAATTGGCCATATCTTCCACACTCTCTAGCCGGGGAGGAAACCCTCTCAAATATAGGTCAAGTACATGCTGAACAATAGCTCTTTCCTCTATCTTGGCGAGTAGTGCGCTATTCGGTCAGATTTCGGTACGTGGGGTGCGACCGTGGATTCTGTCACGGAGTGAGGACTCGGGTACACCGTGTAGCTTTGCTGCTCGACGTTGGCTCATATTTTTGGTCGATCGGATAGCTTCGATGGCAAGGTTGATTTTGGCTTCTTGGGTTTGAACTGACATGGTGTTGTTGTTGAGGAAATAAGTGTTGAAGTCAAAAGGTTGGAAAAGTTGAAAAAGTGCGCGACTTGGTGATATGCGCGACTCGGTGTTAAACCACGTTATACGGATCTTAATAGAAATTGAAGCTATTTACAAGCCGATTGCACGAATAAATAGCGAATTGAATATAGTTTTTAATTTAGCATTTTTAGAAAGGTTACACGATACTCCACATCGGTACTACGGAGTTCCGGCAGCCGTAAAATTCTGATTCTACTACTTTTGAGGCCACGATGCCCCTTTGACTATTATTCTATAAGTACTACGCTTCAGTACACCAAAATGCCGCGCCGTAGCTGGACAGAGGACCAGATAGCTGAGGCTATTCTAGATGTTACCGATAATGGCCTGTCGCAGTACAAATCCGCCCAGAAGCATGGAGTGCCGCAGCAGACCCTTTCCGACAGAATCAAAGGCAAAGGGTGGCCAGACAACCCTATACCGACCAGCAAGCGGGTTTCTATAGCCCAAGAAAGCCGTATAGTCGACTGGATCATCAGACAAGAGTCCTTGGGATATGCCCCTACGCACAATCACGTACGCGCTTGCGTTTCTACACTTCTGGCTCAACCAATTTGTCTCTAGACATCCAGAAATTCGTACCAAGATGGGTAGAAAGCAGGAGACAGCTCGATTCAACTCGTTTACACCAAAAGCCGTACATTGGTACTTTGATATCCGTGAGAGAGAATACGGCTGGATTAAGCCAGAAAATACAGTTAATGTCGATAAGGGAGGCATAATGGCTGGCTTTGGTAACTATCTATTAGTCTGTTAGGCAATTATCTATGCTAATTACTATACTATAGGCCTTGACGGGCTCGTATTGGGGAGTTCTGACGCCCAACAGAAGGCTATAATTAATAATATTAAATACGCCGTAGGTGTCAGGGTACGGCTAGGCCGAAGGCAATAGTACAGAGTGATGGGGAGTAACGGGCGTCCCTCCTACGTAGCACCGGGTGGTCACTGGCGGTCTCAGGTAGGGGTGCTCACGGTGATGCATTGATCTCTGCCCTCTCTATCTTCCTCCGTCTCGACTCCTTACTTATAGCCAGCCGAGGTTCTCTCTTGTATCTGGATGTTTGCTTCCGTATGTCTGTGTTCCTCCGACTTCGGCCAATATCTTGGACAGCGGCTCCTTATCTGCAACCAAGCGATTCCCTATCCGCTGCAAACGGCTTCAACGGCTCTCATTCGCCACAAGCGGCTCTCTAGCCGCCACAAACGGCTTCCTACCTGGTGGAAGCCGGCCCGCCTCGGATGACACTTGTGGCTCTGACAACTCCTTCCCTATCCTACTTCGAGATGGTCCTTATATAGATAGCTAGGCCGCCGCTTGGACCCGGCATAACAGCAGGGTCGGCGATGCCAAGGATCTTGACTCTCGTCATCCCAAAGCTTCACATAGATTGTAATCATGATTCGGGAGTCTTTTGTCCGAAACACCCCTCCGGCGGCCCGCCGGTGTCCTGCGTTCAGTGTCCTGACACCCACTGGTGCCTATGGCATTCTGTTCTCTGACAGTAGGTGTTAACCCTCGGTACCTCTACAAGTACTCCCTTAAGGGGCTATAGATGATATAGCGGGCCCTTAAGCCGCGTCGGGCGGTTATACAGGTAAACTTGTAGCCAAACGACTACTAAACCTCCTGTCCCTCCTTAAGTCTGTGCTACAACCCCTGCCTGAACTACGGATAAGTGTGGTAATGTGGCACTTAAATTCGTCCTCAGGGGTGGGATGCTGCTGATGTGCAGAAGATGCTCGACTATTTTTTGTCGCGACAAGTCGTAGTATCTGCTAATTGGGGTTCTCGTCGAGCATATACATCTAAACCATACGCTCAAGTGGATAGACCGTAACGTGGTCTAGACGCTCGCAAGAATCACGGCGAGAGGGCGTGCTGCGCGCCTTCTATCGTGAGGGGACGGGTTCGCCGACGAGCGTTGTCGGATAGGCGAGGTCCGATAAGGGGTCGGATTAACGATTCGAATTCTGGACCGGCTGTCGAGTTATATTCCGCCGACGTAGTGCTTGACGGTCGACTGGCTAGGATGGTCGTAATCCTAAACTGCACCAATCTCCCTATTATCGCTAGGTAGGCGAAGTCAACAAGGTGGGCAGCGCGCCGTAAGGGTTGACTAAACCCCCTTGTGTGTCAGCTGCGGGATTCGAACCCGCGACTCGTCACCGACCCAAGTGGGCGAGGCTCAAATCGGGATTTATCTACCAGCGAAGTGACCAACTACACCAGCCGACAGGCTATAATTAAGAGCTCACAGGGCCGTAGTTGGACTACCTTTATTGAAGCCACTACAGCCGATGGCCGCCTTCTAGAGCCAGGTATAGTGTTTAATGGTAAAGAGCTCCAAAAACAGTGGTTCATTGACCAATTCCGAGAGATCTGTCCCCACTGGCGCTATATAACGTCACCAAATAGCTGGACAGACAACCATATAGGCCATCAGTGGCTTATTGACGTATACTTGCCTCAAACGCAGCCAGCAGACCCCTCTGATGCTAGGCTAATTATACTAGATGGCCATGGATCCCACGCCTCTGTAAGTCTTCTAGTTATTGCAGTATAACTGTACTAACTGGGCTATATAGGATGAGTGGATGACTACGTGCTTTATGTACAATGTATACTGTTGTTACTTACCGGCACACACTTCCCATGGCTTACAGCCAAATGACAATGGCCCCTTTAACGTATTGAAGTCAGCCTATAGGGCAGAAGTCAGTAAATTGGATAGAATGACGGATGCGGCGCCAGTTGATAAAGTCAACTTTATCCGGTGTTATAGTACTGCACGCAAGGCTATAACCGATAAGGTCATTAAATCTGGCTGGAGAACTACTGGAAATTGGCCAATTTCAAGGGCCAAGGCACTACGGCATCCAGAAATCCAGGTAGATGTTGATAAAAAGGGCACTCCACCGCCGCCACAAGCCCCTGGACTTGACAGTGATTCTACACCCCGTACGAGCCGTCAAATCCGCAACTTTGCGAACAAGTCAAGCCCACATAGCCGCTATAGGCTACAGAAGGTTGTCAAGGGGGTTGACGCCTTAGAGGCAGAGTTGGTAGCCGAACGCACTAAGGCTACGGCATTACAGGAGGAACTAGACCGCTTGAAAAGGGGTAAAAAGCGCAAGTCACTGCCAAATCCGAATCGCCATTTTATAAAAGCATCAGAAGAACTAGCTGCAGGGGAGCCTATACCCCCTAATAACCGTCAAGAACCAGCCAATAATGGGAAAGTTGTGGAAGTTGAGGATGAAGGGTTGATTCATCAGAATCAGAGGCTACGTCTGATGATTTGCCGGCTGCTGTAGTCACACGAAGTGATCTTACAGTCAAAAGGTGGCAATATTCTTAAACTCCATAACAATAGCTACATAATAGTATAACTATGGTATAAATAGCTTCAATATGTACGGAATTATGTGTAAGTAAACATGTAGTGTTTTTGCAGTATTGTGCTCAATTAACGTTACCGGTGGGGTGGTGGAGGATGGTACACCGAATATATGTTGAATTTTTCTATCGTTCATTTTAATTTAAAAAAGCCTATATTCAAGTTTAATGTATGTTAAACCTCGGAGCGCGTTATATTTTAAGTACCTACTGAACTTTTGCTAAGAATTTAGGTTTTGTACCTGGTCAAGAGTGTTCTCATACCTGGTCGGGGAAAACCTCGTTCGTCAAGCCGAGCATTTTAGCTGGCATCCCGCTCCCCAGACATAACGTTGTAGGGCTGAGAGTTGCTATGGCGACACCTCTCACCTGTTCGAGCCAGGGTATTTGCAATCCTGTTGTTAATCGTCTTTGCAAGACCACCCAAGTTATTGTCATCATCTGGAACACCATTTAAAATACGGTGACTATCGCATCGGATTGGTAGCGTTATTCGAGGAAGATGCGCTTCTTTTCTCTCATCCAGCCGAGCGAGCTAAGCGTCGCTCTGTCTCCATGTATGACATTGTCGCGTGGCTGTCTGATAGCCAGCCTGACATCGCGCCACTGCCGACGACAACGAGCCGGAAACGGTTGAGGGTCGAATCGTTGCTAACACCCGACGGGTCAATCACGGCAATGGACGCAACACCTAGTGCTGATGCGGCCCCGACACCAGTCACTCGGAAGCGAGCTCGTCGACCTTACGAGGCCGACCAGGAGGATACGACAGACACCGAACGCACGCCCCGAACATCCGCGTCATCATTTCCATTCAAAGATAACCAGAGCAGAGGTTCTTCAAGATCTCGAGCGTCAACAACAACAAGTTCGACAACAGCCAACTCGCGCAGGTCTCCAACCAAACAGCTGATGCGGCTCGAGATCGCGCCAGACCCAGTGCTTGTGAGGCAGATCGATTTTCGCGCGATACCTGTCGAGCTAAGAAACATGCTGATCAAGATGGAAACTTTTGATCGAGGTGACCGGGTCGTGCCAAGCTATCTCATGCCTGATATAGCTGCGGCGCAGCTCAACGATATGGCCTTCTATAACTTCTGGGAAACCGTGTTTACAACCAAAGAGGCGGAACAAGAAGAACAGAGGTGCGGCTTCAACTGGCGACGCTTATCGCTGGACGAGATCATGGACTGCTACCTCAAGGCCAGGAATTGCCACGACCAAGGACATGCTGAGTCGGCGTGGAATGAAATGGTACATTGGTCCGTGTTCGAGATGGCTCTTGGTGGACTAGGCACATCCATGCCGACAACAGTCGGACCAGCAGTCCAAGTTGAAATGGAAAGGACAATGACGGGAATGGCGTCGTCTTCGGTGCCGTCAGCAGCATCAGCGACAACTGATCCTGAAGCCCACTCGGTGACCGCTAGCGGCAACAGACGTCAAGGCAGGGATTGGGTCAAAGTCACACCCATGATCTGCTCCTCTGCACGCATTACAGGGAAAGCCAAGGACTCCAAGATGGTCGACTTCTGTCTTGTCCTCGAGTCCGACCCCGAGCCTGAAATCGATGGTAGTTATGATGTCGACACGGCAAGGCTCATCCATCCTGATTACCCCCCCCCCCCCCCCCCTCCCCCCCAGCAAAAAGCCGCTCGTTCTCACCGCCAAGTCGAAGATCCATGGTGAAGGAGCCACTCAGGCTGGTCTGCAGGTTGGCGTATGGCAGGCAGCACCATGGGGTATGCTACAGCAGCAATGTCGCGGTGGTTCTAAACAACATTCCTCCGGAGCTGAGAGGGAGAAACGGGGAGATATTGGACAAGCACGCGGGTTTACGTCGTCTGCAGACCCAAATGGCAAGCTGCCATCATTCCTGCCAGGGCTAATCATTCAAGGGCATCGATGGTATTTTGTTGCTTCCACACGCGATGATTCCCAGACGGTACGTTTTCCACCTTGATTTACTTCCTATCCCTTTCCGTGCACTTATCTCGGAACTTTCTGGATTCTCAAGCCTCATATCCATGTTACCTACATGCTGCTCTCCATACAACCCGTTAGCGATAGACGCTAGAGTGAAGCTCCTACAAGCCTTAAGCGTAAGTTAGTCGGATATGCTCTCTTATATTTAGCGAAGGCGGTGATCCTTAGAGTAGGACTCTTAACTCCGGGAGTTAAAGTAAAGCTACTACTAACGTCACCCACAGGTCATTGCCCCACACGGGTCTTTGCCCAACTTTTCAAGAAATCTTGACTTTCCATCTTTACTTATACAATTCTTCCCTTCCACAACATGGCACGCAAATCTAGTGAAGCTAATCTTCAATTAGCCATCCAAACTAAACGACGCGATCCTCACCTAAGTTGGAACAAGCTTGGTAAAATCTTCAAAGTCGACCATAAAGACATTGAAGCGCCGTTACGAAGGCGTACAACCATTACACATTACTAACATGTCCAAACGGAAAATGACCGAAACCGAAGAGAATACGATTACCCGACGCGTAATTGAGCTAGATTCGCGAACTTTTCCTCCCCGGCTTCGATACGTTGAAGAAATGGCGAATATCCTCCGACGCGACCACGACGCGTCACCCGTCGGCAAGAACTGGGCCTCGAGCTTCGTACGGCGACAACCAGACCTCCGGACGCGTTTAAATCGTTGAATCGATTACCAGCGGGCATTCTGCGAAGATCCTGTCGCGTATCGCGGTTATTTTAAGCGTGTTGCGGACACAATAGCGAAGCACGGCATCCAGCCGGAGGATATCTACGACTTTGACGAGACGGGCTTTTTAATGGGCATGATCTCAACCGGCATGGTCGTTACGAGTACCGAAAGACGTGGAAGGCCTAGGCAAGCCCAGCAAGGCAATAGGGAATGGGTTACTGTCATTCAGGCGGCCAATTCCCAAGGCTGGGCGGTGCCGCCGTACATCATCTTCGCGGCCAAAGTTCACCTCGCTTCGTGGTATCGCGACACCACATTACCGGGCAATTGGATCGTCGATGTATCCCACAACGGATGGACAACGAATGATATTGGTCTCAGCTGGGCAGCTCACTTCGATCTGCACACACGCGATCGTACGAAGGGTGTCAAACGCCTCCTGATCCTTGACGGTCACGAAAGCCATCACTCGATGGATTTCGAACAATACTGCAAGGACCATGGCATCATTACCCTTCCTATGCCTGCCCATTCGTCCCATAAGCTCCAGCCTCTCGACTTGGTGCCTTTTAGTGTTTTGAAACGGGCGTACGGTGTGTTTGTTGAGGGTTTGATGCGACGGCATCATACCCACGTTGCGAAGGAGGATTTCCTTGCCGGTTTTTTGGAGGGGTTTGGCGCTGCTTTTACTGAACAAAACATCAGATCTGGTTTCGAAGCAGCTGGAATTGTCCCTTTTGACCCCCACAGGGTTATATCTGCCCTGGATGTCGCAGAAGTCGCGCGTACACCCTCTGCCGACCCAGAACTCCTACCCCCTATTTGGACTTCTAAGACACCTAGTACCACCCTTGAAGCCGAATCGCAGTCAACGTTGATTAAGAATAGCGTTCAGAGGCATCAAGACAGCTCTCCGACGCATATTATTCATTCAATTGACTCGATTGCAAAGGCTACGCATGCAATGATGCAAGAGAATGTTATCTTGCGTCGCGAGAACGAAGAGCTTCGTGAGACTAACCATGTGCTAAGCAAACGTCGCAGAACCAAAAACAAGCAAATCCAGTATGGTGGGCTACTTAATATAGAAGATGCACAAGTTCTACGGCCTATTAGGGGTGATACGGGTTTGGAAAGTGAGGAAGAGGGTGAAAGTAGTCGTCCTACAAGGAGGAGGGCAACGGGTGCTAGGCGCTGTGGCATTTGCGGAGGAACTGGACATAATGCGCGAACTTGTCAGGCAGATGTAGAAACATATAATGAAAAGAATTCTGATTACTTTCTTGGATGAATATGGGTTGTTGTTGATCTATCTAAGATTAAAGGTTGGGAGGTCGTGAAAAGTTGGGCAAAGACCCGTGTGGGGCATTGACCTGTGGGTGACGTTAAACAGTATTCTGATATGATACACGATCACTATACCCGTGCCACGCCCCACTTGTTCAGATTTCGCCCAAGCTTACCAGCTAAGCTGGTGCTAGACAGCGAATCCGGCAGGACAGCGAACTCGGCAGCTTTCACACCATTCGAATTCAACACCACTTATCTGTATCAAATCAACAGATTATCAATCCTACGATAGAAGAAGAGCTCTAAGATGTGCTAAGACAACTAGAACAAAACCTATAAGGTAAAGTAGCGACCGTCGCGCGAGAATTTAGCGTTCCACGTAGTATGCTCCAAGACCGACAGAACAGCATCCTATATAACTAGTATAGAGCCTGATATATTGGCCAATAGAACCGAATATTCGTGTTACACGCAAAGGTGGTCAAAGATTTGTGAGGTTGTAAAAGCATGACATTCTATCTAGTCCTATGGAGCACGAAGGTTAGACTTAGTCCCAAAGGGCTAAGTCACGTGGTAACCTTGGTGGTCTTAACAAAGCCCACCAAGGTTGCCTAACAATTCGACAGCTATTTCCTACACTTGGAAGAGTTTCAACGATCGATGGGCCACTACCTGCCCTCAACAGTATCGAGATCTAGGGATCGCTATCCACCCGCGACCCCCCGAACTTGGCCTGCCCCGGCAACACCTAGGCAGATTACTCGCAGCGAGGTCGCACCACGGGGATTTCGTGACCTACCACGAGAGACTCCAGCATCGCGACGCACTGCTCAACTGCGGGTGTGGAAAGACAAAGACACCAGTCCACTTCTACTTTTGCAAGCGCGGCCGCAAGGCCACGCCCGGTCATCTAAAAGCGCATATGGCCAAGAATAGTATAGATTCCCTCCTAGGCACGGCCAAGGGAGCTCGTTTGTTTTGTCAATGGGCGGAGGAGACCAATTTCTTTACTGAGATCTGCCCATCGCACTGAACAGGAATGTTAGATGAAGACAGTCCCCTGTAACATATATTCGACTAGCATAGACCATGCCGGCACTGCGCCCGGCACGTCTCACGTGATGAGACGTTAAATTTCAATCAATCAATCAATCAATCAATCAATCGACAGCTATTGTAGTGGGGCCAGACTGGACGTCAGGAAAGTAGGTGACGGGGGCCAGGGAGGACTCCCCTGTCTTCCACACTTCTTAAGGGACACGGAGATGACAGACGACTTTCAACAACTTGTCATCTCTTTTCATCATCTTATTCAATCAACTTGACTTTTGTTTTCTATTCTAGTTAGCTAGCCCTTCACTTATGCGGTTCATTCCTACGTGCACTTAGACACTACTTTCGAAATCCTATTATTCTGCCCTCATCCTAGCCTTGACAATGACAGAGGATTGTATCTTGCTCTGATCAGAGCAATCTAGTGCTAGTGGGAGCTTCAATTCGACTTCCAGAGCCAGACGTCTTGTTCTGAGAATCATTCCGACGAGAGTCTCAGAGGCACATCCGACCAACTCGCGCACCAGACGTGCAAGAGCTTCGCTCTTACAACCAGTACCACGATCTTCGTCTGATCAGAGCAACAGATCCCATCTGTTGGTACTGGAGCCGTCTGTTCAGTGTGTTAGGTGGTAGGTATATCCTACTGACCGCCTGACCCCGTTTCACTCTCTTATCTTGATCGGAGGCACATATATTAGAGGTATTAATTATAGATCTCGGACTATATATAACAGATAATTTTAAGTCTCACGAGTTAGACTTCAAAGGAATCGGATCATTTTATTATTATTATTATTATTAAATACGCCGTAGGCTCGAAGCCCCCGGTACCTCTACTAGTACTCCCGTATGTCAAACCGTGCCCTAATGGCTGGACTAAATACATACGCTGCGTCGTCGGTTCGCCCTATTGGCGACTGCGTTGCGTTCACTACCATACTACGTTGGTTCTCAACCTACCAACAAAGTCCCCCCTGAGAAGATCGATGCTATCTGGGCCTTGAAGCTGTCCGACCCGTCCCTAGCAGCCATCTTACAATAGTCCCACTAACTACTGGTTCTCCTGTTGCCGTTGCGAGGTCTCTGCGAGAGTATAGTGGCCGTGGTGCGATAGCGGCCCGTAATCGTTCCCTCGGTCCTTCCAACAGCCCGCAAAAGAGGATTACGTGCTCTGCCGTCTCAGGGGCATCGCCACAGCGGCATAGCGGCGAGTACACGCCAAAAGCCCCTGTCTTGAATAAGAAGGCTGGTCATTTTATTAAATATAGTCGGCGAACCTCTAATAATCCTTCATAGTAACTAACGTATTGTCACAGCGCTGGCAATTACAGAGACACATAGTGCTATATCTAGCAATTAGTGGGACCAAATGTCAGTCATCTACTGGCATTCTAGATCTTTTGGTCTATTGGCCTAGGGGCTTGGTCCTCCTTTGTAACACATATCCTACATCGTATAACGTACCCCACAAGCAAGTTGGCCACACAAGCAAGTTGGCCACTTTTTCTTGGCACCGTATGAATAACTTCAATAACTTAACTAAACTAAAAAATAATAACTCAAACTAATCGGAATCCTCTTCCTCGTACGTATCTTTATCATTCTCACAAGTACGAGCATTATGTACGGGCTCTCCGCAGATCCTACAGCGCCGTCGGCGTGGTTCGGTCGGTCTCGTACGACGACGACTTACACGTATATTATCCTGTAGCTGCTGTTCAATATCCCGTTGAGACTATAATTCCTGAGCGTCTCGTAAACTAAGAGATCCTCCATCTTGTAGCTGTCGATTTTTAATCCTTCGACGACGGCTTGGCTCTTGATTAGCCTTCCGAAGTGCAGTGACCTCATCCTCAAGTAAAACTAACCGGTGCATAACAGCCGTCGCACCACGTGAAAATTGGTCAATAGCCGTAAGTATTGTCGTCGGGGAGCTATTCTGATTCTGTACGATTCTGTTTTTAACGTATTCAGACTGGGATTGCGCCTCGGTTGAGTTATTTGGAGTCTTTGATTCCTAGATTAAGGGGGCGCCAGACGAGCTCCCAGGAGGTGTAGGCGTATGTAGCTTAATATCCAGCTGTGAAATCACATATTCCGGGTCGTACGGAATAAGTCCTGTCCCCCTGAAACCTGCCTGGATATTCGACTTAGTTATAGTCGTACGATACGCCCTATATAATGCCGAAAAGAAATCCTCCTTCGAGATATGGGTTATATGCGCCCGTATTAGGTCTTCAATTTCTTTGCCGTACGACCTTTTCAAAGCCCTAAAACAGCCTACATCGAGAGGCTGGAGCTTATGTGACGAATGAGCAGGCATACTAAGTGTAATAATAGTATGCTCTTTGCAATATAGCTCGAAGTCAGTCGAGTGGTGGCTCTCATGCCCGTCGAGGATAAGAAGACGATAAACACCCTTCGTACGATCCTTCGTATAGCGATCAAAGTGCTGAATCCAGTCTACGCCTCGCTCATTTGTTGTCCAACCGTTTTTGGTTACAGCGATTACCCAGTCGGACGGGAATGGGCTATTCTCGTACCAGGATAAGAGGTGGTTTTGACCCGCGACAATAATATACGGCGGGATAGCCCAGCCGGACGAATTGATACCCTGTCTCGTCGAAGTTATAGATATCCGCCTCTTGGATACCATATTTCGCAATTGTATTTCGTACGAGCGTAAACCACGCGCGATACGCGTCAGGATCTTCGCAATAGGCTCGTTGGTAGTCGATTCTTCGATTAAAACGCGTCCGAAGGTCTGGTTGTCGTCGTAGGAAGTTCGAGGCCCAGTTGACGCCGACGCGTCCAGCCCCACGATCACGGAGCAGTCGGTTAGTGTCAGGGTACGGCTAGGCCGAAGGCAATAGTACAGAGTGATGGGGAGTAACGGGCGTCCCTCCTACGTAGCACCGGGTGGTCACTGGCGGTCTCAGGTAGGGGTGCCCACGGCGATGCATTGATCTCTGCCCTCTCTATCTTCCTCCGTCTCGACTCCTTACTTATAGCCAGCCGAGGTTCTCTCTTGTATCTGGATGTTTGCTTCCGTATGTCTGTGTTCCTCCGACTTCGGCCAATATCTTGGACAGCGGCTCCTTATCTGCAACCAAGCGATTCCCTATCCGCTGCAAACGGCTTCAACGGCTCTCATTCGCCACAAGCGGCTCTCTAGCCGCCACAAACGGCTTCCTACCTGGTGGAAGCCGGCCCGCCTCGGATGACACTTGTGGCTCTGACAACTCCTTCCCTATCCTACTTCGAGATGGTCCTTATATAGATAGCTAGGCCGCCGCTTGGACCCGGCATAACAGCAGGGTCGGCGATGCCAAGGATCTTGACTCTCGTCATCCCAAAGCTTCACATAGATTGTAATCATGACTCGGGAGTCTTTTGTCCGAAACACCCCTCCGGCGGCCCGCCGGTGTCCTGCGTTCAGTGTCCTGACACCCACTGGTGCCTATGGCATTCTGTTCTCTGACAGTTAGCCATAGCTTCAACACCATGGAGCCGGGGAGGAAATGATCGCGAATCTAGGTCAAGTATATATTGTACGACCGCTAACTCTTCTGATTCCGTAAGCTTATGACTAGATTGTCGAGTATCGCGTCGAGATAGTAGTCCGCGTTTTCGGTTAGCTAGAGTTGTACGAGGGACATTGTAGAGTTAGGCAGCGCGTCGGATGCTTAATTCGGGTTTCGATTGAAGCGCCTGACACTCTAGAATCATGTCGCTTTCTTTCCAATTCGATCCCATCTTGGTATGTGTAAAGATGCTAATTAAAAGGTTGTTCGTACGGTGCCAAGAAAAAGTGGCCAACTTGCTTGTGGGGTACGTTACTCCTTTTCGAATACTCGAATAATAAAACGAGTATCGTAGTCGCCCTATCGTATCTAGAAATAAGTCTTCGTCGTATTTATTCTATAGATACTGTACTCAGAATAGACCTATTTAATTATTATTATTATTAAATACGCCGTAGGCTCGAAGCCCCCGGTACCTCTACTAGTACTCTCGTATGTCAAACCGTGCCCTAATGGCTGGACTAAATACATACGCTGCGTCGTCGGTTCGCCCTATTGGCTACTGCGTTACGTCCACTACCATACTACGTTGGTTCTCAACCTACCAACAAAGTCCCCCCTGAGAAGATCGATGCTATCTGGGCCTTGAAGCTGTCCGACCCGTCCCTAGCAGCCACCTTACAATAGTCCCACTAACTACTGGTTCTCCTGTTGCCGTTGCGAGGTCTCTGCGAGAGTATAGTGGCCGTGGTGCGATGGCGGCCCGTAATCGTTCCCTCGGTCCTTCCAACAGCCCGCATAAGAGGATTACGTGCTCTGCCGTCTCAGGGGCGTCGCCACAGCGGCATAGCGGCGAGTACACGCCAAAAGCCCCTGTCTTGAATAAGAAGGCTGCTAGTCCTATTTTTTCCGTCCTGATCTGGCACAGCGTAGACGCCTCCAGTCGGTTCAGGCCGAAATACCTGCCCCCTTTCGGTATCTGCATCGAAGGGCCCTCCGGTTCCTCAGCGATAGCGCGTCGCTGGCGATCGTGATGCTCTGCTCCGGTGAGCCATCTCTTCCTCCAGTGGCCGAGGAGGGCAGCCGGGACCTCCTTTTCCTCACTCATCCACTCGGAGCCCCGGGCCTCCTTCTCCATAGTGTACCCTGCCGGTCGGAGTATCTGCGACGCCTGCTTCCTCTTCGCCGGCCTATCCTGCCGGAGTATATGTGACGCTTTAGCGCTCGCGCTGCGAAGCAGATTTCTCCTCCCGCTAAGCCGTAGCCGTTCTTCAAACTTAGCAGCCCGGGCACTAAGATAGAGGTCTAGTGGCGGGATTGCTGCTTCTGCTTCCAGGTGGCGAACCGGCGTCGCTTAACCTATTTAAATATCTTAAGGTATTCGATAATGTTTTCCCTACTAAAAGGCAGGAATCAACGGTATCGACGGATTCGACAGAATTAACAGGATTATCGGAATCAATAGGTCTACCGAAATCAACGGGATCGACGGAATTAAAAGGGCCGATAGTATTGACGTGGGGTCAGGGTTTTTGGGTGCTCGTTTTCGTTTTTTTTGGGATATTCAGACGAGTTATGTAAGCATGTTCTTGACAGGTATTTAACACCTTATGTACATAGTCACTCTCTTGAGAAAAAGATAGGAATTCAAGCGGCCTTTTCCACAGTAATCTGAACCAATTTCTCTTTACTTGGACAGGCATTCAATATCTGACGTACCTGTTGAGGTACTTTTGTTGCCCCTATAGATCTGATTGTGCCTGCTGAGGCCATTGTTCCCACCTTTCACCTGTTGAGGTGACTGTTCAAGGACCTGTTGAGGCTCCTTTTCTTCCCCAGCCTGCTGAGGCTCCAGTTGTTAGTACCTGTTGAGGTACTTGTCGTTCCGATCAGGGCAAAGAGCTCTTGATCTTATTATTTCTTTCCACCTCCCGGATAGTAAGGTCTTGTTGAGGATCTTGTTGTCCGTTGCCATCATCATCACACCTTAAACCTGCGGGTGGTTTCACTGCCCGTCGTCAGTATCGACAGGATCTAACGCAGAATAAATGAAACGATAGTCAGTATTAGCTCTTAACTGTGGGATTGGTGGCCTACGGTCACGTGGGATACGGGCAAGATACTTAAAGGCCTTTGTACGGCTTGGACCCCCCCATCTGTACTTCCCTTCTTCACCTTCGTATGTAGCCGGAATACCAGTACCAGTGCGATCCCACATTAACTGTGGAATTAGTGGCCTAAGGTCACGTGAGATACAGGCAAGATACTTAAGTGCCCTCGAGCGGCTCGGACCCCCACCTGTACTTCCCTTCTTCACCTGCGTATGTAGCCGGAATGCTAGTACCAGTGTAATCCCAAATTAACAGTATAAAACCTTCTTTATACGACTCTATAACAAAATTACTCCATACACACAGGAACTAGTCTTTCAAAACGATTACTTTCCTCCTTATCCTCACCGCTATATCTAACATCACAAGAAACATCTATTAGAGTACTAATAGTCACTCCCATAAATGAGACAAAAGCCACGCACAGCCACATCGGAGGAACAATTACCCATCCCTACGTAAGGTCACACTAACAGTTAATCGGCTGCGAAAGAAGACAACCATATACATAAATCAATCATTTGAACCCCCATCCCATTGGTCAGATACACATGTAATCCAACAATGGTGTAGCATAAGTGTAGCTAGTAGGTCCAACCTTCCTTCCTTGTATATAGAGAGCAACAGCGCTTCTATTATCTTGTATTTACCTGTGACCGAACTTCATGGCCCATTTTAATTCGCGGGTACGATACCTGAGGTTTCGCGGACAGTCTGATCGAGGACACGAGCGAAATAACCGATATTGCTATCATTAAGCCCTGCAACTGATATCCTTGATGTTTTTGCCATGTAGATGTGATGTTTTGCTGAAGGTACTGTTAGTACCACCAAACATGGTGCTCAATGAAGGGATTAGAAAATATACCTTCAAGATACTCAACTTGGGCAAGAGTAAGGCCCAGGTACGCAAACATACCAGTCGCCTTGACGATATGGGACCAGTCCCCCGGCGTCTGCAATCTCACCAACTCGTCGTACAACTTCTGCTTCATACCCCGAATACGACTGGACATGGTGATCAAGTCCCTTTCCCACTGCTCAGCAATGGTGCGCGTGCCCAGAATCGCATTCGCGATGTGCGCACCGTAAGCAGGGGGCGTCGAGACGGTGCCACGCTGGGCGACCTCAAGAACGGTAAATACGGCCCTTGCCGTGTCAGGGGTTTGGGTGACAAAGGCAACAAGACCCACGCGCTCGCCATACAATCCCATGCTCTTGGCAAAAGAAAGACACAGGCCCGCTTCGAGGCCCAAGTCGTCGATGAAGTACCGGATAGCCCAGGCATCCTCGTCAACGGACCCTGTGTTGAAACCCAAGTATGCCGCGTCGAAAATGGGGAATATGCCCCTTTCCCGGATGACGGACGCGATCTGCCTCCATTGGTCACGGGTTGGGTCGCAGCCGGTTGGATTATGCGCGCAGGCATGTAACACGACGGCTGAGGTACTCTCTGCTTGCTTAAGCACATCCATGTAGGCCTCAAAGTCAAAGGAGTGGTCCTTATAATACGGCAATGTCCTGACCTCGAAGCCTTGGGATCGAAAGATGAGGTCATGCGGAGGCCAGGTTGGATCCGTGATGTAAATGGTCTTAATGTTGGTGTTTGATGTCTTGAGTGTAAGACCTGCCAGCATCAAGGCGCCGGATCCCGAGAGCGATTGTACGGATGCCACCTGCACACCTGTGGGTTAGCCTTTGCCACTTCATTATTCTGCTTTATGGTGGGCTCACTCTGCCCTCCTTGAAAGCCGCCGTATTGCCTAACACGAGCTTTTCCACTTCATCGCGCAATGACTTGAGTCCAGCGACGGCCAGATACTCGTGGTCACAGTCCGCAATCGCTTCCTTTGCCATACGCACTGACGGCAATATCCACGTCTCGCCATTATCATGTCGATAAGATCCTTGACCAAGATTTGCCTTGTTCGGATTCGTATCAGCATTATATCTTCTCGTCACATCGAAGATGCCATCTGATAATAGTAACGGGGTCTCTTGAAAGGCCGAAATTTTGGATGTGTGACCTAGGGAACCCATGATGAAAACTGGAGAAATGTGAACACTTGCTTGGCATATTAATAACATCAAAACTACTGGTCACTACCAATTTTAATAGCAATGTCTTGTCCGAATATACGAGTCATCCTTCCCGGCGTCGGCGATTGCGCCCTATCACTCGCCAACCCGGGTACCATCGGCCTGTGTTGTTATCTTTGAGAAGCTCAGGGGCTGGTGGGGCCCTTCTCCCCACGCCCCAGACGGCCTCGAAATCAGAGAAGCAATATTGGTTCCGCGGTTGTAGTTGCCCAAATACATTTCTGGTTCTCCAAAATTTGATTCCTTTTAGGGTGCAGAGGCAGGTATCCTGTTGTCCTTTGACCAGGTGATTGGCCAAGTTGTTTCACTATCATCTCAGCGAGGGGCTTGCCTGCGGGGCCATATGCGAGATGAGTGTGAACTACGCTTCAATAATGAATGTATTATGAATATATATCAAAAATTCTTCAGCATAGGGTTGAAGTGTACTGGCAATGAGACCGACATCGCTCTAAAGCCAAGTTGAGGGCAGCTCTGGAGGAAGTCCAACCCGGCTAATCATCAGACTATGCTTGTAGCTGGGCTCCATTCATAGTAGCCTTCATCCCACGTTGGTACTCGTGGTTTGACCGCCAAAAGAAAACGGAGCCAGCACTATGTTCCCTGTCGGGGATGTGTAATAGAGTTGGAGGTCCAGGACACCTATAGTTTCGCTTCAGGCATCAATCCATAGTATCTCTTTCAACTGGAATATTAACATATCCAAAATTCTACATAATGAACCCTTTGGTTGCGATTCAGAGCCATAGCCTAAGTTTACTGTCAAAAAGCTCACGATGATGAGGTTATAACTATAAGCACGGCTTGAGCATGTTCGTTCTCAAAGAAATCCGACTCCGTCCACGAGCAGCAACATGTTCCAAAGGCTATAATGGCACTTCACGGGCAGCTGGAGCAAGGCTATCACATGATTTACGGATTATGTCTTCTCTAATCCCCCAAAACTCCTTTCTGATGCCCGTCCCGGACGTTTTCCTCACAAAACCAGTCTAAACTTCAACTTGTCGCCCTCGACAATCTCGTCCTTCTTGGCCACCAACTCGTCCACGTCCCAATTGGCACTCAAATACCGTCCCCTCAACCACTCCCTTCTCTCATTACCTCCACTCACTAACCAAACCATGAAATCCCCCGGCAGCTCGGGCGCATCGACAAGCACCTTGTGCATGAACTTGGGCATGTTCAAACCCAGCTCCGTCCGGAGACCACCGGGATGCATAGCGATGGCTACAAGCCCGTCGTCCCAGTGATCGCTGGTCATGAACTCGGCCAATCTACAGACGGCAAACTTGGTACTCTGGTAGGCGCTGGCGCCCTGGGTCAGGCCATGGGCCCCCGTGCTTGACATGTTGAGTATCGCCTTGGTCTCACTCGCCAGCACCAGGGGCAAGAAATGGCGGGCGCAGAGGTACAGACCCCGAATGTTGACCTCCCAGCTGCGCCACCACTTGGACGGTTCTGTCTCGGCAAACGGTACCCACTCCTCCATGTACCCGGCGTTGTTGACGAGCACATCCACCTTACCGCCGAATTTCTCGTCTACGGCCGCGACGTACTTCTTGACATCGTCTTCCGAGGTTACATCGACCGTCATATTGACGATAGTGAGCTCGGGACGCTTGGCCTCCTTGGCAGCGGCGCGTAGTTCTGTTTCGAGTGAGTCGAGGGGGGACCGAGCGGATATAGCAATGCGGCTGCAGCCGGCTCTGGCGAAGGACAAGGCCGTGGCGCGGCCGACGCCTTTGGAAGCTCCGGTAATGACGACCGATTTGCCGCTTAGGTTCGCCTTGAGCGGGTCGATGGCCGGGTAGCTTTCCTTGTGGTTGGTGCAAAAACCTGACACTTGGGGCATGTTGGTGGGGGGCTTTTCGGGCGCCATGTTGAGGTGGGTATTAGAGGGTAGAGGGCTAGTTATATTTAGTAGGTATGGAGTGGCCTAACGGGGCACATGAGAATGCTGTCAATCGAATATTTTTGAGACACTGCAAGAGTTGATCAATATGTGTGATAAATATTGTGTGATAAATATTTTGAGCGTCACTGGACTTTGGACTTTATATGTGTTTTCATCCATTTTCAATGACGTCAACTCAATAGTCACGGTTACCCCAGCGGTGCGGCTTAAGTGAAATTGCCTGTTGCCGTGGTGGATTCTGTGATACTTGGCTGCTGCTGACAAGAAGGCAAACCTACATTATGTCATTTGACCGTGTAAAATCCGTATTGAATCTGTTTGCTAGACATGCAAATATCAGCTTACCTCCGCACTCTTTAACCAAATACCAAATTACCAAATCGTGAAAGTGACGGAGTAATACGGTAGACCCAACGTGTACTACCAATGCCACTTGGTCGGGATAACGCTTCAGCCGAACCACAAAGCCGATTCAATTCGGAGTAAAGTGGGATGATGGTAACTGTATGTCCCGATTAGTCGAGAATAAAGAACCCAGTTGACTCTCTGTCAACCCAGTCATGCAAAGCACCGTGTCTCCGGAGATAGCGGGGATTGTGGCACCAAATCGACATGTCGTCATTCGCTGTGGTGGACGCAAGTGTGCCAGATGGACATGATGGAATAAGACCCAGCGTCGTCCAGCCGTGTACGGCTTACGGTAAGTTGGGTGATCACAAGCGTTTCATCACTATGAATGTGTGTTGCCTCGGAGAAAGAAGCAGTTCTCATCAATGACCGGCATCGGCGGTCTTCAACCCCTGACCTAGGCCGATCTTGAATGCAGTGAATAGGCGGATGCATTGGGTTGCCGACAAGCGATGCGAAGTAAAAACGACACCGAGCAAACAAGCAAGGAAGTCCAGATCGAGACCTTCGCATCCTACGAATAATATATATCGTTTATGTTTTGTGGCAACAGCTAATCGAACCCACAATACCACCATGAATGAGCAACAGACCTCACTCTAGGTGTGGCCACAGGGTATCTACGCTAAAGTCAACTCCGAAACCATGCTTAATCAATTCACCTCCATGATATATAGCAAACGATGCAGCCTTGCATACCTCCTATTCCCATCATTCACCCACGGCCAACACGCCCGGAACAACCCCACCGAGAACCACGCCGTGCACAGCCGCTGCCTCTGTTTCTTCCCTGAGCTGCTCTGACGGGCTACGAGCTGCAACGGCAGCCATGTTCACCGGGTTCTTCCACCACTGCGCAGGTGGGGGGTGCTTCAGCTCGACATTGACTCTGTAGTTCTGGTTGCACAGCGGTGTGCTGGCCATCATAGGGCGATGCATATGATACAGACCAAATGCACGTGAATTAGGGGACAGTGAACCCAGTGGCATCAATGGATTGGGTTCCGGTGCCAATGGGCTTCGGGGCGATATGTCCAGATATCGATCAGGCTCCATCGTCTCAAGCCGCAGAGCTGCCTCGGGGTTTGTATTGAGGCGTATTGGCGGCAGTCTGTTGATGTTCTCCTGATCGAATTCTGCCGAGTGCGTTGGCAACGCTCGGGTGGCCCGTTTCTGGGTCGGAGGCGGGTCTGCCTCGTCCGTCTCGCCGTACATCGTCTTACGTTTACGTATGCGAGGGTTAGACTTGACAGCCGCTCCGATTGACAAAGCTTCTATCGCAGGTGGTGGCACTGTTGAACTCAACGCGGCGCCGTCGGCTGGTGACCCATGTTCCCCAGCCTTGGAGTCATCATCCACTGCAGTTGCGGACTGTTCACACCGCTCAGCTGTTATCTCTTGTATTTGTGCCGTGTCGTGACTGGGTTCCGTCTTCACCGTAGCCGGTGTGTTACCCACTTTGATTCGTTGGCAGACTTTGGGTTGCGCAGGGTCTCCTCGAAGACCAATTGGCTTGGTATGATTTGCATCCGGCTTGGCGTTGGCCGATGGTCCATGCAACTGCGCCATGTTCGCCATCCTTTGTGCCCATCCTGGTGAGTAGTTGCTAAACAGATCCTTCGCTGCCTGCTTATACCTATCAACACTGCTTACCGGCATATATACGCAAGGCTTCACAGTTGGTCTCAAGATGGATTTAAAATCGCCCGGGGTTGCGGAGGGGACGGTGTTGGATTTCATAGCTGATCCTAACTTCAACTCGGGCATCGGCTCGTGATTGAGGATTCTGTTGAGTGCCGCTGGGGCCGATTTCCTTGGACGTTTCTCCACACGTCCTCGGAGGACAGGAGGAGCCTTATTGGTGAGCTTCCGCTCTGGTGTGGCTTGCGGCGCGAGTGGCGTATATCCAAACAAGTCGATTGGCTCGCCGCGGATCATGGCGAAGGCATCGGAGATGGTCGACAGGCAGTAAGCGCCGCAAAGCTGATCCATACGCATCGAGGACGGGTTTTTGGGTGGTGCTTTGGGCCCCTTGTGCTCAACCACATCAATCGTTTCCCGTCTCTTGGGCTGTGCCATACTGTCTCGTTTCCTATTGGAGAGGCTTTCTCTCTTCTTGGCCAAGCTCTCGCGCTTCTGTTTGTCTTGTTCCTGGATGGCCTCTGGAGACATCCAAAGAACCGGCTTCCGCTCCTTCAGATCGTCAACCCATGCGTCACAATCCCATTCAACCCAGTAGTCGATCACATCCCCCCACGTACTCTCGGACGGTTTGGTGAAGTTGATGAAGACTACTTTGCCGCCCTTGGAGTGGACGGCCCTGGCGAACTCCCGCACCATGACCTTCAGTCCGTGAACCCTAAGACTCGTGCCGAGAACGAGAAGCAGATCTGGACCAGTTCCGAGGTCATGCTGGACGATCGGGGATATCAGGTCGTTCTGAGGGTGCTCTTCGCCGTAAAGCACAATATCTGGCCGGAGCTTGCCGACACCCAATGCTCTCTTGCCCTTTTCCTGGCGCGCTGCTGTGGCCCCAGCGCAGTGAGGACAATCGGGCTGCTCGCCTGACATTGTTCGCGACTCGCGTCCATCCTCGTCCCAGTCACAGGTTCCAGAACAGACGAAACATCGAAGATCGCGCAGTGACCCATGAAGAAAGACGCATTCGACGCCTTTCTCGTGTACATATGTGACCTTGGGCTTGCTTCGTTCGCCATCTTCAAGGTTCTGAGACGGTTGTCCCGCATTCCTTCCGCTGGTGTCATCACCTGCCTGGATCGTTTCTGATGATTCGCTCGTTTCCCGGCCGACTTCCGCTAATGACGGCGGCATGACGGATTTACGTCTCTTGCCGCCCGCCCCGCTCTTGAGATCGGTTGACAGGCCAATTTTCTTCTCAATCTCATCAATGTTTTGTGTGTAAACGCGTGCAAGTTTTCCAACATCTTTCAGGCGAGCCAGGAAATGATGGGTCTTTGTAGGCTCCACCTCTTTCACTTTCTGTCGCAGAGTAGTGGCGAAGCGATAGAAAACCTGGGTCTTCAGGGGATCCGACCAAATGTTGCTGTCAAACAGATCTCGACCTTTCATATTGCGAAGGCCCGACCTCGATGCTTGTGAGGAGAACAAGTAAGTTGTGGACTGGTTTTCCTCGGTTTCGGAATCTTCAGAGCAGTCCGAATCGTCTTGCGAGCTGCTGATAGTCGAGGTCGACCGATCGGCGGCATGTTCGTAAGGGTCGTAGTCGAAGAGATGTTGAGGTGGAGACGACAGCGGTGATGAACTGATCGGTACTCCCGAAACAAGCTTCTTCGGGGTCGACACTTCAATGGGGGGTGTAGTGAGGGCCGCTGGCTTCGGGTCTACGGGGACGGTGGATTCTTCGGTTTGGGATGAAGCCGAGGAGAGGCCAGGTGCTGAGAATGTTGATTCATAGCCTGCGGAGCGAATAGATGTCTCTGTAAAGTTTCGGGCCAGTGAGGGGCGACGGGCCAGTGAGGGGCGACGGGCCAGTGGTGAAGGCTGATAAATTTGTGTTGATAGTCCTTGTACATGCGCTTCTGGTGTTTCGGTCGAGGGGGAGGGCGAAATGAGGCTATGAGCAAAGTCGGCGATATTGGTATCGTTGGTTTCCGGGGAAGAGACTTCTCCGCCCTGTCTCTCCTCACCACCACGGGTTATCGGTGGCTTTCTTGGGGTGCTGTAAGCCGATGATCGACTAGACTTGGACGCCCTCCTGCGCTTTGATGATCGCTCGCTGATGTCGCCGTCGCAAGACTCGGTGTCGCCGCCACTCGAACCTGGGCCGGTCGCCTTTTCGAATTGGGCTTGTATCAGGGAGTAGAGGCCATTTTCAGATCTGAAATCCTGCTCGAAGTCAACATCAGTTCAGCAAGCGCTTGTGGTGGGGAGGGAGGGCGGAGGCGGCAGCTCACAGGAATACCCGAGTTTGTACTGATTCCAGCGCCAGTCACGACGAGAACCTTCTTTGCCTTGCCAATCGTATCGGCAACCTCCTGCAGTAGCGCTGGCTCGGCCCGATTGATCTGAATTATTGGCATCGTGGCAAATGCGTCGCGTTGGCATACAAGACGTGGAGTTGAAGTTCGTTAGGTGGAAATGGCTTTCGCAGACCAGGGCTTCGAAGTAGGTCCGCAGCTTGTTCCTGGGAAGCGGTGATTTGATGTGGCCTTGGAACCAGTATCACCACTGTTTCCACCTCTTTCCACCTCTTCTGCTAGACTAGCAGAGGACCTCGAAATGTGTCGCTTCAACAAAGACTACACTGCTCCATTTCGATGTATTGCCGCCAGGTGGAATATGGGACCGCGAAGGGCCGGGCAAATGGGCGCACTAAAGCCGAATTTTCGTCGCGATCTTATAGTAGCGGTGCTTCGCTCCAGGTTTGGTTAGGATCGTATTCGTTGATGGAGTGAATGTGGTCGCGAAGGCGAAGGGCAGACGAGATGGGTCTGAACGGAAAGACGCGTCGGCCGGGGGAGGTGGGAGTGGTCAATTAATTCAGTTGCGAGTTTGAGTTTTTGTTGTCGATTCCCCGTGTCGATTCTCCGTGTCAATTGTTCCTGCTTCCAACGAAACAGAGCAGACGTGACTGGTAACCCTGGAAGTTTTGGTCGAATCGTGCAATTTGTGAGTCTGACGGTGTCGAACATGGAATCGCGACAAAGCTGGGTTCTTGAACAATGGGTTTGAGACCTATAAGTGAATTGGTTGCCTTGGGGACAAATGAGCGACTCCAGATATAGTATATAGATACAGAACACCGAGGATGTTGGTCTGGCTACTGAATTCGCATGAAGATGCCTTTGTGATGTCGGAGTTGGAGCTGGAGTTGGCCTCGTCGCGGATCACCTATCATGCTTGGGATGCCCATTGATGTCCGCTGTGGTAAACACAACCTGACGGAGCTTGAAGGCGCTAACGGCCGATCCCCATCTCGCCAAGATTTCTACGTCCAGCTCGAGCCAACAGGTCATTGTCGCATTCAACCCTGCGCTTGTTTTTTCAACAATTTCCAGCTGAGATCAATCATGCCCATGCCAATATCTGAGAGATGGGGAGGGGCTGCCACCTTTGGCAGTATCTTATATCTTGTCAAGGCACTGGCTGCTTGGTCCTGCAAGTCGCGATCTTGCTGTGCCCAGCTAGTGCAAGACAGCACACAGACAGCGCACGAACGTTCACCTTAGTGGCTCTGACCAAGCCTTCATTCGTGCCAGCCCAAGGTGTCAGCATAAGAGCTCACGGGTTGGTGACCGAGATTGGCATATGCCAAACCTTTATTTTTCTCGACCAGTTGTATTTCCTAAGTAGGCAAAGGTCTTGTGTTGAATGTGCCATTGCCAGCAACCTCTGCTTTTTGTGATTCTGGACATCTATCTCTGCTATCCATCCTTGCTTGCAGAAGGGGGTTTCCAAGACGGTCAGATCCAGCGAAGCACTGGACATGAGTTTGTGGAAATTTAATAAAATGCAATTGTATGTGGTGTTGTCCACCGCCCTGAGGGACATCTACTTCCCGATGCCTTCGGCCTGAGGTACTACTAACACATGCGGCCACCGCCCAACGCGGACGAGCTGTTACGTCATCTAGTGGTTGTCCAGATCTCTGTTCATGTTATGTACCTATACTCAGCTAAATTCAACTGAACACTAACCTTCAGCAAATGCCTTCTTTTCTGTTTTCACTCCCTTGTTGTTACTCCTCAACCTGACTGCCTACGTTGCATGATTGGAGAATGAAGGCTAGTATGAAGATGCCGCCTGCTCGGATTACCGACTCCCTTCCCCGCTAGGTGACAACGGGCATGCAGTTGGTTGCGGTACATACACACTGTTGACGGCCGTTGACGTTGACTCGAGATGTCTTTCATGAAGTACGCCGATACTGCCTGTGGTTTCGCATGGAGATGTTCTAGTAATTTGAGTGTACGATGCAGATTCAGCTGCGAGGAAATCTTACATATGTGACAATGACAATACAGAGCTCTTCTCTCCCAAATTTGTGCTTCAATCGACTCTAATGACCATTGCGCGAATCTGACCACCAATGATACCCCCATGTTAGGACTATTGCCGAATATAGCCTCGACATGGTTCTGATCATGGAAATGACCAGAAACTGCGACTAGACACTGTTGGCAATAACTGAAAGAGAAATCAAACCAGGTTAGCCAGTCTTCTTAATCCCTTTTATTCGTCTACTCGTAGTACCGTAGAGTGTCTACTGGGTAGCTGCTAACCTGTTGGCGCGGCTGGCCTCGGCGTTGCAGGAATAGGAGTCAGCATGGTTATAGCCTAGCTGCTGTTATTGTTTTGTTGGATTTAGGTCTCTTGGACCTATTGCAAGTAAGTAACCCTGTTGGATCTGCCCAGGTCCATTGTGAAACTGGACCCTGTCTAAGTATTTGATTAAGGTACCCTTACCACTGGTGTATAGAATATGATTGATAACGTCTCCATAGGAATTACTTTTGCTCTTGTCTAGGGTGCCGGGATGTGTGGTGTAGGAGTTGATGTTGTGTAGGCTGGGCCTGGGAGGGGGGGAGAGGGGCCTGGCTGGTGGTATGACAAGTTGGCTGACCACGAGCTCTGGGGATATTGACAATAAAATGGCTAGGGACAGGCCACATCGGCGAATCCAAAGTATTGCGAGGAATTGCGTAAAAAGAAGAATCTGGAGAAAGACTGGTGGTAATTATAGTTGTTAGTATTGCGAGTAGGTTTTGTGACTTGGTTTATGGTAGGCTTGGAATCTATTTATTTTAGAGGCCTGGGCCTGAGATTCTCGTGTATCTTCAAAGCTCAAATAAATGAATACCTCAGGTGTCTTTCAAGCATCCTAGCAGTGGCTGCATGCCCGGTTATTGTCACTTATGGGGCTAGCGGTCAATGAGTTGCCGAATATGAGTCATCAAGGGCGCTCTAGAAAAGCGGAAGAAGTAGTTATGTGCGAAATTTACACTAATCTTGCCCTTTCTTTTGTGCTCTCAATGGAAGCCTCTGCCATGCTATAGAACAACCCCTTCATTACGTTTTGGTGGGAAGAAAGTCTTAGTCCTCGCCCTGGGGCAACGCACTCGACAGAAACTCGATAACGTCCCACACCCACATGTGGGACACCCAAAAATGTCTCATCAACACCGCTAGCCTCTAACTTCAACCTCTTTTTTCTTTACCAATATCGATTCAATCGTTACGAAATTTTACGTACGTCTTCTTTACACTAATATGAGTCAATATACCTGTGACAGACTGTGCCTGAAATGGGATCCGGAGCTGCAAGAACCTTGCGTCCGGATCCACCAAAGGAACCATCGAGGACATATAAAAACATGGTTTGTGTTCCCGGAAAACTCGCTTATTTTACTTTCCTCCTCAGTTAGATAATTAACAGTATTTGGCCATGTTGAGCTGTATAGTTTCGCAGTGAGCCCGTCACAATACCGAAGATGATATTTATCGAGCTCTTCAAGCAATAGCTACCGGTCAAAGCCTTCGAAAAGCAGCATATGAGCATGGTGTCCCAAGGTTTACTCTTTCACGACGGATTCAGGGAGCCCAGTCAAGAGATATAGCCTTCGCTGACTACCAGAGGCTCTCTCCAGCCCAGGAATCTCATCTGGCTGAATGGGTTCGAATCCAGGGTGCCCTAGGCCTCCCACCAACCCATCAACAGCTCAAAGACTTCGCCGAGCGTATCCTACAGATTCACGGAGACACCGAACCACTTGGAAAGAACTGGGTCCAGGCTTTTATCAAGAGGAACCCGTCAGTCAAGGTCCAGAGAAGCAGAGCTATCGATTCCCAGCGTATTGAATGGAGCCTCAGCTAATGTGATCAGGCAATGGTTCAAATACCTCGCTATCCCTGAGATCAAAGCTATTAAGGCCTCGAATCGATACAATATGGATGAGACAGGTATTCTAGAAGGTAGAGGATCAAATGGTCTTGTTCTAGGATCATCTGAGACTCGTTCTATACGGAAGAAACAGTCTGGATCTCGAGCTTGGACATCTCTTATAGAGTGTATCTCTGCGACTGGTACTGCACTACCCCCACTTGTGATATACAAGGGGAAGTCTGTCCAGCAGCAGTGGTTTCCTCTGGACTTGACTCCATACGAAGCCTGGAGGTTTACAGCAACAGAGAATGGGTGGACGTCAGACTCTACGCTATTGAGTGGCTACAAAAGATCTTTATTCCTTTGACTCAACCAGAGGACCCTGAAGAGACTAGGTTACTTATCCTAGATGGGCATAGTAGCCACGAAACGACAGAGTTTATGTACCTCTGCTTCATAAACAAGATACACTTGCTTTTCTTGCCGCCACACACATCCCACGTTCTCCAGCCTCTCGATCAGTCAGTGTTTGGACCCCTCAAGGCAGCCTATAAGAAGGAGCTTGGTTACCTTGACCGATGGGATACTACTACTGCCGTAGGGAAGAGAAACTTTCTCCTCTGCTATAGAAAGGCACGTCTAGCAGTATTGACCGCTAAGAACATTATCAGTGGATAGAAATATACTGGTCTCTGGCCTTCGAGCTTAGCTAGACCCCTTATGAGCCCCCTGCTCCTTGAGAATACGTCAGCACCAATCAGACAGCCTAGTCAGACTTGCAAAGGGTACTCTGATAGTAAGGGTAGTCAGGACTGGGCGTTAGAGATATCAGCAGTAGCCTGGTCAACGCCTAGGAGGAGAGATGAGCTCCAAGATCAACTCAGCTTATTCAGCAAGCTTGATAGTGATCCAAATACCCAGCGGCTACTCTTTCGGAAAGTTCAAAAGGGCTTTGATGAGAAGGACTACCAATTAGCTGTCGCACAGCGAAAGATTGAGGCAATAGAGGCAGAGCTCGAGGCTAGTAGGGCTAGGAAGCGGAGGAAGGTCAAGATGAGCCCAAATTCGAAGTTTACTAATATCAAGGCTATTCGGAAGGCTCAAATCGAGGCTGGTGAAATTGAGGATAGTACAGATGAGTCTAGCGAGTCTGAAAACCCTAGTGACGGTGAAAACTGTATTGTAGTCGCATCAGAATAAGTGTAAAAAAAGGTTGAAGTCAATGGTTATAATATACAGTGTCATTTTTAGGGCGTCCCACATGTGGGGGTGTCCCGGATGTAGATGTGGGACGTTAATATATTGCTCTAAGAGAAAACTTCGATCGTCATAGAAGATAAAATCGGTGAGACTACATGGAATCGTCTTTTTACTTGATAAAGATGTGTATCCTGGTCGATCTACCGCACTGGACTCATGTCACGAATGTCAAATTCATTGAATTCGTGCCAAGTCAGCTGTGTGGTCAGATCTGTTGATTCGTGGATTGATTGATGATAAGTCTAGGTTTCTATGTAACGCGGTAACAGCGTTGGCTTTATTTCCACATTTGTGGGGCCTAGGGCCACACTTGGATCCACATTACCCCCTTCGCTACATTGACTGTCCTCATTCAATCATCTTACAAGTCCTGCAATTCAACGGGTTATTTCCTCAACTATGTGCCTTTGATTCTCTCCAAGTCGCACTAGCTCTGCCAAACGTTTGCGGTCTTGTTCTAGCATCTGCTTGCTAGCGTACCAGAGGCTGCGTACTGGATGTCCATCGTGAACATAAGCTGGGAAGAGATTGGTGCCGTTGTACTTGTTCTGTAGGGTGATACCGCCAGGACTGGCGATCCGGTATGTGTTGCCAGCATGGCAAGACTTTACGGCCCATGGGCCATCATAGTATGGCTCATGCTTGTGTCCGCGTTGTCGTACTCGCAGTACCCAGTCTCCGGGGCCATACATACGTATCAACGCCTTCTTCTCTTGCAGATAGGCTCGAACCTGATCTCGTGATGCCTTCAATCCGCCAACATATGCTCTAGCCAGAGTCGCCTCGTGCTGCTTGGCTAGCTCTTCCTGGAATGCTTTCTCTTCATTATCGGTCGGATCGCGTGTATAGGCAACGAATTCGTTCTCGTTCGGGGGCTGCGTGCCGAACAGGAGGAAGTATGAACTATAACCACTCGGCTTCGGTGTTCTGTTGTAGATCGTAAGTGCTCGTCGGAGGAGGGTCGTTAACGGCGTTTCAGGGTTGGTATTCCATTCTCTGACTATGATTCGCTTGATGTCACCGTTAGCCTTCTCTACCATGCCGTTTCCGCGAGGTCTTCCTGGCGTGATTGGCATCACTCTTAACCCGTGCTTCACGTGCCACTCAGCGGCATCAACGCCAGCAAAGCATCCTGCGTTGTCGCTGATTCATTCCTTCGGAGGGCCGAAAGTGTCGACAATTCTCGTAAGTAATGGTTTGGTGTCCTGGAATGTCATGCTTGGCACCAGCTCTGCCTCTGCCCATCCGATCGCGTACTCGATCGCCACCAGAATAGGTACTCCATCGAATGCGGTATGATCGATGGCCCAGCGTGTCAGTGGGGGAGGTGGTTGGATCGGATGCAGATCTGGGGGTGTCGGATCGGGCTTCTTCATGAGTTGGCACTGTGGGCATTCTGCTACAACTTGTTGGGTAACCAGCGACAGCTCTGGATGCCAGAATTGTTTCAGTACCTGCCGCTGTGTCGTACCTACTGTCGCGTGGCCGAGATCGTAATGGGCCTGCTTCGCGTGATTGAACAGGCCAGTATACTCCGGTACCTGCAGTAGGACAATGTCTTCTGGACGGGGAGGGTCGGCGGGTTTCCTATTGTCGTATCTTATGATCTTGTAGAGCTTGTCATATTGCTTTGCAAAGTGCTTGTTGACCCATCCGGTGTCAAGTGCCGTCGGCAACGGTGTTTCCAGATGTAGATGCTCAAAGATTGCTTGCAAATCGATGCGGTTGAGTTCATAAGGGTGCTCAATCTGTATAACTCGACGCTCATCGTCGATTTCGTCTCCTTCCCCTTCTTCGCCTGAAAATGCGTTGTCGGGAGGTCTAGAGAGGTAATCAGCTAGAACGTTTGCTTTGCCTGCTCTGTAGAGGATGCGAATGCCGTAATTTTCGATAGCGTCGAGAAATCGGACAATTCGTGCAGGTTGTTCGACTTTGGTATTGATGGATCCCAATGACTGATGATCAGTAATGACAGTAACGTCGCTTCCTTCGACCCAGTGTCTCCAGTGCTGAAGTGCCAGCATGATGCCGAGCAATTCACGCTCTTGAGCAGAGTAACGAATCTGGGTTTCGGTGAGCTTCTTAGAGAAGTATGCGACTGGATGAAGGACTGATTTGTCGCGATTGACTCCCATCTGTGGTTGCAGTAGAGCTGCGCCGACGTACTTGCCACTGGCGTCAGATTCGAGAATCGAAGGTTTGCACCAGTCGAATGCTTGGACGATCGGCAGCATCGTAATCGCATCTCTGATTATCTGCCATGAGTTTCGTTGCGCTTCATTCAGCGTAACGTCCTGATTCTTAGGGCCGCCAGTCAGATCGGTCAGAGGGCCGGACAATTCTGCATAATTCTTGATAAGGTGTCGAAGATAACCAGCAGCATTGACGAACGCTCTGACTTCGGTTGTCGTTGTAGGCATAGGCCTGTGTCGAATAGCTCTGACCTTGTCGGGATCGGCTCCAATGCCATCTTTCGATATAACGAAACCAAGAAAGACGCCTTGTTCGCAGAACATGTCTGACTTCAGAGTGTTGAGCTCCATGCCGTACTCAGCCAATCTGGCAAGTACCAGCAAAGCACGGTGATGAAGTTGTTCCAATATGTCACCCCAGATAGCTCTGGTTCCCTACAAGCTGTGGGCTAGTAGGGTTGCTCTAGAGCTAAGTGGCGACTTCCATCAAGTGAGTGTGTGGGCTCAGACATTTCAACCATCGTGGGTTGAATTTGCTGAAGCAATTGTTCAAGTATTGCAAGGGCATCAAGCTCTAAACAGTACGATTACAATGTTCACCACTCTGATGCCACAGCAATACGAAGCGCTGGTCAATTTTGTCTGGCGAACGTGAGATGTTTTCTACCGACTGCCGCCCAGTCAACAGGACACCTTCCAGGTTCGCAACTTGTCAATCAACACGCTGCGAATCTGGAAGGTGTCCTGTTGACTGGGCGGCAGTCGGTAGAAAACATCTCACGTTCGCCAGACAAAATTGACCAGCGCTTCGTATTGCTGTGGCATCAGAGTGGTGAACATTGTAATCGTACTGTTTAGAGCTTGATGCCCTTGCAATACTTGAACAATTGCTTCAGCAAATTCAACCCACGATGGTTGAAATGTCTGAGCCCACACACTCACTTGATGGAAGTCGCCACTTAGCTCTAGAGCAACCCTACTAGCCCACAGCTTGTAGGGAACCAGAGCTATCTTCAATAGTGTCTGGATCTGACCCAGCTTGTCAAACACTCGGTCATCTGCTCTCACCAATCTCAGGCCTGCTGAGATATTCACCTTGTTCTTTGACTGGGTTTCGCCCAGTTTCTTGGCTTCTTGAGGCAGTGTCACCTGGGGCCAGATGCTCTGGATCTGCGTTTCTTGCCCTGTCATCGGCAGGCCGCTAATGCCTTGCGCGACGCGTTGGAGGTTCAGGCTTCCATCAGGCAGTCGTTTGTTACCTGTGTAGCGTGCGTGTCGATCGTGTCTGGTGATGATCGTAGTACTTCCTTGGCCAGAATCGAATTCGCCATCGTCACGTACGCTTTCATACGCTTCAGATCCTTCCAGGTTGTCGCTTGGGTCTGGGCAGAACGTGTCGACTTTGGCTTTGATGCTCTTCATCATCTGGAGCATCTCATAAAGAGTGTCGTCGATTGAGTTGAATCTGGCAGCCAGCCTATCGCCAGTCTCGTCCATTCGCTTGTTCAGCTCCTTCAAGGTGCCGCTAGGGATGGACGGGCCCACGATGTCGATTGCCGCCAGGTGGGGGTTGGGGTTGCCTGGGGTCGACATCCTGAACGCTTGATGGCTGCGTGAGAGCTGCGTGAAATCTGCGTGAAAACCGCGTGATAGCTGCTCGATGGCTGCGTGATAGCTGCTTGATAGCCGCGTGGAAGGTTGAAGCTGCGTTGAAGGTGGGAGCTGCGTAACAGCTTGCGTTTCGTGGTGTTTCTTGCGAAGTACTTCTGTTCCTGGATTTGCTGAGGGTTTCTCAACAAAAATACTTATTTTTGTGTATCCTGGTCGATCTACCGCACTGGACTCATGTCACGAATGCCAAGTTCATTGAATTCGTGCCAAGTCAGCTGTGTGGTCAGATCTGTTGATTCGTGGATCGATTGATGATAAGTCTAGGTTTCTATGTAACGCGGTAACAGCGTTGGCTTTATTTCCACTTCTGTGGGGCCTAGGGCCACACTTATGGGGCTTAGGGCAAGCCACACTTAGATCCACAAAGATGGCGCATGATTGTACAACTAACCCAGACGTCTTCAGCTGCTAACGTGATCCACAAGTCATTTTCGCACACAAGTCACCTTCGCACTTTTCTTGGCACCTTCAAGTAATTCAGTAATATCCTATGCATAACCCGCAATTTATCCTTTAAATTACTCAAAATCTTCTTCATTATCAGTTTCTACTTCTATTGAACAAGTCCTTGCATTATGTCCAGTCCCTCCGCAAATACCACAGCGCCTTATATTGGTCTGCCGGCGCTTTACAGGACGACTGCTTTCCCCTTCTTCCTCCTCCATAACCTTGATATCGCCCCTCAAGGCCCGTAAAACTTGTGCATCACCTATACTAAGTCTCCATATTGGATTTGCTTATTTTTCGTCCTACGACGCTTACTTAGTATATGGTTCGTCTCACGAAGCTCTTCGTTCTCCCGACGTAATAATGCATTCTCATGCATCATTGCATGCGTAGCCTTCGTAATCGAGTTAATTGAGTTCAAAATATGCGTCGGCGAGCTGTCTTAATGCCTCTGGACGCTACTTTTAATCAAAGTTGACTGCGATTCGGCTTCGAGGGTGTTGGTAGGCGTCTTAGAAACCCAGACGGAGGGAGGCAATTGGGGGTCGGGTGTCGGTGTTCGTACTACTTTTGCGATATCCAACGTAGATATGACCCTATCCAGGTTAAAAGGAACAAGTTCAGCTGCTTCGAATCCTGATCTGATGTTTTTTTCGTGAAAAGCACCAATGAAAGCTTCTAAAAACCCAGCTAAGAAATCCTGCTTCTCAATATGGGTTTGATGCCTTCGCATTAAACCCTCCACGAACGCACCGTACAGCCGTTTCAACACACTAAAAGGTACCAAATCCAAAAGCTGGAGCTTGTGGGATGAATGGGAAGGCATACACAATGTAATTACGCCGTGCGCCGCGAGGTAAGTCTCAAAATCCATCGAGTGGTGGCTCTCGTGACCATCCAATATTAAGAGACTTTTCGCACCTTTCCGACGGCTAATAATATGTTGAACAAAGTGTTTTGCCCATTCCACACCAATATTATTAGTAGTCCAACCGTTATGGGAAAGGTCGACCTTCCAGTTGACCGGTAGGTCGTTACCGCGATACCACGAAGCAAGATGAACCTTGCCCGCGAAGATGATGTACGGCGGTACCGCCCAACATTGCGAATTAATAGCCTGGATCACCGTAACCCATTCCCGACCTCCTTGTGTAGCCTGTCTAGGCCATCCGTGTCTTTCTACACTCGTTACAACCATACCGGTTGTGATTATGCCCATTAGGAAGCCCGTCTCGTCAAAGTTGTAGATATCCTCCGGTAGGATACCGTATTTAGCGATTGTGTCCCTAACAAGCTCAAACCACGCGTAATACGCGATAGGATCTTCGCTAAATACCCTCCGGTAATCAATTCGACGGTTTAAACGCGTTCGGAGGTCTTGTCGGCGGTTAACGAAGTTCTGTCAGATAGGGCACCTGGTTCCTAGGTTCAGAAATAATATGGCATTAGAGAAGACTATTGTCACTTGAAGTTCAGAAGGCGAAAGGAACTCCTCTTCTCAAAAGTAACACCAAAGTTACCGACATGTTCTAAAGAATCTATAAAAGGCAGAGCAACGGGAGTTCGCGAGAACAGAAGACAGAGAACAACACACCTCATTCATATACAATCTTACGCACTTCTGACTACTCGATTGGACACACGTGATATTCGACAAGTTCGTGGTCCAGTTCTTGCCGACGGGGGGCGCGTCGCGTACGCGTCGTAGGATATTCGCCATTTCTTCAACGTATCGAAGCCGAGGAGGAAATGCTCGCGCATCTAGCTCAATTATACGTCGGGCAATCGTATCCTCTTCGGTTTGAGTTAGATTTAGTTTTAACATATTAGCTTCGTGTCGCGTTTGGTCGCCGTCGAATCGATTCTTTAGTGTACGGTCGCAAACGTTGTAGATACGGCCAAGCTTACGCCATGAAATTTCAGGGTTGCGCTTTTTAGCTTGGATAGCTAGCTGAAGATCGGCTTCTTTGGATTTACGAGGCATGTTGTGGGAGGGAAGAAAAGTGCAAGCTAAGTTAAAAGGCTGAAATATTTGAAAAAGTGCGAAAGTGACTTGTGTGCGAAAATGACTTGTGGATCACGTTATACCATCAATATCGAATTTCAAACTAAAGACCCCGAGGGTGGCGGGTAGCGCTACATCAGCTAGCACTCAAAATAACCTGAATCACCGCCACACGACTTTGAGGCAGTATAAACGCTCGAAGATCGAAATGGTGATAGAGCCTGGTTCGTGGCTTGCAGGTGGGGCGAACGCTCCTTCTACTAATCTCGTTCTTGATTGAAGGAATCTGGAGCCTGTCTGACTAGAAGTTGGACTGGTTGTATCAATACAGCCATGTCCTTTCAGAGAAGTAGCCATGCATTTGCCGCGATGCTGCTGCTTTCTATGAGCTGAGGCGCCTTGCTTGTTGATATATTGGGCTAACTTCACCATTGGCGTTCTCAGGCAACACCAACGAATGTGGATCGCCCATTCTCCCCTGTAGCCCTTAACAATATAGCTACGTACGTAGTCATACTAGCGTGCTCAAGTGATCACTAAGTGCACTTCTTTACAGAATGTGTAAATATAACATACTTGAATCTTCGTGTCTTTCTTTATGAGATCACTTATCATGACTCGCTGAATGCATTCCAATTACCATGAGTCGGCAAAATACTTGAGCTTTGCTAGTCCAGTCCAGTGGACTTCACCGACCAATCAGAGCCCATACTAGGCCCAATGGATAGTTGAGCCATGACAGAATCGGTGCAATAGGCAACGGTGTTGGTTTTCCGAATGTTACGTCGGGCGGAGGACCTCCATGGTCCGGATCTTACTTGAGCGGGTCATTTTGGTTTCAAGATGTGTCGAACTTCCTGTTATGGTCTGATAGCTGTTGAAGATACCCCTCATTATTGTAGATCTTGCTCACAATGCAACGCCATTTGGATTGAGTACATCGTCTTGCATTGAGAATGACGACAGTATATAACTGTGCGTAACTTGATGATTTTCGGGTCTGCTGCGTTGAATCGAAGGCGGATAGTGCAGACAAGTAATCAACATGCCGTCTATACATATAAAGACGCTTGCCATTAGTTTGGCCGTCTTACCAAGTGTTCAATGTCAAAGCACTGACACCCTCGGTCTTGACAACGGCTACATAAACCTCAATACGGCGAATTTCAACGCCAAGATTGTCCGTAGTGCCCAAGTCCTCGCCTCCCTGACTCCAGTAGAATCTTCGTTCGACTTCCTCCCGTTTGACTACCTTCCCCTTCGCGCTCACAATGGTCAGTACCACTGGGGCGACATTACATTCCGCTACCGCGAAATCGGCACCATTAACTGGACTGACGGCAACTCCGCCTCGGCTCGTGAACCCGTAATCTCCATCAACTCATCCTCGACGCTAGTCCTATCTGCATCGCAACTCACTCCCACACTCCCCACCGGTCCCTTGAACGTTACACGAGAATGGATCGACGTATCAGGAGACCTAGGCCTGCAATTTACCTTCCAAAACACCGGCTCAGATGCCCTTGAAATTGGCAGCCTCGGGTTCCCGGCCGAGTTCAACAGCATCTTCACGGGCCGGGCAGCAGCTAGAATGCAAGCTCTTTGCTCGCTGTCGGATCCGTACATTGGTATGCATGCGGGCTATATCCGAGTAACGCCCACGAGTGGCACGGGGGCGGCTCTCGTGGTCACGCCACTCAACGGTACTAACACGCCGCTTGAAGCCTATCGGAATCTGGAGGAGCCGTATTATGATGACACGGCGTACGGAAGCCAGACCTTCGAGGGATTCTACGAGTGGCAGGTTTTGAGTAAATCGTGGGCGGAGACGGAGTGGGAGGGTGTGGAGCCATGGAACGAGCCATCGGCACTCACGCTGGAGCCGGGCGAGGTTGTCAAGTTTGGGGTCAGGTTCTCGGTTGCGAAGGAAGGTGTACGTGGAATTGACGACACGATCAGGGACACTGGTACGCCGGTTGCGAGGGCTGTACCGGGATATATAATTCCTAGGGGAGTTCCAGCCAGGTTGTTCCTCAGTGCTTCTGCGAAAGTTGAATCGATCGTGGTAGAACCGGCTGCGGCTTTGATGGTTGAAGAATACGCTGCTGGGTCGGGTTATACTGTTTATACTGTCACGCCGTCAGAAACGGCATGGGGCAGAGTGCGCCTGATGGTGCTTTATGCTGACGAAAAGATCCAGGCGATGCACTACTTCGTCACCAAGCCCGGCACAGAAGCGGTTGGTGACTTGGGCGGCTTTTTGACCACGGAACAATGGTTTGAAGATATATCCGACCCCTTCGGCAGAGCGCCATCCGTCATGACGTACGACTATGAAGAGAGAGCCATCGTAAGGCAAGATGCTCGCGCCTGGGTAGCCGGACTCAGCGACGAAGCGGGTGCCGGCTCGTTTCTCGCGGCAACGATGAAGCAAGCTGTCCAACCAAACGCCGATGAGGTAGCCAAGCTTGAGACATTCGTCAACGCGGTTCTTTTCAAGACCATCCAGACAGAAGAGTTTTCCGTACGGAAGAGCATTTTCTTCTATGAACCCGCCGCTATGCCGAACTATACGTATAGCTCTGACATTGATTGGACGGCCTGGTGGTCGTGGAACAAAGACGCATCCTACGCTACAGACCGCGCATATGATTACGTCCATGTCGCTGCCGCCTATTGGGCCCTCTATCGCGTGGGAAGGGCATATCCGGATCTGCTCAGCAGTCATACTTGGGACTGGTATCTGGACCAGGCCTACAGTACCGTCGTGCGCGCCATGGAATCAGACGTTGGATATAATAGAGTGGGTCTGATGGGGGAGACGGTGTTTGGGGAGATTTTGGCGGATTTGACTCGAGAGAGTGAAACAGATAAAGCACAGACCTTTACTGAACTTATGAGGTCGCGGGCAGAACAATGGGATTCGGAGGAGATTCCGTATGGGAGTGAGATGGCATGGGATTCTACGGGGCAGGAGGGGGTCTACTATTGGACTAAGTGAGTTGGGCATCCCGGCTTTTTAATGTCAGGCCTTAAGCATCACTGACTTGACTTACACAGATACTTTGGCTTTACGGACAGTGCCGCTAAGACGGTAAACAGCGTGCTGGGATATATGCCCACTGTGCCCCACTGGGGCTGGAACGGCAATGCACGCAGGTATTGGGACAACATGTATGATCAGTCCTCCTTGACTCACATTGGCTTGTGCTAATATTTGCAACTCCAACCTTAGCTACGGGGGCAAACTTGAACGAATCGAGCGTCAAATTCACCACTACGGCTCCGGTCTTAACGCTCTCATCCTCCTCTCTGCCTTTCGCAGTAATCCAACCGACACTTATCTCTTGAGGGCCGGATACGGCGGCACCAGCGGGCCTCTATCCAGCATTAACGCTGATGGCTTCGCAGCTGCTTCCTTTCACTCCTTTCCCGATACGCTGAAGTGGGACGGGTACAGCGGAGATTATGGTCCAAACTTTGTAGGTTTGGCACTGGGCTCGGGGACATATGTTGTCCAGGAAGAGGAGTTGGGCATTGTGGCTTATGGAGGTGTGGTTGAGGTGGATGGTGCAATTGTAAAGGTGACTACTACGGATCCCGTGAGGAGAAGAGTTTTCATCGGGACACTTGGGGTGGCGATTGAGGTGGATGCCGGTATCATTCAAGAATTCAGGTATGGTGGTGATGGGGGAAGTATTGCGGTCACTCTGTCAAATTTGGACGGAGTTACCAAAGCAGAGGCGGCCGTGATTTGGATCGAGATAACATCTGGCTCTGTTAATTACATTGTATCTACTGAGGGAATCGTTTCGGAAAGAGGAGGTTGGAGGGTCCCCCTGTCGGCCGATAGTGTGGTTGTTGAGTTGCAATCGGCTTCTTAGGAAATATGTCGAACCGAGGACTTGGAATCGAGGCAAACAGTTGAAATCTTGTCAATGCTGGTTTTGACACCCGCCGAACCGACATCGCGCATACCCACCGGCAGTACGATACCAAACCCTCTGTCTGTCCCCGAATTTGGCAGGTTGTGGCATAGAAATAAACATCGAAACCATATTCTGCCCAATGACGGGCGTGAGCAGGACCGCCTCCATCCCCAAAACCACATGCTGTGCCCCCTATTTGCCGGTGCGCTGTCAGTCAATACCGCATGCTACTTCTCTAGTTTGGCTTTACTGGTAACCCAACCCAACCAAGGCCCATTACTCTCCTTACTTTAGACTGATTCTCGCACTAGTTTCTCTGATTGGTGAGCTGCGCAACGTGCTCGATATAGGCACTGGCCGGCACCGACCTGAGCGAGGTTCAACCCGACCCGCGATTCTCAAACTGTCGAAGTTGACGACGCGGAGGATCAATGAGTATTCGATCACTCATTTAGATACGTCCCCTTGCAGGCTATGTTGACCTGCTTCTATGGCTTAAAGAGTGCAGTTAGAATATTTAACAACCTGGCCCCTGATAGGTGGGTCGAGTACCAAGAACCGAGCTTCTATCGGACCTCTTAAATAATATACTGGCCTAATTAATACAGAGGACTCGATAAGATATAGTGACCTGTGCGCCTACTAAAGTACAAATATACTGTAGGATGGAATTTAGCTTAATTAGAGGTCCAAGGTTCGAAAGGTGCGATTAACCCTAAATAACACTAAAGTATTCTTCTACCTTTAAACCCCTAGTGTTTTCAGGAATAGTCAGATCTTGATAGCAGCATTTCAGCCTTCTAAAACTACCAACAGAGAATATCGTCAATCCCTTCTAGTTTTTATATCTAGATACCTAGCTAGCCATGAAGCACAGCCCCGCCCGCGGTTGCTCTTACTCATCTTGTGGCTAGCAAGACGGATAGTTTGACGACAGAGTAATGACATCAAGACGCATTGGGCTTGTTTGATATCTCGCAGAAGGTTTTTGTTCGCTCCGGACTGCCTAAATTCCTTGATTACTACGATCGAAGCTGAGCTCCTGCGAATAATACATCACTGTTTTGAATCCACGCCGCCGGGGGCCTCCGAGTGGCACTGAGATGCGACGTCGGAATACGACCACTTCGGACCTATCTGTAGGTTGCTAGGGGTGCGATAAGACACATTCCAACCAGTCACAAACGTGGTAATGTTGCCTAAGTTGCATTGATACCCCTCTTGCTACTATGCAGACCTTATCAGCGGCCCTCCCTCGCGATGCTCAACGTAAGCTTTATTCTTTGGCGGGCGGGCAGAGGACGAGGAATAATACTTCAAGTCAATGAGTTTAAGGGATAAACTGCGCCTTGGCCACCAAATGTCCGATTAACAAATTCTTCAACGTAGTCCTCTTACTTCCTTCTCATTCACACTTTCGGTCTCCAGTCGTACGCAATGGTGAAGCCACTTGACGTCGGTATCTTCATCCCCATCGGTAACGATGGATGGCTTATCTCAACCACAGCCCCGCACTACATGCCAACGTTTGAGCTGAATCGAGATATTGTGCTAAAAGCAGAGAGCTACGGCTTCGATTTTGCGTTGTCAATGATTAAACTCCGAGGCTTTGGGGGAAAGACAGAACACTGGGATCACAATCTTGAGTCATTCACATTAATGGTCTATTCCGAATATGCTTGTAGATTGAGTTGGAGGCTGACTACTGACATAGGCTGGCATCGCGGCCGTCACCAAGAAGATTAAGCTGTTTGCATCCACAGCGATTTTGACACTACCACCGGCCCTCTGTGCTCGAATGGCCACGACCATTGACTCGATTGCTCCAGGAAGATTCGGTGTGAATATAGTGACTGGATGGCAGGCAGCTGAATGTGAGTCTTCATTATTCAACAAGTATACAACTTATCGCTAACGCATCCAGACGAACAAATGTCACTGTGGCCTGGGGACGAGTATTTCGGATACCGGTATGACTATGCGGAAGAGTACGTGCACGTTATGAAAGATCTGTGGAATAAGGGGTCGTCGGACTTCAAGGGCAAACATTTTCAGATGCACGATTGCAAGCTTTCGCCACAACCAAGTGGCAAGGTATCGGTCATTGCAGCCGGACAGAGCAACCGGGGTATCAAGTTCGCAGCCGAGTACGCCGACTATAACTTCTGCACGGCCAAGGGAATCAACACGCCGACTGCATTTGCACCGGCAAATCAGAGATTGGTAGATGCGGCCAAGGAAACAAGCAGGGATGTCGGGGCTATGGTGGGAGTTTCCAAGGCGTATTAGGCAGGATTCGATGCTAACGTAAGAAGGTACTGATAATGTGCATAGCTGACGAAACCGATGAGGCGGCGCTGGCTAAGTGGAATAAATACCGCGAAGGCACCGACCATGAAGCCCTGGCTTGGATTGCAGAGCAAACTGGCAAAGACACACAGGCGGATCAGCTGTCCACGGCGCGGCGTTTGGTATCCTCGACAGGCGACAAGGTGAACATGAACGGCGGCACTTTGGTTGCGTCCTACGCCGGTGTTGCGCAGATGCTTGATGAGGTGTCAGATGTGGAAGGCGTAAAAGGGGTCATGTTGACGTTTGATGAATTCCTCACGGGTGTCGACAACTTTGGCAAGTATATCCAGCCTCTGATGAAGAGCCGGAGCAAGGCGAATGGGCTGTCGTAGGAATCACGCAGTTGGCACCAGTAGAAATCTATCAGAGAGCGAACGGGAAAGCAGATGGACCCACAATGTCTGCATTTGGTAGTGCATAAGAAACTAGTCTCAGGCATCCTAAGCCATTCTGACCTGTCTGTAACTCATCACATTAAGACAAAACATGGCCGCGTCTCGATAACTAGGGATACGACAATGCCTCACGAGAACTGGTGAACGTGCCATCGGTGCCGAAATGACTGAATTGAGATCCACGATGGACCAAACGACCCCGAACCGCAGGCAGCAAATTCCCATACCTCCAAGCGCCTGTCAACTGCGAGACAAAATCAGTACTCTCAGCGTGAGAATTTCGTCGCATCGACTATTTGGTCGAGACACCCCTCATCCAGCCCGTCCAGCGCGTGACGAGTCGCCCACGACGGAAGAACGTGTTTTTCATACGTTTCCCACGGGCTTGCGGCAGTAAATTAATGAACTGTTGAGGGACACACAATAGAAATGAAGTGTATTATGGTGAGGAAAGAAAGCTAGGCTAGTGTTGTTTGTCTGGAACTAAGTAGTGGTGGTGGCTGCGCAGGTACCACCTCTGACATGAACTGATGGTGCATCAGTAGGTGTCGCAGAGTGTGCAGAGTGTTTTCGTGCGGAACTGCACCAGCAGGTCGTCCACTTCGTCACTTGTCCAGCCCAAGCCCTTAACGAAGACTACGTACTATAGCAGATGAATGAAGTGCAAGTTATTATAGAGCACCGATGTGCCCAGTTGCTTGCTGGGCTTTCCTGGGGGCCACGAACTGAGAGGAGTGGAGTATTTGGTCTCGGTGACGTTATCGCACCCCAGTTCCTGATCATGAGCTTGTACTTATGGATGCAAAACTTGGTTTGCCCGGCTGTCGGTATTTTCAGGATTCTCTCCAGTTGAAGGTTTTCTCCACTAGATTAATTATTAGTCGACAGTATTACAAACGTGCTAACATGGGGACTTTCCAGGAACATCATTGGAAACACACTGCAAGATGTGATCAGTATTGATGCCTCTGTTTCCAGAGACCGGGCTTGCATGGTTCCTCATTACCCGAGGCGTGCTTCTGCCTTGTCACTTGGCTGAAATTGCTACAATGACTGGCCCATAAAATTCTTAGCTTGCAACACAGTTCCTACCATGGATTTAGCCGTGTCGGGTTATATTCTTGGTGAATTTCCAACAATAACAACAACCCCAGGAGAAACGAGGCATAGCCGAAATGGTAGGCTCTATTGTGATTACGATAATGCACGCCTTAAGCATTATTGCTGAGTTAGGAGTTGTCAACGCAGGTGGGTCAGGTGTGCTAGCCGAAAATGAGGCCTTTGGTCCTTAGGTCTACTACTGCACTCTTTCCAATACGGATCGTAAGGATCTGAGAGAACACTGAGATTTATAAGCTGTAATACCTAATTCCTAGCCTTCCATGGAGCTTGGTGTTCAGTGCGATAAGAACAAGATCTCGTGCATCTCATTTATTTACCGGTCACAGATACTCAGGAACTTGGTGCGTATTCTCATACTACAGCATGTTTATCTCATCTGCGCCCCGGACAGCATTGATCTGGGCCTAAAGTATTTGTCTTGAAAATTCATCATTACCTTCAAGACAGCATGTTCGTCGTCTCTTGTAGCACTGCACGAGGTCTGCAGATCTTTGAGTAGCGGAGAAGCTCTCGCTGCCCTCGTAGTGCGAGTTACCAAAAGTTCACACCAACACGCACACAGTCAAGTGTATACTCAAATTCTTATTCCCTGACGACCTTGAAGAAGTAGTCGGCATGCTAGCTACCCCGAGGCCGCATTTATATCGCACGACTACTTTAAACTAGACTCATGGCTACTTCCACTAGTAGAAATATACATAGAAGGTTTACACGGTAGGAGGACCCTAGATCGGACGGGCGCAGTTAGTGTCGAATATCACGTGTGTCCAATCGAGTAGTCAGAAGTGCGTAAGATTGTATATGAATGAGGTGTATCGTTCTCTGTCCTCTCGAACTCCCGTTGCTCTGTCTTTTATAGATTCTTTAGAACATGTCACGCCGTGCTAGGGGTTGCAATCCTTGCCACTACGCCACCGTACCAGATGTCTTCACCAAAAGAGACCATTACCAAAGTCCCTGACTTTGATATCTGCAACCACTTATCAATCTGTTCAGACCAGTGTAGGTCAATCACGTGACAACCGTCACAGAACATATCGGAGGTACATTGTTCAGGTATCTGACCCCTAAGTGGACAGTAACTTTGGTGTTACTTTTGAGAAAAGGGGGTCCCTTTGGCTTCTGAACTTTAAGTGACAATGGTCTTCTCCAGTGCCATATCATTTCTGAACCTAGGAACCAGGTGCCCTATATGACAGTTAGTAGTAAGCCCCTTAGCTAGTACCTCGTGGCTAATATAGTCGTTGTAAGCGCTAGCTTAGCGAACTATAAAGAGTATACTATATACGCTACTAGTCTTTAACGTAGTCCACGGTCCAGGAGGAGGATATCTACAACTTCGACGAGACCGGTTTTGTGATGGGCCAAATCTCGTCCGAAATGGTCGTGACGACTTCTGATCGGCGTGGAAGGCCTAGAGCAGCCCAGCAAGGAAATCGGGAATGGGTTACAGTTATTCAAGGCGTTGGGTCGTCCGGTTATGCCCTCCCTCCGTACATCATTTTCGCCGGCAAAACCCACCTCTCGTCATGGTACGAAAACATCCCATTACCGCCTGATTGGGTTATCGCAGTTACTAAAAATGGCTGGACTACGAATGAGAGAGGCGAAGATTGGATAAAACACTTCGATCATCACACCAAGTCTCGTACGAAAGGTACTCATCGCCTATTGATCCTCGACGGTCACGAAAGCCATCACTCGACCTATTTCGAGGTATATTGCAAAGCTAACAATATCGTCACGCTTTGTATGCCTCCTCATTCGTCGCATAAGCTCCAGCCTCTTGATGTTGGTTGTTTTCGCGGGTTAAAAAGAGCGTACGGAAAAGAAATCGAAGATCTCATGCGAGCACATATAAGTCATATCTCGAAAGAAGACTTTTTACCGGCGTTTTTAAACGCGTACAACGCAACTTTCACGGTTTCAAATATCCAAGGAGGTTTCCGAGGGGTAGGAATAGTTCCGTACGATGCAGATTATGTCATATCACAGCTCGATGTGAAATTACATACGCCAACACCTCCGGGTAGCTCGGCTGGTCTCTCCGTCCCTTGGGAATCAAAGACTCGGAACAACCCAACCGAAGCCCAATCACAAACCGATTATGTGAAAAATAGAATTGTACGACATCAAAATAGCTCACCAACGTCAATTTTTGCTGGAATAGATCAGATTGCGCGAGGTACAACGAAGGTTATGCATCGACCTGCCCTTTTAGAAGGCGAGGTCGAATCACTTCGAAAGGCAAATGAGACCTTAAGTCGACGTCGCCGTGCGAAGAAAAAACAGCTACAGAGTGGAGGGTCACTTCGTATACAAGCTGGACAGGACCAATCATAACCCTTGTAGGAGCCCCGCCAAGCGTGGACGACTTAGTCGCGCTCCCTCAAACCTAAGTTGTGATCTTCTTTCCTTCGCTCCTTAGAGTAGAATCTTCGTCGATAGCACCTAATCGAGGTCTCTACCAATGCGATGCAACCCAGGTCGTGACATTCTTAATCAACGTTGACTGAGATTCGGCTTCAAGGGTGGTAGTAGGTGTCTTAGAAGTCCAAATAGGGGTAGGAGTTCTGGGTCGGCAGAGGGTGTACGCGCGACTTCTGCGACATCCAGGGCAGATATAACCTTGTGGGGGTCAAAAAGGACAATTCCAGCTGCTTCGAAACCAGATCTGATGTTTTGTTCAGTAAAAGCAGCGCCAAACCCCTCCAAAAAACCGGCAAGGAAATCCTCCTTCGCAACGTGGGTATGATGCCGTCGCATCAAACCCTCAACAAACACACCGTACGCCCGTTTCAAAACACTAAAAGGCACCAAGTCGAGAGGCTGGAGCTTATGGGACGAATGGGCAGGCATAGGAAGGGTAATGATGCCATGGTCCTTGCAGTATTGTTCGAAATCCATCGAGTGATGGCTTTCGTGACCGTCAAGGATCAGGAGGCGTTTGACACCCTTCGTACGATCGCGTGTGTGCAGATCGAAGTGAGCTGCCCAGCTGAGACCAATATCATTCGTTGTCCATCCGTTGTGGGATACATCGACGATCCAATTGCCCGGTAATGTGGTGTCGCGATACCACGAAGCGAGGTGAACTTTGGCCGCGAAGATGATGTACGGCGGCACCGCCCAGCCTTGGGAATTGGCCGCCTGAATGACAGTAACCCATTCCCTATTGCCTTGCTGGGCTTGCCTAGGCCTTCCACGTCTTTCGGTACTCGTAACGACCATGCCGGTTGAGATCATGCCCATTAAAAAGCCCGTCTCGTCAAAGTCGTAGATATCCTCCGGCTGGATGCCGTGCTTCGCTATTGTGTCCGCAACACGCTTAAAATAACCGCGATACGCGACGGGATCTTCGCAGAATGCCCGCTGGTAATCGATTCAACGATTTAAACGCGTCCGGAGGTCTGGTTGTCGCCGTACGAAGCTCGAGGCCCAGTTCTTGCCGACGGGTGACGCGTCGTGGTCGCGTCGGAGGATATTCGCCATTTCTTCAACGTATCGAAGCCGGGGAGGAAAAGTTCGCGAATCTAGCTCAATTACGCGTCGGGTAATCGTATTCTCTTCGGTTTCGGTCATTTTCCGTTTGGACATGTTAGTAATGTGTAATGGTTGTACGCCTTCGTAACGGCGCTTCAATGTCTTTATGGTCGACTTTGAAGATTTTACCAAGCTTGTTCCAACTTAGGTGAGGATCGCGTCGTTTAGTTTGGATGGCTAATTGAAGATTAGCTTCACTAGATTTGCGTGCCATGTTGTGGAAGGGAAGAATTGTATAAGTAAAGATGGAAAGTCAAGATTTCTTGGAAAGTTGGGCAAAAACCCGTGTGGGGGCAATGACCTGTGGGTGACGTTAAATTGAATATTATTCTACAACAGCCCAACATCAACGCATAATCACAACATCATAGAAATAGAAAGTTCAAAAAGTTGTCTAACACGTAGTCTATTGACGGACCAGCTTGTCTATCTATGGTATCCTCGCAACCAAAAGTAGGAAGTCACATGTCGGAGCCTCCAATCCAGAAGGCTGTCTTCCATACTCTCAGCTAGAGAAATGAGGGTGCGTCGTCCTCGGTTGCTTGCCAACCTACGACGCTGAAAATCAGAAATGCCTCAACCATGCAACCGGAACTTTTTGCGCATCATCAACGGACAAAATTGGAAATTATGTACCGTGTTCGTAAACGGGAATTAATCGTGCGTAAGGGTCATGATGTATGTGAAGCGGAAAAATGTATCAAGGGCGATCCGCTCAGTCATCCTCATCAGAGAAGACCTCCTCACCACGCTTGCGACGTGCCATACGCTCCTTCTTCTTCTTGCGAGCCTCAGAGCTCGTCAACTTGGCCTTCTTCTTGGTCGACACAATCTTATTGCCCATAGCATCGAATTTCTCCTCCTCTTCACCGTCATCTGCCTTCAGTCTAGGACCGGCGCCTTGGCCAGTCACCCAGTTGTGACCAGAAGGAGTCATCTTGCCATCCATGACAGCCCAAACCTCCTCAGTCAAGTCCTTGGTGAACTCGGCCGAGTGAGTGATGATGATGACACCACCCTCGAACTTCTTCAGCGCCTTGGACAGGGCCCCCAGAGAGTCTCTGTCGAGATAGTTGGTGGGCTCGTCAAGAACGATCAAGTGAGGTCGTTGCCACGAACAAGCAGCCAAGACAACCTTGACACGCTGACCGCCAGACAGACCCTTCATACGCGAGTGAGACACCAACTCGGCATCAAGACCGAAGTTGGCGCAGTGCGACTCGATCTCCTTGCGAACCAGAGGGCGGAACTGACCAGAGGCCAGAGCCTCCTTCATATCAACATCAGCCACCATTTTCTGGTGAGAGGCCAAAAGCTCGCTGCGGGGCAGCCAGGCGTTGTCAGCCGTCATCATGGGAACCCAGCGCTCCTGCTTCATGCCGATGTTCTCACCCAGGGCAAACGAACACTCGTACTCGTAGCTGTTCTTGAACTTTCTTCGGCTATGGATGCCAATGACACGACGCTGCGAGCCCTCAACACGGAAGACCTTGTCCATGGCCTTCTCATCGTCCTCGGTGATGATCTTGTTGGCACGATCCATCGTCTCACGATCCTCACCTGTCTGGAAACGCCACTGGATGTACTCGGAGGGAGTAAGCTCCAAGTGGTTATCGATGTGCGCGAAAGCGTGCTGCTTAATGTAGGCGATACGGATGTTCTCGTGCTGGTAGATTTCACCCTGGGTAGGGATGAGCTCACCGGTGAGCACGTTGATCAGGGTAGACTTGCCGGCACCGTTGGGGCCAATGACGGCAATACGGGAGCCGAGAGAGCACTGGAAGGTGATGTCGCTGATCTGGGGCTTGGGGGTTCCGGGGTACTGGAAGCTCATCTTGGTGGCACGCAAGATGGCCTTGGCCTTGGTTTTGACACCCTCGAGGAAACCGGGCTCGGGGAAGGAGAACTCCATCTCGGACTCGCCGAGCTCGTAGTAGGACTTGGCAGCAGGGTTCTTCTTGACGAACTCTCTCAGGTTGCCCTTGTAGGTCTTGAGCTTGTAGCGCTCGTAGTGGACGATATATTGGCAGACGTTGTCAAGGAAACCGCTGTCATGCGACACGATGATGGAAGTGCAGGGGGAGTTGGCGAGGTACTCCTCGAGCCACTTCACGTTCTTCACATCCAGATGGTTGGTGGGCTCGTCGAGCAGTAGAATGTCGGGCGCCTCGAAGACGGCACGGCACAGAGCCAGCTTCATCTTCCAACCACCAGAGAGAGCGGTGATTTCGCCGTTGATCATGGCAGGGTTGAAACCAAACTCGTCGAGACGCGTCACGACCTCCTCGCGGCTGGTGGTGATGCCGTGGTCAGACAACTTCTTCATGGTCCAGTCGATGGTGGTCATTTCAGTATCGGCGGAGTCCAGGTCGTGCTCAACGAAGACAGTCTTGACTTCGCTCTGCTTGGGAAAACCTTCAACTTGCTCATTGTTGATGGAGCGCATTAGAGTAGACTTGCCGGATCCGTTGGGACCGCAGAGACCGTACCGGCGTCCACGCTTTAGGCGCAGATGAGTTTGGTTGAGAAGGATCTTGGCACCGTAGGCGAGGGAGAATGTACAGTTGCAGAGATCCTCACCTTCGTCCTCGTCGACCTCTTCCTCGGCCGCATCCTCGAGGCCAGGGGAAGCCTTCTTGCGGAGATTGTCGACAACCGACTCAGCCGCGCTGTCACCAACGATGACGGTGACGAAAGGCTTGATAGCATTGGCCCATGAAGCAGCCTCGGTCTCCTTCTCGTCAATAAGTTGACCGGCGATCGCCGATATGTACTCAAGGATGGGGGTGAGCTTCTCAGCGGTAGCGGACTGCTTGCTGGGAATGACGGACTTAAGGTGGGCGAGGACAATAGAGATATCACCATCTCGGCGAGCCTCGGGGATCTTGCCGTCCTTGACGTTACCGACACGGATGATGGTGTCGAGAGCCTGCTTGGTCTTCTCACGGGCTTCGGGGTCGGCTAAGTTGTCGTAGTTCTTCTGCAGACCGGGCATCATCTTGGGCAAGAAAGGTGCCACAATGTTGGGATCGTCGACGAGCTTGCACATGTTGTCGACAATCTTGGCGGCCTGTCGCTTAATGGCAGTCTCACGCTCGGCAAGACCACGATCGAGCAGAGGAACCATGAGGGCGAGGGTGGGCTCGCGAACCTCAGTGACGAAAGTGGTGGCACCCAGCAAGTGAACGGTTTCGGGAACATTTTCCGGCTTCGCAATACACTTGATCAGCTCGGGAATAAACTTCTCGATATCACGGTTGACAATCAACTCGCAAATCTTCTCCATGGTCTTGTAGGCGTGGTCCTTGACCTCCTTCTTGGTGTCCCACATGGCCTCGGAGACGACGGGAATGAGTTCGGGGACGCGGTAGGAGAGCTGGGCGGGAGCGGTCCGCACGAGGCTGTCGATGCAGTCGAGAGCAGCCATCTTCTCGGGCCATTTTTGGGCTGTCTGAATGGAGTTGCTAATGGCGGGCAGGACTGCCTTGACAGCGTTGGGATTGATGGCCTCAATGATGGCCGTGGTGGCAGCGATGGCGGCATTCTTGACCGCACTTATCTTGTCGCCAATAGCAGCCAAGGTAAGGGGCAAAAGGACAACCAGGTAGGGCTCGACCGTTGCCGAGACCTCGGAGTGCTGGGCTATGGCCTTAATGGCGCTGGCGGCCTTTTCTCTGACACCAGCATCTTTCTTGTTGGCAAGCTGCTTTTTGAGAGACTCGATGGTCCTGGGGAAATCACATGTTAGCGAACAACTTCAAAATGGAGATGGTGAGTGGGCGTTGCTAAAAGTGGAAACGTGCAGTGCATATGCTGGATAAGGTGTTGGGTGGCATTTGGCACAAAAATGCAAGTCCTGAGTCGGGAAAGTTGGGCGATTCAGGGAACCAATCGCCCACCAAGCCGATGCAAAGTTTGCCGCCTTGCAGCTAATAGATTTTTGCGGGCTTCGATGCCGCACCAAAATGTGCGAACTGAGCCCATCATCCTACAGGGCTCTCAGGACGTTCAACTTCGAGCGGCAAACAGACCAAATGCTGAACGAATTGGCCAAAAGATCTCTGGTGGGCATAACTCGGGTATTTCCTACAGTCATTTTACCGCCACTGGCGGCCCACTGGCAGATCTTGGTGTGTAGTTTTTTTTTTTTTGGGGGGGGGGGGGGGGCAGATTTTGTGTAGGAGAGGCTTTTGCTTACTTTTCAGGAGCGGCCTGGTCCAGGGCGTCACCGTTGATGAATGTAGCCAGGGCACCGGTCGCCTCATTGGTCGCAGCAGCGTCCTTGGAGATGGCCAGCTTGGACATGAGGTCGTCCAAGACCTTGAGAGATTGAGCGTTTTCGGAAAGCATTATGGCGGACTGTTATCGAGAAGGGATTAGGCGATGTGGGTGATTGATCTGAAGGTGATGTCGAATCGTTCGATCGTAGATCAACGCCGGAGAAGATGTCTATTGGATACGAATCTATCGGAGATGGTGTGGAAATCCAAGTGACTGGAGTGATGAGCCCACAGATGCTGATGGAGAAATCAGATCTGTTCTATGCTGGCTGATCGCTCGTCGTCTGGTCGTGCGGGGTATCGCAAGACAAGAACGGAGTGGAGAGAGAGATCCCAGATTTCCCTTCTTCTGTCGAAGAAAAAAAGAGAGTAAAGAGGTGGAGGGAAAGAAAAGAGTTGATTTGGGAGAGGGGAGGGGTGAGAAGTGCGCGAGGGCGAAGCGGGTGGACGACTTTTTATGACCAGAGGCGGCGTGTCTGACCAAAATTTTTTCAGTTCGAGGGGCAACTGCGAGAATTGCAAGAATCGGTGGGGGAACCATGCAGGGATCACAATGGTCAAGCGTCACCTGGTCCCCGCTTATTCTTCGCTTCAGGGCATTTTGGGCTGCCTCGGGCAAGTGCAAGGCGCCAAAGTATAATTATACTAATGGATTTTGCGCGTCTCGACCTGGACAATTTGATGATTGCTCATCATTCATATTTTGCATCGTGAATATGGTCATGACTTCAATTTCATAAATTTCTTCAGTTCTGTACAGCTTAGTGCTGGTGTCCCTCCCTGATTCTCGCCCATTTGCAAATGTTCCAGTGCAGGGGCACATCCCACCACAGCACAGATGTGGACCACAATGGCCATTCCTCATGTGCTTATTGGCTATCCCGCCAGCTTATCGGCTTATCGACACCACTATCTCAGATTTGGCATCTCAAGGCGGTGAGAAGAAGCCAGCCTGAGTTGTATCAGAAAGAAGAAGGGCAAAAGATTTAAATACCCTGCACTACCCCTGTAAAGATCTATTTACCCTGCAATTTTTCTGCCGCTTTTCTCTCCACATTTCCGCCATGCTTTCTGACTTCATGCCTCTGGAATTAGCATACGACTACTATTCCTCAGCTCAACATGACGTCGCTACCCCTATTATCTATTCCTATTGATGGACAAGAGTTCCTTGACCTTGATACTCTATCGCTTGCCCTCGACAACTGGGCTGTAAAGGAGAAATTCTCTTATCGGGTTGAGCGGCGAGATAAGACCCGTGGCTCCTGGGTGTGTGCCTCTGCGTTAAGCGGCTGTTTATGGCGCTGCCGAGCAACCTATTCCCCTAGTGAGGATATCTGGCAGATTCATATTCTAGCTACAGGGGCGTGGTGCTGTCATCATATTAAGGAGAATTTCACGGGAAAGTTCGGGAGAGGGCTTGCCTCTTTATTTTGGACTATCGCCCGAGCACCAACTCTAGCCCAATACGAGGCAGCTTTAGAGAAGCTTCGACAACAAAAGCCCGAAGCTGCGGCATATCTAGAGGCGGCAAACCCTTCGCTTTGGGCCGAGGCGCTATTCTCTGGGCGTCGATATGGCCACGATATAAGTAATATCGTCGAGTCGCAAAACGGAGTATTAAAGCTTGATCGGGAACTTCCAATTATTGCTCTCCTCGACTCAATATGGCACCGGGTTATGGAGAAGAGGGCAGCTCGGCTTCAATCTGCTTTACGGTTGATAGAGGCAGGGAAGACAGCTACCCCATTCGTTGAAGGGAAATTACGAGAAGGGAGGCAATAGGCGTCTAGTAATCGTGCTCAGTTTTCGTCACCAACGGAAGCAAGAGTAGTACAGCCTGACGGCCTTATTTGCATTGTAAATTTGACAGCAGGGACATGTTCATGCCGTCGGTATCAAAGGAATGGAATCCCTTGCGGGCATGCCATTACCGTAATACTAGCAGGAGGGGACGGTATAACCCCCTATCTACCGGAATCTCTCTCTCCGACAGTTTGGGCTGCCACGTATAGTAGCCCGATGCCAGCTATCAACGTCTCTGAGCTCAAGCTCAAGCCAGAGGACCCTTGTAACCCTCCAATTACTAGAGTACCTCGAGGACGCCCTGTCAAAGAGAGGATTCGAAAGGGGGATTCTCGCCGCCCTCCAGAGAGCTCACAATCGCGATGCTCTAGTTGAGACTGGACATAATATGAGAAGGTGCCGACGCCCCCATGGATAGCTTGATAGGCCCGATCGGTGGGTCTGATGGATTGGGAAGGCGGTGGGAGATCTGGGAAATTGCAGGGTAAATAGATCTTTACAGGGGTTGCGCAGGGTATTTAAATCTTTTGCCCCAGAAAGAAATATGTTGAATCTATGTTACAATGTCAGGTGTCAGATTCATTGTCCACAGGCCTCAGGTAAAGTGGTTAAATTAATCATCACGGAATGCTTGAAATGCTCCCGTCTTCTTTCGAGTTAACCCGGTAGGCGCAGGTGGTTCGCATCTTGATATTTTGGAAGTCTTACTTTTCAACTTGCTGCTTGGAATTGCCTGGTCCATGCGCTGCTGCTGCTGCTGCGGAACCCGAACAGCTTTTGAACATCGACGACCAAGACGATAGATGGCAGCGATAAGCACTAACAAGGCGGATTTGGTGTAACCACCCATTAGGAAACCAGGAAATGAAGTTTCTATATGATGCTTCTGACTGGACCAAGGAACCACAACCAGACCTTCCGCGGACTGCCCTGTTAAAATAACATAGGGGACCAAAGGGGTCCACTGCTGCGCTTCATTAAGCATTGTATTATTTATGATCGGGTTAAGCGACAGTCTGGATCTAGACAGGGACAACTGGAGGCGCTTCAGCAAGCAAAGTCAATTTGGCCACTGTCGCCGGCACTCCCGAATGCAGTTTGAGCATCCCTAAGCCCTCCACTTTTTGGTCCTTTGCGAGTCAGTCTGAGAGCCGTTGGAGACAAAGGTTCCTCCTCGCAACTGTAGTAAGCAGCGTCATTGTTCTTTGTCATGAAGTATTTCAACACCATCTAGATGAAAACATGCTCTACAAGTTACCTTCCACTTAACAGGGCTTCGGATGCAGCTTGCTTACTGTCAGACCGCACAATCCCACCTCACAGCCTCATATGTTTACCTCCACGACATTAGAATCAGGAGCTGATTGCGATAACGACACACACACGGGAGGGCCACCCCCGGATTTCGAATCCCAGCTATGATCGCCATGACGGGCTGGGTCCCATCTCGCGACACCCACATGTTCATGGCTGCGAGCATGCAACCAGGGAGTCTGTGGTCGAAGTAAACACGTCTGATATTCATTTGCTTTTGGTCATTTTCTACAGTATTCTCTTAAACATGTTCTTCGATTCGCCTGGTCACAAGTGTTGAGCTGCGACAAGTTTCTGTTCAGGATAACTTTAGAGAAGGCGATATGTCATTGCGACGCGACTTGGCAAAGATGGATCATGCAATGTTCTCGAGTTCCTGACTTTTGCAACCCAACTTGGCACAATGCGAGATATGCAGGGATGTTTGGCTTGTAATTCAGAATGCTCAGCATTGCCCGGCATTGCGTTCGCGCCTACTGCTGTCTCGGGATCTGATAGGCGCTCCATACGCGGCAATTCCTAGTTGCTACCACAGCACGTTTTAAAGCTCACTACTGAACTGTGACACTATAGATTTCGTCCTTCTCTGAACATTTTCGCAAACTGGAGAAAGCTACACGTTGCTTGGAAGGACTCGGTTTCGTAATTCCAGGGCGGCTTTTATCGCAATTACACCAAGCGCTTGCCCTTACATGCTCAGTGTATCAGAACCCCTTCGAATAACCTACGACGTCTCCTAGTCACCTTGAAATTTACGGGCCCGTTTAAAAAAAAATAGAAAAAAAAACGAGCTGCATGCTGGGACTTTGAGTCGCTTGTCTGCATTCGAACTCCGGGACAGTCTGATGTCTCCTGACTCTCGGATCCTCTATCCCACACTTGTTTTGCACCACCTCTACGACATCTACGAAGTACTTTTTTTACGCAGGCGCAACTACCCTCCTTGCCATGCCAAAATCTCACAACTATGGTTATTCACCAGTGATGTTTGAGAACCATCGATGCGGTCATGGAAATTGTGGCGCTATCAAGGTTGTTGGAACTACCAGGACAATATTCTCTACGAGAGCCACACATACAATCCAATTTTGAGCGATTACTCTAATACGTGCATCTGACTACGGGATATTGTTGCTGCTCAAAGGTTGTCATGGTGTTGTTGAAAGAACAAAGTAAGCTAAATAAAGCCAGAGTTGGGCACCACCAATTCAGAACTCATTTTCAGCGAGCGGCCTCTCTAGCAGCCACCGCGAATCCAAGATCACAACTGGAACAATGACCTTAGAGGACCTTGTTGCTTTCGGAAACTTCAGTTGTCTTGGATCCTTCAATCTCCGTGTCCTTTGTGTGGCATTCACTAATACCGACCATCTTCCGGAAACAGAATGCGACTGAGTTGACAACAAAAGCAGTCTGTCTTTTAAGTCACATGGCAGGTATTTCTCCATGTATTCGATCCTAAGATTTGTGTATCGGCATAATTTATTGTTCTTTCCCTGTTATGTACGCTATTCTCTCTGGCATGATGATTCTCTCCCAGGACTTGAACGACTGACCTCATTAAATATTAACACCCACAGAAAACTACTAACATGGCTTCTCCTCTTCAGTCTAATCCGGGAGTGGGCCACTTGTTCCAAGGCAATGGCCCACCCCACTGCCAACCACTAACTAGCGACCCTAATAGCCAACACCCACACCCAGGTCAGCAAGGAACACAATCAGGATCGCACCCCACAGCACCATCTAAAACCCAAGAACAACGGGCCCTAGAGGTTGCCGCCAGGTATCTCAAGCGCACCAAGATAATCCCCAAAGATATTGGCTATGACTGGATGCCCTTTCTGACTGCGCTACATGAGCGTAACCTTGACATCGAACGCCACGACGATGATGACGACTTGTTTGATCCATCTCCGGAGCCTGCTCCTGTGACGCATGTAATGGCGCCTAAGAAGGACTGGAAACGACCACCAAAGAGAGACCCCAGCAACGACCCCAAATACATATGGTATGTCCCTGAGTGGTCTGCGCCCGACTATAGCCCGGAGTTGAAACCGACGTACTGCGGCAAACCTACGCGGCGGTATTCCCGGGATGTGCTGCAGTCACTGCGACCAGCACTGAGACCAGTGGACGCATTGCGTAAACCAACTGATTATGCTCTGCGGTTTGGAATCAACCCTGATCGTACCGACGGCAGAAGTCGGTTGAGTCCGAGCTGGTCCGGGTCGAGGAATCCCCTGTAAGTCCAAGCCCCTCACTGATGATATCTGAGAACGTGGAACAACAGCGCGGCTTACTCACAAGGTCCTTACAGTGTGCTACAAGACCTGGAGACACAATTGGCCTGGGTTGATGACGACACTAGAAATATCCTCAGGCAGCGTACACATGAGGCGGCCGTCAAGGGCACAATACCAATGCCGGTCGGTGGAACGATTCACCCAATGGTATTCGAAGACTGGAAGAAGAGTATGAACTTTCCAACCGTGGAGCAAATCCGTAACCAGGCCGTGAACCGTGGCATTTCGTTTGAGCGGCTGGTCAACGAATTGCCCGACAATGTCAAAACGGCGTATAAGAGTCTGATTGAGACTATAGAGGAAGACGAGGACTACCAGCGCTTCGTGTTCCGCGACATGACGACCGACGAGCTCATCAGGTCCGACAGCCACACCATGTCTAACATACTCAACTGCAACCTGACAGGCAACATACACCCGCTCGTCGATCGGTCCATGTGGGAGGACACGTTGTGGCGAGGGTTCACGCCCCAAAATCCCCGCTACTACTACCAGATTGGTGACCAGCGAAAGGAGTATGCCCCGTGGTATAACGACGAGTTGTGGGCCGCCATGCAGCCGGCGCTATTGATGGTGTCGGAGGTGCTCTACGCAAACCCGCCCTTTTGGGAGTCGCTTAAGGATCTACGCACCCGGAAAGTGGTGGACCCAAAGCTAGACCAGCGGCCCCTCGGAGTACCCATCCCCTATCTCACCAAGATCGTGCCCCCGGAAGAAAAAGACGAGCTGGATCCCAGCGAGACGTGGGATAGCATCAAGAAGCTGGACGAATTGGGATTCGACTTTGAGGGTAGCGTGATGAGGGCGCTACAGAACCATATGGAATTGAGTATTACCAGTGGGCTAATTGAAGAGGATGTTGGACGACCTGTAAGTAAAACCCGGTCATCTGCGAGGCGGATCGACTAACTCAACTTGGGAACCAGACAACAGGCTACGCCTACGGTCGCACCAACCTCAACCTTGCCGGAAAGGACTCTAAGATATTCGTGACTGTGGCGGCCGAAATGGTGTGGCCGCTCATGCACCCTGCCTTTAGTACGAGCGAGAAACTGGCGGCGTCGTTCTTGTTGGCCATCAGCCTGCTGCACGAGATCATGCATGCCACGAACCGAGCATGGGATCTCTTGATGAGCAACGAACCGGGCACGCTGGGTATCCACCCCTCTACACAACCCTCAATCGTGACAACACAATTGCACAATATCGCCATGATTACGACAGACTTCGACGTCAACGGCGGCGAGGCCTTCTGGGACAACGATATTTTTGCCGAACTAGGCCATGCTTTTGAGAACCAGCTTTTTGGGCGGGGGTTTAGTGGTATTGCCGAAGGCCTAGTAAGCATTATCTTGGGTTAACCCGTTATTTGTGTATGAAAAGATTGTCTAACCAAGTGACGACACATTAGAGCTCCCGAATCTCCCAGGACATCACGACTCTGCCTTTGGTGGTGGCCGGGGAACGATTGCCGCACGCTCCCCGTAGTGAAGGCACCAAGTACAACCCTGACTACCTTAAGGGCGTATGGCCGGCCGAGGAATACTGGGAGATGATGCCCATTAGTTATTATGCCAGGTTCTTCCAACAATCTTTCTGGGATGAGGAGTTCGCCAAATGGGGTTTCGGTATTTTCAAGGCGCGAGTGCCGGGTGAGTCGGCCAGATGGAAAGACTCGTTTTCTCTCATTGTCCATGCTAACCCAACGCGGTAGATCGAACATATTTCAGTCTCATGGTGCCCAAGCATCTAAGTGAGGCGGGGATGAAAGACGCCATCGGGGCGGATGACTTCAAATTTTGCAGCGCTGTCATTGTCTGTCTGGATGATTGGGGCTTCGTGATACTGTCCGAGTTCTGTCGTTACACGCTACGGGACATTCGAAGCTATGGCATTCTGCGAACGCGGTGGCTGAAGGAGATGCTGACGTGGGAGACGCAGGACAAGAAGTTTGAGAAAACGTTCGGCGACTTCATGGAGCAGGTGGACGAGGCGAGAGACAAGGACAGGTTTGTCACCAGCTCAAATCCCGCGGCTGAGTTTGAGGAATGGAAAGCCAACACGGACGATGACCCGCCATTTCCGACTCTGGTCGAGTTTCTGCATAAAAGCCGGCGAGAATGGGCAGACGCACATAAGGAAGGCGGACAGCTCTCACGGTTCGTCATGGAGTTGTATTGGATACAACAGGACGAGGTGCGCATCATGGAGCGCATGGTGTTTGAGCTGCTCAACGTGCCCTTGAGATACCGTGGACTGGTCAAGCCCGACAATGGGCCCGACTGTTTCACCGAGTTGCAGTACAGACTGGGCCGCCACATCGAATGTGCTGCCTACGTCATCCATGTGACGCAGAGCTTCGCACAGCGTCCCGACCTTGCAACTGACCAGCTCATGTGGCTGAACTGGCAACTGCGCTTCAAGCATAACCTGTCGATGTTTGAAAACCTGCAGAGATTGATCCGGGATGAACGCCAGATAGATGACAACGAGGCCAAGAAGCAGCGCGAGGGACTGCAGACAGTGCCCAGTGCGCTGCACAAGCCGCGGCTTCTGCGGTTGCGCAAGATGGCCAACAAGGAGTATATGCTGCTTGACGCACGCATACGTACCGTCGTAGACGAATTTTATGAGCGCATACAGCAGCTTAGCAAGGACGGCTGGCTGCAGGGTATCGCTGAAGAGCCCGAAGTTCGCCAGAAGCTCGAGGCCCTTCAGACGAACACGCGTCTACCCAAGAAGAAGATTCCCGAGTATGGGGGCATGTTCGATCTTACAGCACTTAACAGGAAGACACGCCCCATTCTGATCGACTCGATCCAGCGAGGCGGCAGTGCAGCCGCCGCCCCTACCGTGCGCTCTACTCCTAGCAGGTTCAAAACACCCCTGAGAGGACTCCCTGGAAATTTCGGCCAGCCATGGAATCCGGGTAAACTGCTCGGCTCCAAACCCCCAGTACGCATGTCGCCAAAATTTGGCGGCTCTCGCCTCTCCAAAGCCCCGACCAAAGATTCCCCTATCAAAGCCAGCACTGGCATGGGTCTCTCATACTTGCAGTCGTCGTCGTCGTCGTCGTCTTCGTCCAGCCGTCGCCAGTCCGCCTTCACCCGCTTCGCCAGCCGTGGAGGCTTCAATGCCATCGGCAACGTGCCCGACAAGTTCAGGGGGGTCTTTGAGCGTAAGCATCAGGTCTACGAGGACAAGTCCTTATCCCGCTTCACCGGCTCAGGTGGCTTGCCACCCACCCACATGCCCTTCCTCTCAAGCGACACTCCCAACCGCTCCGGCTTCGAAAACATCCACGTCATGCCCAAGACACCTCCATCGCAAACCATAGGACTGATGCGCAGCGTCCCGGCTACGCCCCCAGGTGTAAGCATTGAGTGGATGCCGCAGTACATCCCCGGCATGCCGCCCCCAGCCCTATCCATGGCACCTGGCCAGTACAAACGCTCGCCCGTGAGGCTGATACAGCCACAGGTTGCGGGCATGCCGCCCGTGAGGGCATTTCCACACCCCTATGCTGACAGACGAATTAACACGGATGACTTGCTCAGCGTTGTTGTGCAGTCACCGCCGCAGATTCAGGACGTCATTTGGAGTGTTGTCGAGGGATTCGCAGGCCAGGAATACAGGGAGAGGATTGGTATTGACGATGGGGATGTGGGCATGGGTGGGGCGTAGAGGTAGGGGAAGGTCATACGTTTATTTTTCAATAGTACGGGATTACGGGTCAAAAACTTTTCTACATCTTCAAAGATGAATTTTCAACACTCAGTTACTTTTTATTTCTCAATTTGAACTCGTAGTTTATTCTCTTAGAACCGTGGAGTTCAGTCCTGGAAACGCAAATTGTCCAGCCGTGTTAGTGTGTATACCAGTTTTCCGACAAGCTTTGTTTGGTTATGTTATCTTAACTTTTCTCAAGAGGGTTGGAAGTTATGTCGTCTTCTGACGTATATATTGCGTCATAACCTTGCAGGAAAACTTGAAGACTGACATATACTATTGGTTTGCGTTAGTTATGAAGCCCGTGTGGGTGCCCAGCAACTTTGAAACAAAAGTATTATTATTATTATTATTATTAAATACGCCGTAGGCTCGAAGCCCCCAGTACCTCTGCTAGTACTCCCGTATGTCAAACCGTGACATAATGGCTGGACTAAATACATACGCTGCGTCGTCGGTTCGCCCTATTGGCGACTGCGTTGCGTTCACTACCATACTACGTTGGTTCTCAACCTACCAACAAAGTCCCCCCTGAGAAGATCGATGCTATCTGGGCCTTGAAGCTGTCCGACCCGTCCCTAGCAGCCACCTTACAATAGTCCCACTAACTACTGGTTCTCCTGTTGCCGTTGCGAGGTCTCTGCGAGAGTATAGTGGCCGTGGTGCGATAGCGGCCCGTAATCGTTCCCTCGGTCCTTCCAACAGCCCGCAAAAGAGGATTACGTGCTCTGCCGTCTCAGGGGCGTCGCCACAGCGGCATAGCGGCGAGTACACGCCAAAAGCCCCTGTCTTGAATAAGAAGGCTGCTAGTCCTATTTTTTCCGTCCTGATCTGGCACAGCGTAGACGCTTCCAGTCGGTTCAGGCCGAAATACTTGCCCCCTTTCGGTATCTGCATCGAAGGGCCCTCCGGTTTCTCAGCGATGGCGCGTCGCTGGCGATCGTGATGCTCTGCTCCGGTGAGCCATCTCTTCCTCCAGTGGCCGAGGAGGGCAGCCGGGACCTCCTTTTCCTCACTCATCCACTCGGAGCCCCGGGCCTCCTTCTCCATAGTGTACCCTGCCGGTCGGAGTAGCTGCGACGCCTGCTTCCTCTTCGCCGGCCTATCCTGCCGGAGTATATGTGACGCTTTAGCGCTCGCGCTGCGAAGCAGATTTCTCCTCCCGCTAAGCCGTAGCCGTTCTTCAAACTTAGCAGCCCGGGCACTAAGATAGAGGTCTAGTGGCGGGATTGCTGCTTCTGCTTCCAGGTGGCGAACCGGCGTCGCTTTGTGGGCGCCACAGACTACCCGGAGGCACTCGTTCTGTATCCCCATCAGGCTCTTAGCTGGCCCTGCCGGTTCCTCACTTATAGTATGCCACGCAGTCGCCCCGAAACAAAAGTATGATGTACCAAGTAACATGATTCTTGAATAATATGGAATTCCATGTTATATAGTAAATCATAATTCAATTTCAATTACAGATTGTTTAGAATAGGTTTACGAGTTAGTTCAAGTATGTTCGACCGGTTATGGTGCGTGTTCGTGTTGGACCTTCAAGGCTATTACACCAAACTACCAGTTTTGGAAGTATATATAGCCACTTACCGTGCATTATGGGCCAATGTGACTACCACCCATCGTACCACACAAGTACGGCCTATGGGATAGACATAGTTCATTCCTTTCTATATAAGGCCCTCATAGCCGCTATTGTAACGAGGATATTACACGTCTCACAATAGAATAGTTAGGTAGTATAAAGAGCAACTAGAATAGGCTAGTATATAGGTACGTATACTGCAAGACTAATTCTTAAGGAATTTAAATTAGGTAGGAGCGTCTTAAGTTCTCCTCTTAAGCTAGGCGGTTCTAGGGTTTTACCGGATCGGGGGCGAATCCCTCCCGACTTAGCTTATTAGCTAATAACGGCCCGCTATATCAGCTCTTTCCTTATGATTATCCCCCCCTCTAAGGTAGGCTATCCTCGGTCGACGTCCCCTACGATTTACCTAATTACCGGCCGTTTTTAGGCCGCGCCTCCCTTTTCGGGTTATTAGCTAATCTAACTAGAGGGGTAATTCGTTACCCTCTACCTTTAGGGATTACTCCTTCCCTTAGTAGGTAAACTAGTAGATAGTGACGTGGGGTTAGGGTTTTTGGGTGCTCGTTTTCGTTTTTTCCGGTTTCAGACGAGTTATGTAAGCGCGTTCTTGAAGGGTATTTAAGATCTTATGTACATAGTCACTCTCTTGAGAAAAAGATAGGAATTCAAGAGGCCTTTTCCACAGTAATCTGAACCAATTTGTCTTTACTTGGACAGGCATTCAATGTCTGACGTACCTGTTGAGGTACTTTTGTTGCCCCTATAGATCTGATTGTGCCTGCTGAGGCCATTGTTCCCACCTTTCACCTGTTGAGGTGATTGTTCAAGGGCCTGTTGAGGTTCCTTTTCTTCCCCAGCCTGCTGAGGCTCCAGTTGTTAGTACCTATTGAAGTACTTGTTGTTACGATCAGGGCAAGGAGCTCTTGATCTTGTTATTTCTTTCCACCTCCCGAATAGTAAGGTCTTGTTGAGGATCTTGTTATTCGTTGCCATCATCTTACACCTTAAACCTGCGGGTGGTTTCACTGCCCGTCGTCAACATCCGCGAGGTTTTTCATGCTGCCGAGTGTGACAGGATACTCTCTGCCCAGTACCTTCTCCTTAAGCTCGAGTGTCTCCCAGTGTATCTCCTCGGCCTCCTTATACTTCCCAAGCAAGGAATTACTGTCTCCAATATGAAATAGAATATTCCTTTTGTACTCTTCGTTAAGACGATTCTTTCGAGACTCTGAGGCTTTTTGCATATGTAGCAGATGTGAAGGTCAACCCTCGCAGACTCACTACAACCAGGTGACCTACAGCTGGAACACCTGCCATGGCAGTGCCAGATGGGAAGCCAATCATAACCCCTGCAGGAGCCCCGCCAAGCGTGGACGACTTAGTCGCGCTCCCTCAAACCTAAGTTTGTGATCTTCTTTCCTTCGCTCCTTAGAGTAGAATCTTCGTCGATAGCACCTAATCGAGGTCTCTACCAATGCGATGCAACCCAGGTCGTGACAGCACCTATCTTTACATCCTACTCTGCCTCTATACCTCTTAAAGAAGAGAAAAATAAACTTTCTCCTAGCCCCGTAACCTATTTCCCTAATATCCGGCCTTACCCCGTTACAATATATAAATAGGTTGATGCGAGTGCATATGGGGTGTGAATTGTTGTATTGGAAAAGGATGGCCAGGTCAGCTTTTCTGGCCTGGCCGAGCTCTTTTATAGCTCTTATCTTATCTTATCTGTCTTATCTGTAGCTATAGGGTAACCCCCCATGGGGTCACGTATCATAGGTAGTTAATACGGTTAGTGTGGGATTAAGCACCACTATTATACCCTAGGCCGAAGGTAGTCTAGCGGTAAGTTAGTCTAGTGGGGTTAAACCCTTCCCTATAGATAAAATAGCTACATGTGACGCCGGTCACGATGCCTCTGCCTCGTCACACTACAGCTACATACTGTGACAGGCTGTGCCTGATATGGGATCCGGAGCTGCAAGGACCGTGCGTCCGGATCCACCAAAGGAACCATCGAGGGCACACAAAACATAGTCCGTGTTCCCGGGACAACTCGCATATTTTACTTTCCTCCTCAGTTAGATAATTAACAGTATTTGGCCATGTTGAGCTGTATAGTTTCGCAGTGAGCCCGTCACACATACATAAGAATAGAACAGTAGAGAGATACACTAATCAAGGCAGGATCGCCATAGAGTTATCAATACAGGATCGAATCCCTTAGTTAGTATCGGATATTCACGTATCTTGCGATGTGACCTTATTGTGACGGAAATGTGACCGTTCTATATTATTGTGTGTTATCTATGATCTGAGGGATTTCTGGCTAAGTCCTAGTGGCTGGTAATCATGTTACTTTTGGTCGGCCACGTGACCCCTTGTGTCTGAGAGTTAGTCTCTTTCTCCACCTCGGTTCGCGTACACAAATCGTCCCGATAAGCTCTCGCAGGGGAGGTATCCTCGCGTGCGTAATTGTTGGATTGTCTTTTGCCGTGTGGGGTCCCGTGACGCACTGCTTCATGCCTTCCTGACATGACGGCCTCCTTCATTCAACTTCACTTCTTCCTCGTCACCATGGCCCAAACCCGAGCCCAGAGAGCCACCCAGACCGACCTCAGTAAGTCAGCCGACCAAGGTATGTTTTACAGAGCGCAGAGAAGCCCCTGCTGACGTTGAATACACCAAGGCACGCCTTCGCGCAGAAGCCCACGTTCGCAAACATATGATTTACAGGATTCACCTATCCAAGACAAAGACCGAAAGCGAACTATCGAACGTGCATTTGACTCTGATCCCCGTCCTTCTACGAAACACCCGCGAATATCGAGACTGTCTGCTGATGAGAAACCGCTCGATACCACAGCGAACGAAGGTAATTCCATCAATTCGATCGACTTCTGGAGGAGAGAAGGGTACTGGCCACGTCACTACTTTGAGCCCGACATGAAACATCAAGCTGTCCTTGCGCGAAAGCGGTCGTCCTCCGTGCTCAGAAGTAAGCGATCAATTTCTGTTTCGTCTGGAGCTCCGAGCGACGAGAAACCACGCGAGGGAAAGAGTGCCCAGTATAGAGATCAGCGTTACGAGACCCTACTTGCCACTAAGGGTAGTTTCATGGTCAGATCGAAGCTGGACGTCACTCGCGAAAGCAAAACGCTTTGCACAACTCTTCTTAAAAAAAACGTTTCCAGTGGATTCGCTCTTCCGTGACGACATTTTTCAGACAACGTGTCAAAATATCCATAACAAAAACGAGGTCAGAGTCATTCAAGACATTTCTCGGCTCATCGTCCCTTCAGCCGAAAGCCTTGCTACATACGGCTCTGTGCATCTCGAAATTCTGGCCGAGAGTGTCAACGAAGGTTGGAATAACTCAGTCCCTCTGACTGGAATACGACCCCAGCCGGACTATTCCGTTGGATTTCAGCGAGAGGCATTTACTGCGGAACAGCTTGAGAAGTTATCACCATTTATCGGTGACTTCATCGCTGGCGACCTATCCTACTTTATGGCCACGTACTACATGCACTTCCCGTTCTTGACGTGCGAAGTCAAATGTGGTGCCGCAGCGCTAGATGTCGCAGACCGTCAGAATGCCCACAGCATGACGCTGGCCGTTCGGGGTATTACCGAGTTGTTCCGTCTTGCGCAGCGTGAGGAAGAGGTCAACCGACAAATTCTCGCATTTTCCATCTCTCACGATCACCAGTCAGCTCGGATTTATGGCTATTATCCAGTGATTGATGGGAAGGATACTAAGTACTATCGTCACCCGATCCGTAACTTTTGTTTCACAGAGCTAGACGGAAAGGAAAAATGGGCAGCATACCAGTTTACCAAGAATGTCTACGAAGAGTGGATGCCAGGTCACTTCAAGAGGATATGTTCGGCGATCGATCAGTTGCCATTAAAGCCGGATTTCGATGTCCCGGCGCTTTCAGAGACGTCTTATCTCTCCCAGAGCCTGGCGAGCCAACATTTGGCGATACCGGATGCCAATTCCATATCGCCTGCTGCAGCTGAGGATGACCTAGCTAGCCAGAGTATACTTTCAGGTACTTCATTTTCAAAACCAGGGCCTGCTAAAAGGCGAAAAAGTCCTGTCAAGAAACCATAATCTCACCGCTATTGTTTGGGTCAACTTCTATTCGTGAGATCAACCTTCACATCCAGCAATTCTCCGGAACGACCGGCAAAGCAAAAACCTATTATCTGCCCTGGGTGCAGACTTCCAGATCTGGTTGCTCTGCGTCAGGAGTGGGCCATACAAGTTGATGACAAGGTCATTTTTAGCCGTCCGAGGCAAGCTTGCACCTTCGCAACGATCGACGGTTTCAGTTCTTACGCGGGGTACGCGTCACATGTATATAAGTCGTGCTATCATTATGTATCTTCAGATGCTGATCAGAGTTCCTTGAATCACGCGGCTGAACACGATCCCTCTGAGACTGGTGATCGCAGGATAGTATAATTGACCCTCTTTACACCGTGGGTAGCCCGCAAGACCAAATTTAGTGTTGCGCTGAAATGGGACCACTGCCACGATAGTGCTCGCTACTTGGTTCAATAAGGCAACCCGATGTGTCAAGTAGGCATGATCTGTGCCGTAAGCTCCAAGGGTTCCTAGCTGCTAAATAAAAAGAAGTGACAGTTGACATAACTGAGGCGCTGAGAGGCGAACTTGGACTTGCTATATTTAGCACAAAGGCGAAGTTAACGACACAACAAGAACGCTACCTGCTTAATTCCTGATTAGGCATAACGTCGAGTCTCTTCACTCTATTGCTCTCTCGGCAGCTACTAACTAAGCCTCTTACCATAGCGCAACTAGGCAAAAAGAGTACTTCTTTACCTAAACGATAAGTCCCATTATAGCGCTTTTGATCGTTAGGAAGTCGGTTTTGTAGTAGGTGTTAGACCAAATTGACCGTTAAAAGATAAGGGACCCACTCGTTCTAGAATGAGGTATTTTTAGTAGTTCTAAGGTCTGACAGTAGGGATGCTCGAAAATGAATCTCGGTAACTAGTTGTTAGAGAACTGATGCGAGTGCATATAGGGTGTGAATTTATGTAAGGAAAGAGCCGTTGTGGCGGGCCGGTCTCAGCTGACAAGCTGAGTCGGGAGGGATTCGTGTTACGAACCGTTGGCCCTGAACCAACATTACAGGCCCGTCGGCAGGCCAGGTGGATACAGACGCTAGGATCACGGGACCCCGCATCGGAGGAAGGAAAGGACCGACAGGTCACGTGACCTACAGGGGTGGATATGTTGGATATGTTGGACAACCAACATATCCAAATGATCCAGAAGAAATAACAGGGGTGGATATGTTGGATATGTTGAACAACCAACATATCCAAGTGGGGATCAGTGGAGGAGAGATGGGCATATAAGGGACAGGACTCCCAGGCATTTAATAGATAGACAGTCTCTACTTCAGTGATCAGTCTAAGCATCAATCTAACCCATTGGTGAGGCAAACTGCCTTGACGACTCTATTCCCAGTTACCCTACTTGAATACTTCAGTTACCCAGAGCCCTATACTCCATACGTCAAATCCCGATATTATTGCTAAAGGACTCCGCAGCAGGACTTACTTACTAGCACAAACCCTTACAGACTCTTTAGTGGTTTACGCAGCTAGACTATTAGAGGTTTCGTTACACCTCCAAACGCGTAAAAACGGCGTACCTTTCCGACGCAATATTTTGCCCAATTCACGAACTATGACAGAATTAGAAGAGGAGGTCATTATCAAGCATATACTGTGTAAAGATAGGTACGGCTGGGTGCCAGGGAAGGTGACTACGGTTGGGCTCTCACGGAAGTCAATTCCAAGAAGTGAGGTGTTTTGTTGACTTCTATTTGCCGAGCTAAGTGTTGTGCGTTTGGCCCCTTTTGAGGAGCTCAATCTCCGACAATTATCCGATCGCTCGGCGATTTCAGCCACACAGCCACACTGTCCTTGACCTCACATACTGGACTTATATGCACGAGCGTTTCCGCCCCGGATTGCTGATGTGGAAGCAATGGCAAATTCTATCCGCGCGACACGTAACGCAGGGCCCATTGGAACGCGCTGGGCCTCGAGGTTCATCGCACGCAAATATTTTCTCAGCTGTCGACCAGTTTGCCAAGGGAGCAAAAATGATAATGCACAAGCTCGCCCTCGTACGGGCCGAGTGCGCTGAGCTTCGAGAGGTAAATAAGATGCTAAGCCGGCGCCGGAGGACTAAAAAATGCAATTACGGGAAGGAGAATCACTTATTTTCCAAGAAGGACAGGACCTACGGGACTCTAGGGAGTTGGCGACGCAGATACAGCAAGAAGAGCGCCGAAATGGTGGTCGCGCAAAGCTTGTTGAAACGCGCCCGAGGCGCTGTGGTATTTGCAACGGGACTGGGCATAATTCGCGAACTTGTAAGATCGCATTGCCATCTTCTGGAGAGGAAAATTCAGAGTAGTTTCAATTGATTTACGGCGTTGTGGTTTTACTATCGTAAAATTTCTATGCGAGGTTATGTAAGGGTGGCCAGCTCGGTGTACATTCACGTTAAATAAAATATTTCCCCAAAAAACCGCAAAAACATACAACACCAGGGATTCGCTGGTGGTCACCCACCCAACTACTAATCTAGCGGTTTGCAGCTTATCTATGGGAGAGCGGACGGGATCCCGGGTTCTCTGCAGCCTATGGTCGTATGTGCTATGGATAGGTCGTAAAGTACATTAAGAAGGCAATCAAAGTGCCCTGACAATTGTAAAATTCTCTTGAAATTTCTTCTACCAATTTATACTGGTCCGTCCACTAGGGGTGAACACTCACGACTAAACATAAGACTCGGATAACTTCTAAGGCAGATAAGAGGTATTATAGTATATACTATAGTTAAGTTTCAACTTCGTTCAAATTAGGAGGGAAATAATTTACGCTCATGCCTCCTGAAATAGAAACAAAAATATGTTAAGAAAACCGCAAAAACATACAACACCAGGGATTCGCTGGTGGTCACCCGCCCAACTACTAATCTAGCGGTTTGCAGCTTATCTATGGGAGAGCGGACGGGATCCCGAGTTTTCTGCAGCCTATGGTCGTATGTGTTTAAATCAAGTGGCAAAGGAAACTAAGTAGGTGTCACGCCGTGCTAGGGGTTGCAATCCTTGCCACTACGCCACCGTACCAGATGTCTTCACCAAAAGAGACCAATACCAAAGTCCCTGACTTTGATATCTGCAACCACTTATCAATCTGTTCAAACCAGTGTAGGTCAATCACGTGACAACCGTCACAGTAGGCAGGAAATGCTGACCACTAGATGTATTGATTTACACCGGTACACCACTCCAGTAGTAGGGAACGCTCACGACCAATCGAAATCCTCAAATTACTTCTACGGCAGATAAAAGGCACTAACTATAATCAATTTCTAACTTCGGTCAAACTAAAGAGCAAAAGAAATAACGTTAATATCTCCTCAAATAGGCAAATAGGAACATAATATCAAAAATGCTAGAACATATGTTAGGCAACCTTTGTGGGCTTTGCTAAGACCACTAACGTTACCACGTGACTTAGCCCTTTGGGGGCTAAGTCTAACTTTCGTGCTCAATAGCATTAGATAGAATATCGAGCAAGCTTGAGAAAAACGTACTGCATGGAAGGAATCATAAACTTCAACCTCAATAACAATGAGCTCGAGGACTCAGTGGCCTCGCGGCTATCGAGGCGACCCCGGAGACTCACCGCTAAAGCCCGCGAAAATTTGGAAGACGTGGCTCGAGATATCGCAAAGGACGTGATCCACGAAGCCACCAAGAAGTTCGCTCGGCTTGCAAAAGAGCTACAACAAAAGGACGCCGACAGACAAAAGACTCTCGAGGCATACAAGGCCAAAATAGAATCCCTCGAACAGGAGGTGAAAAGGATGCGCGAGGATCGTGGGCAACCAGACTGCCGCACCTCACAACTCGCACAATCTCGACATGCCACTCGAACAACCCAAGACACAACTGCTAGAAAGCCTCTCGGAACCCCAATAGAGGTCGACCCGACAGTACAATCAACACCAGCCCGCACATACGCAGCGGTTGCAAGGCAACTGAGTAGCACGCCGGCCCACAGCCTAAATGTCACCGCGACGCCACCAAAGAAACTGCCCACGAAAGACCTACGGATTTTCGCCCGGATGCATGAAGATAATCATTTCCGCAGGGAGAGAGCCTACGATATATGCGCTTTTCTCCGTGAAAAGCTGCCAGGAAATGCCCGCACTGCACTAAAGGGAGTCGACCACGTCCGAACAGGACTAGCCCTCTGCCCATCCTCAGTAGAAGGCGCTAAGATCCTGCTAAATAACAGAGAACAGATAGCCACCCTACTGCAAGCCCATAGCGTCGAGCAGAGAGATACCTGGGTTCGAGCATATATCCCCAATGTCCCGTACACTCGTCACTGCCTGATTACCGACGCGGAATTGGAAATCACAAACGGGGAGCTAGAGGAGGAAATCCGACTTGCCACGAAACGGCGCCCGGAAAAGGCCTACTTTTCCAAAAAGGACGAGATGGAAAGACTAGGCACGGTAACGGCCTGGTTCAAGGTAGACGCGGCAAAGCAGATACCGCTCCGCACTAGGCTTCTAGGAGCCAACGTATATATCAATCTACGTCTCCCCAAGGAGAAGAAATCAATTGAATGCCACCGCTGCGGTGGCTTCCACAATGCACGCACATGCACCCGGAAGAGAAGGTGCATGAAGTGCAGCTCCGCAACTCACACAACCGACGAGCACCGGGCCCCTTGCGGAGGCACGGAAGGCCTCAACGGATGTGACTGCCCCCTCAAATGCCCAACTTGCAACGGCCCGCACGCGGCTCACGACCCTGCCTGCCCCGCCAGACCCAAAGTGATCCATGGTACGCTCCAGAGAAGGGATCAAGCGCAGCTCCGCGCTATTCGAGCGGAAGGAGAAAGAGCCTGGAAAGCGGCATCCAGCCTCTCGCATCTCCAAGCCAACAGCGAAAACAACGACTGCATCATAGCAAATGCTTAATAGAACCACGCAGCAAATACCCAAAAAGTTACAGATCATGCAAGCCAACGTAGGCAGGAAGG